CCGTCGAACCTTGGAACGCAGGGGAAACTTCTTCCTCCTGAGTTTGCGATCCAGCAGCAGGCTGACCTTGAACTGCAGATGCCTCGATGTCCCCACCTTGCACTACCTCGCTCTCGCGAGCAGCCTTCTTCGCCTTCCGAGCGTCGCGGACGACTGTTTCCAGGTCCTTGTGCTCCTCAGGCTCCATACCTTGAACACGACGCGACTGACGTGACGCCTCACCGCGTCCTCCGTCACCGCGTCCACTCTTCTTCGCCCCTCGTCCTCCAGGCATCTTGGTAGCTTGAAGTTGACGGGCACTCAACACTTCTTCAACACTTGACTCCGGTGAAATCCTCGACAATCGAATCCGGGCACGCGCACCAGCTGAGGCGAGGCCAATGAATCCTTTGTCGCCCGGGGGGGGTTCGTATAGCGCAGCCCAAGACTGATCCCCAGGGGTAGACCCAGAGAATCGACTTGAGAGTCAACAGCAAGAAGATAGACCCAGAGATTCGCAGCCGCAAAGCTTTAAACCCTGATAATCACACTCCTTGGTTGGCGTGGGTACCTTGTGTAATCCCTGTCGGCTCGTTTGTCTTCGACGGAACGGCACTCCACCGGTTGAAAATATAGCCTCAAAGAAGTACGGGAGCGCACGTCTACTTCAGAACGCACCTCCACACCAAAAGGCAAACCCAGAGAATCAGATCCCCTGAAACCCAGAATATCACGAATTCAGGGTCCAGGATTTTAGTCAACTCTGGGACTTGGAACTCAGAAGACACCTTACCCAAATGCCCTCCTAGCTCGATAAAACCAACAAATACAGAGTATACAAACACTACAACTAGCCGTCACTTATTCTTTTGGACCATTGGACGGTGGGTCACACACACACTAGGCTCACTCGAGTCTGAAATTCAGGGGCCTAGCTCCCCTGAGACTCACACAAACGCGCACCACCTCCAATAAAGGAGGAAAACACAATCACTATCAGTTACCTTCCCTTCACACAAGCAGTCAATACAAAACCTGGAGGCGACTACCTAGCACCCCAGAATACCCTCTTGAATAATATGAAATGGGCTACCACGAGCACAGCAAGTGACCCAGCTAGGATATGGAATAGATGGATCACCCCAGGAAGCTCAAGGCCGTCGCTGGTCACCACCTAACTGGACTTGAGTTTTGATGGAGCCCACACAGACGGCTGTCCTTCGCCGTTAATGTGCCCTTAGCGTCCCGCAGTCGTAGTCTCGGGTCCTCCGGATTTCCGTCGGCAGGCTTGGCCGAAGTCACTTGCGCAGGACAGGGTAAAAGGAGCTCTGTTTGGTTTTTATCAGCTACTTCTCTCTCTCTCTTCTTCGGGCAAATATCTTCTGTTCACTGTGCTTGGGGTCAAATGTCTTGTCTTGAGTATACCTTGGGTTCAGCGGTCCAAACTTGCGATCGACTTGCGATTCCATTGTCGCACGGCGTCGAAAGTGCCAATTGTGGGTCCTTAGACTTGGTTTAGTATGGTACAGGACTCCCTCTCGACTCCTCGAAAGTATCCAGTCTGTGCATCCATGACGGTTCTTCAAGGTCACGCATCATTTTGATTGCAGACTGGCTTCGAACTGACTCGAATCCCTGAGAACCAGGTGACACTCAGGGTCATCTTCTGAAATCCTGGGAATTCTGAGGAATCTTGGAGAACTGTGGGGATTCTTGGGTGTTGGCTCGGGAAACACTTAAGTTCAGTATAGAGAGTCTGGAGTTATGGTCCAAACCCAGATAATCATCTTTGGAACTCTGGGTCACCTGCACTCAGGGAGGTGAACTCTGGGTCATCGTGCGGCACTCTAGGTTTTCCGTGCGGCACTCTGAGTAACAAGTCTGCTGCAGTGCAGACTCGTGTGTATCTCCTCAAAGCCACACTTTTAGTGGGTTTAGTGGCCTCCTGCGCATGATCATGGTAGTAGTGGGTTGATTCTCAGGGTAATTTGATCCTCTGGGGCACTCTGAGCCACAGCAAGATGAGGCGTACTCTGGGATACATTCTCCAGAGACACTTTCCGCCAGACTTTAGGCCCTCATCGTAAGGGAAAGTCCGCGGCTGGACTGAGTGTTCTCTGAAATTCTGGGCGTGCACTCTCAGGATTCACACTTCCAGCCAGTTGGGCCCATCTGCGGTCAGACGCTGGATTCATCCCGAGAAATCACTTCTCTCGCCATCCATGTCACACGGGTACAGCCGCGCCGTATCCAAGTCATCCACCAATCAGCATCCGATACAAACTCCAGGTCACAGAGGTGACGGCACATCGTCGGCAATTTTCTGGGGACCGCCTCGTCATTCTTCTTTGTACCGCCGGTGGCACCTGGCGCCTTCTGCGATCCGTTTCCCCCGTGACCATGCGCCACGCAGCTCATAGTCGGCTGGAAGACTCCTGTAGCTCCTGAGCCACTGCATTACTTTTTGGTTCATAAATGGCGTCCCAGTTCTGCGGTGGAGACGGCCAATTCGGCAAAGATTGACGAAAGTCTTTTGATGGCTCTGTACAACGAAGATATACATCCCTACTTGTTTGCGTATTAAATTCCTGGAGCCCTGCTCAAGTTCTGAACAATAGTGCAGGTAATCTCGGGTATCGTGGAGTTACCGAATCCACCAGACTATATCACCGTCCTACTAATACATAATGATGGATCTGACATCAGCGGCGAAAGATGGCCACCCGAAGCAAACCTCGACACGGAGATGATAGTCAATGCTGGTGGGGTCACTCACAAACGGAGAATTATCGTCCTTTGTCTGATGAGGAGATTCGTGTTGTCTGAAGTTTTCTTATCTTCGTTCCAAAGTCAACAAGCCGTACAAGTACATCATGCATGCTGTTGAACAGGCTTTCGTTCAAACCGTTTTGAAAGCGCAAGGAGCAACTCTAAAACGGGTCCCACTTCTACTCGACGAACCTCAAACTAAACCAGTTTGGGCCTTTGAACATTTGTATGTTGGAACGACACAGCAGATGGACTACGTTGCTTACCACTCACTACCTCGCTTCGTCGAGAAACACTACTCAAGTTACGGACCAACATCTACACAGTCAAGTGGTTGACGAGGACGGCTACTTGAATAGTAAATGGTGAGTTCAATAATGCAATATCTCACATTACACCACCAATGTAATATCTGTCCTCCCAGAGTCAAGCAACGCCCCTTGTTGACGTGTCCTATCGATACAAAAAACTTTCTTTACCACGATGGACCGAGTATATGTAAAGCGGAATCGTATGCTGCTTAGCATCTCGTTGTTCGAGTGAAGTAGAAATAGTCACTCAGACACGTACCCACGCCTAGGACCAAGAACTTCTACCCGAAGAATGGCGAACACTCTTCGCTTTTGCCTACCTCGGCGATGTATCGCGCACAAAATTTGAGCTTCTCGGCGTTAGTCCCCTCTTGCGCTCAAGGGCAATGATTGCTCACGTATGCCACCTTAGAAAGTGGAGCTCCATCAAAGTACAAACATTATGTGGTCGAAAATTACAAAAATGCAGCCCGTGCTACGTTGTAGGCATGCATCGTGTAGCGAGCTACTCACATTTGTAGATCTACGATGCGTACTGGCTAGTGATCGATTTACTTCAGCATTTTTGTAGTCGTTTTCAGCTCTATGAGGCGGTTTTCTACGAAGCTGCAAGAATTGTGAAGTATATACTCATTTGAATGCGTCTTTGTGGACTGAGCACCCAGCAAAGAATTTGGCAAAAAAAATAGCAGTTGAGACAACCGAGGTGGAAGGTGTAGTTTGCTTGCTTTCTTTGCTTTTTCAATATTTAGCAACAGTAAACCTATATATGCGATGCGAGAGAATAGTATGCTCTCACTGAATACGTTGCATCCCTAAATTTTGAATATTCCTCTTGGAATCGCCTGATAGCCCATGCATAGCGGTAAGTAGAGCTTTGACACAACATGAATCAGAAAGCTTCTCAAACCGATTTCTTGCGGCTAGACTTCTTGAGCAGCTGACAAGTTGGCTAAAGTTTCGATCTGGTTTGGTTTGTTCTAATCGTGAACTTACTATAGACGAACCAAAAGTCCCTGGCGAGAAGTTTATTCCCCGACTCGCGAGTTTCAATGCAGATACAGCGTGCTGAGCTGTAGAATTCATCACATAGTGAGACTAGCGCTAGAAATCCGCCGTTTTATCGCTGCTTGGTACGATGACACTTTGCCTGAGCTATTACAAGCATCCACAACAGCGGTCAATTATACTGTAGATGCAAAACTATAGCAAAGTTTTAGTATCTAGTAGAAGTATCTACACGACACCTTATCCGGCGGATCCTGCGGCTGCGAAGCAGGTGGATAAGATGCCTGTGAATAGTACTATTATGATAATGGTAATGGTACATTGTTGCGGTGCACGGAGTCTGTAGTTTGTTTTTACTTGGCTACAAGCTACCCAACGATGTAAACAAGCGTCACCGCTTTATCTGCATTTATCTGGTACAGGTCGATGTGTTTAAATATAGTTCTGGGGAATCAAACTATTCATAGAGCCTCTTCTAAAATATTTTGAGGTACATGTTGACCTCATTAGCTCAAATTCTACTAATGCTGCATGTAGCTTCGAACTGCGCCCCCCGTGTTCTCCCCAATGCAATCAATCAAAGTCTTACTTTGATCGCGCGTCCAGTACAGCTTTTCATGGTTTCACGTGTTCTACTTGCGAGAAATTAATGAATGGTCTGTTACTACACTTTGATCGGGCAACAAGAGCTACTACTAGTAGTACAATGGATCACTGCTCATTGTGCGGTGCTGCTGTTCACTACAGATGCGGTCATAGGCAAACACGAACTTTAACTGCGTGGGCGTCGGGTGGTATCGGTGATACCATGATAGCCCACTACTAACTAGATCCATGTATTTGTAATGCCGACTGCATTTATGTATGTATATGGCATCACGTTTCAGAACATGCAGAAGCTTAAGTATGGTCCAGGGTAATCGCACCTCGCATCTAGTAAAAGCACGAAAGCACCTCTCCGGTGGCGCCGGCCCAGTCGAATGGCTGCTGCGGGGCTGGTATCATGTCCTGCGTGAAATCCGGGATCTGTTCGTTGAAAATGTCCAGGCCGGTGGGGAACGCGTCGCCGTTGTTTGACTGTTGCTGCTGTTGTTCGTTGTTTGCCTTGTTGGCCACCGTGGCAGCGCCGTAGTGTCGCTCGAAAAATGCAGCAGACTGTGGCTGTGTGAACTTGGGTAGCATGTAGTGGCCTTATGCTTGGGGCGGGCCCAGCCTTGCGTAGACGCGCAGACGGTCGCCGAGGAAGGGCTCATACGGCGCCCAAAGCTCGTAGCTGGCCACAGAGAGCAGCCACAAGTCGTCGTGCGAGTAGCGACAGCACAGACCGGCAAATCGAAGCTGGAACGGCTCGGACATGCGGAAGTTGGAGTGCTCGTGCTGGCAGCGCCCGCTTTGCCAACAAAAAGTACAAGCATCATAATCTGACGTACATTCCACGACTTCTGACGTTGAGTATGTTACGACTTCCTCTGAAGCTAAAGCAACGGCAGCCCCGCTGCAATATAGGGAAACAGCAGTTCGCCAGTTCCCGGCCTCAGTGGGATCGGTCTGCTAAAAACGAGTAAACGAGTACGTTTAAAGACTGACTGTATTATGATAGAGGTCAACTTGACCCAATACAAAGTACAACTTGAGTATACTAGCCCACACAGTCCAAATAGTTGGCTTGCAGAGCTATTGGTACCATGTACCACGTACTCGGGAAAGTGACACCTGTTACTCTTCATGTAATGGGAACACTTGATTGTACGCCATTTCAATGTCAAATTGAGAAAATCTACAATCAAAACGAGAAAACCTCTACGATTCCGTGAAAATTTAAACCGAAAGCCTGTAGCAACCCATAAAATATTCGTGCAGGATGCACACAATTAACACCAATCACAGCAAATATAATAACAACCAATCAGAGACAAGTAAAAATTAAAAAATACGTGGAGGTCTTGTTGACGAACGAGCTTGGGCCGGAGGCCCTTCCAAATAAAGTTTTGGACCTAAAATGGGGACGTTTCTGGCTTCTTCTAAATGAAATACTCTAAGGTATCGCTCATTGGTTAAAATATGCAGCTTTTAACCAATCGGAATTCCTATCTGTGGACCACAAATTTGTAGCCATTGGTGTGAACTACACCAAAGTAGAGGAATATCAAAATCTCTAACAGACATTGTGACTATTAGAGTTATAAGTGACTGGGCGCACTCCTTCTACACTGTAATTGACGTACTAGCAGTCCTACCTCTTGTTTCTCTCCTTCCGTAGACTCTTGAGGCAGTCGGGGTTAGCTTCAGCAAGCACTTTTTTTCTTGTGCATGCCTTTCAAAGCCTGGTACTTCCAGATAACTACAGTACTTTGTAAGTATGCATTCGATGGTGCATGACGTGCATGACGTGTACATGCCGTGTCGTTTTTTCGATTCAAGTTGAGGTAAGATTAAGTACATTTAACCTATCTAAGGTAACGCAGAAAGTGTACATGCCGTGTCGGTTTTGGTGTCCTTGTGCTTCATCAAGGACAGCCCTACGTTTCACATGATGTGATGTGAATCACATCAGATTAGAGGGTCAATTTTTGTCTGGGAGGGGCGACTATAACGTTATTCCCTCTGGCCATAAAAATAGAATAGACAATCGACGCCTCCGAGGATGGGGGGGGGTCCCGACTTGAGACTGGCCGTCGCTCGCAACTCAGTCGAGCAGAGCCGATTGATCCAAGGTCAGAGCACGGCATGTAGGCCACATTGGGTTGGAAGTGGGCTTGCAGTCGAATGACTTGTGTGGCCAGAGAGGAGAGGACAAGCGTGGCCCCCCAGAGACTTCAACATGATGACCTTCATTCTGGATTCCACACGGAGCGCGCAATTTCCACACTGGTGCGCAGCGAGGCATCCGCAATATGAAGAAGAAGCTGGAGAAGAAGACGAAGATGCAGAGTCCAAGCCACAGCAAGAAGAGGAAGCAGTTGACGCTCGAACACTTCTTCCTGTCTCCCTCGACATCCAACAATTCAACGGTCTGCGCCGACGACACCTCAACGCACCCTTCCTCCGGTGCCGCAGCTGCTTAATGTCCAAGACATCAGTACCGAAGAGGCCAAAGTACCCGCCGGCCCCACGTCGTCGAATCCTGGAAAGGTACGAGCTTATCCTGTTGGATTAACCTTTTTTTCAGCCCAGCTTAACTCTAATAATGCTTATTTTGTGTTTGTAGAGTCCGGCTGCAAAGCGTCCGAGATTGGCGTTGGCTGACATCACGAATCAGCCCGAAGATAAGAGTGACATCGGGCAGGATGGAGGAGCAAGTACAAGCAACACCGACTATCAGCTGAAGTACAAGTTTGTGTGCCAGAATGAGGTTTGCGCCCAAGAGGGGATGAAGCCCAAAGTCCCAGGTGCCAAGTCCAACTCCAATAAATATCGCTGCCAGCGAAAGGGCCACGTCGGTTGCCCGATGAAGAAGTGCCCGGAGATCGCGACGTTCGGCCCCATCGGCAGCAACGAGCGCGTCTACTGCACAGACTGTACTCGGCGTTTGCGTCTCCTCAAGAAGTTCAAGCCCAACGCGAACTCGTGTGTCGTTTGCGAGGCCAAGGTCGGAAGGGGGGTAACTTTGCATGGTGAATTTGAAACTCACTGTTTGGACTGTGCAGTGCGTGAAGGTATGATGTCTGCAGTAAACGTGGTTTCGTTGTTGCAATTCGTGCATTGTTCTAACCTACTTTTTTGTTTGTAGGAATTATCCTGCTCCGTCGTACGGACCACCCGATTTCGGCCGCGCGAGTAACTTCGAGTTTGAGTGTCTTAATGACAAGTGTGCCGGGAAGGGGCACTGCCAGCGCCTCCACCACGACAAGTGCGACAAGATCCCATGCACGAAGGCGGCAACGTACGGTCCAGGCTTCGAGCGGATCTACTGCCGCGATTGCGTCAAGACCCTGCGCTTGACACCCTTCTACGAGTCGAATTGGCCGAGGTGTGTCAAGTGCGGGGATGGAAGCAGGGCGTTGCCGGCCATGTTTGGCAAGCGCGGCGGACGCAAGACGCACTGCCTCAAGTGCGCTGCTGGAGAGGAGGGGCTGATTTCTCTACGTAACGCAATCTGTGCTTTCAAGCTGCTGGATGGTGAGCTGTGTTCAAGACACGCAACTGGGAGGATCGATGGGGTGCTTGTTTGCACTGAGCACGGCACGTCAGCAGATCAGGCCGCAGCTGGTGATTTCGAGCGGTTTGCTTACAAGGTCTGCCAAGCGGAGGGATGCGAGATTGTTGCGACGGGCACCCACTGCCACAAACACCTCCGCGAACTCGGCTTGCCACTACCGGACGATAGCCACAGGTACAGTGTTTTGGTTTATATGTGAGGTGCATGACAGTCATTACGTTCCTAACAAACTCGAAAATGCCCGCCTCTTAATGTTTTACAGGTACTGTGTTGACTGCAAGGTCACTACAGCGTCGTTCAGGTGCAAGTACGGCAAGCTCTGTGCCCCATGCCGCCATGAACGCCAAAGGCGTGATGATACGCTAGAATTTGAAGATTTGACCAAGACGTGGTGCCTGGAATGTGGCGTTCGGCGCCGCAAGTACGGTTTCGAGGGCGGCAAAGCCGCATTGTGCTCCGCGTGCGCGAAGAAGTCTGAGTTCGCGTCCACATTTACGAACGAACGTGTATTGCGGCCGGATGTAAGACCTGGGCGTCTTCGGCTGGAACTGGAAGAAGCCGCTGTGCTGCAAGGCGCACAGTGAGCACGGCATGGTAGACGTCATGTCCCCTCGATGTGTATCCTGCGAGGTCAAGCGAGTGAGTGCGGACTACAAGCCGCAATGTTCGCGATGCTACTTCGCTGAGCACCCTGACGAAGCCGGGGCCCGCAACTACAAGGTTCGTGAAGATGCTTTTATGGATGAGTTGCTGCTGCACTTCCCGTCCATGGTTCGAGACAAGCAGATTGCGGGGGGAACGTCGAAGCGCAGGCCAGACGGGTTCATCCGTTGTGACGCCCACTCCGTTATCGTCGAGATCTACGAAGAGCAGCACGTCGAATACGACAAGCTCGACGAGAAGAAGAGGATGAAGGAGCTGCTTCAAGACAACCATGGTCGTCCGCTTATTTTCGTGCGCCTGAATCCCGATGGCTACGAGCAGAACGGCGTCAAGGTGAAGCCTGTGTTCAAGAAGGTCCGTACTGTCATGGAGCGCGACGAAGCTGAGTTCAAGATCCGCTTTGCGATGTTGAAGATGGCAGTCGCTGAAGCAGTGGCCTCCGCTCCCGTGGAGAAGGTGACAGCAGTTCAGCTCTGTTTCGATGACTAGGTAGCACACCCAGTTCGCACTTCCTACTTTCGTTGAGTCATTTTAATCACACAATTCACGTAGATCTGCTTTGCATTTAATCCTAGTATGTATTACTCGCTTTGTGACTTCTCTCGTTCGCAAGCTGCTACAGGAACCAAGGGAGAACCTCACCGGCGACGTCAGCATCCGCTAGGTTAACCCCAGCAAACATGTCGTTCGCGTCAGCCTCATGGTGCGACTCAGAAAAAAATGCCTCGCCAGTTTGCTGTAGTGGTGGGGCTGGAATAGAGCTCAGCGCTCCAGAACAAGACGGAGTTGATGTAGCACCCAGCTGCAGCCAAACAAAAAGGAGAAACAGTGTCAGAACAGTTCGTTGTTGCTGCGAACCATAGAGAGACTGTACCTGTGCTACTTCGCCAACCTTGTCCCCAACGAATGGCTTGTACATTTCCCACAGCAGCCAATCTTCGACAGCAATTCGCCAAGTACCTCCATATGCAGGCTCATAGTATAGCCCCAGCGACCGTAGCTGGAACAGCTTGCTCGTCTCGAACCGAACGTGCTGGTGACAGCACCGACCAGCACTCCAGCAGGAAACGCAGACGTCGTAGTCCTCAGAAACGCACTGCAGGCAGGACAGAATTAGGTCCTGGCCGACGAACTTGAGAGCGCCGCACTCGTCGCACTGTCGGGTCATCTTCTGGCCTGTGACGAGGTACAGCAGCTCCTTCTTGGAGATCATCCCATTGGGGCTCCCTCCGAAGCTCAGCAGGAAGTCAATGTAGCTGTCGGCGCAGCCCTGGGCTCTCTGGAAGGCTCGGAACTCGTCCTGTGAGATGCGGCCGTCTCGATCCGTGTCCATCTGCGCGAACAGCGTGGCGATGTGAGTGCGCAGGAACACGCCCACTCCGTTGGGCAGCTGGTCTCTGTCTTCTGGGGGCGGCGCGAGCATCTCCAGCATCTCCTGGGCCGGCACGAAGCGGTGGTTGGCCGGGTGCACCTCGCCGCTCACGCCTCGCGGGTAGCAGCGCGCGCAGAGGATGTAGCCCCCGGCCCTGCACTCGAGGCACATGAAGCCGCGCTCGTGCTCGCCGATGGGCGCGAAGCACGAGTCGCAGAAGCCGTTGCCGAAGTTGAGGTAGCGCACGAGCGCCAGGAACGCGCGCGCGTCCACGACGCCGCGGCCGGCCTGGTCGTAGCGCGCGAAGACGCCCTCCACGACCTTGGGCGGGAAGTGCGACAGCAGCTGGCCGATGTCCTCGCGCTGGATGCCGCCCCCGCGCGCGAACTCGCGGTACAGGTTGGCGGCGATGTCCACGAGCAGCCGCTCCTCGTACACGCGCACGAAGTGCTGCAGGAGCTGCTCGAGCGTCTGCGCGCCTCCAGCGGCGGCGCCGGCGGTGGGCAGCAGCTGCACGGGCGCTTGGAGCTGCACGGGCGCGGGCTGCAGCGGCACGGGGGCGGCCGCACCGGACGGAGCGCTCATGGGTGGAGCTGCGCTACTGAGGTGGACAATAAGGTGGTGGAGAGGGAGACGACGCGGACGTGCCGGACGAGCTGCTGCTGGATGGATGAACGACGTTCGCTAGATGGAGCTGAAGTGCACCTTTTGTGTGAGACAGAGCAGCTATCTGCTGCTGTCATTCAGAGGCGTTAGACTGGGTATTGGTATGACACGATGTTTGTGTGAGCTTGCTGCTAATGCTGCGTCCTGGATTAATGTGTGCACAGCGCCAAAGACACGTCGAAGCTGGTGGAATTCGAGCCAAAGTCTGCTCCGATTGGTCAGCTCGCTTGCCACAAACAGATACGGGTCGTTTTGTTTGTGGCGCTATATGTGGACATGTCCATTTTTCGCCACCGATGTGCTGTTTCGATGCTCGCTCGAGCTGTTGCAGCCTACAGCACTTCCATAGGCTTCGGTCGTGCTCTCGCGTCAAGTGCAGATTTACTAGAGATCCCAAGCGCCATTTTAGTCACGCTGAAGAAGGTTTGTGGTCCATTTCTCCGCTCGAAGTCGGCGCCTCAACGACCGTATTGAGCATCGATTAACAGGTGGACGATGGAGGGCTTAACGGATTGTCATATCTCGCGAGAAGTTGGTTGGTACTACCGTACATGTAGTAGCAGATTCGCATTGGGAGATGCAAGACGCTCGGTTCAAGTCAGTCTTCTTGACTGAGGCTTGAGGCCGTGCGAGTTGCCTTGTGCAGTACATGTACAATTATAAAATAATAGTCATTTTTGTCCTATCACGAGCGTCCCTGAGTGTTTCGTCAGCTGCGCAGTGGTCGTCGCTAAAACCAATGAAATCTTCGGGGCGTTGGTCATAGGCCGAGCTCGAGTTCAGTATCCCGATCGTACGACAAATACGTGTCTGTACCCCGAAAAGAGCTGGAATACTGTATATTGCAAACACATGCCAGTAAGTGCCTTGTATGAAATACCCAACCTGTTTCGACCTGTGAGCTAGCATCTTTTTGCTTACAACGAACAGGCGGACAGGTTGCTGTCGGCCAGGAGAGTTTCGCAGCAGCCAGGTCGCTGCAGAGTGCAGCTCAGAGAGTGTGGCTCAGTGCAGCGCACGCATTCCACATCCAAATACATGTATGACGAACGCGCCAGCCTTTCCCCTTCCCTGCAGCGACTCTGGCTTCACGCGAATATCTGGTGGCTGCACTTGGCGCGCAGAGGGGACGCGCTCGACGCTTACGCGTGCAGAAATCTACGAGGATAATCGTTCGAGCTGTCCAAGCTGACAGCTTAGCATTACGACAGCGTGCAAGTGCTGCAATCGCTTGAGTTTCCTCCCGTTTCTACTCTTTACGACTTTCCCCTACAGTCGGACCGCAACTTTGGGCGGCTGCCTCGACGTGCGCCCGCCGTCGCGAGAGCAGCTCCTGCCGCTGCTAAAGTAAAGAGACGTCAATGATCTGGAGCTGTGAGCTCCAGGTTGCATTATGCCAGGCAGCGGCTTGCCAGGTTGTATGGGACCCGCCGAGCGAATTCCAGGTGACTCATCTTGAAGCCGAGACCAACCACGACTGTCCGCGGACGGTCGGTCGATTGCATACTGGTCCAGCTTCGCCGTGATGCATGATGGTTCTGCATCCGACCGCAGCGGTTGCCCCTCAGCAGCAGCAAGTGGGCGTTGGGCGCAAAGGCGGAGAACGTCGGAAAACCACAGCGGGGTGGGGTCCGCCCTGAACACGACCGCGTACATGTAGAAAGATAATCGACGACTGCACCTCACTCCGTCCAAGTCTTGTCCCACGCGACGACGGCAAACAAAACCGCGAGCCATACAAACCCGCTATCACCGCTGGACCGCACTCGCGAACGGAAAGCCCGTCTCCCTGCGGATCGGACCCACCCAGCCGGCCCAGCCAGCCAGTCGGCCATTGCTCAATCAGAAGACACAGCGCACCATGACCAGCCCGCTGCCGGCGTGTGCAGGCGTCTTCATGCGCGCGCACTGCCCGCACGCTCGGCTCTTCGAGGAGGAATACAAGCGGTGAGTGCTCCATATTATCTTTGGCCTGCGACCCGCGCCGTAATACAATCAAGGGCCTCGTTGAGCCCGCACGGCTGCTGCCACGCGCGCACGATGTTTGTGCCGAACGTGGCCCTTCTCGAGGCTGCCTTTGTCCTCCTCTTCATCTCGGATGTCTGACTGTTGTTCATTGCGACTCGTGTACTGCGCTCTGCTGACGGACCATCGACTCGCGTGTCGGCGGTCTCGTGCGTCCAGGAGCAATCGGAACCGAGGGACCAAGGTCGGTGTAGTGCGTTCAAGACGCTGTGCTTCGGCGTAGCGTAGCTCTTCTTCAGCTGCGTTGATGCGGTTCTCTCATGTGTTTTTCTTTCCTCTGTTGCGCGTTCGCTTGAAATGCTTATGCTGCCTTAACTAAAAAATACCCTCAGATCTTGCGGTGCGACCTCGCATCCCAGCGCTCAGCTAACAAGCCACGCATGGCAACGAGAGCAGATCTAACCTACAGCTATCTCTTTTAATGCAGGTGCTTCCCTCACTGCTGTCCGCATCACGTGGACCGAAGCTACTGCGGATCGCCGCTCGAAGTCGTGTTGCGTTTCGGAGACGAGTCGGATGTCGCCCAGGCTGTCGACCAAGACACCCGAGCTCTCGCAGCACCATTTGACGTCGCCAACGTGTTCGTCTTCGCTCGCTTCGAGACCGTGGAGGGGAAGCCTCTGAGCGGCGCGCACTCGCTGCGCTACATGCGCAGCGTTTCCCAGAGCGAGGTGAACCCCGAGGCCTCGTGGATCGAGGGCGTGCGGCAGACGGCGGCAGATAGGCAGCAGTACTCGCAGCAACTGCACGGCCGCCAACTGGCGTCGCGGCTGTCGAGTTCTAGAGAGTCCGCGCGCCCCGACTCAGCTACGTTCGTGCTAAACGGTCAAGCGTTCGCCAAGTGGTATTATCACTGGGAGAGCGGCGCCAACAAAGTGCAGCGCGCTACCAAGCACGCGCTCAAAGCTTACGTTTTCTATCAGACGCAGGAAGCAGCGACAACAGGTTTGCAGCAGCAGCGACAACAGCATCAAGCTTCGGCCGGAGCCCATCAAGGTTCAACAGGAGCCGACGGTACACTCGAGCTACTGTGCGTGGTGACGTCTCCACCGTTCACGGTGGTCTCGTATCGTCGCGCGCCGTTGGAAGCTGCTGCCGGTGGCCCGGGTGCTCTCGGACTGGGTGGCATCGATGCGGCCACGTCGCTAATGCCGCACTACGCGACGGACACAGCGCACCCGGTGGATGCGAGACTACGCCGCATCGTGCAGCACCAAATCTCTCGAGCGTTCCGTGAGTACAACCAGCAGCAACGCCAGAGCGAACCGCGTGGCTCTTCCGACGACTTGTTCGCGCAAGTAGGGACATCGCGCCTACAGGACGAACAGAAGGAGGAGGAAGATCGATCGGGCAGCGAGGAGAGAGACTCGTTCGATCGGTACCGACATCTGCAGGAGCGCGAAGGGCTGCGATTCCGATTGCTAACGCCGGAAGATGCTGCGCTCTCAGGGTCCGCATTGCATAGCCAGATCGAACCACGGGAGCCGCGACTCGTGTTCGACAGCACAAGGCGCAGAGATGGTGGCCAACACTGGCGTGACCGTCACGGTGACGTGAGTAGGCACGGCGGTGATAACGCGTTTGGCGACGACTATGACGATGACGATATCCGTGATGAGGCCGTTCCGCAGCCGCTGGCACCTGGGAGTTGGTCTGCGCTTGGCGCGTCGGGTTATGAGTGCAAAGCCGCTGGGCCAGTAGGCATGCCGCCGTCAACGACAGACCCAGTCCGGCAAGCCGAGAAGGCTGCGAGGGTAGCCATCCAGCGCTTCAAGCAGCAGCAGCACCAGTTGAACAGCCACCAGCGCGAGCTGCACCAGCTGACGGACCTCGCCATTATCCACTTCTTCGTATCCCGCGTCACGACCAGCAGTGCCCGAAGTTTGGCGAACCTAGAGGTGGTCTTAACGATAGCGATCTCGCAGCATTGGCGATACGCCAGTGGTGGGGCCACACACCTCGCTCGGTTGATTCTGGCGCTATCCAGTGGCGCAGTCGACGGTGCGAGTGTGTCTCGGGGCACCAGTGGTGGCTCGTTCGCCGAGACCAAATGTGAGGAGCTGATGCTAGTATTGGGCGAGGTGTGCGTGTGGGCTTTCTCGCCAGAGAACCTCGGGCTAGTGCAGAGTTTACTGTCGGCGTGCCACCCGCTGTTGCTTGAGAACCTGCGTCTCAGCACCTCCGGAGGGGTAGAGGATGGTGGGAAAGAGCTGCGCACTGCCTTCTTGGAATGCGTCGGGCGCTGCTGGAGCGCGTTGGACGAGTTTCTGCAGACACCTCGGGCGACGCAGACGACGATCCGCAGTGCGCGCGAGTTGAGCGACGCCGTCTTGGGCGTTGTGTACAGTGACCCCGAGCTCGCTGACTTGCGGTGTGGGCTACGAGCGATGCTCCAACGACCCACGATAGTGCTTGAGGATAGCAAGGAGAACGGTACTGCAAGCTCGGACGGTTATGAATCAGGTATCCCGCGGCTCAACCTCGCTGGCTGGCAGGGATTCGTAGCTCAAGTGAGGGAAGGCTATCTGGTGCGTTCGTCGATATGATCGCGGTCGATATACGCTGCAGTGGGGTACTGACTTAAAGGTATGCATGCGGTAACTTGCGGTGATATTCAGAGGGATCAATACTCGGGGCGGGGTCTCCCGTGGAGCCCAATGCAGGGCACAAACGCGCGACCAAGTCGGTGGGCGGCGGACTGGCTGCTGCAACCTGGCAGTCTGTCGGTCACCTCCCACGCGGACAACCCGAGACGTACGACGCCCACGCAGACAGGATCGGATCTTTCGCCGAGGCAATCAGCGCCATCCGTGTGGACATCGTGTTTGGCGCTATCGCAGCTGCTGCACTTGAAACTAGCGGTCGCGGGCGATCCGCTGCACACCCTTTATGTGCGTAGCAAAGCTAGTCACAGTCCAACGCTCTATCTATTAGGCCGGTTGCTAACTGTACCGTACTAACGCGATGCCGCGCGTAGATCCAAGCGGAGCCGTCGGTGCTCGCTGCCGACAATGCGTGGCTCCGACTCATTTGTGACGGCCGGGTGCGTGTAGCTCCCGTGGCGCCCAACGGCTTGACGAGCTTAATGGGCGGCGCGTCAAACAGCTTCGGCGGCGACTACGTAGCGTATCGACTCGAGCATCGAGCTTCGACGAATGCTGCAGAAGACGGCGGTAGACTGACGACGATTCAGGCACCAGACAACGCGAGTGACCACAGCTCGATTTGCGTCGAGTTTTACTGGTGGCCGCTGCAACAAGAGCAAGCTCAAGAGCAGGACCAGCTCTTGGCGTTCCGGAGCGTGACGACATTGAAGATTGCAACCAGTGGCACCTTTATGGAGGGAAGAATGGAATTGGAGTGCGGATTCGTCAAGCGCGAGGCCTTCACAGCGGCGGAGTCGCCTCGACTGGAGCTCTGGGCTCCGACAGAGCGCGTGCAGGCCGTGGCTGGCTGGGCTCCGTGGCTGTCGATTGAGGGCGTGTACGCGCGGAAGTGAGCAGAAGTTGTCACGTGTATCGTCCACTTGGGAGTAAGAGTGTCAGCCGCGTTGAACCGGATCTACTGTATTAATACACAGATACAGGGTTGAACACGTAGTGCACAGGGTCGGACAATACAGTATGAAATTGTATTGCGAGGCCAAAGCAGTAGAAATAACTGCAATATGAGGGCAACTAATAATAATAATTGGTACAATTTAAGTATATTGTACAATTCGTGACATGAGCTATTTATTGCCAAAATGTGACAGGAAGGCCGCAAACTTCACGCAAACTTTACGCAAACGTCCCATGGCTGATATCGAACTATTACTGAGGTGTCAGGCCAACCTATACAGTGAGAAAATACAGGTGGAGGCTGATGACGATTACGATAGCCCTGTACTGTTTCCAGGACGGTTTTGGGAAGTGTTGCTGTCCGGCAAAGCGCTATTGAGTATACACCGCTTGCTCCACAAAAGCCTCAAAACCCAACGCTGTGTCCTCGACCCGAAAAATAGAGATTATAATAGTTTATTATAGCATTTTCATCATTTATGAACGCCCAACCTCAGAATTCATAGTATTTGATATTGTATTGCTATTATTGGGGCAATATCATATTGTATTGCCTTCATGAACTTCCAATAATAAATAATTGTAGTGGGACAGTACCATAATAATTGTTTTGCTATTATTGTGTTCTGTGACTACAGACAACGACTTACAAAGCCGGCACGCTTAATGCCATCCTCCTATATAAAATCAACGATAAATTCCCTCCCGTCAAATCTGTAAAACTGACATAAAACACACGGCGTGTTGCATAAAGTACACAAGAAAGCATATAAAGTACACAAAACCAGATGGTATACAAAGATGAAGTCATTTGATTGAATCTGATCGGCTGGTTTGTTTATGTTAAGCTTTGCTTGACTTCGTCTGCCGGCTTTTTGTGTCTGCCGGCTTTGTAAGTCGTTGTCTGTAGCTGTCACGCTACTGGTAGTTTCTTCGTCGGACTTCAGCAGTGTTCTTCGCAACGGGTTCTTCGCCACCGCGAATGACATTTCGCTGTAGATTCAGATTTCAAATACAAAAAGTATGCACTACGTGTTCAACCCTGTATCTGTGTATTAATACAGTAGATCCGGTTCAACGCGGCTGACACCCTTACTCCCAAGTGGACGATACACGTGACAACTTCTGCTCACTTCCGCGCGTACACGCCCTCAATCGACAGCCACGGAGCCCAGCCAGCCACGGCCTGCACGCGCTCTGTCGGAGCCCAGAGCTCCAGTCGAGACGACTCCGCCGCTGTGAAGCCCTCGCGCTTGACGAATCCGCACTCCAATTCCATTCTTCCCTCCATAAAGGTGCCACTGGTTGCAATCTTCAATGTCGTCACGCTCCGGAACGCCAAGAGCTGGTCCTGCTCTTGAGCTTGCTCTTGTTGCAGCGGCCACCAGTAAAACTCGACGCAAATCGAGCTGTGGTCACTCGCGTTGTCTGGTGCCTGAATCGTCGTCAGTCTACCGCCGTCTTCTGCAGCATTCGTCGAAGCTCGATGCTCGAGTCGATACGCTACGTAGTCGCCGCCGAAGCTGTTTGACGCGCCGCCCATTAAGCTCGTCAAGCCGTTGGGCGCCACGGGAGCTACACGCACCCGGCCGTCACAAATGAGTCGGAGCCACGCATTGTCGGCAGCGAGCACCGACGGCTCCGCTTGGATCTACGCGCGGCATCGCGTTAGTACGGTACAGTTAGCAACCGGCCTAATAGATAGAGCGTTGGACTGTGACTAGCTTTGCTACGCACATAAAGGGTGTGCAGCGGATCGCCCGCGACCGCTAGTTTCAAGTGCAGCAGCTGCGATAGCGCCAAACACGATGTCCACACGGATGGCGCTGATTGCCTCGGCGAAAGATCCGATCCTGTCTGCGTGGGCGTCGTACGTCTCGGGTTGTCCGCGTGGGAGGTGACCGACAGACTGCCAGGTTGCAGCAGCCAGTCCGCCGCCCACCGACTTGGTCGCGCGTTTGTGCCCTGCATTGGGCTCCACGGGAGACCCCGCCCCGAGTATTGATCCCTCTGAATATCACCGCAAGTTACCGCATGCATACCTTTAAGTCAGTACCCCACTGCAGCGTATATCGACCGCGATCATATCGACGAACGCACCAGATAGCCTTCCCTCACTTGAGCTACGAATCCCTGCCAGCCAGCGAGGTTGAGCCGCGGGATACCTGATTCATAACCGTCCGAGCTTGCAGTACCGTTCTCCTTGCTATCCTCAAGCACTATCGTGGGTCGTTGGAGCATCGCTCGTAGCCCACACCGCAAGTCAGCGAGCTCGGGGTCACTGTACACAACGCCCAAGACGGCGTCGCTCAACTCGCGCGCACTGCGGATCGTCGTCTGCGTCGCCCGAGGTGTCTGCAGAAACTCGTCCAACGCGCTCCAGCAGCGCCCGACGCATTCCAAGAAGGCAGTGCGCAGCTCTTTCCCACCATCCTCTACCCCTCCGGAGGTGCTGAGACGCAGGTTCTCAAGCAACAGCGGGTGGCACGCCGACAGTAAACTCTGCACTAGCCCGAGGTTCTCTGGCGAAAAAGCCCACACGCACACCTCGCCCAATACTAGCATCAGCTCCTCACATTTGGTCTCGGCGAACGAGCCACCACTGGTGCCCCGAGACACACTCGCACCGTCGACTGCGCCACTGGATAGCGCCAGAATCAACCGAGCGAGGTGTGTGGCCCCACCACTGGCGTATCGCCAATGCTGCGAGATCGCTATCGTTAAGACCACCTCTAGGTTCGCCAAACTTCGGGCACTGCTGGTCGTGACGCGGGATACGAAGAAGTGGATAATGGCGAGGTCCGTCAGCTGGTGCAGCTCGCGCTGGTGGCTGTTCAACTGGTGCTGCTGCTGCTTGAAGCGCTGGATGGCTACCCTCGCAGCCTTCTCGGCTTGCCGGACTGGGTCTGTCGTTGACGGCGGCATGCCTACTGGCCCAGCGGCTTTGCACTCATAACCCGACGCGCCAAGCGCAGACCAACTCCCAGGTGCCAGCGGCTGCGGAACGGCCTCATCACGGATATCGTCATCGTCATAGTCGTCGCCAAACGCGTTATCACCGCCGTGCCTACTCACGTCACCGTGACGGTCACGCCAGTGTTGGCCACCATCTCTGCGCCTTGTGCTGTCGAACACGAGTCGCGGCTCCCGTGGTTCGATCTGGCTATGCAATGCGGACCCTGAGAGCGCAGCATCTTCCGGCGTTAGCAATCGGAATCGCAGCCCTTCGCGCTCCTGCAGATGTCGGTACCGATCGAACGAGTCTCTCTCCTCGCTGCCCGATCGATCTTCCTCCTCCTTCTGTTCGTCCTGTAGGCGCGATGTCCCTACTTGCGCGAACAAGTCGTCGGAAGAGCCACGCGGTTCGCTCTGGCGTTGCTGCTGGTTGTACTCACGGAACGCTCGAGAGATTTGGTGCTGCACGATGCGGCGTAGTCTCGCATCCACCGGGTGCGCTGTGTCCGTCGCGTAGTGCGGCATTAGCGACGTGGCCGCATCGATGCCACCCAGTCCGAGAGCACCCGGGCCACCGGCAGCAGCTTCCAACGGCGCGCGACGATACGAGACCACCGTGAACGGTGGAGACGTCACCACGCACAGTAGCTCGAGTGTACCGTCGGCTCCTGTTGAACCTTGATGGGCTCCGGCCGAAGCTTGATGCTGTTGTCGCTGCTGCTGCAAACCTGTTGTCGCTGCTTCCTGCGTCTGATAGAAAACGTAAGCTTTGAGCGCGTGCTTGGTAGCGCGCTGCACTTTGTTGGCGCCGCTCTCCCAGTGATAATACCACTTGGCGAACGCTTGACCGTTTAGCACGAACGTAGCTGAGTCGGGGCGCGCGGACTCTCTAGAACTCGACAGCCGCGACGCCAGTTGGCGGCCGTGCAGTTGCTGCGAGTACTGCTGCCTATCTGCCGCCGTCTGCCGCACGCCCTCGATCCACGAGGCCTCGGGGTTCACCTCGCTCTGGGAAACGCTGCGCATGTAGCGCAGCGAGTGCGCGCCGCTCAGAGGCTTCCCCTCCACGGTCTCGAAGCGAGCGAAGACGAACACGTTGGCGACGTCAAATGGTGCTGCGAGAGCTCGGGTGTCTTGGTCGACAGCCTGGGCGACATCCGACTCGTCTCCGAAACGCAACACGACTTCGAGCGGCGATCCGCAGTAGCTTCGGTCCACGTGATGCGGACAGCAGTGAGGGAAGCACCTGCATTAAAAGAGATAGCTGTAGGTTAGATCTGCTCTCGTTGCCATGCGTGGCTTGTTAGCTGAGCGCTGGGATGCGAGGTCGCACCGCAAGATCTGAGGGTATTTTTTAGTTAAGGCAGCATAAGCATTTCAAGCGAACGCGCAACAGAGGAAAGAAAAACACATGAGAGAACCGCATCAACGCAGCTGAAGAAGAGCTACGCTACGCCGAAGCACAGCGTCTTGAACGCACTACACCGACCTTGGTCCCTCGGTTCCGATTGCTCCTGGACGCACGAGACCGCCGACACGCGAGTCGATGGTCCGTCAGCAGAGCGCAGTACACGAGTCGCAATGAACAACAGTCAGACATCCGAGATGAAGAGGAGGACAAAGGCAGCCTCGAGAAGGGCCACGTTCGGCACAAACATCGTGCGCGCGTGGCAGCAGCCGTGCGGGCTCAACGAGGCCCTTGATTGTATTACGGCGCGGGTCGCAGGCCAAAGATAATATGGAGCACTCACCGCTTGTATTCCTCCTCGAAGAGCCGAGCGTGCGGGCAGTGCGCGCGCATGAAGACGCCTGCACACGCCGGCAGCGGGCTGGTCATGGTGCGCTGTGTCTTCTGATTGAGCAATGGCCGACTGGCTGGCTGGGCCGGCTGGGTGGGTCCGATCCGCAGGGAGACGGGCTTTCCGTTCGCGAGTGCGGTCCAGCGGTGATAGCGGGTTTGTATGGCTCGCGGTTTTGTTTGCCGTCGTCGCGTGGGACAAGACTTGGACGGAGTGAGGTGCAGTCGTCGATTATCTTTCTACATGTACGCGGTCGTGTTCAGGGCGGACCCCACCCCGCTGTGGTTTTCCGACGTTCTCCGCCTTTGCGCCCAACGCCCACTTGCTGCTGCTGAGGGGCAACCGCTGCGGTCGGATGCAGAACCATCATGCATCACGGCGAAGCTGGACCAGTATGCAATCGACCGACCGTCCGCGGACAGTCGTGGTTGGTCTCGGCTTCAAGATGAGTCACCTGGAATTCGCTCGGCGGGTCCCATACAACCTGGCAAGCCGCTGCCTGGCATAATGCAACCTGGAGCTCACAGCTCCAGATCATTGACGTCTCTTTACTTTAGCAGCGGCAGGAGCTGCTCTCGCGACGGCGGGCGCACGTCGAGGCAGCCGCCCAAAGTTGCGGTCCGACTGTAGGGGAAAGTCGTAAAGGGTAGAAACGGGAGGAAACTCAAGCGATTGCAGCACTTGCACGCTGTCGTAATGCTAAGCTGTCAGCTTGGACAGCTCGAACGATTATCCTCGTAGATTTCTGCACGCGTACGCGTCGAGCGCGTCCCCTCTGCGCGCCAAGTGCAGCCACCAGATATTCGCACGAATCCAGAGTCTGCCGCAGGGAGTTGGAAAGGCTCGTCGTCGCCACACTTGGACGCAGGATGTCCCGATGCACCCGGTGCTGGGCAGCTTCCTGCCGGGAACGACTGGACCTTGGTGAGCCTTCTAAAAGCTTCTCTCACTGCTGAAGGGCCGTCGGGTCGATAGCAACCTGTCCTCCTCGTTCAACATCGTAAAAAGGTTAAATCTCTGCTGTGTGTACAACGAGAACGGAGTAAAGAGGCTCAGCACCAAGCATGAGAGCACAAATGATAATGGACCATAATCGAGGTATCCATGTAAACTACTACTACTACTACTGTACGTAGTAGTATGCAAGGCATTCACAATGAGCCCTTATCTCGCTACAACCAGTTGAGCCCTTATCTCGCTACAACCAGTTCTAGGAAGTCTACTTACGCCTGATTCAGAGCAGCCTCAGCTGCTACAAAACGGTCACAGTTACTATGACTAACGCTCTCGGATTTCATCGTTCGAAGTAGCACATGGAATCGAATACTGTAGAATTTTTTAGCGAAGGTCTAACTTTCAAAACGTAACTTGGTTCTTCCAGTCTAGAGGTGGCTGTGCGCGGCATGATCATGGGCTTCCTTCGCTTCAGCCGCTGCAGTTGCCGCCAACTGCTCAGGCGTAGCGATCTCCACGACGATGTCCTTGACACGCGGCATCCTGTGCTTGATGGCGCCCTTCACCTTCTGCTTCCACTCGACAGCTCGGTGCACCGACGCCGCGTCGTCGACCACCAGGGTGAGGTCGACATGGATATGCCGGCCGACTCTGCGACTACGCAGTTGACGAACGCTCAGCACGTCTCCGTTGCTATTCCCAACCACTTCGTCTACAGCCTTCTCCAGGCTTCTGATGGTCATGTCGGGCAACTTGGCGTCACACAGCTCCTTGGTGGCGTCCCAGCCCATTTCCGCGCCCATCTTGAGAATTATACCACCCACTGCAATACCCGCCAGCGGATCGAACAACGGGAAGCCTGCAAGGCTCAATCCAATGCCACCCATAGCCACCACGCTCGTCACTGCATCGCTGCGGTGGTGCCAGGCGTTCGCGATCAGCACGCTCGAGTGCACGCGTCGACCGATGCTAATCGTCGTGCGGTACAGCGCCTCCTTGGCCGCCACAGACAGCGCCGCAATGCCCAACGCCGCCGGGTGCATCACCATGCCATGCGCGTGCGTGTGCACCGACTTGGCCAGACTCTCCACGGCCTCCAGCGCCTCGGGATCCATCTTTTCCACCAGCTCCGCCACTTCCGTCGGATTTAGCGCCACGATCGCAGTAGTAGACGCCGCCGCCGGCTCCACCAGCACCAGCAACGTGTCCAGCGAGTGCGCCATGATGCCCAGTGAGCCTCCGACCAGCAGCAGCGACACGGACAGCGCCCCGATGGTCTCGTACTTGCCGTATCCATACGGCTGCAGCGCGTCCGGCGGCCGCGCACAGTACTTGAGCGACACGAGCGTGACAAAGTCGCTGACCAGGTCGCTCATCGAGTGTGCGGCGTCCGCGAGCAGCCCCGAAGAGTGGAAGGCCACGCCCGCCACTCCTTTGAGTCCGCTGAGCACCACGTTGAGCCAGACGCCGACCCACGTGATGCGGTCCGCGGCCTTCACGTCGGCCGCCGACAACTTCAGCCTCAGCGCCCTCTCCTCCGCCGTCTCCTCCTCCTCTTCCTCCTCCTCTAACACGCCGTGGCTGTGGCCATGGCCGTGCCATCGATAGGCTGTGTTGTGCAGCGGGAGCGCCGGTAGGAGGGAGGACGACGAGGCCGCGATAGAGCGACGTAGGGCGTGTAGATCGCGGGCGACGAGTCGGCGTCCGCGGGCGTCTCCAGCCGCGTACAGCGGCGTCAGAGCGCGTCGCCGACAGGTCCATGAGCTAGAGAAGATAGAGAACGAGGGGGCAGGTTAGTTGAGCTAGTCGCGCCGCTGGACTTAGCAGGGGCAGGGAGGGGCACAGCAGTCTTCTTCTTCTTCTTGTCCTCTTGCGTCTTCTTACCGGAGCAACAGGTGCGCGCTCATACTGGGGGCGTTTGTCTAAGTGGGACTGGGAATGAGCTGGAGCGGGTGCCCTGGGGGTGAGCTGCGGAGTGTCGCGGTCGCTTCTTGGGCCTCCGAGGCACGCGCCAACTTGACCGTCTGGGGTCGGATAAGCGTAGGTTTTTTGAGTAAACAGAGGGGCTGAATGGTGTGCGGTACGTAACTTGCCGGGGGCAAAAGGAAGTGAAACGCAAACTGCAACGGACATGACATGGGTCGGTAGCGAACCGTGACGCAACGCACTCTCAGTAAGATAAGGGCGAACGCGAGTGGCTCTGAGCGTTGGCGTTTGACGCAGTCGTCTGCTTGGTATTTTTATAGCTGTTCCGGATCGTCGACATCAGGGGCATCAGGCTGATTCGATTCACTGATAAGGAAGTCATTCTGCATTGTGCACAATGTCGTTACGAGGTGGTTTTTTGCAATGTTAGGCGATACCGATGAATGCTGTCGTGTCTTGTTGCGTCGCCGGTGGGTTCGTTCGGAATCAACCGTCGGGGTGTGCCAACAAGTTGTCCACATCAAGGCTACTTCTGCAAGCCGATAGTAATCTCCTTGGATCTATGATCCTGCTATCTCTTCAGCTGCGATCGTTCACCTGGTCTCACGGCCTGGTGCCGTTGTATTGGTCATCAACAACTTTACAGGAAGCTCTTCAATCGATCTTGCCGATACTGCTGTAGCTGCATCATGCATACATGACTTCAACTTGGAATTCAATTATCATTCAGAACCGATAGCTAGCAACACAAAATTAGCTACTTAGTAGTCGGTAGTCGAGGAAAGAGGTCAAGTCACATGACGGGGGCATCGAGTTTCAGTGCAAAATTATATCCCGAGCAAATGTGTGGGCGGCACCTCCGGCAAAAACTCAGGCTAGTTTGCCAAGGTGTTCACGGATAAACTCGTGGTGGTCGCACCACAACAAGTCGTTCTGCTCTACCCAGATCTTGACTTGGTTCACATCACCAAATCCGTGGCAGGGCGGGTCAGGCGCTTCAATAAGAGGGAATGGGTCCAACATCGCGCCCCAGAAATGCTTGTTCTGCGTGTGCGTGAGCGCGAAAGCCTTTTGCGCCTGTCTCGTGAGCTTCCTGTAGAGCTTCTTGAGATCTGTGAGGCTGCTCGCAGTTCCGGTCGGCGCCAGGAACGCCCCCAACTAGTCGGTCACAGCCGCCGGAAGCGATGCGCGATCCGCCAGCTCGTGTGCCACAATGGCGTCTCGGACGGCCTTGGCCAGCGTCATCTTGATGTACACAATGGCGCTCGTGAAGAAGACGTCGCCGTATTCCACCGGCATCTTCTCTTCGGCCATGTCGGCGCCGTGGATGTCCAGGTACGGCAGCTCCATGTTGCCCCAGTCGTAGTGCGAGTCCTGGTAGACCTTCGCGTGCCACTTGATGAAGTCGTAGGCCTCCTGGTACTGGCCTAGCAGCAGCATGAGCGTCGGCACCTGATAGCGAATGCCGACGTTGTCGCTGCGGCACAGGCGCAGGGAGTCCTTAGCTTCGGCCAGCGCCGCCTCAATGGCCGGGCGCGAGTCCATCACGGACAGCGCGCGGATCACCCCCAGCTTGGCGCGCATGTACGGGCGCGTGTTGAGGATCCCCCAGCGTCTCAAAGGCGTTCGGGGTGTCGTCCAGTCGGCCTCGCTGATCTGGACAGCCTCCATCTCCATCAGGCTGCGTAACTTCTCGACGAGTCTGCAGAAGCCCTTGTGCGAGGCGTAGTAATCCCCCTCATGTAAAGTTCGCAACGAGGACTCGTACGCTCCCAGCTACATGCATCCCGCTTACATGACATGGCTGAATTCACGGGCCTTCTAGCATCATCTCGTAACCTCAAAGGGATGCACGTGGTGGGCGACAGCATGCTCCTTATCAACATGTTAAGAAATCGTCGGCCGCCTAAGAGCAAGCTGCTAGCTCGCATGTACACCCAGTGTCAGCGACTTGCCGATGTGTGCCAGATCGGCACGTGGAGTCACCATTTTCGCCAACACAACAAGGCCCCCCGCAGGCGAACCTGGCAATGGATACCCGAACCAGTCGTCAACTGCAGCGACCAACCGAAGCCGGCGATTGACAGATACCGCTCTACTGATGCACAGCGAAAATGTAAGTGGATTGGAGACAGACAAGAGTGGCTGCCCCAACACCAACACTTTATTCAATCACCTTAACACATGCACTTCAGTGCATTTTGCCGAGGAATCGGCATTCTACACGTACGTAGCCTCAGGCAGAGTAGTTAGTTTGTTAGCGTTCAGCCCTGGCACGTAACGCAATAAACCGCGCCACCGTATCGGTGACGTGTACCGTATCCCCGCTGCATCAAAGTGTGCTGCTTGATACGAGATGAGAAATATCCGATTCACCGGAAACGGAAGGTGGTATTCTGTTGCCAAGTCTCTAAATGCCTTGAAGACTGGAAGTGGCACACAACGTTCTAGCCCATTGATGGTGCAAGAACGCAGTATATGTGTGTCAAAGTTAGACGTCTCGAAACGAGCGAGTGTGTCAACCGTGGGAGGCGGAGTTTTCTTCACACCCAAGCCACCCGTCACACTTGGCCGAGGCGCTGCAAAGCGGTTGTGGATGAGGTGTCGGATCCGGTCCAAATCTCGTAGGACGAGTGACCAACGTGATTTCCATTGCATGAAGTCGTTGTCCTGGACTGATAGTGAAAGAACGTCCGGGGTCCCTTTGCGGATGGGGTCTGTTGATGTCTCAATGGCGAGCGGCCAGCTAGGACTCTCAAAGTCAGTAGTATGAGGATCCGCGATACGTTTGTCCATTATCCAGTTACAAAGGGCATCCGCTGCCACATTGTAGGTACGTGAGGTTGCTGTCACCGTCACCGCACGGAAGCAGCACAAAATCTCACGAATACGCGCAACCATGGACGTCAGATTCGAGCTCCGCACGCGAACGGTCCCAAGAGCCAGGTTTATGATTACAGCCGAATCGCCGATGATGCTCACACGAGCTGTTGGGCGGTATCGCCGAAGCCAGAGAAGCCCACTAAGCAGGGCTTGTGCCTCCATTTCATTATTCGTCGCACATGGTGTAACCGCAGTTGCCGCACAGCGAATTACTTTGCCGGAAGAAGCCCATGCACACCACGCGTATGCACTCACACCGACACTCGTACGGGCGCCACCATCGAACGCGAGAATAGATGGCATTTCCTCACGGCAACGAGGTACGTTTTGCCGTCTTTCGACTACAAGATTTGGTACAATTGCATCACTTGCACCGTGCACCGATGTTGCAGGTGGGGCCCTAGTGGGTAATGATCATGTGGATGAGACGAACGGTTGTCAGATGAAGTCGTATTGTTATGTTTGCACTCCGTGTACTGCCGTCCGCCAGCGTATCGTCACTTCCTTAAGTCTGGATGATCCCTGCGCAATTCGCCATATTTTTCATTGACAAATGATGCCACAATGGCCGGAAGCGCCACCAGTACGTGTGCGTGCTTGCATGGATCAAAATCACACCCTTTCTTGGACTGAAACCGTAAACATACTTGTCGACCTTGGTGGACAGGAACTTGACCATTGACCGAATCAGGTAGCATCGATTGTTTTGCAACTGGCTTTGCTGCCGCTTTCCCCTGTCGGCCGTGGTTGCGCGAGAAGTCTCGGTTTTGCTGGTTCGCCGTACGCGGCTGAGCATGTGAGAGTGTTGAAATGACAGCTTGGTCTATGTATGACCTGACGTACAATTCGATTGTACTCAGGAGACGTCCGCTTCATTATCGAATTGGCCTTAGCTGCGCTGGTTCCTCCGCGCGGATCGACCGGAACAGTTCCGTAAACACGTGGGAATACAGATTAATCATCGCGTGGAGGAGATGCTGGGGAGCATTGTTGAGCAACCTCGAGAGTCGCCGTGAACGGCCCGAAAAACATCCGCCACCACGCGCGGGTACCAAAGATATGCTGTCTCTTCAATGCATTGCAGCGTTGCTCGCAGGTCATCCATGGAACGAATCAGGACCGCCGGCTGAGTGTCTCCCGATGACCATGTGGTCGAGTCGTTCGTCACGGACCGCCGCCCGTCACCCAGAAATGGCGGGGGAAGAAAGTGATCCAATGGCCGAGTGCCGAAGCTGACGGCAAAATTCATCTTAGCCGTGACCTTAGTCACTCGGTAGCAGTTGCGAAGTCGTTCTTGGTGTAAAATTTCCGAAACACGGTCCAGGACAGACATATTCCAAAAGGAGCGCAAACCTTCATCATCAAACCTACCTTCAGGACGTGGACCTACACGAGCAACTTGGTGCACTTGTAATTCAGCAGCAGGGGGTCGAAACGAAGTAGCTCCAGTCATCAAAGCATCAAATGTTTGTTGTAGTCGGTCGTTGCTGGACCGAACCGATGGAGTGCTGTCACCACGGTTCGGTTCGTAGCCGTGAGGAGTGTCATGGCCGTAGGTCGCTCGGTTGCCATCATTCCAGCGTGATGCTGCACGTGATAAAGCCGCCGTGTTGTCACGGGGGCTGTCGCAGTAGATCTGCCGCGCCGACCCCGAGGATCGGGCTGTTGTATTCTCAGCTCGAACTGTGTGGTAGTTTGCGTTTGGGGACCGGTCAATGTTGAACGTCCTTGGTGACACCATTGGCGCGTGCGGTACCGGAGGAGCGCGGCGACGATCGTCTCGTGGAGTGTCTCGCTGATAACCTCTGCGGTCATTATTACTTGGACTCCGAGACCAACTGCGGCTGCGCTCCCTGCTCCTGCGGTGATGGTGACGTGCGTCGTACTCCGAAGGTCGGCGGGAAACAGGCTCGCGGCTGCGAAACCGGTCTCGACTGCGGCTCCGTTCAAAATGGCGAGGCGATCGGGATCTGCGAGTTGGACTACGACCCCTGTAACCATCGTGATTATGACGAACCTCTCGTCGATGTTGAGCGGGCGGAGATCGGGTGGAGCGGTTAATCTCATCCGACGCGGTCTCAAGTGGCGACGGGCGTGGACGTGAACTTGCAACTCCAGTAGAATTAGCTCGACGACCATTTAATTGCTCGCGCAGTAGCTGTTGCGTTTCCGATTGTGAAGATACGACTTGTTGTCTGGGTCAATGCCAAGATTGCAGCCAATGTGGCGTTCGACTCGTTCGTGGAGACTGGTTGCGGAGCTGCCACAACCGTGTCGGACGGTCTCGAGGTTGTCCCCAAAGTAGTGGCCACTCTAGGTTGTATCGCTGTAGACGGGTGTGGCCCACTTTCTTGGACATCACAAGAGGCTGGCAACCAACTTCTACTACCACGAAGAACCAGTGTCGGAACGCTGCGACAACAAACTACCGGAGGTACGCCATGGTTCAGAGATCGACCCCGTTGCAACCCCGCAATCAGCACTGCTGCTGAATCATCCGTGTCAATCTCGTCGCCAGTCACTGATGGCCCCGAACTGTGCGATGAATCAATTCGTAAGCGCGCGTAGTCGAGGGGTTTCACTGACAAGATGCGACCAAATTCCGACACAACGTCAATAGGAACAGTTCCAAAGTCAACACTCGTATCTGATCCAGCAGGTACAAAAGTTTCATACAATAGTCGCTCTAGCTGCTCATTCGGCACGTCCGGTAATTCAAACTCAGTCCAGCGAGCGCGAAACCGTTCTGTACGGCGAGAAGGTCTGGAGTTTGAGGGCACCCCGTGGCACCACCCCACCACGAATTCGTCACGCGATATGAGAGAAGTCCACGCAACTTCACATGGAACTGCCACATGAATAGCCTGAGCCTCCGTAGGCTGTCGAAGAGCAACGACGCAAACAAAACGGCAAGACAGGCTGAGTTGCGTTCCATCTTGTGCCGAAAACGTGAAGTCATCGGTTCTACAATACGCCACAATCTGACCAACGACGAAAGCAGTTAGCGGAACCTCCACCAATTCGCGCCCGCCATCACCCCGTGAGTCTGCCATGAAGCACGTGCGAAGGCGAACAAATCGAAACAGCAACAAAAGAGGTCGTTCTTGGAGCTCGCGCTGCGCTAGGTCCTCTGTCGGACGAGTAAGCCGACTCTCTGGGATGATGAAGTCGCGCGTAGCCCAGTCGTTCAGCAGTGCTGGGTACAACATGGGGTCATCTGCGCTGGGGTAAAAGATCAGCTGACACACCCAACCAGGACGCCCGGCGTCCCGGCCGACGAACGGGGAGTCGTCGTTGGGCTGGATGCACCGTGGTTCTCTCAGACGCACGTAAATGGGCCCATTCCAAGGTCCAGCTGGCAGCTCCCTTGGACATTCCAAGCGGACTACACTGTTCGGGAGGATGCTCGAGCCTGGGGGAGAGTCCACGCGACTCCGATCCAGCGACATAATTCTTCGCGAGGAGCTCGGCTCCGCTTGCTCGTTCTCAGCTGGAGGACTCTGCGTCCGCGACTCTTGCGCTGCTTGCCGACGCCTGAGAAGCCGAGGGAAAGACTGCGCTCTCGCTGTCTGGCCTCCCCCGTTCTTCTCACCGGTTAATTACCGGTACGATGAACCGCTCACATCCCCAACAGGGAAGTGATAGGGGTTCAGAAGTAGTGCTGAAGGTTAACAACGTTGAAATCGATAGTGCAATTCCCGGATGCCGTAGTGATTATCCGCCTGCTATTCACTACGACCTGCCAGCTATTGCACGCAAAGTGCAAGGCGAGAATACGCATTTATGGACGCCTTCAGCGCGCGCACCCGTCCGAAAGAGGTACACAACGCTCTCACAATACATATACTACTAGTTTCATAGGTACACCGGATGAATAGAAGCTTCCGGGCTTACCGGCAGTTGCTACAGTATGTAGGGCAAATGGCTTGCTGTCCCAAATGCATGCTGCAAACAACGGCGGGCCGTTATCGACCTGAAGTGCTCTATAGTTGCCTATTGTGGTGCCTTTGCCGCGGATAACTTAAGCTACGCTACCCTTTATCGGCCATTGCGGAGGGAGGGCTACCCGCTTTCACTACGCAATTTTGCAATACCGTTGGGGAAGCTGAACTATTGCAAAAAATTCAAGCGTGTTCGTCTTGTTTATGTTGCTAATCGACCATTCACTTTGCCTTATCACTTTTGCAATTTGCACTACCGTTGGAGATGCTCTTACCTCCAACAGTACATCACTTTCGTAACACATGAAACAATTGGCGGGAACCCGGGTACCCATCGGGACCCCGGTTCCCCCAAAACTACGGTACCCATGTATGGTCAAATGTATTGGAGTGTTGGTCTACCGTAATTTAGATCCCATACTATAGACAGATCTCTTACTTCATCCTAGGCATTAGCCAATGATATCGCGCCATTTACCCAGCTCATCAGTTGAGTTCTCATAATACGTAGGGTATAAATAGAGCAAATGCAGCAAAAGAGGGCCAGCCATTGCAAGAGAACAACCATGGAGCGCACGCCAAGTCCGCGGAAAGTGATGTCCCGCTCTCCAGGTCAGCAGGGAGGGTGGACATGCACAAGGGTCGAACCAACCCAAAAAGAAAGGACATACATGGCCGTTCTCTTACTTCTCCACCGGAACAAATTTTATCAATTGAGGTTTCAGGAGCGACCCAGTGATTCACTGTACGTGGCGATGCGTGTATGTCACGAGTAAAGGCTTGGAATCAACGTGGCGATGCGTGTATGTAATGACCACCCGCTTATAGGCTATTTTCTGAGTCAACGCTCCAAATGACCACCCGCTTATAGGCTATTTTCTGAGTCAACGCTCCAAAGCACCTCGCACATGAAAATTTGTTTGCTGCTGCATTGTGTTGTATCGCTACGGTCGACATGACTCAAGTCCCTGGACTACGGTATATGCAACAATAGTGCTGGACCTAAATCCAAGAGAGCAGCAGCACTCCACGTGAGACTACACCAGCACTACATGTAACTTACCTATGAATTCTCATACCTTCTTACTTGATGTGAGTACATGTAGGTACATGTAAGTAGGCGAAATCCGCTGCCGGTGGTCGCTGCTCACAGTGGGCCCCATTGAATGGGGTCACCCCATTGGAGTGAGGCCAACTGCTCTCTGGGAAAATTGGCCGAATCTTGAGATCGTGGAAGTGGGATCACGAGATGTGAGCCGCGATGTGCTGGCTGCGGTCACCCTCGTAAACTTGAGTTTACCTATCGCTCTCGCTTCTGGTCTCACTTAAACATTTGCTCTCCAGGACCCACCGCTTCCAGCTAACGCTTGTCAAGACGAAGATGCGTGCCTCTCAGATCCTCGCGGTAACTGCAGTTACTCTTCTCGCAACCACCTCCGGTTTTGTTTCCGCTAGCGACGCCGCTGCAGCCGCCGCCAAGGGCAAGACCCCTGCGTCTACAACTGATGCGCACGAACTGTTCGTCCAGAAGGTCCCTTTCAAGTACGGCAACCTGACTGGGATGATGGTGATCACGATCGATCCCGACAGCCTAAAGGAGGTGAGCGAGGAGGACTCCGCAGCAAACGATCCGTCGCAAGTGTACGACTTCACGCAGCCGGATGATTCCGCGTCGGAGACGGAAGACAGAGCTCTTTTCGGAAACTCGTTTCTTGAGAAGCTCGTTCTGCATTTTAAGGACTGGAGGGGGCTGTTTAAGATACTGGGATAACCCCTACCTCCTTAGATAATAATACAGCGGCTTCCAGCTTATAAGCAGCATACATGGTCTTGTAGTAGGGTGCCCCACGCCTAGAACAAACCAAACCAAATGGTTTGGTTCGAACGTTCCAGCAAATTTACCGATATCAAACCTGAAACGGCCGGTATACTGGTTTGATGGAACAGTTCGAACCATCCTGGCGGGTTCGGAAGCACATGGTTTGGTTGTCGGATTGAAAGGTTCATACCCACCAGCGCTTCATGACTGTAAGTAATCTCACTAGATTCAACTATCCTTAAAGTCCGCATGTGCATTCCTTTCTAGCCTGTCACCTCTTAACGAAGGAACGTTGTCTGTACTTTTACTAGATCTCTTCGTGAAGAAGCACACGTCATCTTGCTTCGTACTCGCTGTTTAAATCCACGCTGGTTCCTTCACCACGCACCACAATCGCCCTCATCACACTCTGCATGCTTCGGCTGACCCACCAAAGGGAAAGTTGTGGCGACGTGAGGAAAATTCGAAGCCAAAATGAACTTACTTGCGCGTCAAACTCACTTAACTGTAGCTACACCGCCGTAGTATATCGCGATCCTAACTCCGCCGGTTTCCCTCTTTCACGGTTCACTCTGCTGTGCCGCCCGCGCCGGTGCTCTTGAGCCTGGTTGAGAACGTATTAGCACTTGCTTGCGAAGGTTGAGAACTTATTCGTACTCGCTTGCGGCCGGCTTAGCCTGGAGCTGGGGCTCTCCACTGCACTGGCACGGGCGTATGAATAGAGTTCACTCTTCGCTGCGTCAAGCAGCAACTGAGCAAGAGCTACCGCGATGTAGCACAGTTGGTAATTCGCCCCAAGCGCGCTACGACGTGCACGAGCTCGGGTACGATCGCTTCCTGGTGGCGGGGTGGTCTGTGGGCCAAGCGCAGGACGCCGCGCGGGAGCCAGACACAGAGACTTCGATCCGCTCAACGACCTTGGGCCTGCACGTACTCTGCTCGCACTGACAGCTCTTCAGAATCAGAACAGAGAATGAATGAATTAGGAAGGGTCGCCTCGAGGGTCTCATCAGATAAAGCCGCACGAAGTGAAACGTACTAACAGCAAGCAAATAGCCTGGGCTCGGTTTGAACCAAATGGCATGGTTCGGCCAAACCAGCCGTTTTTGGTTTGAATTGGCGACAGTAACAGCGTGAACCATGGAATCGCTACGAACCAGGTTTAAAGGCCGTTTCTGGTTTGGTTCATTCTCCAAACCATTTTGTTTGGTTTGGTTCGTTCTAGGCGTGGGGTGCCCTGTCACTGGGCTGCACGACGCGATCAAGCAGGGGGTCACGCCACGATTGACTTGACACAATGAGTGGTGTGGCGCAAAGCGTGGAGACGGTGGCGCAGCTGTACGGCTTGGGGGTGAGCGTGGAGACGGTGGCGCAGCTGTATGGCTTGGGGGTGACGGTGGCCCGAGCGAGCTAGCAGGCTACGGTCACCAGCAGCAGCAGGAGCAGGTTGCAGTTGAAGACAGAAGTTCGCTAGGAGGGGCGACCCGGAGAGCAGCGAAGGACAGTAAGTATGAGCGCCGGAGGGGCGACACGGGCTCCCACGACGAGAGGCCGAGAAACCACGAGAGCGGAGATGGGAGACGAAGAGGGAGAGGTCCAAGTAGGAGTAGGAAGGCGCCGTGTGATAGAGTAGGAAGGTAGGCTAAGCGGGGACAACGAGCGGAGGTTGAGCCGCTCGACCCTCAGTTGCGGTTTATAACTGGTCAGTGGTGAGTCAAGACTAAATACACACAAGTTGCGCCGACGCACAGGTTCCTACGCTAGCTGGTTCTGCGGCTCGAGGGTGGTCGGCCAGGAGCACGAAGGAGTAACAACGAAGGTAGGCGAAAGTGACGGACAGTGCATATGAGGACGACGCAGGCGGGATCCGTGGGGAGAGACCACGGGGGCGCAGAGTACAGTGCAGTCAGTACTCTGGCCGTGAGAGATAACGTCTCCGAGCGTCGGGTTCGTTCGATGGCGGTGACGGACGTTGTCTCGCCCACTTGCATGTCCGGCGGGAGCCGCCTAGGGCTTGCCGGAAGTCCAAGGTGCCCATGTAGCTCCCTCCCAGCCGTCCCTATTCCCGAGACCCGCCGTGTCGTTGACGGGTCAGCCGGCAGCTGTCTGATCGTCGTAAGCCTCGCACTTGTTGGCAGTCGGCGTTGAACCGTTGACCTAGGTGTGGACGTGGTGACTAGTGTGCTCTCATGCACCGAGGGCGTGTAAGGAAATGGGAATTGGGCTTCGGGTTAAGCCGAGTAAACTACATGGTGGTCATACAGGGGTTTTCCGGGCTGGGCCACGGACGGAGGGCCTCAGCGGGCTTAGCGTCAGTGGGCAACGAACAATGGGAAAGGAGACGGATGAACTAACAGAAAGTGTATTGTGCAATCGCGAAGAGCTAAGGAAACGACCATGACCACGCAGCGTGATCAACGAGCGGAGCGACGCGCAGCGTCACAGGAACGAGCGGAGACGACGGCGCGTGAGGCGGCCAAGCAGCAACAGCAGCAGACGGTAGCTGCATCGGCGACACTGGCGACGGGAGACGGAGGAACGGTGTTGGTGGAGACGGAAATGATCCGTCCGTCGTCGGGCACCACGCCAACGAACGCCGGGTTGGGACAATCGAACCCAGGCGGCGGCACGAGAACTAGCCACGGCCTGGGTGTAACTGCTGGACGAAGCGACGCCACGGGAGGCAGAGCTGGCCCAGCAGCGACTCGGGGCATGGCGACGGCTGGAGCGGGAAACCCGAATGCGGCGACGAGCACCGTGACGACCCCGAGCGATATGACGAACACGGGGACAAGCACGACGACGAACCCCAGCACGACGGCGAGTACTGTGGCGAACCCAAGCACGATGACGAGCACCACGACGGACCCGAGCGGGATGACGGACACGGGGGGGGTGAACTTGACGGCTGGAAGCGGCGGCGGCCACGGCGGAGAAGACCCGGGGCGCGCACCACCAGCTGCAGCCACGATGCCAGCGGCGAGGTACGCGGGGGCGTGGGCAGACGACCAGCCCCCACCGCGCCAAGTCATCGTACGCGAGAAGGCCAGAGCGCTGAAGCTCACGAAGTTCAAAGGTCTTGACGACAACATGCCGGTCACGATGTGGCTGAAGACGGTCCGTGCAGAGGTCCGTCGTCAAGCAGCGACGATGGGAGTGTACTGGAGTGACGGCCAGCTCTACCACGAGGTGGCGTCCTACTTGGACGGAGAGGCGAGGCGGTGGTTTGCCACCGTGATGGAGTCCGTGCCACCCGAGGAGGAGAACATCAACACCTTGGCCGGGATGCTGCGGGCTAAGTACATGACCCAACGCACGACCCCCGAGGTGGTCGACCTGTTGAACGCGAGACGGCAGATGCGGGGCGAGCGCCTCGTCGAGTACGCGCAGTTCTTGCGCGAAATTGGCGAGCGCGGGGACGTCGGCGAGAGCTGGCTGGTAAACGCGTTCCTCAAGGGTATGAGCAGCTCTGAAGGCGCGACACACGTGCGCGGGCATCGACCCCAGTCGCTGGATGAAGCGGTGCGGCTGGCGATCCCCCACGCGGGTGAGTACGGAGAAGGATATGGCGTCGGCCTGGACGCAGCGATGACGCGCTGGGACGACCGGGAGGCCCAGCACGGCCGTGGGCCCTTGGCGGCGGTGACGGCGAGAGGTGGCCAGGAGCAGTGTGGGCTGAGAGGTAACTCGGGGACTGTGGTTACCGGGTACGGACCGATATGGGGCTCCAATCAGAAGCCTCCTAGGTACGATACTGAGGGCAGACCGGTATCGACTGGCGGAGCCAGTTCAACGGAATGGTGGAAGGCAATTCCTCCTGGATTTTCACTGGTTCCTACCGGTAAGCAAGCCAGTCCGGCCACTGGTTTGAAATTTCAAACGGCTGGCGGCGATCAGTTTGGAGCACGCGGGAAACGAACGAGCGGCGAACAACAAGCCAGTAAGCGCCCGGCCAAGGCGCTGAAGGTGGCAGCTAACTACGGAGGCCCGACCAGAACGCGAGGCGCGCCCAACCCCACGCTGGCGACGCGCGAGGGGAGGCTACGCAACCTCGAGCGGTACCAGGAGCGAGTCCAGGCGCAGCGCGCGACGGCAGAGGCTGGCTCGACCGTGCACCGCCCCGGCGTAGACTGTTTCTATTGCGGGCAGAGCGGACACTACGCGCGCGAATGTGAGCTGAAACGGTCTGATCTGGCCGGTGGGGCCGCCTCCCCCGGGCAAGATGGCGGAGAAGGCAACGTACCGGACCAGGAAAACGGCCCGCGAGCGTAAGGGGCCCGACCTTACAGCTCGCAGGACCTGATCCGGTAAAACGACGAAGAGCGCAAGGTGGCCGTGGTCATGGCCGTGGCCACGGTCGGGGACAACAGCGGGTAGCGCTCGCAGAACGAAGGCTGTTCGGGGAAGCGGGGCGGTGGCCCAGGCAACGGGCCAAACCAAGCGTCGAGTGGCAGTCAAGAATGGGGATGGCGAGACGCTGCGTCCACGTCCACCTCCCCGTAGCACGTCCCCGGCGGTAGCGGTGGCGTCAGCGGAGACGCCGATGCCGCGCCCCAACGCCGCGAGCACCGGCCAGACGCTAGAGAATGTGCCGTCAGCTGGGGATGGCGAGCGGCACGCTGTGAGCGCGGACCCCAGCCATCTAGCAAGCGCGCGCACCTGTGAGCTACCGGAGGCCACCGCGGCGGAAAGCGAGGCAACGGTGACGAACAAGACGGAGACGAATAAGACGGTGACGGACGCTATGACGGCGGCCACGAAGACGGATGCGGGGGTGTCGACTGGGGATGGCGCCCCGGCAACGCCACGGACAGCAACGAGCGACACGCAGGATAGCGGGGTTTACGTCCGGCGGGGGGTGGCGCTCGACGGAGGAAAGAGCGAGGTGGACACCTTGCCCGACGAGACCGAGCGGGTGGTCGTGGGCGTGGGCAAACAGCTGGAGGCGTGTGGTTGCGACGCCCCCAGCAAGGACGAGCTCGATGCAATAGTGGTTGCGCAGCTGCAGGCCGTACGTGAGCAATACGCGAACGACGGCGTATTCCGGACGGAGGATGAGAGTACGGGCGAGGACAGCGGCAGTCCGAGAGGTATGAAGGGGGAGACATCGGCGGGGACGTCAGCAGAAGGCAGCGTCCACGACAAGCCACCACGGACGCAGGATGTGGTGGTCGAAGAGTTACGGGCGCGCGACGCTACCCGGGCCAAGGTGCTGCTCGCACAGGCGCGTGGCCACGAACGGCTGCGGGAGGAGGAAGCTGAGACGGCGCGGTGAGCCCGCAAACACGCGAAACGTGTTGAACACGCCCGAGCCCGACGCGAGCGGCGAGCGCAGCGAGCACGTGAGCGGACGTCCACAGTTACCATGGACACGGACGGCAACAAGGACGGGAAGGTGACGCCAGATGACGATCAGTCAGCGGCCGTTGACGAAGAGACGCCTCCGTCGGGTAGTGTGTCTCTGCAGCAGTCACGAGTGCGGCGGCGGTACGACAAGCGTGTGCGTAAGGCACGCACCAAGGAAAAACGCAACCTACGCGCACTGATTATGAGGCGAGACGCCTGGAAGGCAGCTACTTTGCGTTCGAAGAGCTACATAGGCGGTGTGGCGGTCGAAAAACGAAAGCGATGGAAGAGCAGGAGGCTGAGACAGCTGGGTTCGTCCAACCCAGCGCGACAAAAGTGTCCTCGTCGACGAGAGGACGCCGGCGACACGGTAAGCGTTACGCTTACACCAGTGGTAGTGTGTATGCCCACACGAGCGTGAGGAACATGAGCGATGAGCAGCGCCCTGTGCGAGTGGGACGTCTGCGCGCAGTGCAGGCCCCTGTAGTCGACTCACTTCCGACAGCGAGCGTGCGGGTGAAGGACAAGCAGAAGGAGATCAAGCTGGACACGGGGGCGTTCAGTGTGGCTGGCGAAGAGTGGCAGTCTCTGGGCGAGCGGCTGACTACGTTGCCACCCGTGGACTACGTCGAGGGGTTCACGGGTGCGGTTTCGAAGGTGCTGGGCGTGTGGCGCTTCCGGTTCCGTACTCAGTACGAGCAGAGTATGGTCGTCGACGCGCTGACGGTGGAGGGCGCGACGTCGGAGTTCCTACTCGGCGAGGACTGGATGCTGCAGCAAGGGGTCAAAATTGACTTCATCTGCGAAATGAAGTGGTATGCGGACGACGTGCGGAAGGTGGTGCCCTTCTGGTGCTCGACCAACAATCGGCGGACGCAGCCGGCCAAGGTGCGAGTAGTGCGGCGAGCACGGGTGCGCACTGCGACCTGTCACAACGTGGAGTTGGCGGTGGCGGCTCCCGACGGCACGGAGGGACTGTTCACGCCGACGGATCACGGCGAGTCGCACATCCTGCTCGGCCCGACGCTGACGACTGTTCGAGACGGGAAGATCGTGGTGCCGGTGATGAACTTGTACGACCGCACAGTGAAGTTGCCACCAAAAGAGAAACTGGGCACGTGGACTCCGACCGGCGAAGAGATTACGGTGCTAGCGGAGGAGGGCGAGCTGGACCGAGGACGAGTGCGGCAGTGGTTGGCCGACTTGCAGTCGGACACCAGGTCGCTGAGCAACGAGGACGAGTTGAACGTGGGGGACATGAGCGAGGAGGACCGCGAGCTGTTATTACAAATACTGCGAATCTATCCTACGCTACTCGAGCCGAGAGAAGGCTGTCCGCCAGCGACCACCCTCGGAGTGGAGCACGAGATCCACACGGGGACGGAAGCACCGATCAAAGTTCGTCCCCGTCGGCATGCGCATGAAGAACAGCGCGTGATTGACGACAACGTGGACGAGATGTTGCGCGGGGGAGTCATCGAGGAGGGTCACGGGGCGTGGGGCTTCCCCGTGGTCCTGGTGAAGAAGAAAGACGGGTCCGTGCGCTTCTGCATAGACTACCGCCTGTTAAACGCGATCACGGTGAAAGACGTCTACCCGTTACCGCGGATAGACGACACCCTCGACCACCTGCACGGGGCGAGGAAGTTCACGACGCTAGATTTGCACTGGGGGTACTGGCAGGTGCCCGTCGCGGAGAAAGATCGCGACAAGACCGGATTTGTGACCCGGAGAGAGCTGTTTCGGTTTGTACGAATGCCGTTCGGGCTTGCCAACGCCCTCGGCACATTTCAACGGATGATGGACGCCGTCTTGCGAGGCCTCACGTGGCAGACGTGCCTCGTGTACCTGGACGACGTCATCATCTTCACCAAGGGCGACGTGACGCAGCACGTGGTCGAGCTGGCCGCGGTGCTTGAGCGGCTGGCGCGCGCGGGGCTATCGTTGAAGGCAAAGAAGTGCGCGTTCGCGGCCGACAGGCTGGAATACCTCGGCCACGAACTGGATGCAGACGGAGTGAGGCCGATGGAGAGTCTCGTCAACAGTGTGACGAACTTCCCAGTGCCACAGAATGTGGAGGCAGTGAAGCGGTTCGTGGCGATGGCTGGCTACTACCGCCGGTTCGTACCGGAGTTCGCCAGCAGGGCGGCTCCTATGACGAAATTACTACGTAAGTGGGTTGTGTGGCGCTGAGGAGAGGCACAGCAGAGCGCCTTCGAGGAATTGAAGGGGGCGCTGACGGAACGGCCGATCTTGGCCTACCCGGACTTCTCCCGGCCATTCCGATTAGTTACCGATGCCTCAGTGGTTGGGCTCGGGGTGGCGCTAACGCAGGACCAGGGCAATGGGGAACAGCCCGTGGCGTACGCCTCGAAGGTGAACTCAGAGACGGTAGCCAGGTACGGCATCTCTGAGCTGGAGTGTGCAGCAGTGATTTGGGCCATGAAGCTCTTCCGCCCTTACCTGTACGGGCGGAGGTTCCAGTTGGTCACGGATCACTCCGCCCTAAAATGGTTGATGACGTCGACGACGCTGAGCGCCAAGCTACACAGGTGGGCCCTGCAGTTGCAGGAGTACGACTTCGATGTCATCTACAGGCCGGGTGCCGACAACGTCGTGGCAGACGCGCTGTCACGCGCCCCTGTGGGTATGGTGGCAGCTGTAGAAGCAGGTGACGAACATCAAGGGGGTGAGCAGCACGACGAGCCACACCATAGCGATGAGGAGCCACGGAACGAAGCCGGACGACACGAAGCTGACGAACAACGCCGTAACCCCGGCGAACGGCGGGTTCGCGAACAGCAACATGGGGACGAACCCACCGCAGCTGGTTCGGAAGGCCAGCTGACGAACGTACTGATCCGCCAGGAACAGGACCGCGACAAGACCGTCCAGAAGCCGAAGAAGAAGAGCAAGTACGGCGCGCGGCCCATCGTGGAGGTGAACGGGGTTGTGTGCATCAAGGGCAACGACGGCAGTAATCGCGTTGTGCTGCCCATGGCCTTGTGGGCCATGGCGCTGCGTGAGAACCACGACTCGGTGTACGCGTGTCACTTGCGGACACCACAGACGCTGGCGCGGATTGCAACTAACTACTGGTGGCCTGACATGAGGGTCCACGTGCGAAGATGGGTGCAGTCTTGCCGCGACTGCGGGTCCCGGAAGGCGAAGGCGAAGGAAGTAGTGCCCCCGCTCAGGAGTCAGGGCGTGGGAGAGCCAGGAGACCGGTGGGCGCTGGATGTGGCGGGGCTGCTCCCCGTTACACCGGACGGCAACCGATACGTGATCGCCGCTGTAGACTACGCGACGCGTTACGCGGTCGTAGCAGCAACGCCCGCGCACACGGCGAAAGATGTAGCGAGGTTCATGGTCGAGAAGCTGGTCCTCGTGTATGGGCCGATGCGCGAGGTGGTAATGGTCGGCGCACCGGAACTGAACGGACAGATTGTGGAGGCGCTGGTAAACGAGCTGCAGACGAAGCAACTCACGCCAGTGCCCTACCGACCCGCGCTGCTGGGACTGGTAGAGCGGTTCCACCGCACGTGGAAGGATAGGGTGGCTCTCTACGTGTCGGCGAACCAGGACGACTGGGACCGCTGGCTGCCGTGCGCAGCATACGCGTACAACGGGGCGAGACACCCGAGCACGCGCTACAGCCCCAACGAGCTGATGATGGGGCGCCGGTTGCGCGCTCCGAACGAGTTGTTGCGAACGAGGACGAGTAGAGCAGCGAGGACCGGGGCATTCGCAGAGCACTACCGATCGTTGGTCGACCGTCTCACACGGGCGTCCGAAGTGGCACGCACCGCGCTGGCGAAGGACCAGTTACGGCGCGAGAAGTACTACAACAGACGAGTGCGCGAAACCACGCGGTTTGGCGTGGGCGACCTCGTTTGGGTGTTGAAACCCCGCGGGGTAAGGGCATTACGAAGCTGGCCCACCAGTGGGTGGGCCCGGCCAGGATCGTTCAGGACGCCAGCTACGATAACTGGGAGGTGGCCCGGGAAGACAACGACGAGAGGCTAATCGTGCACTGCAGCTTCCTGGTGTCGAGCAGTTGCCCGAGCAGCTCGCTCGGCACGGTAGCGGAACAGATACTGCAAGAACTCGCCAGGGAGGACGGCGACTCGCAGGATGAGAACGGCGATGAGGACGCGGAGACGGAGATGCAGCCGGTAAATGACGAGGGCGACGCTGAGGGGTCGCGCACCAGAACCGGTGGATCAGGACCGACGGCTGGGAGCCAACGGGCACCAACGGGTACAGCGGCCGTTGAATCTCCGGCCACGACAGGGGCGCCAGAAATAAGTCGCCAGGGTCCGAGTCAAAGCCCTCTCCCAGCTCCAGAAGAACGTGGTGCCGCGGGGCAGGAACAGACGCCACTCGTGGAAAAGAAGAGGCGGCGGAAAGCGGTGCAAACAACCCAGGACGATGAAGACGAGCGGCCGACGCAGCAACAACGACGACAAGAAGCTGATGTCGCGCGTGAAGCGCGAGCATCCCGCCGGCAGGCTGTGCGTGACGAGCAGGAAGCCGCAGCCGCGACGCAAGATGGTGCAGACGGTGATCGTGAGGTACACGGTGGCGCGGAAGCCGGAGACGGTGACGATCGGGCGAATGAAGCCCGAGAGCCACGAGGTGACGGAGGAACAACTGACGGCGTCGGAACCACGCATGACGGTGACCACGGAGCCACAGTGGAGATGGTACAAGGACGAGGACGGCCACGACGACCCGCCCCAATGCCCGAGTTGCTGCAGGTGCCAACAGCAGGATTCATCGTCGAACGAGCCCGACGGCGAGTTCGTAATCGCGCTGGGCGTTACGTGCAGGAACACGAAGTGGAGTACGGGGTACAGCGTGGGGGTCCCATGGGCCGGCGATGGCTGTCTGCAGAGGAATTCGAGGCGCTCGACGACGCCCACAAGATCGAGGACGATCTTGATGCCGGGGATGGCGTGTAGTAGGGTGCCCTGTCACTGGGCTGCAGGACGCGATCAAGCGGGGGGTCACGTCACGATTGACTTGACACAATAAGTGGTGTGGCGCACAGCGTGGAGACGGTGGCGCAGCTGTATGGCTTGGGAGTGACGGTGGCCCGAGCGAGCCAGCAGGCTACGGTCACCAGCAGCAGCAGGAGCAGGTTGCAGTTGAAGACAGTAGTTCGCTAGGAGGGGCGACCCGGAGAGCAGCGAAGGACAGTAAGTATGAGCGCCGGAGGGGCGACACGGGCTCCCACGACGAGAGGCCGAGAAACCACGAGAGCGGAGATGGGAGACGAAGAGGGAGAGGTCCAAGTAGGAGTAGGAAGGCGCCGTGTGATAGAGTAGGAAGGTAGGCTAAGCGGGGACAACGAGCGGAGGTTGAGCCGCTCGACCCTCAGTTGCGGTTTATAACTGGTCAGTGGTGAGTCAAGACTAAATACACACAAGTTGCGCCGACGCACAGGTTCCTACGCTAGCTGGTTCTGCGGCTCGAGGGTGGTCGGCCAGGAGCACGAAGGAGTAACAACGAAGGTAGGCGAAAGTGACGGACAGTGCATATGAGGACGACGCATCAAGTAGGGTGGCGGGATCCGTGGGGAGAGACCACGGGGGCGCAGAGTACAGTGCAGTCAGTACTCTGGCCGTGAGAGATAACGTCTCCGAGCGTCGGGTTCGTTCGATGGCGGTGACGGACGTTGTCTCGCCCACTTGCATGTCCGGCGGGAGCCGCCTAGGGCTTGCCGGAAGTCCAAGGTGCCCATGTAGCTCCCTCCCAGCCGTCCCTATTCCCGAGACCCGCCGTGTCGTTGACGGGTCAGCCGGCAGCTGTCTGATCGTCGTAAGCCTCGCACTTGTTGGCAGTCGGCGTTGAACCGTTGACCTAGGTGTGGACGTGGTGACTAGTGTGCTCTCATGCACCGAGGGCGTGTAAGGAAATGGGAATTGGGCTTCGGGTTAAGCCGAGTAAACTACAGTCTGACAGTGCATCCTACATGTACTCATTGGGATAATTTCACTCTACGTGATGATATGCGGTGGTGGATACCGCAACAACTGTCATGAACTCTCTCGCCATCTACTGTTGTAGTTTCGCTGAACATAAGCTTCGCGTTGGTGTGAACAAGCCGACGTAAGATGCACCATGGATTTGTCGGCACTCTTTACATCGATGAGTCCAAATTTTCTTATCATCGGGGTTGAAGACACGTTACTTATTTTAGTACTAGTACCCCTTTACTTTTTCTATCATTTTTTAGCAATTTAATACTTGTTTATCCTCGTACATGCATCAGAACCGTAACATCTTACACTAGCCTTCGCAGCAAAATTTGCGTTTTTTTATCTAGAAACAAACAAGGGGTTTTGCTTGAGGCTGGGAAGCCAGTTACAGTGTGAGAAGCAAATTTGTAATTATCTTCACGAAGCTCCGCAGGTTAGAATGGCCTAGACAGTAAGCAAGCAAAAGGTCCAATCACACGGGCAGCGCATTGTTTCCACTACATTACTTTCGAGTATGAGGGTCGCCACAATCGTGTTGACTTGCCACGATTAGCTTGACTAAACTGCGTGAGCTACAGGGTCGCAGCGAGAAGCGATTGCTCGATCGTGCCATCTATTAGTACTACGTATAATAGTTTTCATGCCCCTGGCACAACGACGACGTCGATGCATCCTGTCAAGCTGATCTGTGTGAACGTTATATGCCACCGATGTGATGTTATCCAAATGGTGCTTGTGGTACGAGCATGGACGAAAGAGGCTGCTTCTAGCTATCCTCCTAGGATTAAACCTTGCGTCTGGTGCTAGATACATGTAGTCTCATACGACCATCTGGAAGGCTCCGCTGAAAGCTGGAAATGGTACTGTACGAGAAACTATCTCCTCTACACCAATATTGATCTTCTTGAAAGGAATTGCTCTAGCTACATCGTGGTGGGGTTCGATAACCAGTATTGAGCCATAAAACTTGTTCAAGTGCAGCAATAAACAGGACTTACAATTTGTCAGCGTGTTATTGTGAATTCCGGCCAAATTTGGACTTTTGGGCCGGTTCTTCCAATCGACCCCCACCACAAAACGCCTATGAAACGCCGACATACGTTAACATTCCGTATAAGTACGGATTCAGCACCTAAAATAGCCTAGCATAGTACCGGGGCGATTCGGGGGCGGTTGATTGAACCAATCGACCACTCCAATTTTGAGTAGAACCCACAATATGGAAATCACTAACAGGCTTGTGGAGTGCACTGTGCTCAACAAGAGGTCGAAAATGTCGTTTAGTGGAGTTTGATCTCGGGTGCCCGAGAGACTTGCTTAAAAATGGCGGCACTAAGCGGTGTTCACGCTTATTTCGGCATCTTGGCAAGGTTTTCTTGGATGAACCTGAGGTGGTCGCGCCACAGCAATGCGTTCTGCATAACCCAAATCTTGACTTGGTTGGCATCGCCCGGAGCATAGTACGGCGGATCGGGCACTTCCATAAGGGCCTGGTCGGGGAACGCTCGTCTCGGCTTTCGATCGTCTTAGACGATGTGGCAACATTTTTTCTTATTTTTGATTGGTCAGTTATTAGCTCGATCGGCTAGTTCATCGTCTCCAGACTGACCAATCTGAGACGACTAAATCACCAGTCTCACTTTGGAGACGAGCGTCTTCACTGCGTTTCGATGGTGCAGAGCGAAAGCATCGTTGCTGCAGTTGCTGCGGCCACGGGGGCTCTCGCGACGGCGGTCCACACCGCTGTGTGGGCAATTTCGAACCCGAAGCAGAACATCCTTACCCTGACACCGCTAGAGTTTGAGGCTATGCTTTACGACGCGGTCTACGACGAGTGGTTTCGACAGAATCTCAGGTTGGTACTGCTGGTCAGTGAACACTTTGCTCTGGTTAACAGAGAGTGTTGATGCTAAGACCGCCCACGCATATTTGATGCGCTTGGTGTCCTTCGTGTTCTTGAAGTTGTCAGCTAACTCTGCGTAGCGGAGGCGAAAGAACTCGCTCACATCATCATCGCTCCATGATGCAGCTGGCCTGGTCGAAGCTCCTCGTCCTCCACGACCACCGCGACCTGCCCCGCGACCACCACGGCCTCCACCCTGCGGGGGTGCCCTCTCGACGCCGCTCCCGTTGGTGTCCGTGCCGCTTACGCTTCTCTCAGCAGCGTCTTCAGCTTCAGCGCCGCCCACAGGTGGAGCAGTAAGGGTGCCTTCCATGGCTGCGAGTTCTTGAGTGTGATGGTGCTGAGTCGAGCAGCTTGACACACCAAAACTAAGACGGTCTCCAGCCAACCGACCACATCGGTTCGGTTCACCTTAGGGGTAGGCTTACCGGAGATGAGCGAGACTGAGACGATCATTCCCCGACCAAGCCCTAAGAGGGAAGGGGTCCAACATCACGGGCCAGAAGTGCGAGTTCAGGCTGTGCGCCAACGCGAACGCCTCGGGCGTCTGCCTCGTGAGCTTCTTGTGGAGCTCCTTGAGCTCCTTGAGACTCCGCGTCTGCCCGTTTGGCGCCAGGAACGCCCCCAACGAGTCGGTCACGCCTGCAGGGAGAGACGCATGATCGGCCAGCTCGTGGGCTGTGATGGCGTCCTTGACGGCGTTGGCCAGCGTCATCTTAATGTGCGTTAGGCAGGTGATGAAGAACACCGCGTAAATGCGCTCCGGGATCTCCTCCGTCATGTCGGCGCCGTGCACGTCCAGGTACGGCAGGTCCATGTCGCCCCAGTCGTAGTCTGATTCCTGGCCGGTCGTCGCGTACCATCGTAGGCCTCCTGGTACTGGCCCAGCAGCAGCATGCGCGTCGGCACGAGCTCGCGGATGCCGACGTTGTCGCCGCGGCACAGGCGCAGACTGCCCATGGCTTCGGCCAGCGCGGCCTCGGTGCCCGGGCGCGCGTCCATTAGGGACAGCGTGCGGATCACCTCCACCTTGGCGCGCATGTAGGGGCGCGTGCTGTGGACCCCCCAGAAGAGGCCGACCTCCGTTTCGAAGGCGTTGGCGGGCGTGAACATGTCCGGCTCGGCGTTGCAGATCTTGTGCTCCTCTTCCGCCATGAGGTCGCGGAACTTTTTGACTCGCTTGCAGATGGCCTTGTGGTTGGGGAAGTCCGCGGTCTGGTGCTCGCGCCCGCAGTAGAGCACCCCCTGGCAGCGAGAACACTTGAAGAGCGCCTCGGGCGACACGCCGCCGCGTGGCCCGCACACCTGGCAAGCCGACTGCATTTGGCAGGAGTTTTTGCTTTTGGTTGGCGTGGAGGTGCGCTACCACATCGGTACGCCACATTCAGCAATACCAAAATTAAGTATGCCACATTGGAGCAGAATAAATCCTAGATCCAAGAATAGACGTGCAGAAAGGGTGCTTCAACACTGGGGTAATTATCAGATCAATCCAAAATCTCGGAGGTAAGGAAGATGGTGCTGCAGTCGGCATGCCAAGTGTGCGGCCCGCGCGCGGGCGTGGCGCCCGAGTCGCTCTTCAAGTGTTCTCGCTGCCAGGGGGTGCTGTACTGCGGGCGCGAGCACCAGAGCGCGCACTTCGCCGAGCACAAAGCTCTCTGCAGACAGATCAAGAAGGCCCGCGACCTGATGGAGAAGGAGGCGGACAAGGTCCGCAACGCCGACGAGGACGACATGTTCACGCCCGCGAACGCCTTCGAGACGGACGTTGGTCACTTCTGGGGGGTCCTCAACACGCGCCCCTACATGCGCGCCAAGATGGGGTTGATCCGCGCGCTGTCCATGCTCGACTTTCGTCCGGCCATTGAGGCGGCGCTGGCCGAAGCCAAAGACTCCCTGCGCCTGTGCCGCAGCGACAACGTCGGCATCCGCGACCTCGTGCCGACGCTCATGCTGCTGCTGGGCCAGTACCAGGAGGCCTACGACTTCATCAAGTGGTACGCGACGACCGGCGAAGATCCACACTACAGCTGGGGCGACATGGAGCTGCCCTTCCTGGACATGCACGACGCCGACATGACGGAGGAAGAGCTGCCGGTGGATGGCCGCAATCTTTTCTTCCTGAGCTCCCTCGTGTGCATCAAGATGACGCTGGCCAAGTCCATCAAGGACGCCATTGTGGCGCACGAGCTGGCGGACCGCGCGTCGCTTCCTGCGGGCGTGACAGACTCACTGGGGAAGTTCCTGGCGCCAAATAGACACACGCGCAGCCTCGCGGACCTCAAGAAGCTTCACAAGAAGCTCGCGAGCCAGACACAAAAGATTTTTTCGCTCACGCACGCCCAGAACAAGCACTTCTGGGGCGCGATGCTGGACCCAGCGCCTATGATTCAAGCGCCCGATCCGTCTTACTACTCGGACGGCGATGAAAGCCAAGTCAAGATCTGGGTGAAGCAGAACGCCATGCTGTGGCGCGACCACCACGCGTTTATCCGCGAACAGCGCGGCAAACTAGCCTGATATTTTTTGCCGAAAATGCAGCTCACACACGCCTTCCTTTAGGTATCATTTTGGCACTGAAGCTCGATGTGTCTGTCGTGAACTTTCACATCTTCCCAGTCTAGCTACCGTACTCCTTTTCCTTTTCGTTTGGTAATGCCATCAGTCCTGCAACGATAATGATGGTGAAGTCACCAGCATTCCAAGTTGAAGTGCTCTATTACTGTTCAAAGTCACCGGGGTCTTATACCAACTAGCAGGCTACCTGCCTCTCACTTCTCAATTCGCCGCCATAACCAAAGTCCAAGCCGCAGTATTACAAGATGCACTCCCAATTACGGTGCTGCATCCTGTCGACGAACCGGAGCGTGCTCCAGCTGCAACAGCGCTCGATGAGTTTCAAGGTGCGAGTCGGGCCCATCCAGTCCCCAAAGGTGCCTATCGCCGAGCGACAGCGCGTGCTACAAACGTGGGGGATCTCTAGCAGTGAGACGCTGGAGAAGCTGCGTGTGGCTACCCCCGGCCTCTCGTACGTCTCGGTAGCGTCGCCTGCACTTTTCGCCGAGGTGGCTCAAGCCCAAGGTAGCAGCAGTGACCAGCTCGTCGCCGTGGCAAGAGTGTCCAGTGACGCGCATGACCTGCTGGAGCGCGTTGAGGTTCTAGTGCGAGGCTCCAACCGCCTCCTTATCGGCTTCGACCCGCGTCCGCCTCGCGGGTGGCCGGTTCAAGAGCCAACTGAGCCTGGCAAGCACCTGCTGACAGAAATCTTCGTGCGCGAAGGCTCCGAGCTCCGCAACGTCAGCGCGTTTGGCAGCGGGTCCCTTGTGGTGACTGGGAACGCCAACGATCGGCCGTACGGGAAACTCAAGGTGGCAGCTTTTCGTGGGAGTCGAGTGTTCGTGACGCAGGAGCAAGGATTCCGAGTCGGCAGGATGTCCTTGTTTGCTGGTGGACGCAGTCAGCTTTACTTGTCAACCTCGGAGGTGGTGGCGAGGGATCGCATTCGCGCGGCAGCTTCAGGAGGACGCTGGGGTGGTTCCAGTATCATCGTGCAGACGTCTAAGCTCTCCACCCCGAGTTTTGGAGCGGCTGTGGCTGGATCGGGGAGTATTCGCGTCGCGTCTGGCTCGGATGAAGGCGACTGTCGCTGTGGAACGCAGTCGCTTGTTATCGCAGGCAGCGGCAGTATTGACACAGGTGATATCACGTCGAAGTCTGCGCGTGTAGGTATCATTGGTTCGGGTTCGGCGACGCTGCAGACGACGGAGAGGCTAGCTGTGGGAACACTGGGCACTTCCGCGAGAGTGAACTACCTCGAACCTGGACCGGAGCGCGTGCGAGGAAGCACCTCGTCACTTCGAGCGCTGACTGCGGCTGCCAAGGCGCAGCACGATGAGGAACGAGCGGCAATAGCAGCTGCAACAACAACACCGACGCGAGAATGCGCCTTCGAGGGCAATGGAAGCAATATCAACCGCTGGTGGTGGGCTCCCTGGGGGACATTTCACCCGCATCGATTCCACCGCCGACAAATGAAGGGAGGCAAGCGCTGGCGCGATGACTACGCGTACTGAGGCTAATGCATCCACGGCGTAGCTGGTGAAATTTTTATGCAATGCTCAACGAGTGAAACTGGGTCTGTAGTGACGCCAGCACAGCGCCCAAAAAAAATATCTACTCATATACATCGTTCACATTCAGCAATGAAGGAAGCATCCAGCCCAAGATCAGGCTTCTTCCGTGCGTCTACTCTTGCCTAAACCACTTCCCCACCCTCTACTTACCGAATGATTGCCGTCCTGCCTTTCATTTTTGACCCCGTGCCCATGCTTTCCTTGAGCAAATTGTTGTATTCCGGCTCTGATCAGTCAGTCACTGGTTAAATTAGTGCTGAGTGCCTCTTTTGTTGCTGCCGAAGACACACCTTAGGACATGCGTAGCTGGTAGTCGCCATTCTGCGTGATGTAGCGCACCCACGGCAGCGCCTGGTAGCCGCTCTTCTCGATGATCTTGAGGTAGCGCACCTGGATGCCCGAGACTGTGAAGTAGGGGATCTCGAATTTGACCTGGATCGGCGCCTTCCAGTCGTCTGTGGCCTCGTGGTTGTCCACACTCGGCAGACCAAAGTGTGCGCGCATGAGGTACTCGCGAGAGCCGTTGAACTGCTTGATGGACCAGACGATGGCGTCGCGGTCGGGCACGTACGTCACCGAGCCAATGCTGCACTTGAAGCTGGGCGAGTCCACATCCGGGGGCACGGGGATCACGATCTCCACGTTGTTGGCGATACTGCGGCTCTTGAACTGCGACTTAGCCTTGACCATGTACTCGATGCGTGACCGCGAGTGCGGCTCCACGACGGCCTCCACCCAGATCAACGGCTTGACGTGCGTGGCCAGGCGGTACGTCATGAGGTCGAACTCTCCATCGGGCGGGATGAAGGAGATCGTGCGGTCCGATTCGAAGCGCGCGAGCCGCACGCACTGGTGGAACTTGATGTCCTCCATCTCCACGGCCTTGCCCTTGCTGGAGGAGCGTCCTGTGGCCTCGAACAGCGCCTTGTCGTTGAGTCCGAGCTTGAGCTCGGGCATGCCGGACAGGAAGCTCTTCATCTTGACTGCGCCGATGATCTCCGAGTGCAGCACGGTGCCGTTGCTGGAGACCAGCAGGTTGAGCTTCTCCACGACGTCCAGGAAGATCTCGTTCTTGCGGTGCTTGATGCCCTCACTACGCCACGAGACGGCGTTCGTGAGCGCCGTGGGAGGGCGCGGCGCCGCCTCGAGGCGGTGGCCCTCCTGCGTGATGTACTCGCGCAGGATGCGCGCCTCCGTCGTCTGCGGGTAGCCGTGGTCCATGGTCTCGTCCAGCAGCTCGAAGATGATGACGAAGTTGTCGCGGATGCTCTCCTCCTCTAGCTCGCCGAAGTAGTCGCGGAACACCTGGCAGATGCGCGTGAGGTACATGAGCATGAGCGCCACGTTCGAGTTCACCTTGGTCACGGTCATCAGGTACAGGTTATTGTGCTGCTCATATTGACGGATAAGAAGAAAATAAGAATTAGTGTATCATAACATATGCAGAAAATAACAAATAAGTGTTGTGTATAACAAGTAGGGCGAGCCTACCTTGAGGTAGACGAAGGTGTAGCCATCCTCCGTGAAGACCGGGCGCTGCTCCGAGTCGTCCTTGTCCTGCACGTAGCGCGTGAACTTGGCCGACGCGGACATGGGGATGTCCCCGCGGTAGTTGCGCGAGATGATGACCTTGCCCTTCAGGTCGGTGATGAACACGGCCGACAGCACCATGGCGTCCTCCCTGCTCCTGCTTCCCCTGCCTGCTGACGCTCTGGCGCTTACGGATTGAGGAGTGCCGCGTGGTATCTACGAGCGGACCGTGCGATGATTGGCCAAAATAGGAAGGCTTTCGGCCAATGAGGAGGACGCTTTCCACATCGAAGTAGCAACCTCTCAATAGCAATACATTGGATTCTACATATATCTCAATAATGATATTTTTATGTATCTTTGCAACTTCATCAGGATCCATTAGCTAATCTTCAGGATTCTATAGTTGATACCCCTGCTATCTGCTATATCATAAATCGACTGGTGACAAACTCTTCTTCCGACGCCGCCATTTAGTCGAAGCATGGCGGACTGCGTGACCATCGGCGGCGGCTCCGTGGCCGTGCGCAGCGTGCGCGACGCCGAGCAGGGCATCTACGAGTACCTGGAGGAGCAGCACCCGCTGCCGCAGTCCCCGGAGCGCGCGCTAGCGCTGCCCGTGCGGCTGAGCGGCTGGCTGTGGCGCCGCGAGGGGCTGGGCATCTTCCGGCGCTACCGGCGGCGCTTCTGCGTGTTCAAGGCGCAGCAGGCGGCGCTCTTCGTCTTCTCGGACGACGACACGGTGAACGGCAAGCTGCTGCGGCGCCTGGTGCTCACGCGCGTGACGCTCACGAGCCGCGCCGACCGCAGCTTCGTGGCGCAGGGCTACCTGCAGGACCGCGAGCTGCACAAGAAGGCGTCCGACTCGATGGCGCGCCGCGCCGGCGGCCGCCTGCTGCCCGGGGACAGCCAGCGCTTCTACATGCCCGAGGAGGAGCGCTTCAAGGCCGTGTCCGCCAAGGCCTGCAGCGTCTGGACGCACTGCTTCAAGTACCACATGAAGAGCTACGCGCTGCGGCGGCGGAGGGCGGAGCAGGAGCTGCAACAGGATCAGGGCCACGAGGCCGAGCAGGAGCAGCAAGAGCAGGAGCTCGAGATGGAGATGGACCCGGACTTTGTGTTCGAAGACGCCGCCGCCGGGAAGACGAGCAAGCGTCGGCACTCGCTGCCCGGCAGCAGCTTCCACAGCATCAGCAGCACGAGCAGTGGGCTGTTCTCCGCCGTGAGGTCGAGGAGCAAGACCAGAGGGAGGCTGGTGCTCAGACGCAGAGACAGCTCGGACGGCAGTGACAGCGACGCGCCCAAGTCGGCGCCGCCTCCAATTCAGTTCGACCAGGACCATGGACCAAACATGCGGATCACAGCCTCGTACAGACCGACGTCGGAAGATGGGGACGAGGACTTGGCATCGAGAGTGGCGACGGAGATCTCGCAGAGTCAGGGGCCTGAGGTCATCGATGAGGAGGAGAGTCCCATGTTGCTGTCGGATCTGCCGTGCATTTCGTCCGTTTGGGAAGACGAAGAGCTGCTCTCGCATTGCATCGACTTCGATGCGATAGTCAAGGAGGAGAAGCTGGCTGCTGGCGCTTGTGGAGAGGTGTGGCGTGCTATGCACCGATCGCAGGAGGTGGTGGTCAAGAACTTGCGTGAAGAAGTTATGACGGCTGCGAACTCGCCGGCATCGTCCAGCGCGAGCGAAGTCAATGCAACCTACCGCCGGCGCCGCGCCATTTTGGACTTTGTCGAGGAAATCCGCATCATGTCGCGGCTCGAGCACAACCGAATCGTGGAGTTCCGTGGCGTGACGATGAACTCGGGGTACGATCTGCTGCTGGTGATGGAGTATTTGCCGCGTGGGGATCTTCGGACGTATCTCAACGCTGTCAAACGCAAGGGAGATTCTTCTTCAGGGTCGTCTGGAGGCTCCAGTAGTAGTCGTGACCAGTTCCAAAGCATCTGGACGTGGACGAAGTATCAATGGCGCTTGGCCATTGACATCATCGAGGGACTAGTGTACCTACACTCGCTGAACCCGCCGCTCGTTCACGGCGATCTAAAGTCTGCAAATGTTCTGTTGCGCAGTAATTTACGCGCAAAGCTGACGGATTTCGGTCTCTCACGTTATCTGCCATCTGCGGATGATGAAGATGAGGAGGGGTTCGGTGCATTGGCAGCAGACAGTAACGAAAACACACGTGCAAGTGCCTCCTCGTCCCGATATGGCTCACGCGCATGCGGCACGGGGCGCTGGATGGCGCCGGAGTTGCTGACAAGTGGTGCGCAAGCTTCTATGGCGTCGGATGTGTATGCGTTTGGAATCGTTTTGTCGGAGATTGACACGTGCGAGCTGCCGTTTTACGAGCGTGAGAAGCTGGCTGCGCGATCGGTTTCCGCTCGGATATCTGCCGCCGGAGAGGGCAGCAGCGAAGATGGCGACGCTCGCTTGGTGAACGAGAGCGCGGTAGTGCACAAGATCGTGTCCGAGGGCTGGAAGCCTTCCTTCCGTGTGACGTGCCCGGAGGTTATCAAGAAGCTCGCCCATGACTGCTTGCTGTCAGACCCGAGTGCGCGCCCCACGTCGCTTGCAGTGGCACATCGAATCCGGAAGGCCGCCGCCAAGCGCGAGCGTCCTGAGGCTCTTGCAGCGCAAGCCAAGGCCACCACCTCGCTGCGTATTCGATGAGCGCCCACGTGCACTGAAAATATTTAAGGGTAATATTTTGCCTGTACAAGGCAAACAGCCTGAGTATACTACCTACTACAAGTCAGCAAGAACACACAATGGAATGTGGAAATGCGCTCGTTCCCTTGTTGGCTTGAGTGCGGATCAAGAATTTGAGCTCGTCGTTCGGCGTTACATCAACCCCCTTGCCTTGAATGACCAGCATCAGTACGCGTACTCGTCGCGCCAGCGCTTGCCTTTGATGGAATCGGTGTGGGCCGCAGGGAGCCCACCACCAGCGGTTGATATCACTTCCAGTGTCCTCGAAGACGCTTTCTCGCGTCGGTGTTGTTGTTGCAGCTGCTATCACCGCTCGCTCTTCATCGTGCTGCGCCTTAGCAGCCGCAGTCAGCGCTCGAAGTGACGAGGTGCTTCCTCGCACGCGCTCCGGTCCAGGTTCGAGGTAGTTCACTCTCGCGGAAGTGCCCAGTGTTCCCACAGCTAGCCTCTCCGTCGTCTGCAGCGTCGCCGAACCCGAACCAATGATACCTACACGCGCAGACTTCGACGTGATATCACCTGTGTCAATACTGCCGCTGCCTGCGATAACAAGCGACTGCGTTCCACAGCGACAGTCGCCTTCATCCGAGCCAGACGCGACGCGAATACTCCCCGATCCAGCCACAGCCGCTCCAAAACTCGGGGTGGAGAGCTTAGACGTCTGCACGATGATACTGGAACCACCCCAGCGTCCTCCTGAAGCTGCCGCGCGAATGCGATCCCTCGCCACCACCTCCGAGGTTGACAAGTAAAGCTGACTGCGTCCACCAGCAAACAAGGACATCCTGCCGACTCGGAATCCTTGCTCCTGCGTCACGAACACTCGACTCCCACGAAAAGCTGCCACCTTGAGTTTCCCGTACGGCCGATCGTTGGCGTTCCCAGTCACCACAAGGGACCCGCTGCCAAACGCGCTGACGTTGCGGAGCTCGGAGCCTTCGCGCACGAAGATTTCTGTCAGCAGGTGCTTGCCAGGCTCAGTTGGCTCTTGAACCGGCCACCCGCGAGGCGGACGCGGGTCGAAGCCGATAAGGAGGCGGTTGGAGCCTCGCACTAGAACCTCAACGCGCTCCAGCAGGTCATGCGCGTCACTGGACACTCTTGCCACGGCGACGAGCTGGTCACTGCTGCTACCTTGGGCTTGAGCCACCTCGGCGAAAAGTGCAGGCGACGCTACCGAGACGTACGAGAGGCCGGGGGTAGCCACACGCAGCTTCTCCAGCGTCTCACTGCTAGAGATCCCCCACGTTTGTAGCACGCGCTGTCGCTCGGCGATAGGCACCTTTGGGGACTGGATGGGCCCGACTCGCACCTTGAAACTCATCGAGCGCTGTTGCAGCTGGAGCACGCCCCGGTTTGTCGACAGGATGCGGTGCCGTAGTTGGAGTGCATCTTGTAATACTGCGGCTTGGGCTTTGGTTGTGATGGCGAATTGAGAAGTGAGAGACCGGTAGCCTGCTAGTTGGTATGACCAACAGATAGAGAACTTCAACTTGGAATGCTGGTGGCACCATCATTATAATCAGTAACCGGATGGCTGCAATACCAATAAGACGACGACTGCCAACAGTACCATGGATCGATGAGCTCAAAGTTCACGGCACCGAGCTGCACTGCCAATCAGTATTCCAGGACAGAGCAGGAGCTGCATCTCCGAGACAAATTCAGGCTAGTTTGCCAAGGTGTTCGCGGATAAACTCGTGGTGGTCGCGCCACAACAGATCGTTCTGCTCCACCCAGATCTTGACTTGGTTCACATCACCATGCCCGAAGTACGGCGGATCGGGCGCTTCAATAAGAGGGAATGGGTCCAACATCGCGCCCCAGCAATGCTTGTTCTGCTTGTGCGTGAGCGCGAAAGCCTTTTGCGTCTACCTCGTGAGCTTCTTGTAAAGCCCCTTGAGGTCCACGAGGCTGCGCTTGTGTCCATTCGGTGCTAGGAACGCCCTCAGCGAGCCAGTCACGACCGCCGGAAGCGATGCGCGATCCGCCAGCTTGTGCGCCACAATGGCGTCTCGGACGGCCTTGGCCAGCGTCATCTTGATGTACACAATGGCACTCGTGAAGAAGACGTCGCCGTATTCCACCGGCATCTCCTCTTCGGCCATGTCGGCGCCGTGGATGTCCAGGTACGGCAGCTCCATGTTGCCCCAGTCGTAGTGCGAGTCCTGGTAGACCTTCGCGTGCACTTGATGAAGTCGTAGGCCTCCTGGTACTGGCCTAGCAGCAGCATGAGCGTCGGCACCAGATAGCGAATGCCGACGTTGTCGCTGCGGCACAGGCGCAGGGAGTCCTTAGCTTCGGCCCGCGCCGCCTCAATGGCCGGGCGCGAGTCCATCACGGACAGCGCGCGGATCACCCCCAGCTTGGCGCGCATGTACGGGCGCGTGTTGAGGATCCCCCAGCGTCTCAAAGGCGTTCGGGGTGTCGTCCAGTCGGCCTCGCTGATCTGGACAGCCTCCATCTCCATCAGGCTGCGTAACTTCTCGACGAGTCTGCAGAAGCCCTTGTGCGAGGCGTAGTAGTCCGCGATCTGGTGTTCGCGCCCGCAGTAAAGCACCACCTGGCAGCGCGGGCACTTGACCAGCGACTTGGGCGCCACGCCCGCGCGTGGGCCGCACACCTGACAGGCCGTCTGTAGCGGCATCAAGAACCTTGATTGCCTTCGAGCGGAGTTAGTTTTTGACTCGCGGACATAAATTTCATGGAATTTATCTTTTCCACTCGTGAATGAAATATGCATTCGTGCATTGCTTTGGTTAACCTGGATCAATGTCGTGTCACTACGATCCGCTCAGAGGATCCTCTCGTGTCTAACTGTGGTTGTAGCTGCTTACCGGTGGGCAAGCTTGGTGGAGAGCGTGGACATGGCCTTGACCTTGCCGTCGGGCACCATGAACATGACGATGGGCTTGTCGTCCGAGACGTACGGCTCGTCGATGCGGAAGTAGCCGCGACGCTCGAGCTGCACGACTTGTCCCTCCTTCATGTTGCGCAGCTCGTGGTCGCCCACCGCGTGCATCTCGGCGCGCGTGGTCTCCGTGAGGAAGTCCTGGAAGTTGTCGCCCTCCTCGAGCTTGGGCTTGTTGAGCAGGTGGTCGAACTCGACGAGCGTGAGCGGAACGAGGTCGGGGACGTCGGCCAGCCACGTGACTTTGAGCTTGGTCTTCTTGAAGTCGCCCTCCGGGTGGTTCTCGGCCTCGACGCTCGTGATGGTGCCGTCGGCCGCCTTGTTGATCTTCTTGACGATGATGTTGCCGTGGCGCATGAGCGTCACCTCCTCGCCCTCCACGAAGTTGTCCACATCATCGCGCTCGAGCAGCAGCTTGTTGCAGAAGCGCACCATCTTGTTGCCCATCGACGGGTCCTTCGGGTGGCGGGCCACAGGGATGCCAATCACCTCACTCGACACGTTCGTCAGCGTAAGGGGCACCGACGACTCCTTGGCGACCGCGAAGTAGCGCGGGGCCGTCGGGTCCAACACGCGCTTGTTGAGCGTCCAGAACTTGTCCCACTCCATGTCGGTGATACGGCGCGAAGCACCCTGGCTCAGGATGAACTCGCGTAGCGCCTCCACCTGCACACCACGACGCAGGACGCCCTGCACCGTGGGGAAACGCGGGTCCCTCCAGCTCTCCACGTGGCCGTTGTCCACGAACCACTGCAGCTTACGCTTCGACAGCACCGAGTACACAAAGTTCATACGCGCGAAGCCCTGGATGATCACCTTGCGCAGACGAAGCGTGTCCAGCACCCACTGGTACTGGAAGTCGCGGTCGTTGTACTCGGTCGTACGCAGAGCGTGGGTCACGCCCTCGATCGAGTCCACGATGGGGCACGCCAGATCGTAGGTCGGGTACGCCTGGTACTTGGTGCCCGTGCGGTGGTGCGGCGTCGGGTTCAGACGGAAGAACACGGGGTCGCGCATCGTCTTGTTCTTGGCCTGCATGTCGATCTTGCCGCGCATGCAGTAGCCCTGGGCCTCCGGGGCGTTCTTCAGCATCTTCTCGAACAGCGCCAGGTTCTCCTCCGGCGTCTGGTCGCGGCACCTGGAGTTGATGCCCTCCATGCGCTCCTCACGCATCTGCTCCTGCGAGGTGTTGTCCATGTACGCGTTGCCCTCACGGATCATCTGGCGCGCGAAGTCCGCGATCTTGGGGAAGTAGTCCGACGTGTAGGTCACCACATCGGGCACGACGTCCACGCGCTTCAGGTCGGCGATAATGCTCTGCTCGAACTCGTCCTTCTCCTTGCTGGGGTTGGTGTCGTCGAAGCGCAGAATCAACTTGCCGTGGTAGTGGCGCGCGTAGTAGTTGTTCAGCATGCAGGCCTTGATGTGGCCAATGTGCAGGTATCCAGAGGGCTCAGGGGGGAAGCGCGTCACGACCTGGCCGTCGACAGCGTCCTTCAGGGGCGGGCAGCTGCCCGTGTCCTTCACCTTCTTCGCAGCTCCAGCCGGGGCGGGCGCCTTGATGGGCTTCAGAGCCTTCAGCGAGCCGTCCACCTTGGCGAACAGCGTCTGCTGAGCCTCGAGGTGCGCCAGCCAGCGGGTCACGTTCGGGAACGGAGCCAGGTCCAACTTCTTCTGCAGGGGGGCGACCTGCGCCCACACGCCAATGTCCGCGAGCGACAGAGCGTGGCCCACGATGAACGTCTGCGTCTTGAGCACGCGGTTCAGGATCTGGAGACCGCCGTCGTCCTCCAGGTTAGCGCCAAGGCGAGTCAGAGCGAAGTCCAACCAGGCGTCGATCTGCGAGGGCGGCAGGGCGGCCTCCGACGCAGCGGCGTCCTTGGCAGCCACGCCGTACAGGCCCAGCTCGGGCTTGGTGCGGGCCAGGTAGCGCGCGATGGCGAAGTCGCCCGACACGATGCGGCCGTCCGCCAGCGTGAGCGTGGGCACGACAGCAGCGCTGGCAGCGTCGCGGCCAAAGTTGCGGAAGCCGGGTGCGTACTTGACGAGCTGCGCCACGACGTAGCTGGCGCGCGGCAGCTGGCCAGCGCTGGAGAACACGATGACGCCGTCGTCCTCGGTCGAGGGCGTGGGCAGCTCAATGCCAGCGTGCGCGGCCTTCTTCAGAGCCTTCTTGCCGGCCGGGGCGGCGGCCGCGGGGGTAGCAGCAGCGACAGCAGCAGGGGCCGCGTGCGCCGCAGCGCCGGCGGGGGACTCGTCGGCCACGCCGGCCTTGAGCGCGTGCTTGTGCGCCTTCTTGCGCTCCTTGTTGAGCTCCTTCTTGGACTTCTTGCTGGGGTCCTTGGGCGCCTGCGCCTCGGGCTGCGCCTTCTTCTCCTTCTTGGGCTTGGCGGGCGGGCCGAAGTCCTTGCCCGTGACCTCCTTGAACTGGGCCTTGAGCGCCAGCAGCTGCGCCACGGCCTCCTTGATCTCGTCGGCCTTGGTGGCGTCCTTGGCCGCCTTCAGGTCGCGCACCTTGTCGCCGGCGGCCGCGATCTGCGCCGTCAGCTCCGCCTCCGTGGCCATGGTCGGGTGGGGGGGCTGTAGTCGGACGAGTCTTGCGCTTGGGTCGGCAGAACCACGAATGATCCAAGCGATCTTGGCCCAAGCCACGCACTGCCGGCAAAGACAAGCGGTAGCTGGGAGCGTACCGGTACCTGCAAGCGGTGGCTGCCCTCCCTGTCGCAAAGCTGATCCAAGCAGCGCCACACGAGTTTTCGCCATACCGGTATGTCAACCGGTGCCATGATATGGTGTACAATGATGTACACATCACTTCAACTTCAGGCCCGGGGCTGGGAAACTTACAGTACCTCAGGTGGACGTCGCGTTCCTGTCCGCAGCGGTGAGGCTGTCTCATCTAGGAATTGAGGGGGTAATGAGGATATTCAGAGGGCAGACCTCGCATGATGATCGACCGAACAAGGCACTTCGACCACGGTTATATCGAATGTACCTCGTGTCTTACCCGGAGTTGGAGTTACTCTGCAACATTGCGGCTCATGGCTTGTCGCCCCACTGGCATCAACCAGCTTCCAGGGTTGGCGTAAGGCCACTACCCAAGAACTAACCGAGTGCGACGGAGGGCGCTGAGGTCCTAACCCACCGTTTACTCCAAGACTACTACAAAGGGCGGTGCATCCTTGCTCAGGAATCCGTCCTGGCGACTGACCCAGCGTTTCACTGCAGCGCTTTCGCCCTCGTGCCGAAGAAAAATGTATCGCTGGCGGAAGATGGTCGGACGATCCATGATCTATCAGCACCAACGGGAGGTTCCATCAATGAAGCCACTGACACAAGTAAAACCCCGGATGCGCGTTGGGATGCTTACTCGGACATTGCGGAGCGGATCACTGAACTGCAGCATCAATATCCTGGTCACGCCATTTATGCTCTCGGGGCTGACATAGCTGACGCATTCCACCACGTACCCGTACATGCCAAGCATGCATCAGCCTTTGGGGGGCGGATCCCTCGATCGCATGTAGGTATTGTCTCTGGGATGGATGTCTTCGGCTGGACGGCTTCGCCAGGTTTCTTCGCCGTGATGGGGAAGGCTGCGCGACACTATCAGCGCACAGGATCCTCGTATATCCTCGGATATCCAGAGCCATTCTGGATATTTCAGTGGGTCGACGATATAGTCATTATCGAGGTCGACATAGGCGACCGTCTCGCACAAGCAGAGCGGCGCTTGCGTGACGCGATAAAGTTGGTCTTTGGCTCTGACGGGTGGCATGAAGGTAAGTTCACCACGTGGTCGCGATGTTTTCACGCTGTCGGAATTGATTGGAACATCTCAGACATGACGGTGACTATTCCACAGCGTAAAGTAGACAAAGTGAAACAAATTGTCGCGGAGACGATGCAGCTCAAGTATATACCGAACAAGCGCCTGGATAGCTTAATTGGCGTGCTCCGGCATGTGGTTACGTTTATCCCAACGGCCAAGCCGTTTATACAGCGACTGGTCTCAGTACAACGCGCGCTAAGCAATGCAGATTGGTCCGGCGTGCAAATGAGCACGACGTTGCTCGGCGATCTTAAGTGGTGGCAAGATCTCGTGTTCGAAAACGAATTCGCGGGCGTGCCCATGAGCATGTTTGGCTCGGAGCCACCTGAAGAGGACTGCTGGGTAGTCCTGCAGAACGAGTCGAGCTGTGATGTGCACGGGATGACACCCATGAGAAAAAAGGCATTCTCGAACAAAGCAACAACCCCAGAAGAAAACCTCGCCCACGTATTGACAGCAACATGCGAGACGTGGACTTCCGCCAGGGATAATCCAACATCGTGGCAACATGTACGGGTTCATGTTCGATCGGAAGCAGAACTGACTACGATCAAAACAATGAACTGTCGTTCTCCAGCAGGACAAGAGCAGTTGCGTCAACTGGCCCTCCTTCTAGCGAAAAGGAAAATTAAGCTGTCGGCCAGTCGTATCTTGGGGCGAACCTCCGAAACACGTCCATGTGACGTACACACAGTTACTAACAATTTGAATGGTGATATTGAACAGACCGGCTCAGAGCCGCCACTGAAGCGACAACGCAACTCAAGCGAGCAGCCAGCAGTGCATCTTCGCTTCGGACATACGAAAAGAAGTTTCAGCACTGGGTTAGCTTCTGCAGCGAGTTTGGATTCCCGATTTGGATCGACGAACTCTCACAAGAGAGGCAAGCCAGAATCGTCGGACTATTTGCCGGAATCTGTTCCCTCGAGGGACACAACTCCGGGAAGAAGGGAAACAAATACCAGACTTTCGATGGGAAAATGGCGGCAGTCGCCTTCGCTCACAAATCCGTGCGCAACGCAAGGCTCAATTATAAGAATCCGGAATATGAGCTCATTGCTCGAGGGTATAAGCGCCTCAACAGCCACGTGGAGAGGAAACAACCAGTCACCACATCCATGCTTCTCGCGATGCATCGCCAACTCGAAGCCGACCGGTCTGTAGACAATGCGGACACCAATGACATGTTGTGGGGGTCTATCCTACTGGGTTACTTCTTTCTGGATCGCAGCTCAGAGCTGTGGGGGCCAATTGTGCAAGACTATTCTACGGGTGGGCGAACACATTGTATCCGCGCTGAAGACGTGACAGTCCAAGACCGGGATGGTGTCCCAATCCAGGCCAGCAGAGGCCAAGGACACTCCGTGGAAATACATTTCAGGTCGCACAAAGGTGACCAGACTCGACAAGGATCTACAGTTCGCCACTACAGGTCTGGTCAGCGTCACCTGTGCCCGGTGGCGGCCGCGGAGGCCTGTCTCGCGATCCGTCAAAAATGGATACAAGCTGGAAAGAGGTTGGGTCCATACCTCACATCTGTGAATGGGTCTGCAACAATCTCGAAGTCGTCCGTAGCGAACCTGATCAAGGCTGCAGCTACGAATCTGGTCCTGAATCCAAACGATTACTCGACCCACTCCCTTCGGATTGGTGGGGCATGTGCCCTATTGGCTGCCGGGAAAAGCGAGTTAGTCATTCGTCTGATGGGACGTTGGGCAAGTTGATGTTTTACGGTCTACAAACGTCTACAACCGGGAATGCTGCGCGATGTGGCGGAGCACATGATTCGTTTTTCGACCTGGGAAAGTCACGATGATCCCATCTTGCCTTCAGAGGGGTGTAGGCCAAGCCTCACAAACTAATCAAGTGTTTCCCCACCAAGTGTCGTTGTTGAAGCTGCTGATAGAGGAAAGTGAGCGGTTCATCGTACCGGTAATTAACCGGTGAGAAGAACGGGGGTTTCCGAGATCGAGGCCAGACAGCGAGAGTCGCAATCTTTCCCTCGGCTTCTCAGGCGTCGGCAAGCAGCGCAAGAGTCGCGGACGCAAAGTCCTTCAGCTGAGAACGAGCAAGCGGAGCCGAGCTCCTCGCGAAGAATTTTTTTTTCTTCTTCTACTATCCTTTCAAAGTGGGCCTGTACAGAAAGGGATTAGTATTTCTCCCAAGTTGGGTTATTTTTTCTCCCTGCGGGTTATAGACTGTTCCCTGGAGGCAGGCCTACTCGAAATAACTAAGTTACCAGGTGGTTAGTTAGGGTGTAGGCCAAGCCTCACAAACTAATCAAGTGTTTCCCCACCAAGTGTCGTTGTTGAAGCTGCTGATAGAGGAAAGATTTTTTTGCAATTTTGCATATATCGTGCAATTCCTTGAGTTTTGCACTACCGTTGGAGATGCTCTAAGCCAAGCCGGGGCTTTCGATTTGTTTCTTCGCTTGTGGAAAGATCGGACCAAGAGTGAGTGAGAACCAGAATACCATATTTCGGTGAAGCACGTGAGCGGTGGGCGAATAATGACCTGTTTAAGCCACAAGGACACCAGAAAGGAAAACCGCTAGGGCAACCGAAAGGAGTTTGCTGCATCATATCGTGAGGAATGAAGCTGATGATCTCGGACAGGAATGTCTTAGGAGCAGCTAGTTAAGCATGCTACGAAATCAATTGAAAACAAATTCTCTTGCATATACATTTATTAGCGGTGTTATTAAGCAGTCGCCACCGGCCAACCGCTCGAGAAGTCGAGCTTGTTCCACCCGAACTGCTTCTGGCCGTCAGCGTAGCCGATAGTGGTGTTGACGTAGTGGTAGTACAGGACCGGACCGTGGGTCGGGTCATCGTATACACCTTGGCCACCCGGGCCATACACATCGTCATGCGATCCCATTACGACAACTCCGCCTCCTTCAGTGCACAGCTTGCCGTCCGCATCACGGAAGTCCATGATGCCGGGCTTGGAGCGACACACCTTGATCTTGTATTCCTCTCCGGCTGCAGGCTTCGTCTTGTCATAACTGCAGCAAACGCCGTTGGAGTAGAAGAGGTAGTTGTAGTCGCCGTACTTGAACATGTTGGCGCCTTCGTCCGCGTGGATGCCAGCAGGTTCGTACGCGAGCTTGGCGTACGTATTGAGGATCGCAGTCGTCGGCGGGTTTTCCATTGCCACCTGGAAAATACCGTCGACGTAGCTTCCGAAGATCATGTAGTTCCGGCCGTCTTCGATGAACAGATTGGGGTCGATGGCATTGTACTCGCTCGAATCGTTGCTCTGCACACCAGTCGAGCCCAGGTCCTTCCACGTGCCAATGTCCATCGTCGAGGAATTGGCGACACCAACCGCAGCCAGATTGTGCCCGTCGAACGCCACGGCGCGAACAGCGGAGTAGTACAGGTAGTACGTGTCCCCCACGAGGTGCACGTCCGGGGCCCACGCATCCATTTTGCCGTCCCAAAGCTTGATGCTCGTCCCGTCAGGTAGAACGGCGCCCTTGTACTCCCATGGGCCAGTGATGTTCGGCGCCGAGTGAACTGCGATGCCTCCGCCTGTCGAGAAGCGGAAGTAGGTGCCGTCAGCGCGACGGATGATGCTCGGGTCGTGTGTGTTGACGCAGACGCCTGTACAAGCTCCGGGGTTGACGAATGCGCCGGTAGCTGCACCGAAGAAGGTGAGACCCAGCGTTGCAGCAGAGAAGAACTTCGTCATGGTCGGTCTTGTTGGTCTTAAGCTTTTTCAGATCAAATCGCGAAATGAGCTTAGAAACTGGCACTTCGACTCAACTTCAGAATACTGTACAGGTGCGAGCCGGTCAGTCTTGCGGCAGGGATACAGTTCGTTTACGGTGCGTTTACGCTGAAGCGTGATGGCCAAGCATCCCACGAGCAGGGGCATGAGCGAGCGAAATGCAGCCCGCTCACTTCAAATCACGAGCTGGGTCCCTCGGATAAGTACGACCCCAACGAGCAGCTCGTTTGAGGAGTGAACTGATAGGCTAAAATGGCTCAGCTTTGTGGCAGCATCACACTCAACAGAGGTGCCCCATAATACTGATACGGGTTTGGCCGTCAGCTACAGTAACTACAGAAGCCGATGATACCCCCATCAGCATGAACAACTGCTCTGAGTGCAAGTTAGGCACAATTTTTTAAAGTAAATTTATTATTATCCAATTAATGTGTGGAGCTTTGATTCGCGCTCCCCCCTTTAAATCGATTTCATGTGAGCAGCTACAGATCAGCGAGCGCGCTCATGAGGTTTTAGCTGCTCGTGCTCGTTCCCGCGAGCAGTGCTCCCGCTCAGCTCGTGGGATGCTTGGTGATGTCTCTCGACATTCTAACAATCTTTTGTGCTTACGTAGAATTTGTGCGAAGGGCCCACCGAAAAAGCAACACTAAGTAATGATTCGATCAGCTGACACTTGGCGTGGACGGTAATTCTCGAGGACTTTACACTGTAACAAACGAGAGTCATTAAAGCAACATTGAAAATCAGCCTCAATGTGTGGGATCAATAACATTGATAGGGTCCAATGTTGCGTGATCGCTAACATTGACGCAATGTAAATTTTCCAGACGTGAAATTTCATGTTTGGAGCGACTGGCTCACAACAACTCTCATTTCAGAATCTACCGGGTAGGAAGCAAGCGCCCGCCTGCGCGAGCGAGCGCTGCAACCCGATATTTTTTTCCTAGACACCGCGCCTGGCCGAGCCGAGGACTTAGCGTAAGGCACGAGGGGGTGGGGCAGGCCGCACAGCGGCGCCCCCCGAGCGAAGCGAGAGAGGGGCGGGGCCCCCCGAAGTGCCGTCGCTAAGTCCGCAGGCGAAAGCCAATGCGAGAGTGTCCTGCCAACTAGGAATAGACAACACGTGGCGCCCAGGTAGAGCTGCGCGTAGATCCCGTAGAGCCCATTCTCCTGCTGCATGTGTCGGCGCGTACACCATGACGCGCTTGCCGCGTTAGCGGCGGAAGCTGTTGCACGGGGCGCCGCCCCGGGTGGTAATGCGCATAAGCGTGCTTCGTCGAGTGTCGTGGCGACGCGTCCACTATTATCACATTGGCAAACCAAATATTCTGTACGAGAGATACCGTAACATTGTGCAATGTTAGGCAGAGGCACCATTGTTGCGCTCAATGTTACGCAACGCCAACATTTCAATGTTGCTTTAATCAGACCACAGTGAGCATTACAATGAGAGCAGGGTGGATAAACGTGCACCTTATGCCAAAGTAGCAATTTGCTACATACTATCAAACCAAAAGGCGACGCGCATGAGGGGGCCCGCTTCCTGCAAGAGATCACAGAGATCGGAGTCATCACGGAAACCGTGATCGTGCGTTAAAGTACCAGCAAGCAATGAGTACGTAACGCAGCGATGGCTCGACAGGCACCTCCACACATGCAACACGTTGAATTCACCGAAAAATTCTTTAGGGAACATTATCTACAGTGCAAAATTCAACTGCAAGGCATCGGCTCTTCTAATCGAGCTTCTCATTCATCGTCATCCCCATCAAGGAGTCCGAACCAAGCGCCGCCTTCTGCATCCTCCTCTTCCTCCCCTTCGTCAGAATCTTGGTCCTTTGCTTGAAGCACCTCTTCCAGCGTCATTTTCTGCTGGAGCAACGCGCGTGTATGCTGGTTCAATGCATTGGTGACACAACGCAGCAACTCATCGGGAGGGATCTGGCGGCACTCCCTCTCGTAGGCTCTCAGCACAAAGTCTACCACGACTTCACGACCGCACAAACTAGCATAGTACAGTGGGGAGTTTTCAAAGTCGTCAAGCGCGCGGTAGGCCTCGCCATGGACGTCACAAACGGCTTCGAGCACTGCCAAGTCGCCCAGCTTTGCCGCCTGCCAGATCGTAAGACCATTGTGCGAGAATTCCACGCTGCAGGGGCATTCAAGCGGCCTCTTGGCTTGTCGAAGTATCCGGCGAGGAGCAACATAGCCCACAAGCCCCTCTACAGAGTACCATTCCTCCCCCGAATCGGAGCTTGAAGCTGATTTAGGGGACTCCACTGAGCGACAGCCGAGGTGTCGAAGCACTACCGGGAGCTCTTCCAGCGTCAACTGGACCCCAAAATCGCACGTCAGCACGTCGTAGATCTCCTGTAGTGGTAGTGACTGCAGCGGCTCCTTTGAGCTCGGGGCTTGATGGACTTCCGTTGCTGATCGTTTGCCTCGGCGTACATGAGGCTGCAGGGTCTGGAGACGACGATACTCGAAGGCCTGGACTAGCGAGTGGCTGATGAGCACGTTCTTGGGATGGCGGTTGTACTGCTGCAGCATCAAGCGCCGTCGCGAGCTCTCGGCCACATTCTGGACGGCTGCTGCGTTGCCCATGATGTGCCAAGAAATGTAGCCATCTATCACGAAGGGACACGAATGTTGAAGTGCCCTGGCCAATAATAATAGCTCAGCCGCATTTTTATTATTTTGCTGGGCTTTCGTCCTCGATAAGAGTCGAGGGTGGGCTGTTGTTGCCCCCGATGGGGAGTTCAAGCAAAAATTGCCACTTCCGGGTAGAAAGCAGACGAATGTGTTCCGTTTCTTGGGGTGTCAGCAGGTTGTACCATCACAGGAAACCGTTCATCAGCACAACGTGAGCTCCCTTCGACAACGACGGTTGGTGTGTACATAAGCATAACGCACTCAACCTATAGAGACCAGTTGCAAATTTGTACGTAAGGTTCTCGTAATAAGCAGACCATCAAAAGTGTAGCCATGTACACTACGCTTCAACTTGCAGCTCACTCTGTAAACGCAGATACATACTTCGCATTTCAACGCAGTTACACCAGACTCCTTCCTACCTTCCAAAATTGCCGACTTGTTGCTCTTAACAACATCTTCAGGCACTCCATCACGCGTGCAATCTGTCAGCGTACTCGTCCTCGCTAAACTCCTCCAGCTCCGCCTCTTCCAAGTCAAACTGGTAGTCATCCTCATCTGAATTTCCGCCATCGCCATCCTTGCCCTTGTTTTCTTTCTCCGTAGCGATGCGTGGTCGCTTTTCCTTGGCCTGCTCACCATCAGCTCGGTCTGGGGACAGAGTCGTAGGGTTGGCTGCTTCTTCAGCCGAAACTTCGGCAACTCCCCTTTTCTTTGCTGTCGATTTGGGTCTCGCCGCGGTATCGCGATTGAGCTCCGACATGGCCGACTCAAGTGCCTCGGCACGAGTCTGGTCGCGCTCAAGTTGCGCCTCGTAAGCGTCAACGATGTCGGGTACATCCGCGCGCAGCTTGTCGCCGTTCTCCCACGTGTCGTCGCTTGCGTCATAGTTCTCCCACCGCACTTGGTACTGCCGCTTGTTGTAGTGCGTTCGGTGGTTGACGATGTGATCGACGGTGTAGAACTCGGCCTCTGGTGTCTTCGAGACGGCAGCAGCTCCAGAAGGCCGCGCTCCCGTTCTCGTTGCCTTTCGTTTCGCACTGCCCCCGCGGGTGCGAGTCTGACCAGCACCCGCGCGCCGCGCTGCCTCAGCTTCTTGTGCGCGTAATTCCGCGGAGAACAGATCAATTAATTCCTTGGCCTGCCGTGGAGCTTTGCGTCGGGAGATCCAAAGCGGCTGCACTACGCCCTCCCAGCGGATCATGTACTCCCTCGCACTGCCGTACATACGCGCGCGCAGCACTTGCTGAGCCACCAGATCTGCAGCCGCGCGTTTGCCGATACGGTCTTTCTGTGCCGATGCGTCCGGGCTCCGCGACTGCGCGCGAGGTGTAGACCCCACAGATGCGGACCGGGGAGGGAGGTCAGTCACGATTGGCGGCGGCACCACTCGGCACCGCTTGCTCGTTTTCCCCTGGCTGGTGCTTTTCACGGCTCGATCTCCAGCGTCACCTCGCTCCGGCGCAGGAGCGGCTGGTTGCTGCGGCGGGGCCATCGCCGAATAGTCCGGAGCTTGCCACGCAATCACCTTCAGGTTATTCTCTATCAGCATGTCATGGAACTTGTCGCTCGGGATCTCGTCATCCGACAGAAAGTCGTCAGTCTCCGCTGCTTCTCCTCCTTGGCCCGCTGCCGTCTGCTTCTTGCGCTGCTCGGTCGGTTGCCGCCCAGGAGGCGCCGCCCAGCCGCTCATGTTGTCCACGAACGTCTGCGACATCGACGCGCCCTCGTCGCCGTGCTCCAGGTACCGGTCCAATGGGTTCCACTGCTGCTGCTGTTGCTGTTGCTGCTGCTGAGCCGCTGTCTTGGCTCGCTTGAGCGCTGGGACGATGTCCCGGAAGAAAAAGTCGTTGAGCAGCTGCACGAGCCCCGAGATGGTCTTGTCGTTGGCGCCCAGCATGTTGGCCTGGTGGCGCGCGTCCTGCAGCGTGGAGCCCACGTCGCCCGGCTGGTCCAGCACGCTCTGCAGCGCCTGCGTCAGGTCCTGCGCGTCCTTGAGCCGCTCCATGAGCCGCAGCCAAGTGGTGAAGCTGCAAAGATACAGCGATTGTGAGCGCTACCGAGCGAGTTAAAGGACAGCAAAGGGTGCGCTGTGATCTACACGTACAACTCCTTCTCCCGGTCGGCAGGTTGCGGCGCGCCGGCGCATGCATTGTGCGTGGCGGCCGCCTCCACGGCCATGCCCTCCGCTCCGCAGGTCTTCTGTGTCGCGTCCCCGCTGGTTTGATTGGGATACACTGTGAGTGTATCCCAATGAGTCCCCGCTGGTTTGATTGCAGTGTATCCCAATCAAACCAGTGGGGGACTCACAGTGTAATCCTCTGATTACGAAGTGTAACCTCAGTTACAAAATTACAACATGAAGGTGGTGGCGCTGGACGCCGGCGGGGCGACGCTCAAGGCGTCTGTGGTGGCGCCCGGCGTGACTCCGACCGTCTCGATCCTCGCCAACCACGTAGCGTCGACTTCCACCAACCCGTCGACAGTTTTTATGGGCCAGAAGCTGCGGGAGCTCGAGCGGCAGCGCGCCAAGTTACGCTACCTGCGGCCCGTCCAGAGGGGGTACTGTGTCAACTGGAACGCCGAGGCGGAGCTCTGGGCGCACCTGTTAACGTCCACCGAGGCAAGTTGAAGTTGAAGTGGCACTATCAATTACTCCAAGGTCTACGCTCTAACGAAGGGGGGTTATGCTGCTGTCCTTTGCAGCTGCTCAAGGTGGACCCATCCGAGCACGCGCTCGTGGTTACGGCGCCGTTGCTGGCGCCTGCAGTCGTGAACGAGAGCATGGACCAGGTGGTGTTCGAGGAGCTGGGCTTCCAGTCCTACGCGCGAGTGAGCGCGGCCGAGAGCTGCGTGTTGTCGTACTCGGAGTTCAGCGAGCGGGCGTTCCAAGAGAGTCTCGGGGCTGCTAAGCCTCCTGCAAAGCGCGGCCCTGGTCGCCCCAGGAAGAAGGGGAAGACAGAACCATTGACGCCTCCTCCAGTCGTGGACGAGGACCCGCTCCGGTTCTCGACCTCGTCGTGCCACTTGGTGGTCGACTCGGGCTTCTCGTTCACTCATGTGGTGCCGGTCATTGACGGGAAGGTCTTTATGCCTGGTGTGCGGCGTATCAACGTCGGAGGCAAGCTGCTGACCAACTACCTGAAGGAAATTGTGTCGTACCGCCAGTGGAACGTCATGGACGACACGCCGGTGATCAACGAGCTCAAGGAGGCGCTCTGCTACTGCTCTCTGGACTTCGACAACGACCTCAAGCGCTATCACTCTAATCGGCAGGAGAGGAAGCATTGGGTCTTACCTGACTTTGTGCGTACGTTTGAGGGACGTTGCCGTGAAGACGAGGTCGAGGATGTCGAGGAAGAGGAGGAAGAAGATGCATCAGCTGACCAGCAACAACCCACGAGGCCAACCGATGACGAACAGGCTCTGGAAATGGGCGTCGAGATGATCACAGTGCCGGAAGTGCTGTTTAACCCGTCGGATATCGGTCTGAACCAAGCAGGACTCGCAGAAACTATCGTGCAGGCGGTTGAGGCGTGTCCCGAAGAACTTTCGGACGCCTTTTACGCCAACATACTGCTGGTCGGTGGGAACACAAAATTCAAGAACTTCAGGCAGCGACTCGAGCGCGACTTGCGGTCCTTGGTGCCTGAAGACTTCGACATCGAATTGCACGAGCCATCAGAGTAAGTTGGGATTGAATTGCTGCTGCTAGTTGGATCTCCGGTGTTATCATGCTAATGCTGACGTCGTGGTTGCCAGCCCTATACTCGCTGCATGGCAAGGCTGCTGCTCACTGGCTGAATCGGACGCGCTTACCAAGCGACTTGTAACCAAGAAGGAGTATGAAGAACACGGCAGCAACATTTGTCTGAAGCGCTTCTAAGCATAGTGGATGCACTTCGTCTACCGTATTGGGTCTCTTGTCAAGCAACATCGATCTACATTCGGGTATGTTCCATTTGGTGTCTTTGATGGTCGAAAGTTGCGTATTTCAGATTACTACGACTCAATTATCTCTACAGTTGGTGCGTTTCTACATGGCTTCAACCGTCTTCTCCAATCTTGTGATGGCGTCACGGAAGAGCGAGTCGAAGAACCGCTTCCACTCTTCGTACCGCAGGCGCTTGTCCATGTCGTTCGGGTCCGTCGTGCGGACAGCCACATCCTCTCTGCCGCGAAATTCGTGCCACGAGCACCCGAGATACTGGCACAAATTCCGATACCCCCATCGCCGCCGAAACCGAGGGAAGATCTCGACAACGAGAGTCTCAGGTCGAGTCCACATGACGTTGACCATCCCGGCGCCGTGCGTGCCGACCACTACGTCGCTCTCCACCATCGTCTGCATCTGGTCGCCCATGGTCATGTTGGCGAAGTCGAGCGACTGGAACTCGCACTCCCGAATCGATAGGCGTTTTTGTAGTCCGAGCGCATGAGGTTCAGGGTGTCGTCCTCGTTCCTCCACATCCGCTGGATCCGTCGACCGCCGTAGGGCCTTCGCGAGATGACAGTGACCAGACATCGCTTCGGATCAGTCTTCTCCGGGACAACGTTCATGCTTCGAAGAGCTTCGTCTCGAAAGTCTTTGATCATTTCGTTGGCGTGACAAGGTTGATCGTCGTTGCATGACTATGGTCTTCTTGAACGGTTGAACACCTTGTCAAGCTCGCACTGCGTTGGGGACCCTAATAGCTCCCCATACACGCTTTACCACGTTTCTGGGATCGACCTGAAAGCCACTAAAATCAACAATTTCGTGCTCGACATGCGAAGTGCGCAGGTGGCTCGCAGTATTAGCTCCTTGGCGCAGGATGGCGGAGGACACGACCCGAGATTCAAGTACCCACCTAACTCCTCGTTCTGCACTTGTGGTGATTCACACAATGCTGCGCATGAAGCTCCGAACATCTGGGAAGATCTCGTCGCTAAGAAGCTTAATGCCACTGGCACCGCGTGCCGTCCTCCAACAGTGGAGACGCCTCAAGATGCGGTTAGCGTGAAGCGTGCTGCTGTCGTCGCTCGGAGAGACGACCACAATCCCTTCTTCCAGATATCGGGCATCCTCAACGCGTGGATCATGATGAAAGTCCTCGGCTGGGACAGCGGCTCCACTCAGCTCGTGACACTTGATCGAGCACTACCGTCCCCCGTCGATGAACTACGACACGCCATGCTAGGGCCCGATCATCCAATAGTCGGCGGTAACGAGCTTCAACAGCATGGCGTGCGCTTTGAGACGGTGTTGCTGGCTCCGTACGAGGCGCGAGGGCCGATGATGAGCCACTTGCAGATTACGCGACTTGCAAGACCCCATCAATGTGTGCTCGCGGGCATTCGCGTCGCCAGCAGATACGTTGGCGAATAACACACGCCGACATTACCTCCACAGCAGCCCAGGCCATCGCCTCGAGCATTCTCTTCGAGACCATCTTACGACCATCAATAAGCGGTGTTGACTCATCGTCGCGTTCGGACTCAAAATTTGTGCACTGCCTCGGCCCAGACGGTTTGCTGGAACTTACAGACTTTGACTGTCACCACAGACATGGCCGTGCTTCGACACCTCAGCAATCGGTCGTTAATTTCCGCGGCACCAGGCAATGCTACGTACAAAGGGGTCGTCGTTGAAATCCCGAAAGAAGGTTTCAGGAATGTTCTCGGTGGTAAATTACGGTAAGGAAAAAAACTGACTACTCTGCGAAAGCCGCGCTTTGGGTGTCGGCGGCACGTTTGCAACCTGAAGATTTGCGCGCAAGTCGCACCGCAATCCTCAGAGCCGAGCAACATCGGCGTCGAAAGGCTGGATTTGAGGGCCGGCTGGCTACACAAGCTGTGTGGTTCTGTGCCGACTGGCTGGGAGCTCTTTCAAGCTCCACTCTTCATTCATGCAGCCGCTGCAAGCCTCTGCATGCAATGCTTGATCTGACTCATCGTGTCGTGAACGCAACGTTCCCATATCCAACGCGTTCCACTGCGGCAGGATCCGGAGCGCGGCAACCGACGATGCATTCTGCCCAGCAAGCTGTTGACCTGCTCGCTGCTGGCTGTGCATAGTTGTCCTGGAGCGTTTAGAGGCGGCGTGGTCAACAAGTGCCGCTGCTTGCATGACCTGCGTGGCCTGCAAGTTACTAACGGATGCTTTGGCGCGGCTGGCCGACAAAAGTGCCACACCGAGCTTTGTCCACTATGAAGTGATATTCACTGGGATTTGTTCATTGTCTTGATAAATCTCAGTGAAAATCACGGATTAATGGACAATCCTCCGCAAAATGTTCACAAACTCACAAATTTTGGTGGGTCCGAACCGAGATTTGGATATTTTTTCAAGCAAGTGAAGCGTAGCCAGGGTCCTGTTCGTGCCTCTCATCCTCGCGAGGCTCGGCTTCAACGCAGACGCAGCTGGTTGCCACAATGGTACGGTTTGGGCAAGTGCAAACGCTGTCCGCTCATTCACATGTCAACTGACCGTCTCCACCAAAACGCTCGAGACACACCCCACAAAGCTCGGTCCGAAGTCCGAGCGAGTTGGACTTTGCACGGTCTCTACCGCGACTGCGGTGGCGTTCCAGCGGCGCGAGAGCCGAGTTTCGCTTTTGCGTCTTGGTTGGGACATCATCAGCGCACCAGGGACAGAAGAGCACCATTTCCACCGAGAACCATGTGTGGCGACGAAAACGAAGGCCAGAACTCGGCGGCGAGCTCGCCGCGCTCGGTCAAAGGCTCGCTCGCGTTCATCCTGGACGATGAAGCTTCAACCGGCAAGCGCAGTGCCAGCGCAGCCCTACTGGATGCCACCGAGCCGACAGACGCCAAACCCAAGAGACCGTCGATCATTGGGCGAACAATTAGCAGTCTGCTGACTCCGACCAATTCGGTCGGTAATGAGAGCGAAGCCCGTGATACCATTACACCTACCGCATCGGTTGCCAGAAAGGTACTTGTCTATTTGCATATTTTTATAAATGTGTTTGGTAACAAGTGCGCTTCATTTGTTTTTCTTTAGGGGAGCAAGTACTGCGTTGTTGAAGGCTGCATGAGCCGAGCCAAGCACGCTCGAAGATGCTGGAAGCATGGTACGATATTTTATATAACTCACGACGAGTAAACTCCAGTTGTTGACTCTAGTGTCGTTACTTTCCATTACAGGCGGCTCCGTCAAGTGTAAGGTGCCCAGCTGTCGGAATCGAGCCAAGACGAAGGGTGTGTGCTGGTCTCATGGCGGCGGCACCATCTGCAGCGCCGATCAATGCACGACTATCGCGGTGTCGAACGGTGTTTGCTGGGCCCACGGCGGAGGTACGAGAAGGCTGACGAGCGACGAGTCGCTGCACTACCTGCAGGCTCGCTAACTTTTTCTGCTTGTGTACACAGGGAAGCGTTGCGTTACACCGGGATGTTCTCGACCTGCCTACGAGAGGACTAGGAATATGTGCTCAATGCACTACAACGCGGGCTCAATTGCCAGTCTTGCAGCGGCGAAGCGGCCGGTATAAAGCTACAGGTTCGCCAAGACGCTCTGCCAACTCTCAAATCGCTAGCGCTGAATGTCTAGTTACCCTGTACTGTACCCTTCCTCTTGACGTTTCCCCCACCTACAGAATCGGCTTCCCGCAAACACTTCTCTGACTAGCATGATTTCAAGATGGGCGTGGCGTGTAGGTGACGGATAATGTTCAAGCCTCCGAAGATGAGAGCGGTATGCCAGGCTTTGCTAGGAATCGAGTCGTTTGCTAGTGGCTCGCAATAGCGACCATGACGACCACCTCCGAACCTACTACATACCACCACCGCTATCACCGCATGCCACGAACAAAAGTCAACCATTTCACGGATCTTCCTACGTTGAGACTGTAGTCCCTGGCTCAGTGAGCCGCTCGCCATACAAGCGATCTGATCTTGCGTCCCCCCTGAATGTAGCAGACAAAGTAGCGTGTACATCACCAAGGAATCCGGTGGTGTGAAGCGCGGCGCATCCGCTTCAACACAACAAAGCCCGTAACTTCACTGCAACTGCGTTCGTCTGCGGAGTGCATCACCGAGAAAAAATCAACCAAGGGGCTCAACTTCAAACGGAGCATCTAGCTAATCGGACGTGCGAATCGAAGTGAAAATCGCCGTGAAGTCATGACGACCACTTCGATCTGAGCTCGTGTCACTGCATTATTGCATCGTAATTCTCGCTTCACTTGGACGGATACGGCTTGAGCTTGATCATCTGGTCGATGCTGGCCTCGTCCGCGTTCTCCAAGTGGCCTTGCTGCACCATCTCGTCCAGCGCCACGACTACCTTGGCGTAGTTCGCCAGCAGACTGGCCTCTGTGAGTTTCTTGTCCAATTGGGTCGTCAGCACTGCCTGCAGGACGCCCATGATCTCGTCCACTACAAAGCACCAAAAGCACGTCAAATTCTCAGCCTATTGCCTCTAACGCAGCACCTACAGCACGTACAGATGAGCTCGTCGTACTCCTCGTTGCCCGAGAGCATCAGCCGCAGCTCTCCAACGTGGCGGGCGACCACGAACTGCGACTCGCACACGAGCAGTTGGCTCGGCACCGGATCAGCGTCTTTTTTGCCTTGTCGGTTGCCCCAGAGCTCGGGCATTTGCTTGCAGATTAGAGCGAGCTGGGCCTCATACGTCCGCCGAGCTTCCAGCGTCAGCTCCGGCTGGAAATACCGCGACAGAAGCACGTAGTTGGCCTCGTTACAGCAGATCAAGCTGTGCAGCATGGCTGGCAAGACCGCACTTGTGCTCGGCTCTTGTTTTGACCAATGGAAAGATGGAAATTGGGGTTTCCAGCCAATGAGCGCTCCTGGATCCTGAAACGACGCAACCTTTCGTGTCCATTTTGCAATCTTCCTGCATCTAGCGCCGGACGTCATGGAAGGTGAATATGCGGCCATAGACTCTAGTCACCATGGTGTATAGCGCTAATGCATACTATGTTTGTGTATTGCATTGCTGCCGTCTAGAACCGATCAAGCGCTTGGCGCCCAGCGTCACGATCAGCGACTGCCCCTCGGAGGTCTTCTGCACGAGGTTTTCGCCCGACGGGAGGCTGCTGGCCGCAGGCTGTGGCGATGGAGCGATCCGAGTCTTCAACGTACACGACGGCAAGCTGTCGTACACATTGATGCAGCCGCAGAGCAGCTACGGCTTCGGCCTGCCGTGCACGGCCATCAGGTTCCGTCCACTTACAAGCGCCACCAAGACCAAGAACGTGCTGTTAGCCACGAGTATGTAAACACTTGGCTGCTGCGTGCGTGATGAACTATGCTGGGCTATCGAGCTGATGCTTTGCTTTGTGGCCATTAGATTCGAACGGGTCGGTGGAGCATTGGCACATCACGTCGGGCAAGTGTCTGAACGCCATCAGCAACAACCAGAACCAACTGTACGCTCTGGACTACCGCGCCGATGGAGCCATGTTCGCGACAGGAGGAAAAGACCACGCTATTCGAGTGTACGATGAAGCCACGAAGGCGGAGGTGGCGTGTATGGACGGAGGTCATGGCTCTCTCACTGCTGGCCACTCGAACCGCGTGTTTTCCATCAAATTCGTCCCTGAAGACGACAACACCCTCGTCACTGGCGGTTGGGACAACACGCTGCAGATCTGGGACTTGCGCGTCGGCCACTCGGTGCGTGGCATTTACGGCCCTCACGTGGCTGGGGACGCTGTCGACATGAATATGCGCGGAGAGATCCTCACAGGCTCCTGGCGTCCCGAAAATCCACTCGAGATCTGGGATTTCGGGTCGGGCAAGCGCCTGCTGACTGTGCCATGGAACCAGAGCGCTCTGCGGTCCGAGCCCTGCTTCATATACGCGGCGCAGTTCTCAAAGTCAAAAACTGGTCAACAGCTCATAGCCGCGGGAGGAAGCGGCTCCAACGAGGCCAAGGTCTTCAACCACGACTCGAACAACAGACTCGTCGGCACAATTGCAGGCCTCAGTCGTGGCGTGTTTTCGCTGGACTTTGCTGCGTTCAACGACAAAATGGTGGTGGCTGGGGCTGACGCAGCCATTCGCATCATCGACATCTACGACCACATTCCAGGCGAAAAGGGCCGCGAACGACCCACAACTCCATCGATCAGGTTCGACCCTCCTGTTCCTTGCTTTGCTTTGGTTTGTTGCTCTAACACTGGAGTGTACTGTCGCGACAGAAATGCGTTAATGCCAAATGAAAGCCTGACCCGCCTGGCATCGCCAACAGCGAGCACTGAGATGCTGAAGGGTCCGTCTTCACCGCTCCACAAGATGGCTGTAGACGACGACTAGTCTGTGGAAGGATAGCCAACAAAGGCAGAAGCTTAGCAGTGATGGATGGATGGATGGATGAATTTACTAGTATCAAGCTTAAACCATGGTATATTGTGGCCAACATGTTTCAAAACGTACAAAAGTACAGATCATCAATGTCAATTGTTCACATGCGTCTTGTAGCTGGCGATAGCGCGCACCTCCAGTAGACGCTCCATCCTACTTCTATTCCTTTTTTGCTAGTTGTATATGCACGCACTCTGCCGTCATCACTCGCGGACTCGGCGCTCCGTTACGTTAGATAGATCCGCTGCACAACCGCTGCTCTTCGAGGTCGTCTCCGTGGTGCCTCCGTCCGTGGGGGCCATGCCAGTGCCCGATAGGGTGGCCATTTCGATGGTCGTGGTCGTGGCCATTGGTGTGGCCGTTGGTATGGCCATTCGTGTTGTAGTTCGTGTATCCGTTGGCGTACCCAGCGGTGAGTCCGCTGTGGTCGATAACTCGGCCGTTCGACGGTGTGTACCGCAGCGGCGTGTGCTCGTTGTCTCGCTCGTCAAAGCTTTTCCGGCTGAAGCTACTGTACGAGTGCCCCTGAGGCGAAAGCGGCATGAGCGCGCCGAAATGGCCCGTCAAGTGCGCACGGTGGCCCGGAGTAGTGTGCTCGGGGTCTTCCGGGTCGTCACCCTCGTCTTCGCCGTGCTTTGCCAACAGGTAGATGCCCATGATAATGACTGCATCGCACAACAACAGAATGCATCGTTAGTCCAGTGAGTCGGATCAACTCCCCACCGGTCATAAAAAGCTAAAACTCACAGGCCAGCGCAATAGGCAAGCAGATCCAGTCGAAAAGCGTGAAGCGCGTGTACTTTTCGTAGAACACCACGCCGCCAATGACACTCGACTAAAACCGTCACAGAAACAGCAAAAAACCGATGTCAGTTGCTGGTTGAAGAAAAGTGAATCCTTGTCAAAGTCGAAATTCCAAAAAGATACGCACCCCGATCCAAAAGCACTGGAACATGGGGAACACACTCAGCGTGTCCCCGGCCATGATGGCGCGGTTCAGCAGATCCGTCTGCAGCACCAGCGTGCACATCATGCCGCCCATGAACAGGTACGTCGTGAAGTACACGAACTGGTTCTCGCCGCTAACCGTCAGGATCAGCAGGATCGACGCGCACTGCAGCACAAAAATTCCACACAACCCACATCAAAACTCACTCCAACCCTCAAACCCTTGAGCTCTCTGTACCTTGGCCAGCAGCACCGAGAAGGACCCGAAAATGCCCGACGCCGTCGCGTACATGAAGGGCAGCAGCCTGTACTTGGACTCGTTCAGCGCCCTCGGCAGTCTGGAGATGGCTTCAATCTGTCCGAAGATGCCGCCCAGCACAGCCGTCTGCAACGTTAAACACCATCCAAGCGTCAGCTTAAGCCCCTGCTTATCCTGTTCCTGTCTGCCTCACCATGACGCCCAGGTAGATGAGGAAGCCGAGCTGGAAGAACTGCTTCTCGAGCTCCAGCAGCGACATCTGCTCGTCCGGCTCGTTCGCCACCGTGCTCAGCACGACGCCGATGATGATGAGCAGCGTGCCCAGCACGTCCGTCTTGGTCAGGATCTGGCCCAGCCACAGGTGCGCGAAGAAGACGTTGGCCAGCACCGTGAAGCCGCCGCCCACGGACGCCACGAGCGCCTGCGGGGCGAAGCCCAGCGCCTCGAAGTCGCCGATGGCGCCCAGCACCACGAGCACGAGCCCCGTGAGCCACAGCGGCCGCGTGTAGTACGTCTGCCGCTCGAACACGGGCTTGTCCTCCTCCTGCGGCACGGACAGGATAAGCGTCAGTAGAAGAATGTCAGCTTAACCGGCACAATACAGGATAACACGTACCCGCACGTGCGAGAGCTTCTGCACGTTCACGCCGAGGTTGGAGAGCACGGCGGACGTGATGACGATGGCCAGCCCGATCCACTTGCCCTGCACGTTGTCCGCGTCGTCGTCGACGCCCACGAGGAAGCGCGCCACCGCCACCATTTGAGCCGCACTGGAGAGAGCAGAGGCTGATCGTCCGGCTAAAGTTTTTATTTATAGTCAGGTGTCTGAGCCTGAAGATCTGAGCGCGAAACGTGATATTTGCGGGAGAGAAATGCGCGCTGATTGGGCAGCCAAGGGGCGTCAAATATCAAAGTGCCTGCAATTTGCTGCAGAGGCAAGTGGTTTTAGGCCGTCGAGTTGTGAGTTTTTAGGGGCAGATAGTACTCGGCGTTAGCTACTCGGACTCCGAGTCGGAGTGTGGCGTCTGCAGTATCCGGGGTGGTGAATGCTGCTGAATAGTGCTTGCCTACGTGGCGCGCGGCGACGAGTGACGACACCAGTCCATAATCAGCGCGGCGGCTCGGCCAATGGGAGGAGAATGCCGCAGTGGGATTGTGCTGCCGGCACACCGGGATGGCGTGCCGGTGCTCGGTGTCCGAGAGCGAGGGTAAGTCTACGTGTGGGTTCCTTTGAGAGTCGGCAAGTCTCGATTGACATGGAGTTGCAATGCAAAGTTAGCCTCGAAACACGCATTTTTTGCATTTGAAACACGCGGTTCAGAGCGCCAATTTGTTACGGCTCAAGTGCACAGATAAGCCCGATACCTTTTCCATGAGAAAAGGGGGGAAGCTGCTCATTCGCCACACTTTGCAGCTCCTCGTGCTGAGCTGTACTTAGTACAGTACAGTGAAGATGAAGTGTCGTGGTGTCGCTGCTTACGCCGCTGTAGGGTGGAAGTAAGGGATGTTGTTGATCGCAGGTCACTACAGTATCCGGTCTGTCGGTTCGTAGTTGAAGTGCGCGGAGCAACAGTTGATTTTGGCACGAGGAAGTCGCGTCGTGCCGTCGCCTCTTTCAGTTGTGTCTGTGGCTCTGACTCGTTTCGCCGCTCAGCCATGTACAGTACATTACAACCGTAGAGGATTCATCGCCCCCACGCACGGCTTGAATTGGTTGCCTCTGCATTATTAATAAAATAATTATCATAATTTGTACTTGTACAACGCCCATTCCACATGTAATACTGCGTGTACGGGAGCTGTTGCTGCAAGCGGTCTACGGGAATTCCTTGATTAAAATACTTGTGGATCTCGATGCATCAAGCACATTACTTTTCGCGAGTACTGTACTGTATTACATTTTTATTGATCTTTTCACATCCTCTTGTACAGTGTGTAGTGTCGCGTGAACAATAGTGAACAATAGAATTAGAATTTTAGTACACATTTTGAAGTTAGATTGATAAGTTGCACGCGGGTCGCCGAAGTTAAGCAGTGCCAAGCTCACACAAGCCTTAGCCATAGATTATAAATTCTCAACAAACTCGGATCAGACAACAACAACACTCCTACATGTATTTCTCGCTTTTAGCCCGGGACCCAATGATCGATACTTCAATGATTCTACGCTCGTCCTTGGGTTTGAGCAGTCTCACTTGATCCGCTTGCTTGAGTTGTCGGGGCTGCCGACTGCTGCGTTGCCGTGTCAGCTGGCGTCGTGACGGGCTACAATGCCTCCTCTACAAATACATCCTAGTCACTTGATCTGGTAGGGCTGCATGCACTAGCCGGGGCTGTGATCGCTGAGTGGGTACTGTACTTCTGCGCCGCCTGCAGCTTCTTGAGCCACTCGCGAAGCTGCTCGTTATGCTCGCACTGGAACAAGTAGAGTCGGGTGAGGTGATGCACCGCCAAGCAGCACTGCCTGGGGATCTTGGCACCGCGCGTCCTAGAGACGGTCGTCCCTGCAACGCTCTCGTCTCCTTCCTCGGGAGACGCGCTGTAGACGGACCCCAACTTCTTCGCGGCAGTTCGATGAATTGACGATGTAATAGGGACGACGCGCACGTCCGTGGCGTGGGCCATGTCGACAACGTCCGAGGCCAGGGTGACTCCATAGTGGCGGTAGATCCGCAGCACTCCGTCGGCCAGCACGCACCAGCGGGCGCTCGTGTGGAAGCTCTCCAGAGTCGATTTCATGTTGAGATAGCCGCAGTGCGAGTGCTGCTCCCCAAAGGGGCGAATGTGGGCACTCACGAACCATCTTGGTCTCCCTCTGCTGCCCCTGCTAAGGTCCTTCTCGTCAATCTCGTCGATGAACCTGGGGGCGTTGCCTCCTGCGTCCGCTAGCGACAGCGGCTGGTGCTGCGCCGTCTTGGGGAAGATTTCCACGTGCTCCATGAGCTCCAATTCCGTCGCAAGCCCCGTCCGCCAACTGTCCCCCGTCTCGAGCAGGCGCAGCACCGCCTGGCCCAGGAAGAAGGTGTTGGGGCCGTTCTTGCTCAGCAAAGTGAAGCAGAAGGTGGCGTTGCCGTCCGCTCCGGGCACAAACATCTTCTCGGGCCACACGATATCGAGCTCCGTTGTTCCGAGAGCGGTCGGCTTTCGGACACTGGTCTCGAAGCAGAAGAGCTGCGTGTCCTCGTCATCCCCCGAGACCACAGTGATGTACAGGAAGGGGTTGCACGAGAAGCCGTTGCCCAGCCGCAGCTCGTCCAGCGAAGAGGAAGAAGAGCAGCTAATCCCCAGTCCGAGGCTTTGACCAGTGGTGCCGGACGGGAAGACCCCTCTTACTCGCAGAGCATCCATAGCGTAGGGCTTGAGTCGCATGCGCTGCAGCCGCTCGAAGTGCTGTCGAGCCTGTCGTCCCCGCAGCATGGCTTGGATCTTGATGATGGAGGCCTTCTTCTTAGCGAACGCGTCGGCGTCTCGCATCATGCGCACGTACGCAGTCAGAGCGTTGGCTAGAACTTGTCGCTGGGCTGTCAGGTGAGCAGATCGCGCCTCGGCGGATCGCTCGTCATACTCCACCATGAGGTCGCTGTTGCAATGCGAGCACAGCCACGAGGTGAAGGGCGTGTTGGTCGTGCTGGTGGTGGGGACGACGAACGTGAGCTTCGTCTTCTTGTCTTCCTTCTCGTAAGCTGCGAGGTAGCAGCGCGCGTGGGCCACGATGTTGCACGTCGCGCACTCGAGCTCACCCCCGGCGAAGTTGCAGTAGTCGCAGCGTGACGCGCGTTGGCAGCGCGTACTGTCGAAGAGGAACCGCGTCGGCACCACCTTCGGAGGGGGCTCCAGCGCCGACGCCTTGATCTTCTCGTGGTAATTCTTCTTGATGATGGCCTTGGTGGTGTCCACGAAACTACTCTGTCGGTACTGTCGATGGAACACGATGAAGTCGCTGGCCTGGCGACGCAGGAGCGACAACTTCGAGCCTTGACGCGTTGGCTGTGGACCCCCTTTGGCGTTCACGTTCATTTCGTCCAGGACCGTTTGCAGGGACTTGCGGTGTGGCTGTCGGTAGAGTACGGTGTCTTCGAAGCGTTCGAGGAGCGGCGCAATGTCGCCATGAAACAAGTCTCCTTTGGATTGGTCGTGGAACTTGTTCGCCCAGTACGACGAGGAGCGCTGCTTTCCATCACGACTAGACGCAGTGTGGGGTGACTCCAGTGCATCGGATTCATGCTTGGCTCGGGGCTTGGCGAGCGCTGGCGTCGAAAAGGGCGAAGTGACAGATTTCCGTAGCTTGACGTCAGCGTTGCTGGTGCTCGTAGTAGGGCTGTCTCCACCAGCTTTCACCGGTGGCAGGCGTGGCAACGAGCTTGAACCACGCATGGCACCAAAGCGATCAGCGCCTAGTAAAAGAGTAGAGGACACGGTACGCATTTAGATCGTGTTCCAAAGAAGCAGCACTTGCGAACGCTTGTCTAGTCTTCTTATCGGCTTTTTAAAGCAGACTGCCGTTGCTGGACTAACGCAGTGCTTCATCTCATCCCATTTTGGCGCCTTGGGTCAGGATGGAACACTTTGTTCGCGTACTTCTTCAATTCGCCACGAACTTTACTGGTTTGTCAGTGTTTTCATGTTATCATCTTCTAGCGTTGAAGTGGGTTTTGGAAATTGGCACCGCAATGCCAAGCTCAATACTAGTCATCATTACGAAAGCGCCACCAATGCCGATTCAGAAAACATGTTTAAACATGCGTTTAGCGCCCGATTTCAGATTGTGAGCTCCTTGAGGAGATAACGGTGATCAACAGATTAAAACGGCGTTGGTGTGACAGGTTGCAGCATGTCCCCCTGCTCTGTTGCTTCATCTCACCCGTCTTGTCACACACAGCACGCATTGCATCGAAAAAGGTCGGGTGACGCCTCACTCGACAATTCATAGGGAGGTTGCGGAGATGTCTTCCCTTCCTGCCTCCAGGAACAAGGCAGCCAGAGCCTCGAGAGAATCGACGTCGTCGTCGAGGAATCGATGGTAGGGGCGGGTTTCTTGCGTCCGTGGCGATGATGCTTCTGGGCAACTTCCTGGTCATCAAGGCGAGTTTGAACTCCTTCGAGCTCGCCAGGACCAAGATCAGGACGAGAACCATAATGCAAGGTGACGTCGAGGCCTCAATCGTTAACGTTATCCTGCGGAGCGAAGACGACGGGGATGCCGTGACGAACACGACGGAGGAAGACGACAGCGCAGTTGAAACGAGAATCAGCGTGGATCAAGACGATGCCGACGTGATACTAACCCAGTTTCCGCGACAAACAGAAGCCACAAGTCCAACCATATACAGCACAACCCAGCATGATGACACTGCAGTTCCGGTAAGCACTGACGGTGCAGCAGCTACGGTCGATATCATCGTGCCAAGCTCGGATCCAGTCTATACAACCCAAGCTGCGGTGATTCGTGTGGAGGACGGCAAGAATATGCCCGTCGTGGAAGATGCCGACGCATCGATAGCCCCAATCGAAGGGGAGCAAGCGGATCCGTTGGTTGCTACTCAACGGACTGGTGAAAGATCTACGCTCTTCGTCGAGATCGTTTTGCACCTATGGCTCCAGTAGCACTCCGTATACGTTCTACCACGTACCTGAAGCAGAATTCAGCGCGACACAGCTCAACAATCTGGTGCTCGACATGCGAGGCGCCCAAGTAGCTGGAGACATTACATCCGTGGCGCAAGACGGAGGCCCAAAATTCAAATATAAACCGCACTCGGTCTTCTGCAGTTGTGACGATCCTCAAGATGCACCGCATGGAGCACCAAACATTTGGATAAATCTCCTCGCTGGAGCCCCGACCACCGACTACTTTGTGTGTGAGAGTTCATCATCGTCAGAGATGACTAACACCACATTGATCCTAGATCGGGCAGTTGTCGTCGCTCGGAGAGACGACCACAACCCATTTTTCCAGATATCGGGCATCCTCAACGCGTGGATCATGATGAAGGTGCTTGGCTGGGACAGCAGCTCCACACAACTCGTGACACTTGATCGAGCGCTGCCATCGCCCGTCGATGAACTACGACATGTCATGCTAGGGCCCGACCGTCCAATAGTCGGCGGTGACGAGCTTCAACAGCATTTCGTGCGCATTGAGACGGCGTTGTTGGCTCCGTACGAGGCGCGAGGACCGATGATGAGCCACTTCAACGACGATCAACCTTGTCACGCCAACGAAATGATCAAAAACTTTCGAGACGAAGCTCTTCGAAGCATGGACGTTGTCTCGCACAAGACCGATCCGAAGCGATGGCTGGTTACCGTCATCTCGCGAAGCCCCTACAGCGGTCGGCGGATCCAGCGGATGTGGCGGAACGAGGACGACATCCTGAACCTCATGCGCTCGGAATACAGAGACGCCTATCGATTCGGGGAGTGCGAGTTCCAGTCGCTCGACTTTGTCAACATGACCATGCGCGACCAGATGCAGACGATGGTGGAGAGTGACGTCGTCATCGGCATGCACGGCGCCGGGATGGTCAACGTCATGTGGACTCGACCTGAGACTCTCGTTGTCGAGATCTTCCCTCGGTTTCGGCGGCGATGGGGGTATCGGAACCTGTGCCAGTATCTCGGGTGCTCGTGGCATGAATTTCGTGAAGGATCAGACTTATTCGTCCGCATCACAGACCCAAACGACATGGACAAGTTTGTTCCCTATCACGACTGGAAAAGATTCTTCGACCCGCACTTCCGTGAGACCGTTGCGAAACTCGAGACGAAGATTGAAGCGACATAGGCATTTCTTGCTAGGTACTTTAGGCTAAAGACTACGCTAAAGTTTATCGTAGTTTTGGCTAGGCTAAGAGCAGACTTTGGTCAGACTTGCAGAACGTACAGGATTTGAATTAAATGCATCAGCTTTCTCTTCTCGCAGAACTTATGGATGACCACGACAAGGACGCGGACTCAACCTGAGTCTTACACCAGCGGCTTGTACTGCTCACGAGTCTGACGTTCGCGGAGCTTGAACGCCACAGCGGCAACGGCAGCCACAAACGCAACAGCGACAGCAACACCAAAATGTCCAAAGCTGTGGTGGTGATGCGCTGCGAAGTCGGTGACCGCCAAGCCCGTTCCATCGATGACGATCGAGTTCCCCAAGCCCGAGTACACGCTTACATGAGGCGAATCGCCGAACCAGGCCGCCTTGAGAACGATCGTAAGATTCGTTGGCGCTCGGGTAGGAGGCAGCGATGGGCGGTGCGTCTTCACCTTGTTGTACTTGGCCGGCTTGACGTTGCTGTGCTTCCTGAAGATGGAGCTGGACACGATGCGCTGCGGCGGCGCGTTCACGTACTTGACAGACCCGCCACCCACCGACGTGAGGGTGTCCGTGGTCTGAACAATGGCCTTGCCGTCTCCAGATGTCTGCACTGTCGAGGTCTTGCAGACGATGGACCCGGCGTAGACGGAGGCGTCTCCACTCAAACGAATGGCCTCGTTCACGCACGACCCAGCAGACGAGTACGACACCTTTCCGTCTCCCGACAGACTCGCCGCGAGCGTCTGGGCCTGGAGGTTCGCCGTCTGCACGAAGACCTTGCCATCACCCGAGACGGACGACAGCATCGAGTCAACTGTGATCGTGTCCGTAGCCTCAACGATTGCCTTGCTGTCTCCAGTGAGAGAGATGGTGAGGCTGTTGGCTTGGATGGAAGAAGCCAGGAACTGCACCTTGCCGTCGCCAGAGCTCTCGATGTCAATGGACTTCAGCTCGTAGTGGTCTTGGGTCAAGGAGCCCACGTAGACGTCGACGTCGCTGCTAACCTCAAAGTTCAGACTGGCGGACGGATCGTTGGCCACGACAACTCCGTCGCCCACCACGATGCCGTCCGCGTGGATGGCGCTCAGACTCGAGACCACGTTCGGGTCGCTCACGATGATCTGCGTGACGATCTCGCCCGCCACTCGAGCGTTCTCGTTCGTGTAGTGGACGCGGAAGCCGCTGCCCTCCGCGCTGTGGATGCTGACGTCCACGATGTCGAGCATGTCCGGCGAGCTGCTGCGCAGGACGACCTTGGCAGCGACTCCGCTCTCGGCCGTGCGGAGAGAAGCGTCGTAGTCCACGAAGACATTGCCAGCGACTTGGACCTTGAGGTCGTCGAGCACGTCTCCGTCTTCCCCGCTCACAGTCCAGACCTTCTCGATGAAGGCCCCTTTAAGGCCGTTGGCACGAGACGGCTCCGTGGACGTGACGGAGAGAGCTCCTTCAGTGACCGTCGGGGCCAGCGCGAAGACGAGGGCAGTAAACAGCGAGGCGCGCAACATGTCGAGGCAGCGTATGGGGAATTGGAATGCGCGTGATGTAGTGAGCTGCAGACGGTAAATTGCGTTGTGAGTGTCGAGCGGGGCCTGCAGCGCGTGCCAAGGCGAATCGTAAGTTGAAGTACACACATTCCTGAAACTAGTATCGGTTTTCTGGAACTGTGATCGTTTTGGTAGGATATTCGAAAGAAGAGGCAATAATGATTGTAAATCGGGCCTAAAAAACGGATGTGGACACATAATCAATTCAAACAGTTCCTTCAGCGGGGGACGCAACAATCATTCATCGCGAGCTAATCCTTATGATCAGCACAAACGCACGTCTGGCCACTGGACGGCGTCCAGTGCTTCCAAGCTCTGCTTGCAGTCGCGCCATCAATGCTGCGGCTGGAAGATGCTGAAGAAGGTTGCAGCAATATTACTATCTAAGCCCAGGATGTACGTACTCGGTGATAAGCTTATCCTCAACTTGGCCTACACGTATACTCTGCGTTGTGCCCCTATGAGCGGTTGACGTTGCTCCTCGCGCGCGCGTCGCCGAGACTCGTTGAACCACCGCAAGACCAGCGCCACGAGGAAGACGACGCCTGCAAGGTAGACGATGTTGCTCTGATCGATCGTCAAGGCATAGTGAAACTCCTTTCCGGTCAGAGCTCCACCTGCTTGGCTCGACGAGTTGGTGCTTGTCGCTACGAGAGACGGGAACGGGTTCGACTTGCACCCCGACGGGTGATACGAGCTCGACGTTGGAGTCGCAACCACGAGTCCCATGTAATTCACGTTGTCAATGGAGTGAGGAGCTGCGCCAAAGTAACGCAAGTGGCCGCTTCCGTAGACATCGCCCGACAATGAATCCGTAGCTTGTACGACGACATTCCCGCTGCCCAACAGGTCAATGTTGACGTTGCGGCATTGAACTCCACCAATGTCGATAGTGCCAGACCCGCCAACTGACACCTCCGCGTCCTGACATGACCCTCGCGGCCCGAGCGAGACGTCTCCATTTCCCACCTTCTGGATCTGGAGGTGCTTGATCTCCAACGACGCGTCGGCACCAAGGCATAAAGACCCGGAGCCTTGGACTGCCATTGCCAACGAGTCTGTAGTACCCGTGGATCCAGTCATTATGGTGGCGCCACCTGAAGACGTGACCTTGAGTGACAGCGTCTTGACATCGAACTCGGAGAACAGGCCCTGGAGGCGCCCGCTGCCTTCCGAACTGAGTGTGAGCTCGTTCACTGTGACTGGCGAAGAAGTTGTCAGATAAACGTCTCCACTCCCAGCCGCACCAACCACCAAACTTTGTCCACTTGTTATCAGCACATTATCTCCGATTGATACGTCCCCTGAGCCGAGGTTCACTACGCGTTGCACGCGCTCCTGGCGTAGAATCACCACGTCCAGCTTCTCCTCGGTGGCTGAAATCTGCAGTACTGGCAAACCGTCGACCTCAAGCAGCCGAGCCGCAACACTCTGCGGTTCCGACGAGCTGCTGCCTCTGACCTTTACTCGAGCCACGTCACCATCCCCCACCGAGTCCAGAGCCTCGTACCGAAGCGCGACATCGTTGCTGCCCGTGACAGTAACAACGAGAGCTTGGTCCTCGTCGCAAAGACCCTCGCTAGGAGTGCAATGCACTGTCCAATACGGAGCTGCGTCGACGGAGAACGTGTCACTCATCGTTGAGCTGGCGTACAGCGCTCGGAGTAGATGCGAGAACGAGGACCCACTCAGACTTGGCACTCCGCCGCGCTGAAGTTTACAGCGTGAACAGCTGGCGATTTGACGTGCGATCAACGTACCGCGTCTGCTGCGTTTTTGGCACTGCAACTCCAGACCCGAGCTCTCAAGAAACGTCGTTCGTGACGGAATACCCGTCTTTCATTCAATTTTCATTGATAATTCCTCATGAATACTTGCCAATTGGCATCAAGGTTTCTTGATAGCGACGTCACGTTTCAAACATACACGCGCCGTTGCGCTTGAAGCAGCGGCTGGCGTTGTTCCTCTCGAGCTCGACGACGAGAGTTGTTGAACCAACGGAGTACCATCGCCACGAGAAACATAACTGCGGCCAGCGGGACGATGTTGTCCTTCTCACGGTCGATGCCATTCCACACGATGCCGACTGCATCCGAGCTGCCCTCAGCCGAGTCAAGCTCAACGCCAGCGTTCCCAGGACTTGTCGACATCATGGCGCCACTTGAGACCGAAGCGTATTTCGCCTTGATCGCTGGAGTTTTGTGGCGCTTGCAGCTTGCCGGGAGGTACGAGCTCTCGACAGTACCCCGTGCTAGTGAACGCATGCGGTGGCTGGCCAGCAAATTTCACGTCTCCATCACCGTAGCCCTCAACAGCGAGCGAGTTGGCAGCTTGCACGATAACGTCTCCACTGCCCATGAGATCGACATCAACGTCATCGCACTGCACACCGCCGACATCCAGTTGACCCGATCCTTGCATTGAAACCTTCGCAGTCTGACAAGATCCCCGTGGCCCGACCGACAAGTCGCCAGCTCCGGTTTGTTGGACCACGAACTGATTCACCGACATGGCAGCGCCCCAATTCAGACACGCATCTCCTGATCCCTCCGCTACGACCGACAAGTTGTCCGCATCACTGTCCGAGTTGACGAACACCGCAACGTCCCCGGAAGCGTAATACTCCACCAGGAACTTAGACACTCTCACCTCCGCGAAGGAGACTTGCAGCTGTCCACTGCCCTTGGAATTCAACGTTAAAGTGTCCACCTGCACGGTCTCCGAGGTCGAAACGTACACGTCGCCACTGCCACGCACAGCGATGGACAATCCAGGACCCATTATTGCCAGCACGTTGTCCTCAATCACAACGTCACCGGACCCTCGACTCTCCAGGCGCTGCAATTGGTCCTTATGTAGCAGCACCACTTCGATCGTCTTCTTGGACGCTGTGATGTCCAGCATGAGGAGACCCTCTGTGGTACTTAGCTGGACAGTAACGTCCTTCGGGTCGTGGACGTCCCCCTTGATGACTCGCACTCTTGCAACCGTATTGCTGCCATTGGGCTCGTCGTCGGGCGCCTCGTAGCGGATGAACACGTCGCGACTGCCCTGGACGCGCACGGCGTCCACCCGTTGGGCATCACAGGATGGGCTGCTGCCGGCCTCACATTGCACAGAGGCCCAGAGAGGCACCCTCGACTTGGCTGCAATTGTGGTGTTAATCTCCAAGCCCGACGCGCTCGTGGAGGACAGAATCTCCATTGCGCAGCCCCATGCAGATCAGCAATTGATGCGTCGGTGGATCTGCTGAGCTGATGGATACAGAAGTGTACCACACCAAGTGAAGCTTTGCGTTTCATTGGTGCAAATACGGAACTGGCTTGATAGGCAAGTTGTTGTTGAAGAAGTTCTTGCCAGCACAGACAACTTGCCAGAATTGAGCAGGAGGCGAGAGACGATTTATAATTCTCATTATCATGGTTTGCTAAAACTTACTATCAAAGGCATAATTCTCATTATCATGGTTTGCTAAAACTTACTATCGATACAATTCATAGCACGCAGTGTGTGCGTGGATTTTTCTGTGTGCCGGTCACGGCCCGACTCACGGGAGTAGCGTCTGGTATCTGCTGCGCATCCGGCGCTGCTTGAACTTGAACGCGGAGAAGGCGACGAACGCCATGGCTACAAGAGCCACCTCGAACAGCACGAGAGCGCTCATACTCTCAGGCAGCGAGGAGCTCAAGTTCTGCAGTCTCATCGTCGGTTCCATCACTGGCCGCACGTGGACGTAAGGACTGTCATCGTTGTTGGCTGTCTCCACAGTCAGAAAAACGCCCGTGGCAGCTCGGTTGGGTGGGCTGAGAGGTGCGTACTGCGCGGACGGGATAGCATCGGCCGGCTGGATGCTGTTCTCCAGCACGAGGCCCGACGTCTGGATCGACTTGGGGCGTCCGTTCACATACTTGATCGACCCCGTTAGCAGTAATGTGGCCGATAGCCGCTCTGTAGCTTGAAGCACCACTTCCCCAACGCCGATAATGCTTACATCAGCATCCTTGCACACAATGGACGCAGAGTTCACAGAGCCTTCAGCAGCGAGGCGGATCCTCTCTGTGCCGCAAGAGCCCGATGTAGCGTACGAAACCTCGCCGTTGCCCACGATCTCAGTTGCGAGCGTCTCAACCTGAAGGCTTGGTGTCTGCACAAAGACCTTACCAGTTCCAGCGACAGCAGACTCCAGCTTGTTAGCAGTGAAGCTCTCCTCAGCCAGCACAGCTACGTGAGCCGAGCCAACCAACGAAACCACGAGTTCAGCGACCTTAAGTGACGTGGCCTGGAACTGAACACCACCGTCGCCTGAAACAGCAATGCCGACCGAGCGCACCCCAATTGAACTGTTGGCTCCTGAGTCGACGAAGATGTGGCCACTGCCGTGCGTGGAGAAATGCAGACTTGCCGCTTTGTCATCGTTCACAATGACGTCTTCTCCAACAACGACGTTTTGCGTATTGGTTGCGCTGACGGAGCGTAAAGCACTAGGCTTGCTCAGTAAAATCTGCGTCGTGACGAGACCCTCGACGTGCACTTGCTGGTTCTTGTAGTGCAAGCGGACGCCGCTGTCCACGCCAGCAGCAGCACTGTCTCCTCCAATATCCGTGACATCCACCGCTTCCAGCAGCTTTGATGTGCTCGCGCGCATCACAACCTTGGCTGCTACTCCGTCAGAAGACTGGAGGGAACTGTCGTAGTCCACGAACATGTTGCCAGCCACTTGAACTTCGAGCTTGTCGAGGCTCGCAGCGGAGACCGTCCACGTCTTTTCCAGCAGTTCGTCCGATGACGGGGTGATGTCCGAGGAGGTGACGGCAGCGGAGGCCACTGCGGCCACCAGGAAGAGGTACAGGACGGCCAAGAGAGTTGAAGTGCGCTCCATCGTGACAGTGCAGAAGTGGAGTGCGCAAGAGGCGGCCGTTTGGACGTTTGGATTGTGAGCTCGTCGATGCCTTTTGACGGCTCAAAAACAGTGTGGCACCACACAAACTCGGGTAATCTTCTATTAGGTTGCTCAAATGTTGCTTTAGAGCGTTTGTATTTTGACCACCATTCGTTCGTGTTTACACGTACAAATGAAGAGCGTCAGAGCCATACAAATATGAAGTGTTAAATAAGTGCTCTTGTGCTGAGGCACTGATCATCAATTTAAGGGCATATGCTAGATGGTATGCTGTAAAAGCGTCGGAAGTGCAGGCAATCCGACAAAAATGTCCATGCATGACGGTGTCCGCTGTCAGTACGCGCCCAATTTGCAGATACAATACGTCGATTGAGCGAGGCCCTATGCTAACCACGTACCAAATACAAAAATAGGATTGCCTCCGCTGCCTCTGCTGCGCTTGAGTGATGGTGTATTCGGTTGGAGCTTGGAAAGCGTATCTTGGTCCAATACACGTATCATGGTTTTGGCATGGAGTCCCGCGACGCTGGGGTGCAATGGGGGGGGGGGGGTTGCAGTCTCCTTCGCTGAAGAAGGCAGGAAGGACCCGGTTGGTTAGTGAGCGGTTGCTATTATTGCAGGGTCGCATTAGTCGATGGGTTGGTCAGTTGCAACCGCCGGCCGATAACTCCCCGTTGGTTTCGCTGGAGAGCGCTACAACCTCTTCGCCAGTCTGAATCGCGCCGCCATGATCAAGGACAAGGTGCCGACCGTCATGGTCTGCGGCGCTCGCCGCCGCCTACCGGAGACGGTGGGCCTCGTGCTACTGCTAGTGACCGCGCTGGTCATGGTGTCTCGCGTGGTAAACTTGTCCGAAAGCACCACTGGTTTCATGAGCCAGACAGAGCTCAACGTCCCTGCGCGCCAGAGTGACGCCCAGCACACGCTTTGGCTGCAGCAGCAGCTAGATCTATCGAGGACCCGCGGCACGCAGCGGACTCGTCCCCCTCACATCTACAACGACAAGGAGACACAGCGCAAGTGCTACATGGAGCGGGACATTGGCATCATCGGCGCCGTTCAGCATGCTGCCAAAACCTTCTGCACGAGTGGAGGCTGGGACAAGGAGAAGCAGCAGCCTGTGAGTCCCAACAAGGCGACGAAGGTGGCCACGTTCCGAGTTCCTGGAGGCATCAAAAGCGCCACGTTCCAGAACCTCATGCTCGACCTCATCGACGTCAAGATCAACGCGCCCATTGCGAGCATGGCGCAGGACGGCGGCAAGCACGACCCGCGCTTCAACTTCAATCCGCGGCTCATCAACTGCGCGTGTGATGAACTCACCGACTATTTCTCCATGCTTCCCGGCGACCAGGAGCGAAATGGAGAACAGATCTGGAAGCCGTCGCTCATGTCGTTTCCTAGTGGAGTTCCCAATACCTCGATATGCTCGACCGATAGACCCCCCACTCGTTCCGCTTGGGACTTTGTGAAGAATCCGACGACGGCACCTGACGGCAACGAGACGGTCGTGTTTGAGAACCCGGTGGTGCTCATCTCCCGCCGAGACGACCACAACCCGTTCTTTCAGATATCGTACGCACTCAACTCGTGGGTCATGCTCCAAGCTTTGGGCTGGGACCTTACCAAGACTCAAGTGATCCACCTGGACGGCGGCTACCCGTCCCCAATCGACGCGTTGCACCAGGGTCTCTTGGCGCCAAACAACGAGCTAATTGAAGCCTCCACGCTTATGGGCAAGCGCGTGCACTTCCGTGGAGACGTCCTGCTCGCACCTTATGAGCTGTCCGGCCCAATGATGCAGCACCTGAATGACAACGAGCCGTGCTTCGACTCGGAGCTGCTCAAGACCTTCCGTGCCCAATCGCTGCTGTCGCTCGGCATTACCCCGGAGGTTGAACGCACGATTGGAGTCACCACAATTCGCCCGATGATCGTGACGGTGATCACTCGCCGGCCATACGGAGGTCGAGTACTGCAGCGCGTGTGGGTGAATGAGGACGAGGTCATGGACAAGATTCGCGTCGAGTATCAGCACCTGGACGTCGTGTTCCGCTCTGTCGAGTACGTGAACCTGACGCTCGCCGAGCAGATGAGAACCACCATCGAGAGTGACATGATCATCAGCATGCACGGTGCTGGCCTTGTCAACGTGCTGTGGTCGCGCCCAATGACGACGATCCTGGAGATCTTCCCCAAGGAGAGATTCCGCTGGGGGTACCGAAACTTGTGCCAATTCGTGGGCTGCGACTGGCACCAGTTCCGAGGCGGAGAGGACATCGGTGAGGACCCAGTGCCGAACACCAAGAGTAAGAAGATCCCGTACGACGAGTGGATGGAGTTTTTCGTGCCGCTATTCAACAGCACGTACGCAGCGTTCGAAGAGCAGCAGGCGGTACTGCGCGGCGACGATTAGTTGAGTGCTAGCCTCGATAATACACGTTCCAATTACATGTACTTGCGTGGTATTTCGCGCTGCGAGTTTTGTCAGCCTTACTGTAAGGCTTGTGCCAGAGCAGTGGACGCCACGACTAAATTGTTGAAGTTGAAGACCAGACCACCGGGTTACATATTGTGCCACCGAGATCCCGCAGTTCGGCACGTCCTCATGCACGTATATCTATCTGTGCACGGTCTACAAAACGCTGACGATCTATTGCCTATATTGGCATTGCCACGGGCTCATCCGAAGAGCCTTCTCAAACTTTCAGAAGAATCCGTCGAGCGTGCAAATCCCGGCGTCCTCCTCCTCTCGCTGCTCGACGCCAGCCGTCTTATCGTCGTCTGACACAGCCGAAGGCGGCCGACCCCCACGAGCAGCCAAGCACTTCCATAAGTCTTTAAGATTAAGCCCCCACAATCTGCTGTAAGCTACGGCACCAGCCGCCCAGCAGCCAAGCACGTGGCCGCTTCGTCGGAGCAGAACACATCAACCCCCTCAGGCTCGACTATCCTGTCGTCTCGTCGTCTGTTAATCATGTCGCGCTCCCCGATTCGCGGAAAGTCTTTTCGTCCAATCGCCGGTCGCCACATCCAGCAGCCCAAAGTCTCCTCTCTTCCGAGCCAAAGCCGACCGCGCACATCGGGATCGGACCGGCCCTGCCCTGCAGCATTCCGTCGCTCTCCCCGCCCCCCGCCATGCCCAAGGCCGACGCGGCGCCCTCCACGGCCGTGTCCGTGTCCCCCGCCGCGCTGCGCGGCGGCCGCCGGCGCCTGATCCAGACGCTGGCGCTCGTGCTGCTGCTGCTGGGCGCGCTCTCGATGGTGGCGCGGGTCGTGGACCTGTCGGCCGCCACGAGCAGCTTCAGCACGAGCGCCAAGAGCCAATCAGGGCTCAGCGTGCGCGGCCCCGTGCGTCACAATGGCTACACCAGCGGCAAGACGACGGCGAGTGACGTCGACGGCGCGTCCGGCAACTTGAAGGCAACTGCCGCCGCGCCCACGACGGCGCCCGTGGTGGCGCAACAGACGCTGGAGCAACTCAAGAAGCAGGAGCAACTCAAGACGCTCGTCGTGCAGCGCACCAAGGCCCCGCACGACTACAGCAGCCTCGAGACCAAGAACAAGTGCTACGCGCAGCGCGACGTGGGCATCATCGCGGCCGTGCAGAAAGCCGCCAGGAACTTCTGCGCCAACGGCGGCTGGGACGCCCAGAAGCAGGCCCCCGTCAGCCCCCAGCAGGCCACGAAGGTCTCCACGTACCGCGTGGGCGGCGGCATCAAGGCCGCGACCTTCCAGAACCTCATGCTGGACCTGGTGGGCGTCGCCATCCACGCGCCCATCAAGAGCATGGCCGAGGACGGCGGAAGGCACGACCCCAGGTTCAACTTCAACCCGAGACTCGTCAACTGCGCGTGCGACGAGCTGGCCAACCACTTCCGCAAGCTGCCGGGCGACAAGGAGCGCAAGGCCGAGCAGATCTGGTACCCGACGCTCATGGGGCTGCCCGGGGACGGCATCCCCATGACGACCATCTGCAGTCCGCGGAAGCCCGAGAACAACAAGCGCTCGCCCTGGGACTTCGTCAAGAACCCGCTCCGGGCGCCCGACGGCAACGAGACCGTCGTGTTCAAGGACCCGGTCGTGCTCATTGCGCGCCGCGACGACCACAACCCGTTCTTCCAGATCTCGTACGCGCTGAACTCGTGGATCATGCTGCAGGCGCTGGGCTGGGACATCACCAAGACTCGCGTGATCCACCTGGACGGCGGATACCCGTCGCCGATCGACGCGCTGCACCAGGGAATTCTGGCGCCGCACCACGAGATCGTCGACGGATCGACGCTGATGGGCAAGCGCGTGCACTTCCGCGGGGATGTCTTGGTGGCCCCGTTCGAGCTGTCTGGCCCCATGATGCAGCACCTGGATGATGGAGAACCGTGCTTCGAGTCGGAGCTCATCAAGACGTTTCGCGCCAAGTCTCTTCTGACGCTGAACGTGACCCCGGAGGTGGAGCGCGAGCTTGGAGTGACGTCTATTCGCCCCATGATCGTGACGGTGATCACCCGCCGACCGTATGGCGGTCGCACGCTTCAGCGCGTGTGGGTAAACGAGGACGAGGTGATAGCCAACATGCGGATCGAGTACAAGGGCCTGAACGTCGAGTTTCGATCCATCGACTACGTGAACCTGACGCTGGCGGAGCAGATGCGGACGACCATTGAGAGCGATATGATTATTAGCATGCACGGCGCTGGTCTGGTGAACGTGATCTGGGCGCGGCCGATGACGACGGTGGTGGAGATCTTCCCCAAGGAGCGGTTCCGCTGGGGATACCGCAACATGTGCCAGTTTGTTGGCTGCGACTGGCATGAGTTCCGTGGAGGCCAGGACATCGGTGACGATCCGGCCCCCAACACGAAGAACAAGCGCATTCCGTACGACGAGTGGATGGCCTTCTTCCACCCACTCTTCCGCCAAACCTATGGCGCTTTCGAGGAGCAGCAAGCGATTTTACGTGGAGAGGCATCGTAAGCCTCAGTGAGTTATTTGCGTGGCCCGCGAGCTCTGCAGTAGTGCGCGATTCAAGTTGCAGCCAGCATGATGCAGCTGAAGAACCCCAGAGCACCCGGTCTATCTACTTTAGAGATGCAGCAATTGAGGAGTGCAGATGATACGCATGTGACCTCCGCTCATCAAGGAACACGAGTTCATGGAAGATTATACGTACGTTTTGAAAGCGAGGATTGCGGCCCAGTTACCGTGAACTAGCTCGCGTGGAAGGCTACCCCCAGTCCGCTCGTGTGTACAAGTACCCAAATGGCCATTCACGTCTTCTCTGAACTCTGATCACACTTTTATTGATTCATCCCTCTGGATTATTTAGCTTCTGTGGGTGGAATTGCTGAATTGTACTCACGATGGAGTGTTGTGTGTGTATGGATGTATGCAGGTGCTTCGGTGCAAGATCTGAATTGTCGGCAGCAAGTTCGGAGCTGCCTCAAAAATCGGCCGCTGGACGCGGGCGTTCGTGGAGGACTCGGGGTATTAGCAGTGGTGCTGGTGGCATGCTTGGACGTTGCTGCTGTGCACCTGAGCGATGTACTGCTTCTCCTCGAAGTGCAGCGTGCACAGGTGCTCGGTGCGCTCGTAGGCCGGACGCGCGCAGCCCTCCATCGCGCAGCGCTTGCCGCCGCCGTGGGCCCAGCAGACGCCGTTGGAGACGGAGATGGTGGTGCAGCCGCTGAACGAGCAGAGGGTGCCGCCGCCGTGCGACCAGCAGACGCCCTTGGTCTTGGCGCGGTTGGCGCAGTCCGGGACCTTGCATTTGACGGAGCCGCCGTGACGCCAGCAGCGGCGAGCGTGCTTGGCCCGACTGGTGCAGCCTTCGACCATGCAGTACTTGCTGCCCTTCTTGACGACCGTGCCGTTGGCGAGCACCACTTCAGATTTGCCCGAGACTTTCGTGCTGCCGTTGGACACGCTGACATTCTGAAGACGGCGGCGCTTTGCGATCTTGGACGGGCCCGACGGAGGAGCGAGCACCGGGGCGAACGTCTTGTTGGAAGACCCTCGCTGCGGCGACGTCCACGGGAACGAAGGCAGCATCGCTGGCTTCGCGATGGCCTTCTCGCTCGAGAGGATGAAGTTGAGGGAGCACTTGTTGACCGGCTTGGACAGCTCCGGGGTGTTGACGATCGGCTTGAGGCCGAGCAGCTGCGGCATCTCGACGAAGCTGGGCTGGGACAGAGGGAGGAATGTGCGGAAGGACATCATGGTGGTAATGTAGGGGGTTTGTACTCCTGGGGGAGAGTGGGGAAATTGGGATGTGAGCCTGGTGAGCCCAGGACTGGCGCGTTCACCGAGAGCTTCCTGTCCCTTTGGAAGGTTACCATCACGTTAGTGCCTGTCTTGTGGCCGAACAGGCTCAAGAGGCGTCGCTGAGCACGGAATATTCCACTTGACATGCGTCATCCGTTGCTGTCGGCCTTTTTGCCGACGCCAGGCCTGCGGTGGCGTCAGAGGGTCAGCGCCACGGCAACCGCGAGGACCACGCAGGCCGTCCATGGTGCAGCGGATCCACCCTCCACCCGGACACAAGTACGACTACCCCATAGTTTTCTCAAGCTTCCGCTGCCCGAGGCGAGCATGGACACGGTCTCTAGAGAGCGGAATCTCCCCAGAACATATCCCTGGCCAGCTAAACGGGTGGGCTGCAGCCAACGGAGCGATGGGTGAGCGAGCGCCCCAGAGGAGCCCTTCCTCCCTTTCAGAGGGGGCAGTTTCTGACGCCGACTGGTTGCGCTCCTGGACCGTTATCCCCAAGCAAGCAGGCCAGTCTGCAAGACGATGGCGCAGTTGCAGGGCGGACCAGGCTGCCTGGGGCCTGAGCCAAGACGCAGTACGGGCCTTTGCGGTTTTGCGATTAACTGCGCATTGCGCGCGAAGGGGCACGAAACTGAACTTGAAGTCGAGTGCAACTGTGGTCGTCCGATTGTTTACGCTGGTACCGAAGCGGCACGTGGGGTGGAGGAAGCCCTGCTACTTTGGACTCGCTCGGGAGCAAGACAGGTGCATGGCGTCGCCTTTGCCTATGGATTACTGCGCGTTCTCTGTTGGGGGCTTCTGCTGTTAGCGCGTAGATATCACAACCTCTTTAGTAGGGAAAAGAGAGACGCGGGAGGCGAGTCACTGTTATCCGCGACCCTTTCTGCTCCTTACCCTCAATATCTCCAGTCGACGACCGAAGATTAGCGCCCCATTGTCGAGGTGACGCACAAGTCACGTAAGTCACATTTCCTACCCATGAGATCTGCTCGCAGTATTTGCAGGAATGGCTTCGGTATCAGGTGGCGAACATCCGCGCGCGACGGAATAAGTCGCAGCGTACCATACCATACTCGCAGCTAGCGCCTCCATGATCCCGTGCACCATGGCATGTACACGAAGCAACCCTCCATCCAACTCTCACCGTCGATGCATCCTAAAGTTAACGATTGCCTGGATAAGTCAAGCGCCGCAGAGGCTGTCGAAGGCGAGCAGGCCGCCCTACAAACTGTTGGGTTTTTTCTCGGCTGTCGGCTGTCACGTCGACGAGAAACGATCTTTTCGGCCGAGGCTTCAACTGGAGGGCGGAGGGTGGAGGGGGACCCACAGCCGAGCCGCTGATTTCGTCGAGGCGGTGCCGACCTTTCCTCGCTTTGCAGTTTCTGACGCGTCGACTAGTAACTCGGTGGTTTCACGAGTTCAGCAGAGGATTTAAAGGGCGGACCAACCAGAAGAGGCGCCGAAAGTTCAGCTTCGGGGATCGTTTCGACGGTCAACATTGCACACGCACAGCTTAGAGGAGTAGCATAACTCCACATCGAGCTTCCTTGTCACAGTCGTGATATTGTTCACGGACGACGAGGTTACGGCGCATATTCCGCAACAGCAACGCAAGCCCCAAGTTGATTCAGCGACCGGAAGCGTTGCAGACCGGTGTTAAAAAACTATGGTCAAGCCCCACGAACGCCACTGCTCCGTTATGTGCGCCCGTGGTGAATGAGATATCGGGTCGAGAAGCGGCGGAACGCCTGTCGACGATATCTCCAGTCGAAAATCGAAGAGAGTCCGAACACTCGCTTCAACAGCAACACCCGAAGCGGCGCGAGTTCAGCTCGGAACTCGTCTGACTAGCATATCACCTTTTCCAGAGTGAGTTCTGATCAGATCTCATGATGAATCGCTGCGGATCCACCCGTGGATGGCTTCGCTGTCGGAGATTTTTAGTGGGCTCGAATGAAAAAGAAGGATAATGGTGGGGCTAGCACTGATGTCCGAGCGTCTATACGAGCTGCCACTGAGAACTCGCTGGGTGCACGGAGGTGATGCTGGAATTGAACCTCGAGTTAGTCTGGCAACGCGAAGCTGGAGAGAGAATGCTCTAGAATATCCGCGACCGAAGTTATGGCCAGGGGATCCGTTATTGACGTGGCTGCAGAGAGCCCAGCTGCGGTGACGGTCGGATCTTTTTGCCTCTTGGCGCAGCTTCTGGAAAATTGGCGAATCCCTTCAGGGGCGCAACCTCTTCAACCGGAGCTGCCGATCCAGTGGAGTCGGAGGCGCAATCCCTTGTGTGTCACCGAGCGCGCATGCAAAACCCGCCTTTCACCCCGGAGAGAAGGTATACAGGCAAGTCTGCAGCGATTCTTGTCCAGCGGTAGACTTGAGGCGGCGTTTCCGACGTCAACACTGACACGAACTGGGGCAGGTCCACCCAATGCGTTCGGTTAGGACAACTTCAACGTCGAATCCATCGCAATTACGTTGAAGGAGCTCGCGTTCGGAGGCATTCGTTGCTCGCTGAGTTCGATGTTGCCGCCATCGGTCGCAGTGGGTTTCTGGACACCAACGAAGTCGAGACCTTCTTGGTTAGACTCTCACCCATGGGGATTCCACAGTCGATGAATTAGGTCGTGAGGAAGGCGAGAAATGTTAACTGTTTATGCTCATCGTAGATGTATTCTACGATGTAGTGCGTGTTGAATGGTAGTGGCATCTGCAGAATGATCGAGTCCTGAAGGCATTTCGAGCTTACAGAGTGCTTACAGTAGCTTCTTGGGTAGTGAAACAGCCTTTTGACCACTCTGTCACGCTTGGCGCGTTTGATGAAGAACGGGCTTGACCATTCTTGATGAAGCTGCGATGTTGTGCTCGTCTGTAGAGTGGATGGATGGTAAGCCTTCGGTCGTGTACGGACTCAAAGACACGAGTATGAAAAACAGGGGGCACTTTGAAGTGCGTGCGGGTTCACATCCAAGATCCATCGGGACGACCACGTTGAAGCCCGCCAGAATTGCAGAGACCGGGACGGAGGGACATTCGACAATCGATCTCCCAGACATACTGCAGCATGCCTCGACGTACATTTTTTTTACTTTTTTGAGTAATTATTACGAAGTTTGCAGAAGCAGCAGGACTCAGCTCAGAAAGGAATTCTTGGATAAGACAACAATATATCATCGTGAGCTTCTGTACTACAGTACAGGCGCAGTCGGGCGGTGCACCGAAGAAGATGGTTTTGGCCACGGGCGAGCTGCGCCCTCCCACTCAAAGCTGTCCCCGGGCTAGTCCCGGCTGTATATTTTAATGTACCTCGCTACTCTGCAAACATATTGACTTAGATGCGTGTACAGCGAGACCTACTGCGACAAGTGGCACGTTGCATCAATACCTCCACAGCTAAGCTTGTAGTAACTCAGTACATACTCATCTATGTTCAGACCCCGTGAATCTTGTTGATTCGCAAACATCATAAGTACCACTGTGGCGAATACTTCTCTGGCCCAAAAAAATCGTTTGGCGACTCGCAATACCTCAACCGAAAGCTGCGCATTTGCTCCGTTTTACGCTATGATTTAAAAAAATCTAGCAGCAGAAAGAAAAGAGAAACAGCCTTTTATCTGAGGTCCGTTTTAGGCAACATTAGGTTTTTTAGCGAGGTGCCGTCAAAAATTAGCGATATTAGAAAATAAAATATCACCGTAATCGCGAGTGACTGCTTTACCCTTATGTTCGGTTGTCGATGTTGTAGCGCCTGTTGGAGACGAGTTAGAAGGGCTACAGTTTTGAGGTTTTTCTACGCGATTATCTCGACATGCGCGGACCCATTTATTTTGGCCAATAGTAAGCTGAAACAGTTGATTACACCCAATCATATGTGACATGTGGTCCACATCAAATTGAGGTTTAATGCTGAATGTTGTTTCTTAACCCCTCTAACCCCGTATTCTGTATCCTACAAGATAAGCATTGTCACAGGACATAATATCCAGCAAACTTGTCCTCTCTTTCGATCTTCGCATATGGATGTTTGTATAGCCGGTATTGTGCACATCTTCCTGTTAGATTAGTGATGGGAAGATAAACGGGGTTTATTCCGCGGTAATAGACGGACGAGTATAAACCACCAACAGGTTTGAAAATTCGGGTGGAAGCCTAAAACCGCCGCGTGTCAGCCACTCGTACTTTCCTTCATTCCGAAACTGCGCTGTTCAAGATGTCGCAATGCAAGCTTTGTTGGGGCTCGTCGAGCGCGCCAAAGTGGACAAGGACCATGGCCGAAGACGATCATGATGAGCGCCATTGTGATCTACAGGTAAGCGAGAGCGCGTACTTTGCTCTGTAACATTGTACTAGTGGTATATTGATTCTACGTTGCGATGTTGATTACCAGACCTGGTGATCCGACCTAGACGACGCTATGAGCTCTCGCGTGTGGCCCGATTGGCAGATCGATTGCGGAGTCAGCGCACAACCTCATCGGTTCCTACGAAGCCGGCTACAGCCGGGTCTACCGCTATATTGTAGCTGATGCAGTGGCTACTCAAGAGGCTACAGAAGAAGCGCTCCTCATGGTGTGACTACACCGGAGACTACAGAAGAAGCGGTAGATGCTACGGCGGATGCTACAGAAGAAGCTCTCCGTGTGATGAGGTTACACCGGAGATTACAGAAGAAGGGACAGAGGCTACGACGGAGGTACCGATGAAAGCGGCAGGAATGGAGCGACAGTGCCGGAGGCTACAGAGCAAAACGGAGGCTGCCAAAATGGCGAAGATGACCCACGGCTGGCGCGAACATTGAAGAGCGTGCGCATGTAAAGGAAGAAGTAGACGTTGGCATGAATATCATATATTGTCCTGTTTCGTACAAGAGGAACCGTGTGTAGTGCGTGTCATTACGGGCTATTGAGCATGCAAGCTCCCTGGTGTTGTTAGAGAGACAATCGTAACAAGCTTGTTAGGTGGGCTAAAGAAATCTAATGATGCGCTAATGTCAAGCACAAGGAAGAATTCGCCCAGTTCCTCCTCACTACGTCAGTTAGGAACAGGGCGATTTCTTCCTCCGCGTTTATCGCGACGTGTCGAAGATGGGTGGCTGAAGCCGAAATATGCTGCCTTAGCAGCCTTGCAAGGTATTACCATGTAGCAGGTTTTGAGCGTGCTCTACGCTCGCCACGACCAATAGAAGCTCGCCATTTCGGCATATGGTGGATACATTGAGCATGTTTTGTTCACTTTCGTAGCTTTTCTGTGCACAATGTACCCAGCGCTTGACCGCAAGATGCGAAAGGGCTTCCAACAGCAAATCTTTGACAGGTTTTGAAGTATACTCTAATCAAGTCTAATGCTTATTCTGTAGGATACATAATAAGGTCTGGGGCTAGAAGGGTTAAGTGGGCCAGAGAAGTAGGCCGGGGACGCCTGTAGTTATCTTATCCCCCTCCCCGTCATGGGTGATATGTACATCACTTGATGTCTCTCTCATCAATGAGGCCGCAGTGATTCCGGTCTCTGCCGTCCACGACACGACCATAGTGAACGAACGATCTTTTCCCGGAGAGGGAACGCGATTTGAAATGACACTCCTCGTGCACGTGCCCCACGCACGCGCGCGGTCACTGCGGCAGCAGTGTCGACCATTTCCCAATTGCACCACCAAGCACCAAGCTACAACTTTCATCCAACACAACAATGGGCAAGTTCGTTCTCATGGGAGCTGGCGGCAACGTCGGCGGCGCTGCGGCCGACTTCGCCGTCGAGATCGCCAAGGCCGACGACCAACTCGTGTTCGCGAGCAGCAGCCTCGACAAGATTCCGGCTGAGAAGGTGGCGCACTGGCGCAGCAAGGGCGTCGAGGTCGTGTCGGCCAGCTACGACGACGTTGAGAGCATGCGCAAGGCGTTCAAGGGCGCAGACGCCGTGGCCACCATCTCAACGTGGCTCATCGGAGACCGTCGCCGCCACCAGATCAAGAACGCGCTCGACGTGGCCAAAGAGGTCGGAGTCAAGCGCTTCTGCTACACTTCGGGTGCCGGTGCCGGCGTTGAGGCCGAGACGGAGGAGGACATTCCGTTCCTGTTGCGTAACCCCCACTACATCGAGCAGCTTGTCTACGCGACGGGACTGCAGTACAACATCCAGCGCAACTGCCTCTACACCGACAACATCCCCATGTACTTCGCTCTGTCGTGGAAGTTCTGCGGTGACAAGTGGCTGACCAACAGCCACGGCCAGAAGGGCTGCTACGTGTCCCGCGACGACTGCGGCCGCGTTCTCGGTGCGCTGTTGCTAGGTAAGGGCGAGCCGAAGACGGCGTACGAGATCACGGGCCCCGACGCTGTCTCGCACGAGGAGATCTTCGAGTTCATGAGCTCCGAGGTTGGATACAACGGCGAGATGGTGGACATGCCCGACGAGGAGCTCAAGAAGTGGTGGCTGGACCGCGGTCTGCCCAAGGACGTGTACGGCGACTTCTCGCAGCTCCCGATGAAGCTCTGCATTGGCGACCTGCTGTGCTCCGGCGAGATGGTCGCCAACAGCTGCATGACCCCGGCGTCGGATGCCGTGGAGAAGCTCACGGGCCGCAAACCCACCAACTGGAAGGACGCCATGATCAAGTACAAGGACATCTTCCCGAAGTCCGACTAAACGGAAAGTGTATGTTGCGTTAATGCTGCCATCCTAAAAACGAAAAATATCTTGGATTTAGTACATTGTTGTTTGTGCTTGCCGGTACCTCACAAATATCGAGCTAAGAACTGTCTTGCGTCTTGTTCTGGCATCGCATCGATATCACTTAACCTCTAGGCTAACGACAACGATAACCTAGTCGGAAATCAACTTGCAGTTTTCTTAGTGTTTGGTTGTTCCGTGGATACTATTGTGAATTCCGGTCAAAATTTCCAAATCGCGGCGGTTTGGAGACCCCGCTCCAATCGCCAAATACAAAACTCAAGTCATTTGCCCAATCTCCGGGCCCAAACCATATGGTCCAAGTGCCCGCATGTCAAGGCCAATTCGTACTTAAAAGGGTGACCATAACCAATCCTAGTGGCCCCGGAGATTGGCCGGAGATTTGGCTCGGGCGGTTCAGCAAACCGCCCATGGAAATTTGGAACAGAACACACAATATCCGTTTTGAAAAGTTGTAGAAGGATCCGGCATGTTGTGGCAGGGGTTGGAAAAAATAATATCAATACAATAGTTATTGCATTTTTAGCACGGAATAATTTATTATTGCTTTAGGATGCTCCCGTCAATGGAAAATTGTCCCAATACAATATCCACACTTGCGCCCATACAAAAACTAAGCTTATTACGAACATTCCGTATATATTTATTGCCAATAATTGTGAAATACTGTATTATTGGCTGACCCTGTATTGCAATGATTATAACTGAGACTTCAAAAACAAAATACAATATGATATTTTATTTTCCGACCTCTGTGTTGTGCTGTACTGTGTGCACTTCAATTCATACACCGACCAGGTTTTTGCTGACAAGTTGTCGGCTAAGAGGGCCACATATTGGGGCTGCAAGAGACCGTTGCCAAGGGCGTCTAGGTCGTGCCGTTAACTAAGACGAACCTCGGAGATAAAGGGAAACAAATATTCCACTGCTCTTATGTAAAAGTAAGAGGGTGCTCGAACTGTGTCAGGGCGACAGCTTGCTTTCCTAGGCATTACGAACTTTGCCGAAGGATGGAGGAACCGCAGCTGCTGTGCATTGGTTTGATCTTTCCTGAATGGGTCGAGGAATTCCCGCACGTGTGCAAGACAATTAACGACTTCTTGATGCCTGATACCATCGACGCTGCAGTTTACAACGACTGGCAACTTGTTGTTCAAGTGCATGGAGAAACTCGACGCTGGACCGAGAAGGCGATGGACGGCGCTACAGGGAGAGGCCGACTTGATATTGTGAAGTGGCTGCACGATACGCGCACGGAAGGCTGCACAATGGCGGCAATGGATGGAGCTGTGGTGAACGGGCATTTCGTCGTCGTGATGTGGCTCGAAGCCAACTATGGCTTTGGGCGCTGCTCGAATGAGGCAGTAGATTTGGCGATAGCGAACGGTCATTTCAAGCTGGTGGAGAGGCTGCTTTGCCGCAATTGGACTCGAGGTGACTGGGAACAAGCGCTAGACGAAGCAGCCGTGGGACGTACTCACGTTGTAAAGTTGCTGCTGCGTTCGCGCGAGTATCGGCAAAACGATATCAGCGACGCATTGCGGTACGCTGTGCAAAACGATTACGCGTCTGTTGTGAGACTGCTTGTCGGCCGCTGCTCGCCTTCTGAGATCAAAGCTGCCTCCGCGATGATCGTTAATGGGGGTGCTAATAGTGCCGAAATCTCATCTCTGCTGCGAGGGGCGGAGTATGAAAAACGGAAGGAAGAAGCGCGGATTCGTAATGACATGGAGACGCTCGAGAGAATCGACTGATTTTTCAGTACGTACGACTTCATAGTGAACCTTCTGGGATTGATTGTTCACGTACTGGTTGCAGACCCATAAGATGCGCGTCGGCTTGCAGAAGAAGCGGGACTGATCGTCTTCAATTTTTTTATTGGGAATACATGGGTTGCTTCTGTTTTCAACGGGTAAGATCTTGGTAATGCGTTTCATATCAGTTAACTACATGTATTGAAAAAGGAGATGTGCGCGTCCAAGAAATGGATTTTGTATTTATCCGATCAACATTTGTGAAATATATCGAATTGTTCTCTGGATCTAGCAAAATTAAAGACTAAAACTAATCAGGCCGTAAACTTGAGGATACCACCTTCCATTTTGGTACTTTCTCGGGTCTGGATGGAAAGAGATCGTGGCCGAAGATGACTTCCCCAGACTCGAAGATGTGAAAATCTATGCCACGGTTGCCTCGACGTACAAAGATCTTTTGCTCGCTGCATTATCGAAGTCGGGAGTATTGTAGTACCCAACACAGAAACACATCGGAAGAGCCTTACATGCATTGTACGTGTGTTGTTCTTGAAGACGAAGACGGCTCAGTCGTGCCCCTGTACGAAAACCTGTTACGGGCGTAGCCCAGCAAAAATTACATGTATATGGATTGACTTGGAATTTGGGTTAGGAGAGAGAGAAGCATATTCCAAAGAGAAACTCACGTAAGGTGAATTTTAATTAGATGCGTATTAAAATACGCATCTCAAACCTAGTGGCGCACGTTACCAACCTTCTCTCTGGGCCACGTATTTCTCTCCACAAACACACCGAGGTTAACCCCCCACATCTTCTCCGGTCACGGAGCCTGCGACGGAATCACGAAGTCGTGCGGGACTTTCTTGTAACCAAAAGTGGTCTGGTAGATCTCCACTCGTTTCTTCCACGCTTGCTCAGTCAGCTCGAAGTCGAACCCCAACTCTTTCAGCCGGTCCGCGTCACGCCCGATATTCGCGAAATAATGTATCTCATCCGGTACGCTTGCATCCCAAGCGCCATGTTCCAAGCACTCTTGGGCCACGGCTCTCGCGCAGGTACAATGAACTTCTGCGACATCCGACAAGTCTCGAACTTAGCGACGTAGGTTTGTAGCGCGGGAATAACACGCTCATTCCAAGTGGAGGCGTCGCGATCCCATGCGAATCCAATTTCGTTCAGAATATCCTTGTCTCGAGCAGCGAACTCCGTATAGCACCTTCTCATTCACACCCCCTTAATGACCGAGCCAAGCGCGAATCAGGCAGATGAAGTTTTGCTTGGACATGCCGATCGTTGATCGAGACTGGAATAAAAAAATAATTCCGGCGCTCAAGGTTTTCCGCCAGATCCACCACCACTGCATCGTGGAGAGGCCGTTCAAGGTGCCACGCGCGTCCCCGTGGCCTGAAGATGCGTGGGGAGCTCTTGCTCGGACGCCGCCACTTGTGGTGCAAACCCGTTTCCATTCCGGATGTGATCAACCGTTCGACCCAGCGAGCAATTCCAAGCCATCCGTGGCCACGCGTCGTCGCCATCCGGGACGAAGAAGACGGTGGGGACGTCAGTGTGGCCATGTACTTGGTGAAAGTGACGCAGAGCCGGCATAATGATTTCGTCCCGCTGGAATTGAGGGGCGTTGAAGGCGAAGTTGAGCTCCTTCAGCTGGGTGCTCATCTGAGGCGAAAGCTCGCGCTTCCTAGCTCGTTGGCGCAGATCATGGACACCTTCTCCCAGTCGGTATCCCCACGCCACAAGCGGCCAGCGAGTGTCACCTGACGGGACAACGAGTGAGCGAGGGACTAAGGTGCTGTCCCCGTTCATCTCCTTGTAAACTCGCAGCGCCGCCAGCATCTTCTCCTCCCATGCGATAGTTCTCGGGTGGCGCGAATGACTTGAAATCCTGGTCTCCTCTGCCTCCGTAGACCTCTCAGAGCCGAGTGATCGGGGCTTGAGAACTTGGGCGCGATGCAGGGACGCAAGGGGCGGCAGGTTGAGGCTCTAGGCCCCGCGTGGCGCACACTATAGCCCTCTTAGAATAGCTGGGAGTTTGTCACGATAATCTGGGGAATTTGCACTCATGAATTTCCAATTAAAATCTGAAAATCTGACCAAATTGCAAATCCCCCTTCCTTTTTATCCCACAATATTTTGGATTGTTTCCAATAGCTCTCTGGATTTTAACGAAATGAAAATTGTTGGCAAATAATTGTTTTGCTCATCATGTTCAGTCTTTTCAGATGCTGGTCGTGATACACACACCCACGCAAGACATTAGCATAGTGCAGTACTTAAGTATACGGTATCGGAATTTATCCCCGAGTGCACCAGCGCGCCAGGATAAAACACCAACCAATTCGAAACCTCGGAACGATGAGGAAGTAAAAGCAATTTGTTGTGCATTTCTGCTTAAATCTCTCACTTACTGCACTACACTATTCAGCCGAGTCGACTATAATGCAACGCACCACGTTTACTCGGGCTTGGGGAAGATGCTCTTGTACTTGAGCAGGTAGTCCTGGTAGCGGGCGGGCTTGCGGCCGGTGAGCTTCTCCACCGTGTCGGACACGGAGTTCATGGAGCCGTTGCCCAGCATCTCACCGCAGCAGATTGCGTCGCCAATGCACAGCTTCATGGGCAGCTGGGAGAAGTCGCCAGTCGCCATATCCGTGGGCAGACCGCGGTCCAGCCACCACTGGGTCAGCTCCTCGTCGGGCATGTCGACGTACTCGCACTTGCAGCCGGTCTGCTGGCACATCCACTCCATCAGGTCCTTCTGCTGCACGAGCTCGGGGCCCGTGACGTCGTACACCTTATTAGGCTCACCGCGTCCGAGCAGAATGGCGGCCAGTATACGCCCACAGTCTTCACGAGCCACGTAAGCTCTAGGGGTGTCGTGGCTGTTGGAAAGCCACTTGTCGCCGCAGAACTTCCAGGACGGCGGAAACAGCGTGGGGATGTTGTCCATGTACAGCCAGTTGCGCTGGATGTTGCACTGCAGACCGGACTCCTTGACGATCTTCTCCACGAAGTGGTGGTCGCGCGGGAGAAACGGGATCTCCTCGTCGACCGTCTCGCAACCGGCACCGACAAAGGACGTGTAGCACACGCGCTTGACGCCGGCGGCCTTGGCGGCAGCGCAGACATTGCGGGCCTGGTTACGGCGACCGTCACCGAAGAGCCACGTGGAGATGAAGCCCACAGCCTCGGCGCCGTCGAAGACCTTCTTCATGCCTTCCACGTCGTCGTAGCTGGCAGCGACGACCTCAGCGCCCTTGGCCCGCCATCCAGCCACCACGTCTTCAGGGATCGCCTCGAGCTTGTAGCTCGTCAGCACGAGGTGGTCCTCGGGCTTGAGGATCTCGATGGCGAAGTCAGCTGCAACGCGGCCGAGGTTGCCGTCGGAGCCGGTGAGGACGAACTTGGTCATGGTGAGGGTGGGTGGAGGAGAGTCGGGGACTCGAAGCTTGCTTGCGATGCTTGATGCAAATTGCAAATTGAGCGGAACACGCCGGGATGCAACGCGGTGGAGGCGATCTCGAGGTCAGTTGATAATGCATCGAGAGCATTTCCACGTGGCTGAAGTTGACCGACCGGGATGCATAGTGTGACATTACCGCGCATAGGCATGTCTGCTGAGCGCACTCATCGGCGTATGCGGTCGATCTTCCCAGTGCTTTAGCCCACGATGTAGGTAAAGTGGTGCGTGTCTAGTCCAGTTGACGGAGACAACCAAGACAATTGGTGCTAGCGTGAAGCGCATGCCCTCGAATGAAGTGTGAAGTGGAAGCTGCAACTCGGACTGGTCGGGCGACACAGCGTTTTATTAGTTGTAGGCGCATCTACAGAAGCGTGGCCCATCGATAAGGGATCCGCCTCCGAAGTGCCACTTGAAGCAAGTGATCTCGAGACGAAGCACCAAAAGCTCTTATCAGTTAACAAAGACAAGCGTACATGTACTTGCTCGCTGGAGAGGCTGTACTGTATTCCCACTGTTACGCACCATCTCGCCCGAGCAGATCGCGTCGCTCCTTCGGCACCCACGCCAGCGAAGCATTTCAGACGCTGGGGTCATAATAGACTCAGGTGGACACGCCCCCCCCATTATGAAGACTGCTAGGAATTCTTGCCAAGGAGACTCAACAAGAAGCCGAACCACAGTCGAATCGTGCTTTTATCCATCGTGCTTCAATGCATCCGTGAGCTTACGCGCCACGGGACCTCTGACTACGCGCCAGGTCCTTTTCTTTGGTCCGCCGTGAAGGCTCGTCACCTCGGTCAGCTCGATAACCTGCACCAAGCAGACCTGTATTGACCGACGCACTAGGAGTGCCACAAAAAACTTGGCTGCACTCGACCGATGAGTGCTGCATTGTTGCACTTTTCTCTCTGCTGCGTGCTCCATTCGTACGTGGCATCTTTCTAGTCGAACCAGCAAGGATCTAATACTGCACGGTATCCGATAAGTTTCTCTTGTTGCGGTGGCATCCGCTCACTTCACGTTTCAATCTCTACCACACATTCGTACCAAGCCACATGCAGCGTGCCATATCGCAGCTCCAGCGCCCCAGCATGCAGCGGGCGTTCTCCCAGCTCGCCAAGGGCAAGACCAAAAAGTTCGTGCTCACGGGTGCCGACGGCAACCTCGGCCGCGTGGCCGCCGACTTCATGCTCGACATCGCCAAGCCCGAGGAGCAGGTGGTGATCACGAGCTACGACCTCAAGACGCTGCCGGCCGAGTCCATCAAGCGTTGGAAGAGCAAGGGCGCCATCGTGAAGAAGGCCGACACGCGCTTCATGTCGAGGGCATGAAGCGCGTGTTCGACGGCGCGGAGGCTGTGGCGCTCATCTCAACCTGGCGCTTCGGCATGGACCGCCGTATCCAGGCCAAAACCGTGTGCGACGCTGCTAAAGCCGTCGGTGTCAAGCGCGCCTGCTACACGTCCTTTGTTGGGGCCGGCATCGAGACGAACGTGGAGGAGGAGATACCGTTCCTGCCGCGCGACCACCACTTCATTGAGAAGATCGTCAAAGAGTCTGGTCTCGACTACAACATCCAACGCAACTGGCTGTACATGGACAACATCCCAACGCTGTTTGCACCGTCCTGGAAGTTCTGCGGCGACAAGTGGCTTTCCAACAGCCACGACACCCCTAGAGCTTACGTGGCTCGTGAAGACTGTGGGCGTATACTGGCCGCCATTCTGCTCGGACGCGGTGAGCCTAATAAGGTGTACGACGTCACGGGCCCCGAGCTCGTGCAGCAGAAGGACCTGATGGAGTGGATGTGCCAGCAGACCGGCTGCAAGTGCGAGTACGTCGACATGCCCGACGAGGAGCTGACCCAGTGGTGGCTCGACCGCGGCCTGCCCACGGACATGGCGACTGGCGACTTCTCCCAGCTCCCTATGAAGTTCTGCATTGGCGACGCGATCTGTTGTGGTGAGATGCTGGGCAACGGTGCAATGATTAACACGTCCGACACGGTGGAAAAGCTCACGGGCCACAAGTCGCTGCACTTCCAGCAGGTGCTGCTCAAGTATAAGGACCTGTTCCCCAAGCCGGAGTGAGCAGAAGGCGGCGTGCACGATGGTTAGGCCACGCTTCTTTCTCATTTTTATCTGCAAGTTGAAGTGGTTTCAGTAGTCGATAGACTTTGGAAACGTAACTTTTTGTGAAATTTGGCTTTTTGTAGCATCGAGCCCCGAGCTAGAAGCCCGGCTTCGGCATGAACAAGTCTGCTGTAGCGCCCGTGTCCGTCCTTCTTACAGTTACTGTAACAGTACACCCAGGGCCAGCACGGTCTTGCCAAAATGCAGTATGGTACCTTCATGTCTTTGCTGTCTGGCGAACCCGAGCTAGTATCCGGAAGATTTGCTAACCTATTGATGAGCTGGGCAAGCGAGCAGAGACCCTCTCGAGAAATGGCTGTCGCAGCGAAATGCAAGGTACAATGGTGTCGTCAGGCGGTGCTGCCGGTGGATGCAAGCTCTGGTTGGGGGCGGTCATTCGCTGTGACCACTTGCAATTTGCATCCAAGCCCCACAGCAGCACTCCTCCTCACGCTCAAACTATGCCCAAGTACATCCTGACCGGTGCCGACGGCAACCTCGGCGGTGTGGCCGCCGACTTCGCGGTGGAGATCGCCAAGCCTGAAGACGAGCTCGTGTTCACGAGTTACACTCTGGACAGCATCCCGACCGACAAGCTCAAGCGCTGGCAGGACAAGGGGGTGAAGGTCGTGGCTGCCAACTACGACGAGCCGGAGACCCTCAAGCCGGTGTTTGAAGGCGCCGAGGCCGTGTCGTTCATCTCGACGTGGCTCATTGGAGGCCGTCGCCGCAACCAAGCCAAGAACGTCATTGACACGGCCAAGGCGTGCGGCGTAAAGCGCATCTGCTACACGTCGTTTGTCGGTGCCGGCTCCACCGCTGAGAACGAGGAGGACATCCCGTTCCTGCCGCGTGACCACCACTTCGTGGAGCAGCAGATCTACGCCTCGGGTCTGCAGTACAGCATCCAGCGCAACTACCTGTACGCCGACAACATCCCCAACTTCTTCGCGCCGTCCTGGAAGTTCACGGAGAACCGCTGGCTGACCAACACGCACGGAGCTCGTGGCGCCTACGTGGCTCGCGACGACTGCGGCCGTGTCCAGGCTGCGCTTCTGCTGGGCCGTGGCGAGCCCAATCACGTATACGACGTGACCGGCCCCGAAGCCGTCTCCCACGAGGAGATCTTCGACTTCATGTGCAACGAGACCGGCTACAAGGCCGAGTTCGTCGACATGTCGGACGAGGAGCTCAAGAAGTACTGGCTGGGGCGCGGCCTGCCTGTCAACGTCTACGGTGACTTCTCCCAGCTGCCCATGAAGCTCTGCATTGGTGACCTGCTGTGCTCTGGTGAGACCGTGGCGAATGGATCTATGAGCCAGACCTCCGACACCGTCGAGAAGCTCACGGGCCGAAAGCCCACGCACTGGAGGGACGCCATGCTCAAGTACCGCGGCATCTTCCCCAAGCCGGAGTAAACGAACGGTGGTGGAGCAACTCGCTCACACTCCAATTGATGTGCTTGATGCAAGAAATACACGTTGCAACTGAAGTTAAACGCATCTCATTATTACCTCCATCAACGTTCCATTTCTTAAATGTAAAAATCCAACGAGTGGATACAATCCAAGATTATTGACGGATAAACACAAAAATCCATAGACTATTGTGTGACGAACGAAAATCTTCGCCCCTCGAAGATGCTGTGGAGGGCGCGACTGCGTGCACCACGCGGGGCCTGGCGCCTGAGCCCATCGCGCCCAAGTTCTCAAGCCCCGATCACTCGGCTCTGAGAGGTCTACGGAGGCAGAGGAGACCAGGATTTCAAGTCATTCGCGCCACCCGAGAACTATCGCATGGGAGGAGAAGATGCTGGCGGCGCTGCGAGTTTACAAGGAGATGAACGGGGACAGCACCTTAGTCCCTCGCTCACTCGTTGTCCCGTCAGGTGACACTCGCTGGCCGCTTGTGGCGTGGGGATACCGACTGGGAGAAGGTGTCCATGATCTGCGCCAACGAGCTAGGAAGCGCGAGCTTTCGCCTCAGATGAGCACCCAGCTGAAGGAGCTCAACTTCGCCTTCAACGCCCCTCAATTCCAGCGGGACGAAATCATTATGCCGGCTCTGCGTCACTTTCACCAAGTACATGGCCACACTGACGTCCCCACCGTCTTCTTCGTCCCGGATGGCGACGACGCGTGGCCACGGATGGCTTGGAATTGCTCGCTGGGTCGAACGGTTGATCACATCCGGAATGGAAACGGGTTTGCACCACAAGTGGCGGCGTCCGAGCAAGAGCTCAGGCAGATGAAGTTTTGCTTGGACATGCCGATCGTTGATCGAGACTGGAATAAAAAAATAATTCCGGCGCTCAAGGTTTTCCGCCAGATCCACCACCACTGCATCGTGGAGAGGCCGTTCAAGGTGCCACGCGCGTCCCCGTGGCCTGAAGATGCGTGGGGATTCGCGCTTGGCTCGGTCATTAAGGGGGTGTGAATGAGAAGGTGCTATACGGAGTTCGCTGCTCGAGACAAGGATATTCTGAACGAAATTGGATTCGCATGGGATCGCGACGCCTCCACTTGGAATGAGCGTGTTATTCCCGCGCTACAAACCTACGTCGCTAAGTTCGAGACTTGTCGGATGTCGCAGAAGTTCATAGTACCTGCGCGAGAGCCGTGGCCCAAGAGTGCTTGGAACATGGCGCTTGGGATGCAAGCGTACCGGATGAGATACATTATTTCGCGAATATCGGGCGTGACGCGGACCGGCTGAAAGAGTTGGGGTTCGACTTCGAGCTGACTGAGCAAGCGTGGAAGAAACGAGTGGAGATCTACCAGACCACTTTTGGTTACAAGAAAGTCCCGCACGACTTCGTGATTCCGTCGCAGGCTCCGTGGGCAGAGAAAATGTGGGGAGTTCATCTCGGTGTGTTTGTGGAGAGAAATACGTGGTCCAGAGACACGAGACGGCTGTTAGTGAACAACTCTGTGAGTGCTTGTGTTCGTTAATACGTTGAGTGAACACCAGCATACTACATCAGAGGTCGCAAATGGTTAACCATAATCAAATGGTTGCACTTTGACCATAACCATGCTCAACCATGGTTGACCGAAACCAAATGGCTTCCGGAAAACGGCCGGTTATGGTTGACCGAACTCCTCAGTCGCTTGGTTCTGGATGGCCGATGTAGTCAAAAATGCGCGAACCTCCCTGTTTTCCAGCTTTGGGATTTGTTGCGAGGTCCGTTTCAGCGATACCAGCCTCGAGTGCGATGTCAGAAAGCACCTTGCTGATGCAGGAAATGCGTCCAGTCCAGAAATTCTAAATGAAATCTTATTGTGAAAACCGATTATAATGTCTTATTGGAGTGGCTTAATAAGACTGACGACCCCCGATTTGTAAAATCCGACCTCCTAATTGGGTACCTCGATTTATACTCAGGATTATTATACCTAGGACGACTACATTTGCTAATCGGCCGATTAAGCCAGAGCCGGCTGATTTGCTTGCAATTCAGACGAAATGTCCGATGTGCAACCGGCATTCGCTCCTTGTAGGCTAAATCAGCCGCCATACAGTAATCGTTGCAGTCGCTCTTGGTTTACGAGTCAAGGCTACACCACTAAAAGCACAGCTAAGCAGAAAAATCTACACGCTATAATACATGTAACTGAGATATGCAGGCGATGGGTTTAAGCGCGGTGTTACCGCTGCACTTGCCGAGTCTCGAGCCGAGGTGATGTATGTTGATCGAAATTGCTAGGCTGCACATAATTACGAGACCGATGAACGATTTAAGGTCTTCTGCCAGTTTCGTGCCGTCCTTCGAACTTGCGGACTTGCTGTGGCATAACTTTTCATTGAATTGTCCATTCTGAAATCGGATTGCACCCGCTAAATCTGCGCGATTGGGCTGAATTTATGTACTTCACGCTGGTCCGTGTAAATTTTGCAGAACTTCTTGTTATTGTTTTGAAAAGCTTGTTGATTTGGAGTGAGCTGCCAGTTTCCTGCCTCTTTTTGATAGCATTTTTGTATGGTATTCAAATCCTAGGAGGCTCATCACCGGAAATTGCATGTGACGCTGGAAAAATCTACCAATAGACTACGAGAGTTTAACAAGGAGAAGATGCTAATTGGCTAAAACAAGTAGGCACGGAACTGGTTGTAGGCACGTAACTGGCACCTTACCTTATACTCCGATTATAATTGAGACATCCCCGATTTAGTAGCCTCCAAATCCTCCGTGAGCGATGCTTTACTGGTCAATTCAGCAGGACAAACTTATCGATTTTCACTATCCTGTACCTATTGTAGATTTAAAAAAAAGCTGTAAAAGTGCATCACTTTCATGGTTAACCAAAACTAAATTTTGGTCACCAATGGTTAACCGAACGATCATTACGGTTGGTCATGGTCATCCGTTTCACCGCTCAAAAACCTTTAGTTGGTTATGGTCGATCGAAAATTTGCGTTTGCGACCTCTGTACCACATGTACTAGCTAAGCTCCATTCAATCCATTGATGACTGAAAATAGTACTTCGAAGTAAGATGCCGAAAAGATTTTGCACTAGATTCCATTTTACTTTTGTTCTTCTAGCTCTCCAACCTTCTCGATTTCCGACTTATCCGGCTCTTCCTTCTGCTCCACCACGTTATTCTCATCATTCACAGCCTCATCTGCCGTTTCCTTCTTCTCGACCACCTCTCCGCCGTTCTCTTCTCCCAATTCCTCCTTTTCGGCTCGGTGAGGTGGCTCTTCCTTCTGGTCACCGGGCGAGCTTTCCTCAGGTATCACTTCGTCGACTTTCTCTCCAACTTCTTCGTTTAGTCGACCAACAACAGAACTCTCTTCGGTGCCGTTTTCCGGAGACTGGGGGTCCGATTCGGTATCCTTTGCGGCTTCAACCGAAATCGCTTCACCCTCCTCCTCCGTAATTGCAGCCGTATTGGCTTTTGGACTTCCTGCTGCAGCTTCGGTACTCTCGCCTTCACTTTTCTCCACAGTAGTATCATCCTTCCGTGTGGACAAGATGCGTCGGGCGGTATCAGCAAAATCGTCGGTGTCATGTGTCGCTGCCAGCACGTCCATTGCCGCTAACATTCGTGGCTCACCGCTGCACACCAGCTCCTCAATCTGCTCGCGTTCCTCTTCAGACATGACGCCCTTCTCCTCCAACTCCTTAAGCATGGCCAGCACCAAGTGTCCCTCTTTTGACTCACCCTGCTTGACCTCTTCCTGCACGTCCTTCAGTTTCATGACCTCTAGACATGCAATACGTGCCAGCGTGTCCACGAACTCCTCCTTGTTGTTGTCGCTCAAGAACACGACGAGTGCCGCCACGACGCGGTCATCACGAGCCTTTACAAGCTGCACGAGTCGTTCTGCTCCACCACGAGGAAGCTTTCCACTGCGGGCCAGCGGTGCGATCCAATCGTGCACCATTGCTCGGCGGTGACGCCCCCAGGCCGCCAACTCGACCAATATCTCAAGCGTCTCAATCAGCTCGTCCACGTCCTCGTCCTCGTTGTAAACATCCACTGCAGCAAACAAACGTGGGTCGTGTGACTTGCACAACGACATCAGCAACTGGATTTGCCACAGTTCGAGCCGACCGCTTCGTCCGAACTCGGCTAGAAGCCGTGACACAGCCTGACTCTCATCAGCAGGTTTGTTTTCCTCTGCGTCACCAAAGCGAGCGTGTTTGACCACGAGCAGCAGTGTTTCTTCCAACTCGTGGACATCGCCATCAGCCTGGAAAGCCTCGTTCGCAGCCTGAAGAGCTTCATTACCACCATGGAACAAGACCAACAGACCTGCAGCATCCCCCGCTTGCAGCACTCCACGCCTCTGCATCTCCCGCACGACATCCTCGAGGCTGAGATCACTGACAGGCCCACCACTTGCAACGTTCTGACCAGCCTGACTCTGCTCGATCTGGCGCTGCAGCTTCGCCACGCGCTGGAGCGTGTCCAGCAGCTCACTAGCGTCGCCATCGCCTGCAAACACCTCATATGCACTCTCCAGCAAATTGTGCCGCTGCGCCACCATCCTTCGTAGAGTATTAGCGTCAGCCGGCGTGAGATGGTGCTGGGCCTGCCACTGACCAAGCAAGAAGCCGACATGACGCTGCCACCCCAACGTGTCACTATCGTCGTCGCTGTCAACGAACGAGTTCTCTTCTCGAACAGCATCATCAAGGCCTCGGGCAAACGCCGCAGCAGCCTTCTCTTCATCTCCGAGTTCCATCGTGATCTCCTCCACAATGCTCACCAGCGCGTCTCGCAGCGCGCCCACATCACGATGGTCGCTCTGCTCAAAGTTTTTCAAGATCTGCAACACCTGCGAATCCTCCTGGCCCACCAGCGCCTGCACAATGTCCAACTCCAGACTCGTAAGCATGTGCTGCGCGTGCAGCGAGCGCACCACGGACACGGCCGACGGTGTCGCCTTTGCGGCGTCGCGCACCCTTCTCTTCGCCAGCGAGCTCTGTTTCCCCAGCCACCTCGGACTCTTCCCCTTCTTGGACTTGTTGGCGATCGGCTTGGGCGGATCGCAGCCCAGCGCCGCGAGCCGCTTAGCCGTGGTTTCCAAGTCCGACAAGCTTCCTCCATCGTTCTTGTAGCTCTGCAGTGCGCTCCACAGCACGCGGTTCTCGCCCAGCACGAGCTCCATTAGGTGCGCACCGTGCTCCTCGGGCAGCACGTGCTTGTCCAGCAGCCTCTCTACCAAGGCCAGCAGCTCCATCGTATCCGCAAACCTGCTGCCAGCTGCACTCTTCCCCCCTGTCGTTCTCCAGCTCGCTCTGATCTCCTCCGCCAGCGCCAGCACCTGCATCTGCACCTGCGGACTGAAGACTCTACGGCCGATAGCCGCCACTCTCTTGGCCACCAGCTCGGCATGGAGCGAGTCCTCTCCCTGGTCCTTCTTCTCCTTCTTCTTAGGCGTCTGCTGCTCCTTTTTAGGGCTCACAGAGCCCTCCGGACGCAGCAGCCCCAGTAAAAACTCCTTCTTGTGCTCCACCGACGTCTTCCCGTCCATCTCCTTCAGCACGCGGGCGCTCTGCTGCTCGCACAGGTCCCTCAGCACGGCCGCCTCGAAGGCGGAGAGCTGCAGCTCGCTCAGCAGCGCGTCCAGAAGCCGCTTGAGCCTCAGGTCGCCCTTCTCCGCGTCCTTCTCGGGCTCCAGAGGTCGCTGGGAGGCCGCGGACGGCGCAAACAGAGCGGACACACGCCCAGATAACAGCTCGGGGGCCTTGCAGGCCAGCGAGAGCGGCACAAGCCGCTGAGAATGGCCGGAACCGCGCTTCTTCCGCCCCGAGCGAGGGCCTTTGGAGCCCTCTGGGCCCTCAGACGCCACTTGGAAGCCCGCGCACTCGCCCTCGCGATGCTTCAGCGCTACGCGCACCAGCTGCTGAAGCTCCTGCGGGGCCATGCCCGCGTACAGGCCCAGCGTCGCCCCCGGAAGCTGCACGTGCGCGACGTCGCCCCCCGCCATGTTGCGACTCGGATTTGACTTGCGGTTTGTATACTGGGCGGAATGTTATCAGTCGCGGCGTCGTGAAAGATCGGACAAGAGTGATGGTAAGTTGTGTATCGCACGCAAATGTACCGATAAAGAGGTACTTGTGAATGTGGTGTGCTGTACGTAGACGCGTGCAGCTCAATAGAAGTGCATCGTGGACCATTCGCCCGACGATTGACACGACGGGAAGGGGCTGGCTTTAGCGGAGGTTTTAGCGACGAAGCGAGAGGAGAATGAGCAGTGTATGGCCTGTGGCAGACGACCCGCGCGCCAAGCTCTTCAATGGTGGGTCGATAGCTGAATAACCATGTGTGGATGCCGAGATATTGACGACTGAACAATTATGACACATTGCTGTGACTGCAGACCAAGTGCACGGCTACATCAAAGTGAACGGCCTGTGCGTGTCGCTCATGGACACGCCGCAATTCCAGCGGCTGCGCGACCTGAAGCAGCTGGGTACGCTCTACTACGTCTTCCCGGGGGCCTCGCACAACCGCTTCGAGCACTCGCTGGGCGTGAGCTTCCTCTCTGGCCAGACCGTCGAGCGCTTCCGACAGCAGCAGCCGGAGCTTGAGCTGACGCAGCGAGACGCGCGGCTTCTGGTAAGGGACTAGTGCAATTGACAGGAGTTTGGAGGTGACTGGAGGGCTAAAGATGGTGTGTTTTGGCAGAGTGCGGCGGGACTTCTGCACGATTTGGGTCATGGTCCGTTCTCACACGTGTTCGAGAACGAGTTTATGCCGCGAGTGGCTGCTGCGCGGGGATATGGCGGTGTAGACGCACCGACCTACCACCACGAGGATATGTCGCTGAGGATGATTGAGTACATGGTGGACGACAACAACATCGACCTGGAGAGAGACGATGTGCGCTTCATCCAGCAGCTCATTGTCGGGGCGAAAGAGTGAGTTGCCATTGGGGTGTTAATGCGAGGTGAAGGTTCGAATGCTGATTAGACTGAACTTGTATTGTTAGGACGCACATGGGCTCGCGTGGTGACTCTCGTGGCTACTTGTACGAGATCGTGGCCAACGGCCGCAACTGCATTGACGTCGACAAGTTCGACTACCTAGCTCGTGATATGCTGAACCTGTTCGGACTGCGCAAGGTGTTCGACTTCTCTCGACTGACGATGTTCAACCGCGTGATCGGCAACGAGATCTGCTATCACACCAGCGTCAACCTAGACATCTACGACATGTTCCAGCAGCGCTATCAGATGCACAAGCAGATTTACAACCACCGCAAGGGCAAGGCCGTTGAATTCATGATTTGCGACGCGATGCTTCTAGCTGACAAGGAGCTGGGCATCTGTGCCTCCACACAAACACCAGAGGACTTCCAGTTCCTCACCGATCACATCGTGCACGTACGTATCCTCGCCCACCTATGTGTTGCCCCAGGAAGTGATGCTGTTTCTAAGCAGAGATTTGGCTTTCTTGCTCTTTAGTCGATCGAGGCGTCCAAGACTGACACGTTGGCTGATGCACGGGCGCTTCTCAAGCGCATGCGTCGTCGTGAGCTGTACGAATTCATTGACGAATACCTCCTGCCTCCTGAGTTGATGTCGCGTATTCCGCGTTTCACCAGCGAGGAGCTGGCGACACAAACTTCCTATGACGGTGTGACCTTGGATCCCGAAGACATCATCGTCTCGGATGGTCGACTGAACTACAACTTCAAGGATCGCAACCCGGTGGACAACGTCTCCTTCTACGCGTCCAGCGATCTCAACTCCAAGTTCCACATTCCGAAAGATCAAGTCAGCCTGCTTTTCCCGGAGAAGGTAGGCTTGGCATTTACCCAAGTGCGTGGCGTATCTTTTGCTAACATTATTTCTTGTGATAATTGGTAACAGTTCGAGGAGCGAATTATCCGCGTGTACAGCCGAAACAAGTCACCCAAAGTCCATGCTGCAATCCAAGTACGTAACTGCTATTATTATGATTCAGCCTGCAAACCCCGAGAACTGACATTTCCCTCTATTTACTTTTACAGCACGCCTTCCGCAGCTACATTCGCCAGTTCAGCACCACTCTTCCGCCTCCGTCGCCGTCCTCAAAGGTGCGCTACATTTGTATTCAGTATTCATGCAGATCTGTAGTCTCACGTTCTTGTGCAGATCTATGGCAAACAGATTTCTGACAACGCTCAGGCCTCCAAGAGAAAAGCTGTGAGAAAACTACCAGGTATGTCGATTTCTAAATTGTTGCGTTCTACCTGGCAAGATAACTCACGACTGCTTTCATCTTCACCTTACAGTGCTGCCAGAAGCAGACACTGAGCATGAGGCAAACGGCAACAGCAGTCCCTCGGTATTATCGCCCGTTAGCAAACGCCTCAAATCTGATGCCGACGAGAATTAACCTTCATGGTGGTAGGTACCATTTACGTCTCCTGTAGATACCCGATCATAACGCCATTGCCAATGGCCCAATGATATCTTGTCTATTTTACACAACATAGAACTCCCAGCGCAAATGTTCTTAGCTTCCAGCAACCTTCTCCTCAAGTCTATCAACTACGTCGCGGAAAAGCGGGTCGAAGAAGCTCCTCCACTGCTTGTATATGATGAACTTGTCCATATCGTTCGGATCAGACGTGTGGACTCGTACGTCTCGTCCACTCCGGAACTCGTGCCAGTTGCAGCCAAGATACTGACACAAATTCCGATATCCCCAGCGATAGCGTCGTCGCGGGAAGATTTCAATGACCAACGTCTCGGGCCGAGTCCACATTACGTTAACCATGCCTGCGCCGTGCATTCCGATCACGACGTCGCATCTGATCGTGCATCGTCATGTTCGTGAACTCGAGAGACTGGAACTTGCACTCGCCGAAGCGATAAGCACCACGGTATTCTTCGCGCATGCGGTCTACAACTTCGTCCTCATTTTGCCACACGCGCTGTATCCGTCGCCCGCCGTAAGGTCTTCGCGAAATGATGGTGACCAGGCAGCGTCGAGGGTCAGTTTTGGCATTGCGTGGAGTCACTGCCATGCTGTTGAGTGCAGCATCCCGGAAATCTGCGATCATAGCGTTGGCGTGGCACGGCTGGTTGTCGTCCAGGTGGCTCATGAGCGGGCCCGTGACCTCGTAGGGAGGCAGCAACGCCGACTCGAAGTGCACGACTTGATCCTGAAACACTTCGCCGCTGATGACAGGCCGCTCAGGCCTGAGAAGAGCATACCGCAGTTCATCAACTGGAGTGGGCAACGCTCGATCCAGCGTCACGAGCTGCGTTGCGTTCCGTTCCCAGCCGATTGTCTTCATCATGACCCACGCGTTGAGCATCGCCGAGATCTGGAAGAACGGGTTGTGGTCGTCCTTGCGCACCATTACCACTGCCCGCTCCAACGTCAGCTTGTCCCCAACAGTGTCCTGGAATGCCTCGCAATTCGGATCCTTGTCGCTCGGTCCGCCAGCGAAGTAGTCCTTCCAGATATTCGGAGCTCCGTGCTCTCGGTCTTGAAGCTCGGTGCATCTGCAGAACGCAAAGCTTTTCTTGTACCTGAACCTCGGATCATGTCCACCGCCATCATCCACCAAGCTGTCGATGTCCTGCGTTATCTCCGCGCCTCGAAGATCCAGCGCGAAGTTTTCCAGCTTCGTCGCACTCACGCCCGCTTCAGGCACGTGAGAGAATGTGTACGACGACCCGTTTTCATGAGTACAAAAAGACTGGGATGAGTTGCTCAAGCGCTCGATCAATCCGTAGTCTCTAGCATAGCGACACTCGTCCTTCGAGCCTTTCTTAGGCGGCCAATGGATCGGTGGAGCCATGAGCTCCACGACGTCTTCGACTTGCTCGGTGTCTTCGTCCTCGACTTGAACCTGGTGGTGGATCGCTTGCTGGAAGTGTTGAATACCAACAGGGAACATCTGCAACTCCTCGTCCTTAACGAATTCGATGGTGCCATTAATCCGCACGCTGTCGCTTGAGCCGACACTTGACGTGGATACGAACTGGAACGAGGCGAGCGTTTCAAACACGTTGAGGAATGACACGAGCGCCATAGCAGCGACCAAGCCGCCCCTCAGCCACAGTCGTCTCCTTGAGCATGGCGAAGCACCCGAATTGGGCGGCACTTTCGTCATCAGCTGGTGCGCGGCCATCGCTCCAAGCTCAAGCAAGACGAGCGACGCGAGGCGAGATCAAGAATGACCGAAGGGATACCGCTCGACGGTCTCAAGTCGCAGAGAAGTGTCCCGAAGTGATTGCAGCCATCATTTAGTTTCAGTATGTGGAAAGCGATGGCTACACAATTTCAGGGTGCTTAGTCGATCCAGGGATGGATCCTTTGCGCACAGGTGTAGGCACCGGAGAGGCGGTAAAAGGCTCAACGGTCTCCATGTCCAACGCATGATCAGCGTCAGTGGCTGTTGATGCCCAGAGCCACGACTATCTAAAGAGCTTCAGTACGCTGGACCAAACTCATACTGTACACTCAAGATATTTGTTTCGTTGGAGCATATTCGTTGCGTTCACTCTACTACCCTCCCTTCCTCTGTCTCTACGTCGAATTCGCTTCCACCACTGGGTGAGCGGGCTTTGGTCATCCAGCACTGCTTGGCTCCCTCGTCCACAAAGATCTCGTCGTCGATGCAGCTGTAGCCGCACTTCTCGTAGAAGCCCTTCTTCTTGATCAGAGCCGCCAGGATGAACAGGTCCACGCGGTCGCAGATGTAGTCCTCCACTGCATCCATGAGCGCCACGCCGTAGCGCTTGCCACGACACTCGGAAAGCACCGCTACACGGCTGAGCTTCGCCTTGCGCTTGGCGTCGTCGACCACCACGCGCGCCACAGCCACCACCTTGTTCTGCTCCACGTCCGTGCCAATGAAGTGCAGCGCCGACGGATGCACGTCGTCGTCGTCGAACTCGCCCTCCTCCTCGAAGTGCTGCTCATGGATGAACACCTGCAGTCGGATGGCTCTGGCCTTCTCCCAGTCCTCGGGGGTCTTCACGCAGGTCACCAGCAGAGTCATTGAGGGTCGTGTTGAGAATTGAAGTGCAAGTGTGGAGTCGATTGCAGATTTGAAAGTGACAAGTATTGCGTGTGATCTTGAAGCGACACTGGTTTTGTGCTTCTTGGTTTTGACTTCCTGGACTTCAAAATGGATCCAAAAAGCTCATCGAAACAAAAAGCTGATGAGTAAGTACCCTATCCTCGTTCGGATGGCTGGCGGCGTTATTACGTCCCATGCTTGCGGGAGCGCTACAAACTGGCAGATGAACCTTCTGTTCCACCGAAGTATGTTCTCTTCGGATGAATGGCGAAGTCAGCTGCGTTTTCCGCGCACGAAACCTTAAAAACAGTAAAGTCTTGTCAAATTACATATTCCTCTAAATGGATGCTATTAATTTATATACTGCTACATATAAAAGGTGTAAACAAAGTTTCTAGATTTGATATGGAAAAGAAAACGATATATAGTCGTAAATCGGCTTAAGAAGGGGCTGGGCTAACGTCTCTTGGATCTGTCACTCTGCGTTCTGCACCAAAGACGGTCAAGTCACGATGGAGTTTGCGCTGGAGCCCGAGTCCCCCGAATCTCTGCAGGCCACACTCGCCTTCATCGACGAAACAATGGGGGATTCAAGCCCGAACCTCTCACAGCAATTCAATGACCCACTGCAGTCGTCCGACAGTGACGACTGGGAGACGTCTCAATTGCTGGACGACTTCACCACCGACGTGTCCTCGGACGCGTCTTCACCTCGACTTCCAGCCGAAGCACTCAGGCCTCTCCAGTCCCCAGCCTCCACTGTCACCCCATTAACGCCGACTTCAGACGAGTCTGCAACCCGCAAAAAGCGCCGCAACTACAACCCGACCAAGGCGCGTGAAGACCTCATGCGAGAGCTGACCTACCTGCGTGGCGAGGCGGAGGAGTTGGAGGTGAAGCTGCATCAACTGCAGACCATCAAGGTCGCCAAGACCAGAGAGGGCTCAAGCGCCTCGACGAGACGGATCACGGACAGTGCTAACCGGCAGCCGTTCGTGTGGGAGCAAACCTGCGTCCGCCAACTGGAGTGCAGGTTGAGGTCGGAGCGAGAGAACGCGCACCTGAAAATGCTGCTGGAGGGGCAGACCCAGGTCGCTAAGAGATTGGAGAAGCTGCTGAACAAACGCGCCACACTGCACCCTACCGAGACTTCAGGCAGCAAACGTACCACACGCATTCAAGTGTCGAGGACGGGGAGTGAGGTGGTGGACGCTGCAGTCTTCGAGGAGCTGGCAGATGGCGTGGAAGCTTCGTACCGTGAAGTGGAGCGTGTGTTCGAGTCCAGCGGCCTCGAGCTCCCGGACGTCACCTCACGCAAGGCGCAGATGCGTGACAGCACCGACGGTATGTTCCTCGAGATCTTCGACAGTAAGATCCTCCCCTTCAGCATGTTCGCGACGGGCGAAACGTGGTGGCGCCGCTGGAACCACTTCAATCCGAACCGAGGCAGCTGCTACCGCCTGGAGAGCACGGACGACACCATCGTCGAGCACTTCGGCATGGAGATGAGCGACACCAAGACCAAGACGAGCGCCAAGTTCTACGTGCAGCAGATTCTGCGTCGGCATGTGGAGGAGGATCGCGTTGTCGTCGTCTGGCAGTCGCACATTGAGCCGCTCGAGTTTTCGCACAAGAAGCTGTCCGTTTCCGCGAGAAAGGGTACGTGGTCATTAAGCCCCACGAGGTAAACGAGGATGAACCGTACACCCTCGTGAAAACCTGCCACATTATTAAGCCAGATCTGTCGCTGCAAAGTCTGAAGAAGGATGCTAGAACTGGAGCGCTGGCTGAGTTTGTGTTGAGCGCTACCGTCGCAAACATTGCTGCCAGCGCCGAGATGATTGAAGGCTTGCTGGTGGACGAAGCTCTACAGCAACGTAGCAAAATGTAAAAGATGGAGTGGCCAAACAGACAAAAGTACATTTCTTTTTCTTTTTTTTTCTTTGCCAGCTTATCGCACGAGTGTGCGGCTAGAGAATCTCCCTGCTTCGAGCAAACCAACCTTTCAAATATTCCTCACGTCACAGCAGGTTGTTGGCCTTGAGCTGTTGAGTGAGCAGCTCTACCGTCTCAGCAGAGCACTCGGTCAAAGGCGATCGCACAGTAGACGAGCAACGTCCCAGCAATTCCATCGCCTTCTTGATCGGCACCGGGTTTGGCTCCACGAACAACGAGTTCACTAGGAGAACCTACCCGAAAGCATAACATTAGTGAAGTTAGAGCTATCAAACCCGGAAGAGGACACAACTCACATTGGTCTCGTGAGCCTTCCTGGCTGCTGCGAAGTCTCCCTTTTCAATCGCCTTGGTAATCGCGAGCACTCTGGCCGGTGCAGCATTCGAGAGGACGCTCATGACACAGAGGCCCGCCAATACAGTATCATATTGGATTGCACCTGACACGAAGCACTAATAAAAACTGCAATTTCTTAGCAAACAATAACAAAAATTCCCGCAATTTATATTGCAATTTATATGGTGCGCCTAGCAAGTCTACCCCAGCCATTGGTGCCGGTAGGAACCCCAATTGGAATCACCGCTCGGTAATCGACCGGCCAGCTTACACCAAGCTCAGCACGTTCAAACTCACTGATGAGATCTTGAGGCAGGTCAACTGCGGGCTGCCATGTTAGCTCCGCATAGCCCACCCAGCCAACAAAATAATAAGCGGCACCTGCTGGATTAGTTTTTTTCGCGTAGATCGCGTCTACTGTGTAGAGATTGGGACCTTCGCCGAAGTCGGATGAGTTGTCTTCTAACGAAGACGTATCACTCTCGTCCACGGCTGGACGTGGACAGCACCATGGCGTCGACAGCGCTTCTTGTCGGAGAACTTCAAGAGGGGCTGGAACAGCTTGGTGGCGTGCCTGCCGGTCGCGTGCCCGCTTAGCTGCCGCGAGAGCGGCAATTTGCTTGAGCCTCTTGCCCTTCTTCGGCATCTTTGTTTTTCCCAAGTGCATAGCTAGCTAAGCCAAGAATCTAAGGTAGACGTGTGTTGAAGTGCGTGCTAATTGGCTAGCTATTGTAGGAGTATTTCAAGCAGTATATTTTTACACTCATCAAAGGCATGTTGAAGATAAACAAGGATTGATCTATAATTATTTATTTCGGGCCGACCATATCTTTTTAGAGGGGGATACAGGTCAAGATAGGCATTCGCTCGATATGAAATGCATCTTCTTCATCAATATGCCTCTGTCGAGGCTGGGAATACCTGCGTTGAAAAGCGGACATACTTGGTTACATAACTAAGATTTGACTTGGATTGAAAATACAGTATTAGTGACGTGGCATAATTTAAAAAAATTCTAAAAATATGAGGAGTGTAAACTTCAATGTGAGGGATGGTCTTATTGAGTTATGTAGCTAGAACGTTCCCCACTATCAATGCCTCTGCTAGTTTAGCTACCCTGCTGCTTGCTAACTCGGGCTACTGTGGAAACGTCCCACATGCCGCGGTTGACCCGGAGAAACGCCAGCTGCTCGAAGTTGGCCGGAAGCATAGATCGACGCTGCGGTGTCAATACCAGCTTGCACTGAGAGAAAAGCCGCTCGACCGTGTTTGACGTCGGAGGAACCATTTTCACGAGCGGCATGTAACGTGTGGTACTTGGCGCTTGTTTCCTCTTCTTTCCCTTGCCTTGGAGCAACATCGTCGCGTAGTCTTCTTCCCGCTCCTTGCGCTTCTTTCCTGTGGGTTGTGCCTGCTCGAACCGCTTCAAAGCTGCTGTCGCCGCGGACGATAGAGCCGTGCCAGAGATGACCTTGACAACACCCGATTCGAATGCAGGCGTATGGACGATCTTGGCGGTCGACTTCAGATGCTCTGACATGACAGGGTACTCCGCGATGAGGGAGTCGAACGTCAGGCGTACCTCTCCCATATCGGTGTCCTCGCGCTGAAGCCGCTTACAGACGCTCTCGAACTTCTTGAGGTGCTCAAACAGCGCGACCAACTTCCGGTGCTTCCCGCCGGTTGGGACCATTTCCTCCACGGCGTCGACCTTCTTGATCTCTGCGCGAATACGAATGTACCTCTCTACCATTGTAAACGTCGAGGACCAACGCGTGACGTTCCGCTTGATAGGGACGAGATCGGTGTACTTCTTCAGATCGGCACGGTTGTTTTCATGACGAAGTTCCACCATAAGGTTGTTGACTTCGTCCAGTAAGTCGCCATACGGCTCCATGAACTTGTTCACAGCCAGGTTGAAACGATGACTGGCGCAGCCGACGAGGGGGATACCCATCTTGGTTGCAATGGACTGGGTAGTTGCGCAGTTGTCCCCCACCAGAAACCCCACCATGTCGCTGGTCTTGTCGTACACATCCAGAATGTTCTTGAACAGCTTGATGTGGGCGTCTGCCGTCTGATCGCCATCTTCAAGGGGAGACATACCAAGTAGCGGTATGCGCAGCTTACCAGCTGTCTCGTAGACGGCGTAGAGAGCAACATAGTGAATGCCAGCGTGGGTCCAGCCGTCAAACATCAGGGCGAAGAGCGTTCCCATCTCTTTCCCCAACTTCTCGCCGACTTCAATTGCGATCCCCTCCATGCACTTCTTGACGGCCTTGGCGGTCACAGGTCGGAGGTTGCTGATGGCCCGAGTTAGTGCATCTTCGACTTCGTGGACGGGCATGTTGCGTTCGATGATCCAACGGACCCATTGGAAGAGATGGCTGGCGTCCTCTGCGATGAAGCCGAACGCTTGAAGAGGTCGGTCCGAGCTGGCCTGGAGCGATGCGTACGTTGCCTCGTAGCCAGCGTGCTTCGATGCCAGGTGTGCCACCAGATTGGAGTAACCTGACCCAGCCAACTGTTTCCGCATGCTGTTACATAAGTTGCAGCTGAAGAGGCCTTGGCCACGCGAGGTGTAGAAGAAGGCGGCGAGTTGCTTGTAGGCGACCATTGCTATCCTGTGGAAATGGAGATATGAACTGCCAGTGGAGCCGTATTTGCAGGCTGCGGAGTTGGTTGGAGCACGTCTCCAAGCCAGTCATTTGCCTTGGGCGAAATGTGGTGTGGTTAACGCCGTTTTTGATGTCATCGGAGGCTGGAGATGACGCCATCAACAGGAATCTTTGTACAAAAACTATAGGAGTCCAGCCAAGGCACTTTTATGGAATTTATTGTCAATAATTGGGCCAATTTTATATTGTACGGGGACCACTGTAGCCCAATAATAAAAATTAATATTGAAAAAACTGATTATTTATTGTATTGCACTATTTTTTCCCGACCTCTGTCATGACACCTACCGCTCCACACGCCATCATAGGCAGCGCCAGGTTATCGGCTCCACAGACAACAGGCAGGTCGCACAGCGCCATGACGTCCACAGTATGCGCCACCGAGTCCGTGGCGTCCTTCAACGCCGCGATGCCCGGCACCTTCGCCAGCTCTGCGATGGTCTTGGGCTCCAGCGGCACTCCAGCACGACCAGGATTGTCGTAGATCATGCATGACTGGCAGACCAACACCCGCAACACGACGGAAATGCTCGTAGAGCCCACGCTGCGAGGTGCAGACGTAAGGAGGAGCAATGACCAGACAGGCGTCGGCTCCTAGCTGTTTGGCCTCTTGTGCCAGCTTCACGGCCGCCTCAGTGGACAACGCACCCGTGCCTGCGATCACGGGGACCCGTCCATTGGCTAACTTGATGACAGTCTCGATCACCTTCAGCCGCTCTTCGTCCGACACGAGAGTGTTCTCACCTGTAGACCCCATCTACATACAGCAATCGTTAGCAATTGGGACTATTGTTTGGATATTGTGTGCTACTCACTGGTACAAGTCCGTCGATGCCCTGCTCGATCTGCCACTCGACCATCTTCTCCAGACTCGCATAGTCCACAGCAGAGCCGTCGGGCGTGAACGGCGTCACCAAGGCCGTGTACGTTCCGTCGAAGCGCAGTTTCGAGGCCATGGTAGCTGAGAAAGATCTTGTCGAGACGGCGCCGATTGAGTTATGAAGCGACGAGCGTCCGGCGAGGAGAGAGCGGAGACTGGAACGTAGGAACTGGCGATGCATCCTGAGCTGGTGACAGCCTGGTAGTAGCGTACTGGCCACAAGAAGCTTTGTGGAGTGACTTGGAACAGCAGCTTCAAGCTGACCCCTCGTCCAAACACCGGATCTGATAAGGAATTTCACCTATCCCCAGGGGATTACTCAAAGTAACAGTAAAATAAATAAATAAAATAAAACATAAAAATAATGAATCCAGGCAAACTATACTTTTTTCACATGCCAGTTCTCGCCCACTCAGCGAAATTGGGATTGCGGGATCTCTGCGCCCAAGCACAGAGTCCGTTAGATATGGGCTACAGTATGCAATACAAAACTCAAGTAAGCTACAACGCAAAACACGCCTACTTCAATCGGAGACAAGTAGAACAGCCAACACGACAAACCCCACGTGTCGTTGCTCAATACTTCACACCTCCCAGTATGTTACCGATGGCTCATTGGCGTCTGCTACCTGATCTTAGCATCAGAGCTGCAGATAGACCAACTTCTCTTTCACAAGGCTGCTGTACCAGCCAGGGTATTTCTCCTTATAGTACTTCATGTACCCGCACCAGAACTCCTGTTGCCCAAGCTTGTCATAGTCCCCCTTCGCCGCGGCTCGTAGTTGAACGTCATCCGCTTTCGCCAGTAGTTCGGTATCGAGGTTATAGAATTTCGCGAGGTCATCCGGAGTCTTCTTCATCTTGTCCATGATCTCATATTCCTTCGTGTGCCTCGTCATTACCCGCTCAACGTCGTCCAAGGTGTAGCTCTTCGCGCTCACTAGGGATTTGGATCGGGTCAAATTCTCTGCTGCAGCCTTTTCGGCTGGGAACGACTTCGACCTCGTCAGTTTATCCGCGGTCGGAGGGGAATGTTCGGGTCTAGTCCACAGCCAGTTTTTTTTTACTTTCCCTTGGTCAGGTTTGCTAAGTAAGTCGCCATATTTTCGTATCAGCCGTTCACTCTTGCTTCGCCATCTTCATAATCGTCAGTCTTGCCGCTTCTCAAAGATCGACCGTCATTGCCGTCCACTTTCACGAAGTTGAGTTCGTGGTTCGACAAAGGTGCCCTGGCGGGAGACACGTCGCTGAAGGCCGTGGCGACCTTACAGCTCGTAACGAGGGCGGCAACAATAAGAATCAAGTAGCCGAGCTGCATGGTTCTTGCGCAGTCTCCAGCCCTTGGTTACTTCGGAGCTTGATAGCAAAATGTGAAGTGAATTCAGAGTGACGGGGAGCCTTTACGTGACCACAAGGCATCGTATGGCTGGGAGGACCCGGAACGCGTACACGCTCCTTTCGGGTATGCGCTCACACTGTTGGGAAAACATAGTGTCTCACATTTTTTTTTACTACAGTATTAAGATGGGTCGAATGTGGCGCGGCACCTTTCCCAAATCCCGCGAGTGGAAACTTTCCCGGTCATCTTTGGTCCAGAATATTTTTTACGGTCGCTGATTGGTTCGGACGGGTGTGCCAAAATGTTGGTACAATCTCAAAGTCTGCAGAATCCGTGGAGTCTCGAGGCCTGGTCTACAAAACAAGAGCATGTTTTCGGGGTACCTGGCACCCCTGAAAAGGGCATTGCTGCGGTTAAGTTGATCCCGTTCCCAGAAGCACATGGGAATGCGTGTGATCCTTCCCTGAATCCTGGAATAAGGTGGAGTTCGGCACGAGTTATTGACCGGTATTCGGGGTGCTTTCTGGATTGCCCAAGATATTCTCAAGATTGCCACTCAATGGAGCCTGTTATCCCGGACTTGCTTCCCACAAAACTCGAGAAGGCCTTCAACCAAGGTTCCCCCCAGACCCAGACTCAATCATCACGGGAATCCCAAGGCTCTCGCGATGATCTCGTATCATCTCAAGATCTGAGGTTTACCCCCGACAGCGACTCTTCAAGCTTCGATAAAAATCAGGTCCAACACTCTGGAGAAAGATCCAGTAGTCAACCCAGCGACCAGGCGGCGCTGGAAAGATCGTCTTTGCATGTAGCCTTTAACCAAAACAGAGTTCGTTTCCCCCTCAAGTGCCGAAGTCGTGTTGGGCCGAAGCCCTGAGAGCGTTCTCCACCAAAAATTCAAAGTTCTTTAGGTAAGGGATCCATTGCGAAAGGCTGGGCGTGAACTTATCTATTCCATATTCTGCACATACGCCGTGTTGGCTTGGTGTGTTATATATTGAGGGAGTAAGCGTATAGTGAGGCTCCTAAGAGTGATTTGTATCGGTATTAGGCCATATAAGTCGATATTTGATTGAATTGCTGTTCTCCTCTTAGAGGAGTGGTGCGCGTCCACAAGACTGTCCAAGTGTCTTGGGTTTGGACCCGAAGACTTGGAGATTTGGCCTTAGTCCTGGGCCTAGAGAAAGAAGAGAGGACAAGAGGTATCTGTGTGATTGTATATTGTGTTTAACTCTGTATATTTGGATTGAAATGTTTGTTGGCGTTGACTGGTGTGGATTCTTGAGTCGCGGGGTTGATACTAATCGCCGATCAAAAGAACCAGCCACAAGGGGATACACAAGCGTGCGCCTGACCAGCGGTGTGCTGATATTTCTCAAGCAGCTCACTGCGTGGACGATCCTGGCTCTCTAGCTCGTGGTCGTCTGCCTACCGAGTCACATTCTCGAGACTTGCTTTTGCTCTACCGACACAAAAGGCACTCGCGCCTCGTCACACGAACGTAACCTGTGCTTCAAATTCCGACTTTGTTTCTTAAATGTTCGACTTAGAACCAAATTTCACTTCTGCTTAGCATATATGGTAGTACTCGAATCATTCCGCAAGAAGGTTTTCCACATGGTTCCTAACCAACAGGAATGTGTGAACATTCTTACCAGGTGTGATCTTTACAACTTTGCCGAAATAACCTGGAAATGCATCGTCTACCCTGGATTCGGAGCATTGAAGTGTTGTTCGTAAACTGTTCACTGCACCTTATCATGCCAGATCTGCGTGTAAACATTATCTATTGGATAAACCATGATTGAAAAATGACGCCCTCCCGGGGAGCGGCGCAGCGGCGTCATTCTCGGGGGCGCTAGTGCGGCTCCGCCGCGGTGCCCTCAGTCTTTTACGGACAAGGATGTGAGGCAAGTGTCTCTGGGCTGAGATCTCGACGCGGGTCTGACTCGCGGCGGCGGGAGCGGACGCACCAAGAGCGCTCAGTGCTCAGCCACCGACTTCCCGTGGGCTGGTGACTACGGCACCGCCCAGGAAGCTGATTCGGCGGCGAGGCGCGAGCGACCGCGAGGGGGGAACGCTGCGGAAGTCAATCGTCAAGGGAAGGTGCTCAAGGGGATCAGCATAAGACGCAGGAACAACACAAGACTGAAGAACAAGGGCGTGCTGGCTAAGACAGTGTGGTTGGTCGGTCACGATAGCAGTCGCCGGGGAAAGGAGTAGTGACCCGAGTACCTAGCTGAACCAAGACTACAAGACCGATGCGGGGGACGGAAGCAGCGGACACGCCGCCACCAAGGCTTAGCGCGTCTCCGCGAAGGGGGAGCCATTCAGTGCCGACGTATGCTGACCGTGACGGTGAAGACGGAGCTCAACTAGTGGCCGCCCACTACTAGGGGTAGTGTGTGTGGACCACGTTTGGAGAGTGTAGATCACTTATTCCCTGAGCGTTAAGGCGCACTAACGTTCACAATACAATACAATGATTGAAAAAAAGGAAAACTAGTTATTGTCCTTCATCAGTCTTTAACTGTACCGTTTTCGAGTATGGCATGAACATCGCCCTCTGTAATGTAGTGATTTAGTCGATTTTCATTGCGACTGTGCCTCCTAGAACACTGACGTACACTTATTATACATGATTTTTCATTACTATCTCAGTCGCCGCGAAGCCCTAGCTTCTAAATTAATGTACAATGCTAATTCTGAGCTTTAACCACTCGACGTGCATACAGTGATGTTGAATGTAATAGTATGGCGTTGCAGTTAGCTTGTCATTAGCCTAAGAAATTAAGAGACATCAATGTACCGTACTTAAATTCGACTGGAAATGTTGCAGGTAGTACATACTTGCACAAAAAACTACTTCGACGTCGTATCCTTCTCCGATCAGCGAATAGATTATCTAGTGCATCTCTCGTCTCGATTTGGTAGCACGATCAGTTGAAGAGACAAACCCCGCACTGACCGAGCCAAAAATACAGCTGAATGAGAGAGAACATAAAGTATCGAGATCTATCTGATGTCCAAAGTCGTTTCCGTCGTGTAAGCTCATGGCTCCTGGAGGAGCCCGCAAATCGACGCCAGTAAGGGCATCACACAGTCGCACAAATTGCAAATGCAATCAATCGTCTCCAGGGTCTCCACCTCGTTACGAACTCGAGCTTCTTCTTTTCTTTTCTCAAATTCCTTCTCTCGCAACAAACGTGAGATTTTAACTCGACCCCCAACAGGAACCCTCGCGGCAGCAGCTTTGATCTCAGAGGCTGTACAGAACCCGACCAGGACTTTCACAATAGAAACGTGATCGTTCTCCACAGCGCGCTCCAATGCATTTCTGACACCGACTTGCCACAACTCAGCCGACAGTAGCAACAACTTTACCACACGAATATGACCACTTGCTGCTGCAGCCCGAAGTCCACGACCTAGGTAATCCAGACTACAGGGTTCCCGCAGAAGCAGCCGCAAGCTTTCAATGTCTCCTCTTCCCGCCACGCGTTGAATGGCAGTAGTGATACAAACGTTACCAGGATGACGATTGGTTTGAACGACAGCGCTGGCATTGGCAAGCCGCGGAGGTTCTGCGTGTAGCAGCAGTTGCTTCACAACTCCAACGTGGTCATTTGCTGCAGCGTTGTTCGCAGCTAAAATAATATCGCTACGCTGGCATCGATCAATAAGTAGATCAACCACTTCTGTCTGACCTGCCCCAGCAGCAGCCCCCAGACCCAACCCGAAAGGAAGCCTTTCAGAAGCATCGCAGTTTAACATCAACCGCAACATGGACAAATCTCCCGCTGCTCCTGCTTCGATCAACGCTTGTTCCCAGTCACCTCGCGTCCAATTGCGGCAAAGCAGCCACTCCACCACCTTGAAATGGCCATTTGCGATGGCCGCATCTACTGCGTCATTCGAGCAACGCCCAAAGCCAAAGTTGGCTTCGAGCCACATCACCACGTCGAAATGTCCATTCACCACAGCTCCATCCATTGCCGCCATTGTGCAGCCTTCAGTGCGCGTCTTGTGAAGCCACTCCACAATATCAAGTCGGCCTCTCTCTGCGGCGCCGTCCATCGCCTTCACGGTCCAGCGTCGAATCTTTCCATGCACTTGAACAACAAATTGCCAGTCGTTGTAAACTGCAGCGTCGATAGTCGCCGGCATTAGATAGTCATTGATTGTTTTACAAACATGCGGGAGTGCTTCGACTCTCATAGGAAAAATAAAGCCACAGCACCGGAGCTGCGGCCCCTCCATTGTAGCTTCAAGAGGCGATAAACTCGGAAGTGTGAGCTGTCGCTGTGATGGAATTTGACTGGTTTTGACTGATGTATGCCGGGGATTTGTTGTTTTTCGATGATAGAACCCACGAGCGCTAGAATCATGCCTTGTATTCTTTAAAACAGCTTATTAAAATAAAATAACAAAAAGACGACAACCCTTTGTTATACGCCGTAAAATTCCCCCTTATTCCTTGAACACCAAGACTGAAAAAGAAAACTCTGTCATCACGAGGATTTGACGGAACAATAATTCAATTTACTTATGCAAGTTATCTGCAGGCTGCAGATAACTTGCAGCTGCAGACTGCAGCTATAGATCCTGCAGTTATTGCTTGATGTAAGTTTTGGGCGACGCCATCGACACGAACGAAGCGCTCTTCGGCGTCGAAACCTGTTTGGCCGAGTCTGATTCCAGTTCCGCCACGACGTCAAACTCACTCTCCCCCGTGTCTGCCGACGACACTGCTCTACCGGGACGGTAGACAAAGTACAACGTCAGTTGAATCGCAGTGAGCAAGACCCCCACGACGTTCGGCACCACGATGAACAGGTCGTCGTCAACGATTCCGTTGACGAGCCACAGGCTACTGTTGACGAACATGATGGAGCAGAGCAGCACGGGGATGGCAGCCGACGACTTGGTCCGGATCACGAGCTTGAGCTTCTCGAACGGCGACATGAACAAGGCGAACGTCGTCACGTCGGCCAAGTAGCCGAGGATGACGCCGAGCTGGTGTCTCGACTGGGGGATCGCCCCGCACGCGACCAAAACGGTGTAGAGAGTGACCAATACGAACGGTACCGTCCCCATGACGAGGCACTTGATCACATACTTCCGGTCGGGGCAATACTTCGCGTAGACGGCGATGTACACAGCCAACACGATGTCGCCGAAAATGCACACGGAGAAGAGAGGGAAAATGTTCTTGACCGTGTAGGCGTAGATCAACCTACAAAGTAAAGGTATTAGTCGTTAGAGAATGGCAGTTTAGATACTACTAGAGCACAGCAAGCAGACGTACCAGACGTGGTTGCACAGTAACATGGCGATGAGTGGCGTGAAGGCCATAACACCGGTATCCCGATTTTTGTGGACTCGATACAGATCTGGCACTGGACTGAGACGCTGCGCCACTTGTGCGATGGTCGTGAGCACCTTGATCGTTGTGATGAATGCAGACACCATCTCGTAAGTTGCCGAGTGCCTCTTGTTGAACGCCAAAGCGGAAATGGAGAGTGGTTTCGGCACTTTGCAGTCGGTCAAGCGCAATCGCCATGTTGAGATGAGTCGAGCTGCAAATCCCACCGTCTGTATCTCCTGTTCATCAGCGGTTTTAGCTTGGACGGCGCGACTCTAATCGGTCGCGGAGTTCTAAACACTGCCACGACAACAACACGTGAGGCATGCACGCACACACCAATATTATTTTTTGTGGATTTATGATGTGCCATGTGATTTTTTTTACGTATCTCCTGCAATTTTTCTTGTATGATCAAGTTCATGCTGTTGATCAAGATACACTCGATTCGAGACTCGAATCGAGTGACTCGAAACTCGCAAAAGTTGGGGACAGTGTTCAGATAGGGTGCATGGCATCGACTTTCCGTCTGCGACCGGCGCCGTCGTGACCAGCCCTGCCAAAAGCGCGGTGGCCATGAGACTCGCGGCGTACGACGTCGTACAGATCGATGTATGCGTCCATCCCAGTCGGTATGTTGATAGTTTTTTAATGAGACCCGAACAGCAATACCCAGACACGGGTGGACGCTGTAAGAGTAGCAAGCTCAGTCCCAAGAGCAATGTGGATCACATCGTAGCCCTGCGAAAGAGATAAGCATGTTGGTCCTTTCGTAGCCCCAGTCGCACATGGAAGCTGAGACGCTACTACCAGCCTCTACACCCCTTGCCGCTCAAGGTCACGATCGCAGCCAAGCCTGAGGACAAGAAGCTCGCCTACGCCCTCCGGCTCCACGTCTTCTGCGACGAAGAAGGCCACACCCACAGTATCCAGGTCGATGCGCACGACGACGAAGATAGCACGATCCACTTCATCGGAGTCGACACGGACGACCAGGACAAGGTCGTCGCCGTCGCGCGCTGCATGGTGGACGACAACAAGCGCCAGGCTCGCATCGGCCGAGTGGCGTTGCTGCCGGAATGTAGCGGGAAAGGCTACGGCAAGGTGCTGATGGACGTTGTGGAGAAGGCCGTCGAAGCGCGAGTGGACTCGTTCGTTCTGTTGGAGCAGCTCAGCAAGCAGGGGTTCTACGAGAAGTGCGGCTACCACCGCGTGGACGACGAGGTGTTCCTGGACGAGCACATCAAGGTGTGCTGGATGAGGAAGGAGCTGGCTTGAGTTGCGGCTAATAGCGCATCTGGCACACTCCGTAGATTATCATAGATCGGTAGTTGTAGCTCAGTTTTGTCTAATCTAGATCGCAATCCCTTTAGTTTCCACAAAGCTATTTTTTGTACAATGATTCGTAAGAATTGATGGTCATGGGGTGCCCTACAGACCAGCGCTCGTCCTATCACGCTGATTTGAGACCTGAGAACAGGTCTTTGCCTAGAGCTCACATTTCGTTTTGAACCCAAGTGCACAGGCAGATCGGATCTTTTGAAGTCGGGCAACTGGATTACGGCTGAATCCTGTGCTAAGGGAAGATGGACAGTGATCAGCGATCTGCCTCAGTCGTCGTGCTTACCGTGAACGATGTCTACGATATGTATCCCGACAAGCACGGACGTGGAGGTACACAATTGCTTCTGGCTTTTAGCTATTTGTTTAGCAATGATCCGGTGCTGGTGACGATTATTATAGGAGCTGCTGAGTTTGCGACCCTTCTGGAGCGTGAACGCGCTGCTGTTCCCCCCACTTCGACACTTCTGGTCACGCTCAATGGGGACTTCTTGTCGGGGTCTCAGATAGGCGCCAGGTGCAAAGGGTACGAGCTCTTCGTTGCTTTGGTTCACAACGATAGCTAGTTCTCCGTGTTCATTCGTCTTTGTGTGATAACAGAGCACACATGGTCGAGCTGATGAACCACCTAGGCGTCGATTACGTGGTGTTGGGCAACCATGAGTTCGACTTCGGTATGTCTACACTCCACGACCGCATGACGGAATCCAAGTTCAAGTGGCTGGGCTCCAATGTGCTTGACCGTGCAACGAGCAAGCCCATTGATGGCGTGGTGGATTCGGAGTTGATTGAGCTGAGCGATGGGCTCAAGCTCGGCATCTTTGGAGTTTGCACCCAAGACACGCCGCAGATATCGAACCCGGGAGATGGAGTGCCGTTTGAAGGCATCTACAAGTCCTCAAAGCGCTGTGTGGACAATTTGCGTAGCGATGGAGCCGACTTTATCATTGCACTGACGCGTCTGACCATCGAGGAGGACCGACAGCTGGCTCGCCACGTCAAGTCTATCAACGTTGTGCTCGGAGGCCACGACCACGAGCCATTCACTTTGTTTGAAGGCAACACGCTCATCCACAAGTCTGGTCAGAACGCCTTTTGGCTCGGAAAACTCGAGTTCCGCCTGTCCAAGTCCAAGTCAAGGCCTCAGGACCCAGTTTCTATCTCGTCCCAGTGGAATATGATCGCAAATCAAGACGTCCCTCCTCAGTCCGAGTGCCAGGAAATCATGTCGAAGTGCATGAAACTCATCGAAGACGAGAGCGCAGAGGAAAATAACCGCGTACTGGCTCTGTTGGGACTCCCGCTGTCGACCAAGTCATCCACACTACGGACGGGCGAGTGTAACATGGGGAATTTGACTGCCGACGCTCTTCGCAGTGAGCTCGACGCTGATGTCGGAGTTATCAATGGCGGGTTTATTCGCGGGAATAAAATCTACGATGCCCGTACCAGCATCACACTGGGGATCATCAAAGAGGAAATGCCGCTGAAAATCGTTCTCGTTAGTATCCGAGCCGAACATCTTCGCGAGGTGCTGACCCAGCATTTGGCCAAGCATCCAGCGCCGTCGGGGTCATTTCCGCATGTGTCAGGTCTTCGACTTACTGTCGATGTGCAGACACAACCTCCTGGTATCGTTAGGATGGAGGATGAATGGGGACAAGACGTGGAATTGCACAACTGGCTGCTAGTAGCGACGACCCAGCTCATCTTTAACGGAGGTGACGGCTGCACAGCGTGGCGCAAGGGGGAAATAGTTCGAACAGCTGACGAGATCACTACGCATGCGGCCGACTTTTTGATGAAGAAGCGGCTTGTTGCGTTCCCTGAGGTGGAGGGGAGAATCAGAAGCAACTCGGACAAACGGGCCGTGGTGACCGAAAACCACTAGGCACGATTTTTTGTGTCTGTACCAAGTTAAACAAAACCTCTTCGAATACCCACGTTCAAAGAAAAAAAAACTCGATTTTAAAAACAGGGAACCGATGCTGTATTTGATCTAGTTAAAGCAGTTTTTTTTTATTTTTTTATCATAGACTGCGATCGCATCTATTCCCAGTTACAGCAACATGTCTTGCCTGATGCGTACATATATACCTAGGTAGTAGAATACTTTTCCATGCGATTTGGATCAAGCGTGAGCAGGTTTAAAGCAATTTATCAACAAACTCCTGTGTAAATGTGTCAAGTTTTTTTACGTAGTTACTATTACTTCAATTTAAAGCTGTTGGGGACCTGTAATAGCTGGCCCGTCCGATTCGGCTTGGACGGCTTATGTATTATAAAGAGCGTGTGTGGGACCCACACTGTGGGTACCCGGTCAACACCGTTTGCGAGACCTGGTAAGCACATCCCGAATGAATGACGTCATGCAGGAGTAGAAGGTTCCAGGACGCTAGTGAATTAATCCGGCGCTTTGCTTTTGGACGGTCCCAACCGGTAAACCTCCGCAAGCTCAGCAAGCCCGAATTCACTTTGCAAATTCCTGCCTAGCCCTCAAGTGCTGACGATCTAGTGCGCCATGCAGTTCGGCTTCTTCCTGCTCGTTGCTGCCGCCGTCCATCTGGTGTGCTCAGACGTCGTCTCGGCCTCCATCGACAAGGAAGCCGCGCTCTCCAAGAGCTTCGTGGACTCGGCCGATGCGGTTTCGGTCAGCGGCAGTTTCTTGAGAACCAGTGAGTTACCGGACACCGACAGCGACGACCAAGCTAACGAGTCGGACGACGAAGAGAGAGGTGTGTCCGGTGTCTTGACCGAAAAGGCTGCGGGCACGGCGGCCAAACTGACCAGATCCAAGTCGCTAGAGTCTGAAAAGGCCGTCGTGCAGAAACTGACCCGATCCAAGTCACTTTCCGATCTGAAGGCGGCCGGCGGACTCGATGACGTTAGGGGCGTGATGAAGACTTCTCTCAACAAGGATTACCTGAGGATTGACAATATGAAGAAGACCCCGGACGATATCGTCAGCTTCTTCGGTCTCGACACCAAGCTACTGGCAAAGGCCGATAGACAGCAACTCCGCGCAGCTGCGAACGGGGATAAGGACAAGCTCGGACAGCTCGAGCTGTGGTACCGCTACTCGAAATACTACAAGCAGAAGTACCCAGGGTGGGCTAGCAAGCTCGTCGTTTAAGCGTAGCACGCACGAATCTCTAATTCGAAGCAGGCAGCATTCCATGAAAGCCTTGTTATTTCGGAAGGCCTCATACCTGTAAGCCCCATTAGAATTCGTTGTTTCTTTTTTTTCCTTCTCGTGAATTGCGGATGGAGTGCCACGTAATTCAGCGACCTTGGTAGTTTAGCTCGCGTAATTAGTCAACTCATGTAGGAGTACTATGGTACTATTTGTGCTTTGCAGATATTTCTGCAAAGCAGGCTATAAATTTTCTGTTATACTGGGGACTTTTAAGATTTAAAAGTCTTATTGAGGATTTGGAGGCTACTAAATCGGGGATGTCTCAATTATAATCGGAGTATAAATCGTTCGTCCGTCTCGTAATTATGTGCATCCTAGCAATTTCGATCAACATACATGCACCTCGGCCCTAGACTAGGCAAGCTCAGCGGCGTAACCGCGCTTGCCTTCATACTTCAGCAGCCTGTTCCGTAGCGTGTAGATTTTTCTGCTTAGCTGGTGTAGCCTTGACTCGTAAACCAAGAGCGACTGCAACGATTGTTGTATGGCGGCTGATTTAGCCTACTGTACAAGGAGCGAATGCCGGTTGCACATCGGACATTCCGTCTGAATTGCAAGCAAATCAGCCGGCTCTGGCTTAATCGACCGATTAGCAAATGTAAATTCGACTCATAATATGAGTCGAATTTACTTTATTAATTATTAAGTAACATTTTGTTTGCCGCTGTCTCATATGCTCTGACTCTGTAAGTCGTCCTAGGTAATTATCCTGAGTATAAATCGAGGTACCCCAGTCTAATTAGGAGGTCGGATTTAACAAATCAGGGGTCGTCAGTCTTATTAAGCCACTTAATCGGCGGATTAACAATCCAATATGACATTCTAATAGGTTTTCACAATAATTACGACTCGCCAGTCCAGCTAAAACTCGGTTATCCTAAACATCAATTGGAGCAACGCGTGGTCGGTCCGTAACACCAAGGTTACATTAATGATGATTGTCTAATAATTGACCCCTGACCATACTTCATTGGGTAAAATTAATCCGCTGCCGAGCGCAGCGAAGGCGGCCCCCGGTCACCTCATAGTGCGTTGCGGGCTCCCGATAGGGCCCGCTTTACCCTACAAACCTAACCTAGCACAGCGAGTAGTGCAGCGAGCCGACGAGGCGAGCGGAACGGGTCCACTACTGCCCTAGCGAAGAGTAGGCAGCCTCCTTTAATAGCGGAGCGAGCATAGCGAGCGCAGCGTCAACCAACTAAAAATCACCGCCGCGTAGCGGCGGCGCTCGGCTAGTAATTATGGATACCAGTGAATTAAGACCTGGATGCATGGATTAGAAATGAGACTTAGTGTTATTACATTAAACTCGGAGATACGAAGAATACTCTCTGAAATGTTTTCCTGAAAAAGGATGTCAGGCTATTCGACTTGCAATTAGTAAAGCTACCTAAAGTATCCGCCAAATCCGAGTTTTAGGTGCGGTTTTAGCTACTTAGAAAGCAGCCGATTAGACAATCAGATATTTAAATATTATTTTAATAAGTCGTTTATAATGAGTTTTAGTCTGTTTAACCCCTCCAAATCGGATGCTGCATAATGCAGCTTAGATTTGAAAGCTTAAACTGCATATATGCAGTTTAAGCCAATTTTGACATGAAATTTGTATGACTGTTCTTTCCCCGACACAGCACTATACAAACGTCAAGATAAAATTACATTTAGTTTCTGTTCGCGCCTTTTTAGTTTTCCAGATGTCAAAGACCGGCATTTGTCAAAATTCGGAATATAATGTTTGGCAAGGGCACGGGACCCACTGTCTGATTTGGACAAAATCTGCGAGGTATCGGACTTGGCGACTCACAGCGGCTTCCATTTGCCGCTTTTGCAAAATCGCCCTCAATCGAGAATTTGCGCGGCCAGGGCTCAAGGCGGCGGGAGAATCAACATGAGTCACAGATATTCGTGCGAGACATCGACGCTCGAGTACGACGCTAATGGTACGTTCATAGCGAGCGCATGCTATACCTTATTGCTAACCTGTTTCATTTGGCACGTTTTGTCCTGTAGAAGGATAACTCCCTCCTCCGTGCGGTGCTCCTCCAGCGCTTGGTAAGGTTTGGTCAGAGATGTCTACGAGATTCATTCTTACTGACAAGATTTTGCATTACTCTTGGTCCAGTTGTGTTTACTGCTTCCAGGCGAGCGTCTGCTGCTGTAGCTGTCCAAGCTGTCGCACTCAGTCAAACTGTCGAGCTTCGGTCGAGCTGCTCAACCCGCTGCATCCGTGCCTGGCGTTCCGAGCGCTTGCGGAAGAACTCCTCGGTATCCCGGTGCTCAAGTCTACCCGCATTCACACCTGTTGTGACTGCTTCCTCGCGTCGATGCAAACGACGACGACGACGACGCCAGGATTTGAATGAAAATGGAGTGCTCCGAACAATGGTACGTTGTACAGCATGCTGTCCTGTATACTGCATTGTATGCAGTATTACATATTTATGCTGCCTCGTAGCCTACATGATCTAACCTGAGCAGTATTGGTGTTGTTGAAGGAGACTACGGTGACCAAGCAGCCATAATCAGCCCGAAAACGAGCCCGCCTGCGTGAAAACGACGGCTCGAATGAAATTGTAGCGAAATAGACGAGCTGAGAAGAACTCCGGCGAAGCCAGAGATGCCGCTTTGGGATCCATTGATCTGACCGACGGGCGAACGAGACGAAAACTGACTTGGCTTGCGCTCGTAATGACAAGGTCTAGTGGTAGTAACGTGAAAGTATGTAAACTAATATAAGCAATTTGGAGAAACACAATTGCAGTCGATGCGGTTCCTAGTGAACTACTTCGGTGTTGAAGTCAGTCGAATTTGACTTGGTGATCAAACTTGGTGATCTTTGCTGCTGCTTCAACTACAGAATGACATGCTCCTGTCTGCAACAACACATCCAAACTTGCATCTTAGGTATTGTCTTATGTACGAAATGGTAACGTTTCACCTGATTTCCCCCCTGGATATGTTTCTGAATGTCTATTTCATTTGATGTTTGTATAGTGCATAGAATGCCCCCGGACGTACCACAAGCTTACAGAACGCCTAGAGGTGACACACCTACTTTGTATTTATGTTTTTGTATGGGAAGTTTCAAATTCCGATTTTTTGAAAATCGGGACTCCCTAGACACTAGTTTCTGTTCGGCAGGCACCCTGTCACTATCCTTGGTAAGTAGCATTATTCAGCATGGGTATGGCACACTAGAGCCAATATGCAGATTATATTCAGTATTAGCATGTGCTCATCGTGCATCTTATCTTCCCTAACCATTTTTGTATACAAACATCAAGTCTAATTACGCTGCATATGCAGTTTACATGTTCTTTTCGGCTCCCGGTCTGGAGGGGTTAACTCTAAAATAGAGGTTTTCTACTATTTTGATGATCGGTAAACCAATTTAGCCTTCCCCAAAACTTTGGCGTCGAGACTGAAAATCTTCACAGTGTTCTGAAAATCCTTGCTGAGAGAACTTTGAGCCACCCTGTTGCCTTCGCCATGCGTCGGGACAGCATCGGATAGAAATGCAGTGACATCCACGCCTGTCATCTGTAGTGGCGAAGCATTAATGGAGGCCATACCAACATTACAGCATGCAATGAGAAGAAGGTGGTAAAGCAAGCAGTACATAGGAGCCGTCTGCTTCGTGGTGGTATTTTTTGCAACACGTGGAGCTCATGGAAAAGTGAGAGCTGAATCGAAAGCGCTTTCATCCTTGCTTACGCTGGTATATCGACTGATCCAGCAACATATTCCCCACCATCTCGACAATCATCGATATGTTCGCAGAAACTGCCGTCGCCACGAAGTCAACCAACACAGTCGTCCTCGAGTCATGCCGCAGCTTCGGACCTGTCGATTTGGGTGTTATCATGTAGCAGGTGGATACGCGCGAGAACGTGTCGTTTTCACCAGCTGCCGAGTCTTGATCGTGGTCATGAGGCTTTATGAGAACGTACCCCTTCTCGAGGAAATACATCCCGTTTACTGGTCGCTTCTCAAACTCAAGAGGCTCGATATGCGCCCGCCAGACAATAACGATCCGATCATTCTCCACGTATCGACGTAGAATCTGTTGGTCGTAGAACGTCGCAGTCGCATTTGTCCTGGCGTCCCGCATTTCCAAGCCAAACTTCTCTATGTTCGTGTTGCCCTCGTGTTCGCTAGCACATTGACCCTTGTAGTTGTGCCAACGGCGCCACCACGCATCTCCGATCGCGCCCACTTCAAACGGCATAATCTTACTGTATGAGATGTCCACCTGCATGTCGTTCACACTATCTCGCAGCTCGCGCGTCGGAAATCTCGGACAATCGTCGCCAAGCACGCTTTCGATCTCGCGATAGGAGGCGTCTACCCCAGCCATCAGTTCCTCGAAAATCCTACTACTCACGTGCGACTGGAACCCAGCCGGGATTTTGACACGCCGCGTGGGCCGATCACTGTCCGAGAAGACCATACCTTGCTGCGCCAGTCGCTTGCGCACCATCTTCTCGATGCTCCTGGCCACTTGCTTCCCCTTCTCGCACTTCTTCTTCAGCAACGCATTGTCCCGTTCCGCCTTGAGACGTCCCTCTAGCTGTCGGTTGCAGATTTCCTCCCACACTGCGGGGTTTTTCCTCGCTCGAGTCCTCACCAGACTCAAGCCCTGACCAACCCGACGGCTCTCTCGCTGCTGCAGCGACTGCAGCTGCTGCAGCTTCAGCTCCATCTCCGCCGCCTCTTTGCGCAAATGGATGAGCTCGTATCTGCGTCCGTTGCGGGCCTTGTTGGGGTCGTAGCTGAGCTGCTGCTTCTGTTTCTGCTTCGGCTTGGACGTCTTCCGCTTCTTGGAGTTCGGAGCGGATTTCGCTTCCTCATGGGCGAAAATCTCCGTTCCGAGCTGCAGTTGGCGTGACAGAGTCGACAACGTCGTGGGTGCTCTGGGGGATAAAGGAGTGATAGTCTCCACTGCGTCGTGGCCAAAGTTCCGATGTTCTCGAGCAGGGAGTCTTCGTCCTCCGTCAGCGTTGGCAGCGAGGCGACGAGGCAGCGGGTGGACGCTGGGAGGAGTCGCTCGAGTTGTCCAGAGCCTCGTCGAGGAAGGCCAGCGCCGCTGCGAGAGACTCGCACGAGTCGGATGGGAGCGCCATTACGTACTAGTATGCGGTAAGAGTTGGTAATACGCCTGAATAGGAGTGACTACTTCAAGGCTGCTGCACGTGACCATAGGTCATCTCATACTGTTTGAAGAGACCCACAGTGCACACTGTACCAGTTGCCGTGTACGTGTACAGATCAGTTATTTTAGAATGCTTCTGATGGCAGGAAGAGATCTCGATGTCGATCATCCGATCACTGACATGCACGCTTCTGTTGATGATTCTCACGCTTCCTACGATTACTTCAGATTGACAAGGTTGTGGCAGTTTGATTCACATGTCAATTGCATCACGAACACTAATTGTGGTGTCATCCAATTGTGTATTTCGAATAGATACCACGCCGACCTCCTTGGGCCTCATCGTCAACTCGGCTAGTGATCAAGGAAACGTGGCCGACTGTTGAGAACCGGCGCTAGTGAACCAGCCCGATGCTACAAAGGACGCGGCAGCTGATACGAGGGCGAAAACCTGGAATGAAACGATATCAAGTTTTTTTGTATAACTTATGAAAAAACAAGAAAACGGCGGATATGGCCAGGGCCTTCCCGTCACCTTCAAACGCGGACGTACTGCCCCGATCCAAGTCGTTTCTGGCAGAAATGCTGCGTTGCAGAAGCTAACAGTACCTGATCCAACTCTCTTTCGAGCCCGATGCTAGCATCGGACTCGACGGCATTAACCCCTTGGACGCGGAGGGGTGACATGGACGGCATTAAAAATCGCTTAAACCGTCCCGGACAGCATAAGAAATAATATGTGTTTTAGTATACCATACCGGGTAGAAGAACAAATTTGGACGTTTTTCGCACAGATTGTAGCTAACCTTTCGGGTAAAAGGATGATGGGCACGTTCCGGATATTTGTGTGACCCAATCACAGCCAATTGCACGAAGTCACGCAATCCTGATATTTTTGAATTACGGGGAGAGGAACCAGTAGAACTTCTGCCGAAGACGTCCAGGGGATGCAGCACCCGCGGCCTCGCTAACTACGCGTCCTGTAAATGGTTTACAACTAACCCACTGCGTCGCAAGATGAATCTACATGTATTGTAGCATAACGGTTACTCCTTCGCTACTGCACGGTCGCGGATGTGGTTTGTCTTGGGTGCAAACTCACCGTTTTGCCACACGAGGTGCCAGATCTGAGTACAGGTGAGACCTTCATTGTTGGGGTGACCACGCTCCTTGTTGCAAAGCGTGATGGGTCCTTTCTTTCCTTGTGAGCACGGGGCGCAGTAGTAGGAAGACGTTCCTCCCCGCTTCTTTCCTTCAGGCTTGTAGCAGGAGCATACCTTACACTGTCTTTGGCGGAGGCGCTGAACACCATTGTTCATGCGGTAGTCAGTGGTCTGCGTGAGCTCGTGTTCACCCTGCACGACGCTCGGAGTCTCTGCTGCCACGTTTGGCGCTGCTCTTGAGTGCGTAAAGCAGGCTTCTGTGTGTTCGATTAAATCCTTGTGAAGCTTTGCCAAGAAGTTGAAGTGCGAGTCCTTGTGGGGCTTTCTCTCACATAGTTTTTTGTAGACGATGTAGGCGTTGACTAGGGCCATGTCGACAAGACCGAGGAATAGACTCTTGTAGTACTTGACGAACCTGTAGTATCGGAACAGCATAACTTACGATTAGAAACCACATCATGTCAGCATAATGTTATCCGTACCTTATGGACAACTGCAACGAGTATGCTTGTAGCCGCAGTTGGTCATGCCGATCCACACCTCCCATGTAGCGTTGGTATTCAGCTACTACGTCTGGACAGGGAACATCGCTTGCGCCCCCACGCCTCTCGCGGCGCCGGACAGTGGTTGCTGCAGTTGTCACTTGGGAAGCTAGGAAGTAGACCATGGTGTTGTCCGCCCACATCACTGCCACCAGACCAGGGTTTGACTTCGCCACTGCCATTTGGAATGTGCCCCGTGGGGCCCTCGCTTGGCGTTTCTTCTTCGGATAATTCAGACGATCGCACCAGCCCTTGCGATCCGTTTGCATAGTGCCCACGTAGTTGAAGACCATCGTGCGTAGCTGTTGGACCAGCGGGATGGAAGTGTAGTATCGATCACCAATAATCAGCCGCCGTCCTCCGTATGGAAGGCCCCGAAACACGCACGCAACGTTTCGGATGAGAGCAGCAGGACCAGTTTTCGTGTCCATGGCCTGCGAACACTCCGTGTCACCAGCGCGTCCAATATCAAGTTCGACTCTATTTTGAGCGTCAGCATCGTATACAGACTTCGTCAGCATAAAATCCAAATATAAAACCGACCATGTCAACACACACGTACCTCTTGCAATACCTGGTCTCAGCGCAGCAAGTCATCACACACTTCGAGCCCCAGCGATGAGGCTTATCCTTAATGAAAGCCCTTGTCGGATTTCGCTTGTTGTGGGAAGGAAGAATCCCTTCATCGATGGCAACACGCGACCCAAGAACGTAGCCTTCCTTGAACGTCTTCTCCAGCGTAAAGAGCACTGATCGTATTTTCCAAGCTCGATCGGTAGCAGCTGCAGGGCTCTTGTTATCGGTGAAATGTAGAAACCGCGAGATATCACGGAACCTGTCGCGCCGCATCACTTTGCTGAATGTTCCCATCGGAAGTACACCCGTGGCTTTGGTGCTCCAGTGATCTTCCATTCGCTTGCAGGGACTCAATGCATGTGCAATCATCAAGCCAATCCATTGAACAATTTCGTGGGGGGCAATCTTCTCAATTTTTTCAAGGTTTCGCCGCAATGTATCTCTACTGCGCTGTGCACGATGTGTAACCTTGCGTTCCTTCGCTTCCGCCTTGTCGAGTCTGGCTTCCAGCGTTTGCTTGCAATACAGGTGGGTCTGGCTAGCGACGTCACACCAGAAAGCCTTCGGCAAAAAGTAATAGAAGAGGCCCAGCGGCGATTTAGAAACTGTCAGGATGTCTTGAGATGGCCCACAATATCCAGAGTACATATTGTCCACGTCAGGATCATCTACGACCGGAGCCTCCCCATTCTCAGGCAGCACGTCCCATCCGTCTATTTTCATTTGGTTGAGCTGGTCGTCATCGTAAACCTCCGACGACCCTGTCAGCATAACATGTGAGTTAGAAACCGTTCACGTCAGGTTAGTAAAATCTAAAGTATAACTCACCTTGAACACGCAAGTGCAACCGTTCCAGCTCTGCTGCATCCATTAGCCCCGTTACTCGGCTCAGCTCCTGACGAAGATAGTCCTCGCGCGCCAAAGCATCGTCGTCTTCATCGCTGTCGGTGTCAGCAACGCCGTCGCCGATATCACCAGCGGAATCCTCGCCCCCCTCGCCATCGGTCTCAAGAGCGGTCTCCTTGGTGTCTCCAATAATATTCGGGTCAAGTGAGTCCACAAAGTCAAAGCGCAGCGGCGTTCCGCACGCGGCGTCGCGCGGGCTCGGTTTTCGTCGTTTCTGTGGTGTGCCTTGGCTTCTTTTGTTTCATCTTCTCCTTCTTGGTCGTTGAAATCCGCAGGAACTTCAGAGACGTCATCTTTTTCATCATTATCTTCTTCCTCACTCGGTTCGTACGCTTGTTCTTCGGAAACAGAGTGTCCGTGTCGTGGACTAGATCACGCAGCTCAGGATTAGTAGATACCGCTGCGCTGTCAGAAGCTGGGGGCGGTCTGTCCTTGCCGGCAATAGTTTCCGACGTTGCGTTCTCATGACCCGTGTTGGCATTCGATGGTGCTTCCGTGTCAGCAATAGCTGGGGCTTCCCCGTCAGCATTTGCATCAATGTCAGCATTATCTTCAGCTGTTGTGCAGTTCTTGTCGGCATTAGGATCGGCGCTGGTGTTCCTGTCAACATATTCTAAAATGAATAAACATCCCCTGTCAGCATTCTATATGTCAGCATAACAGCAAAACTATATACCTTTCGGGAGAGGCTGACCGCTCGCCAAAGAAGCTGAAGTTGAGACTGCTGCTTGGACAGGCGGCACAACTGCGTTTCCATCCGCAACTAAACAACCAAAGCCACGTCAGTTCTATGAGAGCAATTGAGCAGCCAGTATATTGCTTACCTGTAGCGTTCTGTTCACCCCACACTTTGTCAAAAGCTGCCAGTTCCTTTTGCCGTTTGTCCCCTTCTTGAGCCATCTGCTTCTTGGAGGGTTGCTTAGACTTGACCTTGGGAGTGCGCGGGGTTTTGGCGGTTCGCTTTGAAGCAGACTTCGCTCGTTTTGCTGGTGGACTCGCTTCAGTCACGGATATGGGCGTCGGAGGACGCTTTGGCGGCGCCGGAGCTTTGCCTGGAAGCGTACTTTGAACTTCAGAATAAGTAGTGTTAGCATGAAATGCTCATAACAAAATCATTTTCCGTGCTGTACGTACTTGCTTGGCTCGGCGGCCGGACATAATACTGAGCCGCTCGCATAGTTCCATGTCTGAGCGGATGTAAGCGAGCAGCTCGTCCTCGCCGTTGAAGAAGTCCACGCCTCGCGTCCCTCCTTTCCGTTTGCAGCCCGGCATGATGTAGTTGTGGCTGCAAAGGTAGACGCATTAGGTACGGCACCATGCAGGACCTATAAGTAATCAACTTACTGAATCTGGATCCCGGTTGCCAGCTTCCAGGACCATCCTTCCTTCCGAAGTAGCGGCCAAATCGCGCGGAAGTCCATGGCGTATGCCATACTTGAGTCCTACGCGGCGAAATCCGAGAATGAATGGTTTTGCTAGAAGGCGGCAACACGGCTAGCATCGCGGAGTAAGCAAAGGGTGTGTCCTTGATTCTGTCTCTTTTTAATATGTATCAATATGTACTGAAAAGAGACAGAATAGAGATGTTAAATCGACCAATCGGATTGATCGAATATCCCCGTCTGACCAATCCGATCGAGTAACGACTGATTCCGACCGATTCCGACTAAATTCCGACTAAAACTGTTCGTCGATATATGATGACAAAGGTAAAGCCTGTTGAACCAGATATACATGGAACTATGATAACGAGTAAATTAGAATATAAAGTTAGTTCAGCACCATTCGATTGGCTCAAATCAGAACGAATATTTACCAATATGATAGCATTCTCCTTATCTTTATATCCCCTTCATGCCTGGTATCGCGTCGGAGCCGTTCTTCGGTTGCAAGCGCAACGTCGATACGGGCGAGGTTGTCCCGGCGGAGCTGGTGGAGTTGTAGTACGGAGACGTGCCGACGCGCTTGGTCGACTTGACATACGTAGAGATGGAAGGTAAGCCGCAGTGCTGGGTGCACGGCACGTACTTCTCGCGCGTGAACAAGCTCATCACGCGCACGGAGGAATGTTCCCGCCGCGAGAGCTCTGGCGCGCTGTTCGACCAGTTGGAGCTCAAGTCGAACCCGCGCGGAACGCTGAGCGCGTTTATCGCGAAATACCCTTCGACGGTGTCGACGCTGCTGTCGCTGCCGGACTGCGACTTCTTCCTGGAGCTGTGCCGCACGGGTGGAAAGCCGGTGAACTTCGTGCCTGCGATCACCAAGGACTTCAAGACGTGGTTCAAGAAGGCCTCTATGTAGTACTCGAAGGACTTGCGGTGGCGGAGCGCGTCGAGCAGCGCGTGTTCATCCTGCAGGGCCCCGTGGCTGTGCACTACAGCACGGTGGTGGATGAGCCCGTGGCGGACATCCTGGGAGGCATCAACTCGGGCTTCATCAACGTTGTCAAGGAGAGCAGCGCGATTTCTGCCGCGTCGGTTGCGGCTACCAAGCAGACTGTGGACATCGCTGGAGTTGAGGTCAGGGAGAGCAACGGATGAGAGCGCCATTCCGTCTGCTGAAGAGTGGCTTGCGGCGCTCGCCGCGTCCGTGAGCGACAAGGACTGGCTGAAGGCGCTCATCTCGTCGACCCACGTCGTGAAGGAGAAGAAGTGGCTTGTGAACCCGGCTGTGCCAGCTTCTTCTCCCCCGGGTTGGCCAGAAGTACGTGATCGACGCTGCCGGCATTCGCGTGTTCGACAGATCGATCGACATTTCTGGCCCCGTGATCGAGATCGCGAAGAAGGGCACAGCGAGTGCCGTTGTGGTGAATGAGGTTTGCCCAGCAGTGGCCGAGCTGAAAGTCGGCATCGTGTCGATGGAGATGACGTTCCAGCACCACCCTGAGCTGTTGTGCTCAATCCACGCTAAGGGCAGCGGCTTCATCGACATGGCGATGGCCATCGAGGACAAGAAAGAGGATTCGTGTGAGGCTGCGTGCGCGGAGAGCGTGATGTCTCGAGTTCTCCATCGCCATCGGCGAGCAGTCGTACCTGCCCAAGGTCGACAGTCAGGACGACGCCGCACGTTGGGTCAAGGGCCTGTAGGCGCGGCAGCACCGGCCCGAGGGTATACCCTCCGAGGTCTTCAGTCTGCGCAGCGAGCACATGGACGCCGAGAGCGACGCGTCCAGCGAGTACGGCGGCCGACGACCCCGAGGCACGTCCTCGGACTCGGGCGGTCGGCGCTCGTCCCTGTCCTTGTCGTACGTCGAGACGCAGAATCCCGTGGTCCCCAACGCCAACGCCCTCGCGCGGCTCTCGCTGTCGCACGCCGACGCCCCGAATCCCGATGTGCCGAACGCCAACCTGATCGCCCGTGCGTTGTTCTCCCATCCCAATCCAGTGGTCCCGAGTGCCAACAACACTGCCGCTACTGCTGCAGCTGGACCAAAGTATCCGATGGTGAATTCCAACCAACAGGTCACGGGGGCGACGGTGACGACGACTGCCGCTGGAAAACCGCAGGACGATGAGAATCCAGCTGCGAAGGCGCCGTGCTGTGCGCCGTGCTCGATCATATAAATTGCGACGACAACAAGAGGCGATTGGTTGCCTCCTTTTTCCTTCTTCTCCTTCTTTCGACGACGGCGCAAGAGCTGGAGGGTATCGGTCGATCTGGCCGTGGTTTTGTCCTGACTCACTCGCTACCTGGTGCGACCTGCCTGCCCATTTCTGCCTGCCAAGCCGTCTTTTGTAGACCGTATTAACTCCATCGAGCCGGCGCCTCCTGCCTATGGAGGATCACCGTAGCTGGCTATTAAATGTACTGACGAACAACAGGCAACGCCGTGGGATTTATTGCAGCACCATGCCTGCTGTGGCGTACCATCCAAAGCTCCAAAGACTGTGGTATAAATCGTCGAGTTCCTTTCCTCTCTTTAAATCGTTCTGCGGTCCGTTGCTCGACTGGCATGATCCTGTTGCCGTTGAAGTTGTCAACCAGAGCTCCGGGTGTACCCTAATATGGGTACATTTGTGTATTCACACATAATCGCTCGACACCTTGATCCTCGACATGCAGGCCACCGCCAGAAGCCAGCGCAGTCAGCCATGGGCAGCTCCGATGGTGCGTCCCCGCAGCCTCTGAGACTCTGTTGACAGCCGCGCCGCCTCCTTACTGACCTCTACTATGCTCTGCGACGCTCCATGCGTCTCTGTGGGTCGCTCCGTGCAGAGGACGAGCGCAAGAAGCGCAGCATCAACGAGATGTTCGGCGACGAGGACTCGGACGACTCTGGCGACGAGCAGAAGCCCGTGAAGCGCGAGGCGTCGCCGCCCCCCAAGCGTGTCAAAAAGTCCGGGACGACGATGCCGGCCGCTCCAAGCGCCGCGACGACGGAGACGAGTTCGACTCGGGCGAGGAGGCTGTGGCCACCAAAGAGGATGACGACTTCATCGACAGGGGCGACGACCTGGCCGACGTGTTGGGCGAGTACGACGACGACCGCCAGCAGTTCGACGACGAGCGGCCGCTCGGGGGCGAGCCCGAGCAGACGCAGCAGCACAAGGACGACTTCTTCGACCGGACCCTCAAGTCCCTTAAGACGGACCGCTCCCGCACCAAGCTCAGTCTGTCGCCGCAGGAGATGGAGCAGATCACGCAGGAGGTGCTCTACCGCATGGACAAGGCCTACGCGGACGACCTGGCCAGCATCGCCGAGCGCCGCCCGGCCCTGGAGAAGATCAAGTTCGTGGACAGCGCTCTCCATGTGCTGCGCAAGCTGCACATGGAGAGCCCATGCTGCTGGACCTCGACCTGCTCACGGTAAGGGGTTTTGGTGGTGAGGTTGGTGGGGTTTGGAGTGTAAGGCTAATGATTGTGGGTTGTTGTCGTTGTTGTGCGAACAGATCGTGAAGAAGTGGATTCAGCCGCTGGAGGACGGCTCGCTGCCGAATGTCGGCCTGCGTACCAAGATGCTTCAGATGGTCAGCAAGATGACAGGTATGTTGTCTACAGAATGCATCGCAAAAATTGGTCTTGTGGGTACTTAAAATGATGTGGATTTTGTTTTAAGCAGTGTTCAAGGAGCACTTGAAGTGTAGTGGTCTTGGTAACTTTCACGGCCGACTTCAGCATCACGAAGGAGGATATCGTGGCGTACCGTGCCGCACTGGGTCTCAGCGTGGATAAGGTGGGCGCCCCCACCGACTTCTTTACGATCGTGTCGTGGCGTCCGCTGATCAAGTCGGTGTTCACGAAGGAGGTGAAGGGCAACTTGATGGACCTGGTGCACCTGAACCACTCGCACAGACTGCTGCCATCCCGCAAGATGTCCGCGACGTTCATTCCTGGCGACGACATCCCGAGCACGTCGAATGTCAGCGGTCTGCACATCGTCGACTGTAGCAGTGCACGGTGTGGTCATCATCTCACGCAAGACGGTGGGCGATCAACTGGAGGAGGTGCTGGAGCCGCTGGTGGAGCTGCACGGCGAGTTCCTGATCCGTGGCTCGTTCAATGTCTTCGAGGCAACCTTCTCGATCGACAAGTTGACGACCGATTTCGTGCTCAAGCGCTAGGAGGATGTGGAGATCCTGAAGCTGAAGTCGTGGCCGAAGCTGGCTTCCGAGGCATCGGTGAGCGTCGGTGACAACCTGTCGTTCGAGCTGACGACGAAGAAGCAGTACGCGTTGATCAACTCGCTGAGCTCTGTGGAAGTGTCGGGTGTGCTGTGCCGTGAGGAGGCTGGCTCGAAGGTGGAGATCGGCACGGTTGAGCTCAAGAGCAACGAGGTGAACGAGAGCCCCGGGGTGGCGTTCCTGCGCCAGGTGCAGCCGGCGGACGCGAATGCCGGTGGCATGTTTGCGAACGGTGGCTCGCACGTGCCAGAGAGCCGTTGGAGATCAATGTGCCGACGAACGCGCTGGCGTAAGCCGTGGCTTCGCGCAACCTCAACCCGATTCACCGCTCGAAGTACGCTGCCATCCTGGGCCACCTGCGGAAGGGCAAGCCGATCATGCACGGTCTGTGGACCGTGACGAAGGTCCGCGACCTGGTCATCGAGAGCTTCTGTCCGCTTCGACAGCAACGTCGTTGACTACGACGTGAACTTCGACGGCATGGTGTACCCGGACGAGAAGCTGTTCATGCAGGCGCGCCACATCGGCCTCGACGACGGCAAGAAGGTTCTGTCGGTGGAGGTTGTGAACGGTTCCGGCGAGGACGTGGTTAGTACGCGTGCTGTGATGAAGCAGGCGCCGATGGCGTTTGTGTTCCCTGGACAGGGCTCTGCCGCGGTGAACATGGGCATGGACCGCTACCAGGAGTCCTCAGTTGCTTGCGAGATCTGGAACCGTGGTGATGTGACACGACACTTTCGGTTTCTCCATCCTCGAGATGGTGCACAAGAACCCGAAGTCCATTATGGTGCACTTTGGCGGTAGGTAAGAAGGGCTGCAACATTCGCGAACATTACATGAACCTGAAATGTGAAGACCCTGTCACTGGTGAGGTTACCCCGCTGTTACCAGAGATTGATGAAGATACTGAGAGCTACAGCTTTTCGGCAACGGACGCGGCGCAGCTGATTCCTGATGATGCCTATCTTGTTGGCTAGTCCCTGGGCGAGTACGCTGGTTTTTGAACTCCTTCGTGGAAGCGCTATCCGTGGAAGCACTCATGGATCTAGTATTCCTGCGTGCAATCATCATGCAGAAGGCTGTAAAGCGTGACGCTGAGTAACGCTCGGACTACGGTATGGTGGCAACGAACGCTACACGTGTTGACCCCCACTTCACGGAGGAGGTCATGTGGACGGCATCGAGGCTGCTTCGGGTAAGCTCCTGCAGATTGTGAACTTCAACATCCAGCAGCGCCAGTACGTGGTTGCTGGTGAGAACGTGAACTTGCAGACGCTGTCGCTGGCGTTGGCTGCGTTCAAGGCCTTGAAGTCGACCGCTCCGGTGGAGGAGGAAGAGGTGATCGCAGAGTCGCTGGCGCAGGCTCGCGCTCGCAAAGAGAAGTGCGAGCAGAGTGGGCGTCCGTTTACGCTGTCCCGAGACCTGGCGACGACCCCGCTGGTTGGTATTGACGTGCCGTTCCACTCGCGCGAGCTGCTGGGCGGCGTGCCGTCGTTCCGGGCGATGCTGCGCACGAAGTTCGACCCGTGGGTGCTGGAGCGCCAGCTGTCGCTTCTGGTGAATCGGTACATCCCGAACCCGGTGGCCACTCCGTTCTCGCTGGAGCGATCGTATTTCGAGGAGGTGTACCAGGCGACGAAGAGTCCGTTCTTGGCGGAGGTGCTCGACCCGATGCAGTTGCAGTTGACGACGAAGGCCCAGCCCGCGCACCTTCTGGTGGTGGAGCTGCTGGCGTACCAGTTTGCGGTGCCTGTGCAGTGGATCAAGACGCAGGCGCTGCTGTTCTCATAGAGTGGTGTTCATCGCTTCGTGGAGATTGATCGTGCTCCGACGTTGACGACCATGGCGCTGCGCACTGTGCAGGTTGGTGACTTCCCGTCCGTGCCGCGTGAGATTCTGTGGTACCAGCGCCCCCCGCGAGGTTGTTCACTTCGAGGAGGAGACGTCGAACACCTCTGCATCAGAGCTGCCGGGGCTGCGGCTGAGGCCGCGGCCGCCGCTGCGAAGGCTGCTACTGCGTCTGCTCCGAAGGCGAAAGCGGCTCCCGCGGCGCCGGCCCCTGTCGCTGCTCCGGTTGTTGGTGCCCCGGTGGCTCCAGAGCAGGTTGCTCCTGCTGCGGAAGACGCGCCAGTTGCTGCACTTCACATTCTGCGGGTGCTTCTTGCTGTGCGCATGAACAAGAGAGCAAGGAAGCCATGGACGTGAAGACGATTTGCGCCGGCGAGGCGGTGGTGGAGCACGATGCCTGAACGATCTGGAAGGGAGTGCGGCATTCCAGAGGGTGGCGAGGAGATGACCTGGTTTCGAACTTCTTGGTCTACGAGCGTGGTGCTGGGTAACGTGGCGAACCGTTTGCTGAACAAAGCTGTGGTTTTGGTTTTCCGACATCAAGGGCAATTTGTCGTGAACCGTTGGTGAGCTGCTGCATGGGAGATGTTTTGCTGCTTGATACAATTTGTGCGGAGAACAGTGCAAAGATCAATTTGCATGGTGTTTGGCAAGTGCTGTGCTGGGACCGGATTATCGAGGCAGAATTCCATTACTAGCTTTTGGTTGCTTCAAGTTTGGCTGTGGTCTCGTTGAATTGCATGAAGGACTGCATCTCGGATAGTATCATCTCCGAGTCTTGCTCGCCGAACACTTACGGTGGCGCCAGCAGCAGAGAAAGCTTGCTCACTTGGGACGGACGTCGCCATCACAGCAAGAAAGTCCCGAGCCATCATCCGGATTCTTGGGAACTGGTAGAGGGTGCGAATCCAGGCACACACTGCACTGCTGCTGGTTTTCGAGTTCATGGTGGGATCCCGGTGAACGAGCCAACGATCAAGCTCTAAAGCAATCGACTCTCCTCCATCGAACCCAGTAGGCTCGTCGTGCCCGAAGTTGTCGTCCAGCATTTGGTGCAGGACCTTACTCAGAGCGACCTCCTCGGTGTCTTGCTGGTTCAACGTGGAGGCACTGGTACCTTGCTGCTGGCTCTCGAATCGGACGCGGTACTCGGCCTCGTACTCGTCGATGACATACTGCCTGATGGGAGCAATATCGGTAATTACTTTGGGCAGAAGCGTCTTGGCTCGAGGATCGAGCATGGCAGCAATTTGAGCCTCACGGCTTTTTACCAAGCTGTCGTACTGGTCGAGTTTCTTCTTGAAAGCCGTTGCAAAGTCGGCGGTGTAGCGGGCGACAGCCTGGTTGATCGTTGACGTTGCATTCTTTGACACCAGCTCAAATACGACGACTGCCATCCCAAACGTGGGGTAGTTCTTACCAGACATCATCATGATTGCAGCCTTTACAGGCGTCAGAAACTTGCAGAATTCTTCCAAAGCCTGCCATTTACTGTCATCGAGCGGGGCTGCAAGTCGGTCATCGGGCCCGATCGAGAAGTTTCGATAGCCTTCGTGGCGGCCGTGAATGCGCCGCAGCAGCTCCTCAATGGGCTTTCGCAAGTGAATTGCGGATATCACCATCGACCAGGTGCTGTTCCAGCGCGTGACACAGTCAAGCACAGGCTGCTCGAACTTCACCTCCAATACTTTGCAGATTCGTTCAAGTTCTTCATTCAGGGCCGTGGACTCGACAAGTTTCCTCAGGATAACGCGTATGGTGCCGATGCAGGTATCAACGAACGAGCACTGGGTGAGGCCTTCTTTGACAGGAAGCTGCAGCACATGAGCAAGACAGCGAATTTGAAACACATTCTGCGGTGCTTCAATGGCGCTACAGGATTCAGAAGTCATGTCAGCGGCTGATGGAGGTATCGCGTCGCTCAGGTGATCTCGAACTGCATCGGGTAGCTTGGCACGAATAGATCGGACCATTGTCTTGTTGTTCTTAGCATTGTCCGTTGTAATAGCCCAGAGTGTTGCGAACAAAGCTCCATCCATCGCCTTTATCACGTCGAGCAAATGATCAGCAAGGCGCACCCCAGTATGCGGATACTCAACCCTTCGAAAGCCTAAAATGATGTAGCGAAGGTTCCAGTCTTCATCGATCCAGTGCATCGTCACTACCATGTATCCTCTGTTCGCGGCAGACGTCCACATGTCCGTAGTTATAGATGTACGGCTTGACCGAACATCGCGAAATATTAGGCAGCGGACAATTGTCTTTCGGGCGAGGTCCTTTTCCAGTTTCCACCACACGATGACGCGATTCCGAATAGTTTGACGGCATGGGACCTTGTAGCTGGGCTCCAGTGTTGCACAAAACGCAATCAACTTAGGCTGCTCGACGGTTGCAAATGGCAGTGCGTTCTCCACGATCCACTCGACAAGGGCACTATCCACCTCTGCTTTGTTGAAGCCGCCCTCAATACGCTGCTTGACCATTCGTGCAAACCCGTGGTCAAACAGATCTGTTTGCCTTGCCGCCGGTGTATCCATCGCGGCGCCATATTCGCTGCTGTGATAGTTTTTTAGATGATTTCGCATCGTAGAGTGAGCCTTGGAGTTCCAGATTTATTCTCGGCCGTCGCGCTCACAACACTTACAGGAAAACTTGCCATTGCCGAGATCATTTATAAACGACCAGATATCAGAACGTTTACGCGATTTCTGCTCACTAGAAGCCGCGGAGCTATCTGCAGCCGTCATTGCTACGTCGTTCGCCACACCTTTGATGTCATGGCTGCTAGAAGTTCCTCCGGCATCCTCGTTGCCCTCCATGCTGCTCTGGGTTGGAAGCTGAGATTTGGTCCTCAAGGGGGGAAATGCCTATCCGGAGGACCAGTATCCGGATCCGGATAAGCTGTAAAATCCGACTCAATTCGACTCCGATCGGAGTCGAATCGACTCGATTCCAACTCAAACCAACTCTCTGTAAGCCGTTATTTGAATTATATATCTTGGATTCGCTAAACAATAATATTGAGATTTGCAGGTACCTCCATAATCGGCATCGAGTCGGATTTGAAACCGACGGAGACGGACCGGATCGTTCCCGGTGCAAATCCGTCTGAGTCGTAATGGCGAATCCAATCGATTATATTTTTAACATCACTAAGACAGAATCAAGGACACACCCTTTGCTTACTCCGCGATGCTAGCCGTGTTGCCGCCAATATGTATCAATATGTATTGAAAAGAGACAGAATCAAGGACACACCCTTTGCTTACTCCGCGATGCTAGCCGTACATATTGAAAAGAGACAGAATCAAGGACACACCCTTTGCTTACTCCGCGATGCTAGCCGTGCGCGCTCGCTCTTGTTGGTAGGGGCCGCCCGTCGTCGACCCTTCGTCGGAAGCCGCATCATCATCTTCTTCTTCTGCAGCGCCCCCAACTGACAGCACCGCTGGCGTCCGAGCTCGAGAGGGGAACCTAAATATGATTTATCCGAAAACATTTTGCCCGCGGTAGTTCAAGGCATATGTTTTACTAAATAATCGTTTGTTTCCTTTTGAACACGTGGACCAATCAGTTTCTTTCGATTTCTGGGAAAGGACGAGAACATATTTTGCGGATTTCGAGACATAATGAAACCAAGTGATTTTTATGCTGTTCTGAACAGCATCAGGTGATTTTCCAACCCTCCGCGTCCAAGGGGTTAAATGGATGGATAAAAAATACGCAAATTTTGAAGCAATAAATATTGAAGAGGCTCAGTACGGGAACGCTGTAGACTGCGCTTCGAGAGCTAGTGTTCGCACAAACACTAAGTGTATAGCTGACAATAGCATTTGCAAACTGTTTGTTAGGGTATAGTAACTCTGCCTAACATTTTTGTGGAGATAGATGGTTTTGACTTATTCATCTCGAAGCTCCTTTTAGTTGTTGGAAGCTGTCTGTTACGAGAAGTTCTGCTTATCTATACCAATAATGACCCCCTTATACTAGATTACTCTTGCTACGCCGTGGTGCGTACGCGGAATATGAATTCGAAAACCTGTAATGAGGAGCGGTGAATTTGATCGCTAGCGATAGAGCAGCAAATGTACAAACATATTTGCAAATAGCACTTGCAGTGAGTTAGTGTGTTGTGAAAATTGTCAGCATGTTTGTGGAGAACACTCTCGAGAGCACAAGGTTCGCCGGGCTACAATCAAGTACTCTATATATTATTCGTTGTCTACCTCTTATCTCAGTATTTAACCATTCCTCTCCACAATCGATACTGTAGGCCGAAAGGTTGGGGTACTGCTCTTTAAATCAACTGCATCTTGTCATTGCTGGCGACACGATATTTTCGTATGACTACTTGGTGAAAATGTCTTGGTTACATGTGATACACAAGTTAGTTAAAAAGCCTGGAATTACTATTGGTGATGATACTGACACAAACTCTGTAAGTCTTCATGGGGAACGCGAAATGTATCACGAGAAACGTGAGATCACTATAGTGATCTGTTCCCCGTCTACTGCACGTAAGATTTGTTGACTGGTACGTGCCAAATAAGTCCTTATGCAAAACAGCGTAAAAAGTGTTCTGAACCCACGTTGGGTGGGGATACGATGGTTCCGCAAACCCCTCGTTCAGTCTGAATTCACTTCGTAAGTTCCCGTCAAGACCGCGCGTGCCGAAGACCAACCAGCCAATATGCAGTTCGGGTTCTTCCTACTGCTAATCGCTGCCGCCGTCCTCACAAGCTGTGAGGTGGCCTCGGCCTCCGCCGACGTGGCCGCCACGCTCTCCAAGACGACTTCCTCGTATCTCTTCGCGGATGCACCTGATGCTGCTGGCAAAGGCAGCCGATTCTTGAGGAGCGACGTGGCTGAAGATGCTAAACGCAACAACCAACTGGGCGAAGAAGAGAGGGCAAACGCCTTCACTGAATACCTGAAGACCATAATGGCAAAACTCCTGGGTAATCCAAAGAAGGCGGATTTGACCAGAACCTTCCCGTCACCTCCAAAAGCGGATGTACTGCAGAGATCCAAGTCGTTTTCGGGTAGAAATGCCGAGGTGCAGAAGCTGACCCGGTCGAAGTCGCTCTCGAGTCTGAAGTCGAACCCAAATCTCGAGCAGGCGGCCGACGAAGTTCTACTGGCGGCTGCAACGAATGTGGTCAAACACTTCGACACTTTTATCGGGCGGAGGCAAGATCCCGACGCGATGTTTCGGCATTTCAAACTCGATCCCCGGGTGGCGAGGGCGGGTACGGTTTCCGATGATACACTGTTGGACGCGGCGAAGGGAAATCCAGAAGTTTTGGGGCAGTACGTGTTGTGGAACGAGTACTTGGCGTTCTACAAGGAGAAATATCCGAAGTGGGTTAGCATGCTTAAGTAAGCCCAAGCTTGATTAAAGCCGAAACCGGTCGTAATGGCCATGGGGATTTTGGGAGCGAACGAGCGATTTTGTATTGCACTGGATGCGGGCCCTGCCGCCTATAGCCATCGTGGCAGCCGTCAGCAGAATTAATAGATCGTGTCGATTTGCCAGTTTTTGGATCGGCTTGGGTTGTTCACCGAGCGACTCTTTCTTGAGCTTTGGCACCTGGCTGAATCAAACACTCCAGCACCTTTGGTTGTGGCATACCGGTAAGTTATTTCTCGCTTTGCCTTCTGTAGGGTGCTGTACATGATGGCTCCGTGACGGAGCGTAATAAGTATTAATTTCTGGTGTTTCAGACATGTGCATGCCCACTAACGCGCGCAGTACTCATTTAGCTGTAGTGCAACTAGCAGTTGTTTACACCTTTGTGCGGACACCTTCGTACCAACGTGCAATCAAATCCAAAAGTCGCAAAATTCATATTTCAATTTTCTAGTTAGCAACTTCAATTACGCATTCAAAGATGGAATTACGGCAATCAAATTCGTACAGTAGGCTACTACTACTGGTCCGACGAGCCCTGTTACATGCCGTACACCATGTCCTCATTGTTCGCCGCCTTGGTAACGAAGTCGCGACAGTGCAGCTCCATGCTGGCCACCAGCGCTGGGGTCATCACGTTCATGTTAGCGGTCGCGGCGCGCTCCAGGATGTGCATTTGGCGTTCCGAAATGGAGAGGATCTCACCGTTGCTGTCTGGCTCACGCGAGCGATCGTAGATTGCGTGGCGATCTAGAGCCAAGTCTCGCTAAATGCGGGATTTTAGGACGCTGCTTCTCGAGGACGGTGTGGCGAGTAACGCGGCCTTGGAGGGACATCTGCGAAGAAGAAGGCGAATGCGAAGTGAGCTCCCTTCGGTCGGCGTCGGCTATAGTGCGCGCCAAACCGCGCGCCCTTGCTTTTGGCGCGAGCATAGCACGCCAGTGTATTCCCATTCGTACACACACTTAAATATTAAATTCTTTGGATGTAAGATAACTATCATACAGTATACGAAATGAACAAGTAAATGGTCCCCAAGATATCGAATGCCGTTAGCCCGGCGTGTCGCCGTTAACATCGGTGCTGCTTCCTATCTTGCGATCGACAGTAGAGCTTGCCAGGTGATTTACAGCAAAACTCGCCCAGTCCGAATTCACTTCTAAATTTCATGCAAGACCCCCAAGCGCTGAAGATAAAGGTTGTCATGCAGTTCGTCTTCGTTCTGCTGCTGCTTGCTGCCTCCATTCTCCTGGCCAGCTCTGATGTCGTCTCGGCCTCCGTAAATAAGGACGTCACGCTCTCCAAGTCGACTCGTTCGGACCTCGTCCACTCGGCGAATGCTGGTTCGGTTAGGCTCTTGAGACGTGAGGACCAGAACGACGAGTCGGAGGACGGAGAGAGGGGCTTGTCCAGAGCTGTGGCCGAAAAGGCAGCAAACGCTGCCTCGAAATTGACTAAGTCAAAGTCGTTTTTGTCTGAGAAGGCTGCGGTGCAGAAGTTTGCCCGGTCCAAGTCCTTTTCGGACCTGAAGAGGAACCTGAATTACGAGCAGCTGGGCAACGAAATCAAGACAGGGTACAAGAGCTCTCTTCTCGTAAACTTCAAGGTGTGGAACAAGCAGAAGCGCGATCCCGATGAGATGTTCCGGTTCTTTAACCTCGACCACAGGCTGGCGGGGGCGACGAAGGCTGATAAGCACAAAATATGGGACGCGGCGAAGCAGATGACGTCTATGGGCAGTACATCCTGTGGTATAAGTACTCGAAGTTCTACAAAAAGGAAAACCCGGGCTGGGTTAGCACGCTAGTACACCTAAAGGCTGACTAAACCGATCGTAGCTAGCTGCGAGGATTTTAGGGGACAGAGGAGTGAGTCAGAACATAAATTCAATGGCTTTTTTCTACCAAAAGGTGTTGCTGGTTGCTCCTTTTTAGATGCCGCTTTGAGAATTCGCCTCGATGCTGTACTAAATGTACAACTGCAGTTTTATCACATTCATGGAAGTCTGCCATCATTTCTTACAAAACATGGTTTGCTCAAAATTCGCTCTCGATTCCCGTCTCACGGTTGGGCTCCGATTCTGCTGTCGTTCACATCGTCGAGCGCAAGTTTTCACTTTATTCAAGCGTACGCCAACAAACCACAGCGGGTAGCGTTGAAGGCGAGATTGATACTGATTTCGTGTAATTCACCCCGTCTGCCACCCCCCAGTGCTTGGCGCGTTTCCGTTTGAAATAGGTGAAAAGCCGGTGTCGGTGGTCGTTTGGAAGTGGTGGACGTGTTGGGAGAAAAGTCTGCAAGCAAGTAGGCACTTAGAGAGAGGTGCCTCCCGCGTTGAGGACCTGCATGTAGACCGCACGATAGCCGGTAAACGCTATGGCATGAATTGATTGCCTCTGTGAAACTTCAAGTCGTACTGTACCGAGCTCGACATGCACGTCCACTGTATACTGTGGGCTGACAAGGTGAACAGTGTGTCTGAATGTCGACGTTGCTTCCTGCAAACAGGGACGAGGGAACAAAGGAGCTCAACAGTGGTCCACCCACGCGCCTCGGGTCATCAAGTCAGCGGAAATGATCTTGAGCACGACGGCTCGAAAGCCTTCTCTTGCATGGATAGCGAGTTCTCCGCGCCAGCTCAAGACGCACGAATCCACGAGGCACCCAAGCATCATGTGGGACGTTCTCCCTTCCAGCGAGCCACCCAGTCGACGGACCTCCTGCCATCTTCCATCACTTCCCAACTCGAGCTCGACAGCGCACTCACCTCCCTTTCGTTCACCAATGGCGACTCCGACCACAAGTTTCCGTTCTTCCAGACCCAACTGCAGACACTCCAGCCACCCTCCCCCCAACCAACTGTCAAGCAGCCACTTCGGTCGATCCCAAGGGCCCCCTCCTGACTCTGTCATCCGCCTCTCGCCCGACCGGAAGGCGGAGATGCTGCAGAGGACGCAGAAACTGGAGCGAGACGTGCTCGACTCCATCGACCACGAGAGCTGGAAGCTGCGCATGAACCAGAAGGGCATCTCCTACTACGTGGACGACAGCGTCGGCAGGGGCCTCACTCGCTTCTGCTGTGTCGGAAGTACCGACGCCCCCGTGGCCGACATCATGGAGCTGTTTCTCGTCTCCAGCACCGAGTCGCTGCTCAAGAACGTGCGTATCATGTACCGCAACGTCAAGGAGGCCAAGATCCTGTCGGTCGTGAAGCGCTCCACCCCCTTCACCCCTTTCCATTCCGCCTACATCCGCTACACGAGCTTCGACACGCCCATGCTCATGAGCGACCGCGACTTCTGCCTCTGTGTCTGCACCAACCTCATCGAGCACGAGGACGGCTCCACTGTCGGCTACTGCCTCTGGGAGTCGGTGGACCTGCCGGAGTGTCCCGACCGGTCGGCCACCGACAAGATCATCCGCAGTAGGATGTGGCGGTCCGGGTACGTCATGAAGAACTCGGGCAAACCGAACGCGTTGACGAAGGTGCGGTACATCATCGGCGTAGAGATCGGGGGCTTCGTCCCCAAACTAACGGGGTGGATCTACATGTCGGCCTTCGGGGCCAACTGCCGGCGGGTGTGTGAGCACTACAGGAAGCGGTGGCTGGACCCGGAGACGTTCAAAAGGCGAGAAGATTGGGAGAGGAAGGCAGATGCGAAGGAGTGTCCGATATGCCGTCGGAAGTTTGGGCCCTTCGTCAAGAGATACAACTGCGTCAAGTGTGGGCTAGTTGTCGGTGGACACTGCTCCAGGATGGAGGACGTGAGTGTGCGGGGGGTAGGGATCACGAGTGTCCGAATTTGCTACGCGTGCTTGAAGGCGGCGGGCATGCTGACGACGAATCCGGGTGCTGTCCGTCTCGAGGCACGACAGCCTGTCGTGCCTCGAGACTACTTCGACAGTGTCAAGAGCGAGGGGAAGGATATTCGAGAGCCGTTCTCGGCGTCGAGCGGGAGCTCCACCTTCTGCATGAGTGCGTAAGGGACAAGTAAGCTTAGTGTTATTTTCTTTACTACTACTGTAACGACTCGATGGCACGATGATTTGGTTTGGTTTAACTTGTTGGTTCCGCCCTTGGTGATGTCCGGGAGTTGGTAATGAGCCGTTGAGACGAGCGTTGCGACGTTGGCAACCAGAAAAATCAATGCGAAAGGTGGCCGGCCGGTCATACAGTAGCGTCGTATACCTGTACGTTTGGTGCAAATGCACGAAGCTCTACGGTTCCTTGCCTGGCTCTGCTGCAGTTTGATGCACTGACCGCTTCAAGCAGTTCCTGTACCGCTACTGCAGTACGTATCCCGGTCGAGTCGGGCTTCGAATCGTGAAGGAAAGAGATTCAGTAAGTGCATTCGTCACTAACACAATACCTATAGAAGATTATGAACTACGGGGCTGAAGAGCCGAGGGTCTTGCTCCGAGAGCAGCAACAACGACTAGTATGTACGACCCCACAGGCGTGGTGTACAATGTACACCACTGTACATTGGCAGTTGTCGGATCGCAATGAGTCAGACAAACCAGAGATGAACACCGCAGATTTGCTTTCGTGAGTCGCCACCTCAACGTGACTAGGAAAATGAACTCAAAGCGCGCCAGAGCTCCAGCGCTTCTCCATCGTTGGACATCTCGCAAGCCAAAAGGGCACGTGCGTTGGTTGATCGATATGCGCGCTTGGTTTCATCTCGTCGAGTCCGCTTTGACTGTTCATTCGGTCGCAGCGGCTGCGGGCCCACCTGGATCTTGAGAAGCAACAAACAAGCGGGTGTCGGTCAAAGCAAACACCTGCGGTGCCGGAAAACTCAACGACGGTGGATTGTGTGCTTGATTATCCCGTGACACCTTGTTGCAGACGCAACAGCATCAAGATGGCGGGGTACAAATCCGCCGCCACGAGCCTGCGACCTACGACGGCCACGACAGGCTCAGCAGTCTCTCAGTTTAACTCTCGCTGCAGAGCGCTCACACCCGAATCTGTCGCCGCCTCCGCCTACTGTAGACCTCCAACTTTTAAACACAATGGGCGAGGGCAGGACGAAGACTTCGGTTTCAACCGCCAGAACGGGCATGCAGAAGTGCAGCTGGGGAGTGAGTACCAGCGTCCAGCTGAACTCACAAAAGCCACAGCGGCCGCAGCCGCAGCAGGTTCCGATTCGCAGCACCATCAACCTCGCGCATACTTTGAAACCCTTTGAGCAAACCCTGAGGCCGTTCGAGCAGACTGTTAACCCGTTCGAGGAGACCATCAGACCGTTCGCCCAGACCATCAAGCCATCGTCCAAGCAGACGCAGCCTCGTCACTCGCAGCAGCTTCCGACCCGACCGTCACAGCACCATGCCGGCCACCCGCCCCGACGCAACAACCAGGTACCTCAGCCTCAGTCTCAGCAGGCAGGCTTTCGTCATTCGGTGGCGACGCTGCGGCCTCCGAGAACCGCGCGGCCGACCGAGCGACCGTCGCAGCAGTTCTCGAACCACCACGTCAGCAGCTTCCAGCGCTCGTTGGGACCGTCGAGCCACCGACAACCTTTGGCCGGAACGCCCATGACACTGTCGGACCTCGTGACGGAAGAGCCGACCGACAGCAGCAATGATGATAACACTCCGTTGACGGTGGATCTGTCGCCTCGTCGTCGTCGCGAGGTCATCTCGCGCATGAAGAAGTCCGTCAAGGAGACCATCCTCGACTCGATGCCTCCGGACTCGTCCACCAACCCGCAGTGGAAGCTCAAGCTGCGCAAGAAGGACATCTCGTGCTATGTGGACGAAACAACCGTCCAGCCTGGCCAGACCCGGTTCTGCTGCGTGAGCCACACCCACGCGACGGTGGACGAGGTCATGAGCCTCTTCCTTTCGCCCGACAAGGAGACGCAGCAGCGCAACGACCGCTTGCTGTACGACAACCTCCTGGAGACGCGCGTCCTGACGGAGCTGCGGGAACCGACCAAGGAACGCCCCATGAACTCCATGTCGGTGCGGTATTCGACCTACCAGACCCCCGGTCCGCTGGCCAACCGGCAGATCTGCTCGGTTGTAGCCACCGACATGGTCCGTCAACCTGACGGCTCCACGATCGGCTACTGCCTGTGGGATTCCATCGACGACCCGGAGTTCGCGAAAGCCGGTAAGAGACCGGGGCTCGAGGTGTGCAAGATGTTCCGGTCAGGCTTCTTCGTGCGACGGTCAGGCCGGCGCGGGTCTTCCGACAAGCCGGGTCAGACCAAGATCGTGTACATGGTGGGCATGGAGAACGCGGCGTGGGCGTCGGGGCTCACGACGCGCTACCTCATGGAGAAGTATGGCAACACCTTGGGTCGCATCTGCTCGCACCTGCGGCGCAAGAACTTCGACTCGCAGACGTTCGTGACCAAGACCCAGTGGGCGTCCAAGATCTCGGCCAAGAGCTGCAAGCAGTGCGAGAAGCCCTTCCAAGTGCTCTCATGCCGCGTCAACTGCCACGCGTGCGGGCAGGTGGTCTGCCGATCTTGCACTTCCAAGGAGTCGGTCGAGATTCAAGGCGTGGGGGTCGTCGTGCCCACGCACATCTGCTTCTGGTGCCTCGAAAAGGCCGGCCTCCCAGCTCCCGCCTCGGCGTCGGCGCCGAAGACAAGGAAGGATAGGAGGATCAAGCGGCTCGAGTCCGACACCGCCGTCATGTACCGAGCGTCGTGCCAAGCGAACGCACTAACGCAGCAGCGAGAGCATTCTATGTCGGTTGTCAATGCCGATTTCTCGGACGATGACGACGAGGACAGAGAGAGTGGGGAATGGGCCATCACGACGCAGGGAATCCCCGTCCAAGAGTCTGACAACGGTCGAAGCTGTATCAATGTGCGTATGGGTGTGCATGGTAGTTATCTGTAGTGTGCGTGTGAATAATAAACTACAGTATGTGTGGCTCGCAAGTGAGCCTTGAGAACGATCCTTCACCGACCTGACTGCAGTCTTCCGTCGGCACCAACACTTTTTCGTCGAGGTACCTATTTGCCCTGCATATCGTGGCTCCGTATCGTCGTAGTCCGGTACACTATTCCTCCCTTGGCAAATTGCCGGGCAATCCAATGCAGACTGCGCTGCTTGACTCTGTCAGTCGTTTAGCGCCGACGATCAAGTCATGCAATCTTTCTCTCTTACATCTTGACGAGCGTTTGTCCTCTACATGTAGGAATGCTGCTAATGCAGTCAAGTCGAGCTTTGCGTTGCCGGTGCGAGACTCGTTCGAGAGGTGGGATGCCGCAAAGGTGGCATTGAATCTGTCCGCCGTGTCGGGCGCTAGAGGTGCACACTAGTGCTCAAAGTGGGGCTTTGAAAGCGCCTACATCTCCGAGCTGTTTCTGCTAGTATCGCAGAGGACCAGCTCAACTACAGCGCGTGATCGGCACGGAAGTATCCATTCACTTGCTGCGAGCTAAAAAGTTACCAACGGCGAGCAGATCGCCGACCGAGAGCATGCAACCCGCCAAGAGCTGCGCTTGAAGCGATCAGAACCCCCCAGAGAGCGACGGGGTTGGCCTCGTCCTCCCTGGAAGTGGAAGGGCTGTCGAAAGTCAATCGACGGCGATCTTAGGAATTATCACGGCGCATTCAAAAGTGTGGGCTCCGACCGCTGCGTCCGTAGGTGCTGGGAGGCCCAAGGTCGAACTTCGACGTCCCGCGTGGCGCGAAACTTACAGCATCGCCAAGTTACCAGCCGCGATTTGCTCCCGTGGGCCACGGGCCGTGGCTTTCAGGTTCAACGTGGCCAAAAAATATGAAGTTCTGTACAGTACTTCGAAGTACTTAAGTGCATGTAGCAGTGTCAACAAATTGTCCGAGTGGATTTCCAAAGCGCCACCTCGCCGCTGAGACCCCCACGCCAACCTTGATGACAAGCGAGCACGCTCTGTTCTCGCGGTGCTTTGGTTGAGTCCGCCCTCGGTTCAAAGAGGAGGCGTTGCAAGCCTCGAGTTTACGCTTTCGGGCTCAAATCGACAGCAGCAAGCATCCGATCGCTGGTCCACCTGGATCCCGGGAAGAGACCGACAAGTCGATGGAGCAAACAAGCAACTCGGCGACGGCGCGCAGGCCCCAAAGAAGGACAAGAACCCTCTTTGACTCTCTCGACGATGGCGCCGCCACCTGCTGGGTGACGGCGTCGATAGAGAGGAGGAAGCGCGAGCATTGATGTCGGCGGCAGTGGGAGCTCGGCGGTGACTGCGGTGTCAGTAGGGGCTGGGCAGCGCCTGTGCTTGCTTATCTTGCAGACACTTTGGCTTGTCTTGGCGCGTTGCACCTTTGATGCCAGCCAGCACATCCGCAGGAGCGAGAGAGCACGCTTTGGCTTGGACTTGGACTTGGACTTGGCTTGACTTGATCCTCTCTCTCACAAGTGAATTCTCTCGCTGTCTCAGCGTCACCGGTGACGACCATGAACAACGCGGACGGGTGGACGTCCCCCACTACCACGCAGGACCAGCACTGGGGCGTGCGCAGCGGCGCCAAGCTGCTGTCGCGACCGTCGCGCCACGCCGCCAACCAGAGCGCCACCAATCTCGAGCAGACCCTCACGCCCTTCGAGCTGACCATCAACCCCTTTGAGCAGACCAACAGGCCAGCATTCGACCAAACTATGCGGCCAAGAGAGCAGCAGCGTCGACGACAGTCTCACGAACCTCTTCGGACACAGCGGAGTCCGGAGCAATCGCGACAGCCTCGACCGATGCCCCAACCGGTGCCGAACAATCGCGCCACGAGCCTCGGACGCTCCATGGGGCCGTTGCCTCAAGCCTCCCGCGTTCGCACTGTCAGCGACCAACCAGTACAACAACCACGTCGACAGTCACAGCAGATCCCGGACGTGGGTCGGTCGGTCGGCTCCTCGCGACCGGTTCCGAGTCATCAGATGAACAACGCCCAGCAGCAGCGTATCAGCAGCCTCGAGCGCTCGACTCGAGGGTACAAGCCGGTCTCGAACCATCGGACGAGCAGCCAACAGCCTCCACGACCGTCGCAGCAGATCTCAATGGGGTTCCCGCACCTCGAGCGGCTCCGCAGCGACAAATCGGCCAGCGGGGGCAGCAGCAACAGCAACAGCAACAGCAGCGCCGAGTCGTACGTGGAGCTCGCCCCCGCTCGACGCCGCGAGCTCATTTCTCGCGTGAACGAGTCCGTGCAGAGCGTCATGGCGTCGATGCTGACCGACAAGCCCAACAACGTGCAGTGGAAGCCCAAGCTCCGCAAGAAGGACGTGTCGTACTATATGGACGAGACCAGCGTCAAGCCTGGCCAGACGAGGTTCTGCTGCGTGAGCCACACCCACGCGACGGTGGAGGAAGTCATGAAGCTCTTCGTGCTGTCCGACACGGAGTCGGTCAAGCGCAACAACCGCGTGCTGTCCGACAGTCTCCTGGAGGCTCGAGTTGTGTCGGTGCTGCGCCGACCGACCAACGAGCGGCCGATGAACTCCATGTACGTGCGGTACTCGAGCTACCAGGCACCCGGTCTCATGGTGAACCGAGACGTGTGCGTTGCTGTGGCCACCGACATGATCCGTCAGCCGGACGGATCGACCATCGGCTACTGCCTCTGGGACTCCGTGGACGACGCCGAGTTCGTGGGAACTAACAAGAAACCAGGGCTTGAGCCTTTCACGATGTTCCGGTCGGGCTTCTTCCTCAGACGGTCAGGTCGCCGACACTCGTCCAGCGATGACCCGAACCAGAACTACACCAAGATCGTGTACATGGTCGGCCTGGAGCCTGGCGGTTGGGCCCCCGGGTTCACTGCTCGCTTTATGATGGAGAAGTTCGGCTCGAACCTCACGCGCATCTGCTCACACTTCCGCCGTAAGAGTCTGGACTCGCGCACGTTCGTGATGAAGACCCAGTGGCGCTCCAAGATGTCGGCCAAGAGCTGCAAGGAGTGCGAGAAGCCCTTCCAAGTGCTCTCGAACCGAGTTAACTGCCACGCGTGCGGCCACGTGGTCTGCAGATCCTGCGCGTCCAAGGAGATGGTGGAGCTGCACGCGGTGGGCATCGTCCCCATGCACATCTGCTTCTCGTGCCTCGACAAGGCTGGTCTTCCCGCTCCTGCGTCGTCGTCTCAGAACGCTCGATCCAGCTTGAGGAGAAGGCGACTGCAGTCGGACAGCGCGGCGTTGAACCGAGCAGCAGCCCAAGCACAAGCAGAGGCGCTGTCTCAGTCGCAGCCGTACCAACAGTCGAAGTCGGTCGTAGACAGCGATTTGATCGAAGAGGACGAGGAAGACGACGACACGGACACTGGCGAGTGGTCCTTCACGCCCTCGGGCGTACCGGTGAGGCCCTATCGAATGGCAACAGCCCCAACGCCCAAGTAGAGTTGCAACAAGTACAAGTAGTGGATGTAGAGCTGGAAGCGTGCCGGTGTGTTGCTGTAAAAGACCAATGAACCTCATCTAAAAGTAAATTACGAAAACTTCATCTTAGGCACTCTATACGTGGACCTCTAGCTTTGAAGCTTTGGCCACCTTATCGATGGACAGACATGACGAATAGTATTGGAAGAAGAATGGAGAGACTAAGTATTTACTGTATTCACTGTGCTTTAAGCTTATACGGCGCAATGCACTACATGCAGAGCACTAAAGCACTTACTCGTTCTTGGGGAAGATCTCCTTGTACTGAAGCAGGTTCTCCTTGTAGCCGAGCGGCTTGCGGCCGGTCAGACGCTCAACGGTGTCAGTCACCTTGTTCATCGAGCCGTTGGCCAGAGTCTCACCGCAGCACAGCAGGTCGCCGATGCAGAGCTTCATGGGAGTCTTGGAGAAGTCGCCAAAAAACTCCGTGGGCAGACCGCGGCCCAGCCAGTACTCGCGCAGCTCCTCGTCGGGCATGTCGACGTACTTGCCGTTGTAGCCGCTGATGGAGTTCATCCAGTTGAACATGTCCTCGTCGAGCACGCACTCCGGGCCGGTGACGTCCACGACCGTGTTCTTGTCCTGCTTGCCGAGCAGCAGAGCGCCGAACACGCGGCCGCAGTCCTCAATGGCCACGTAGGCGCCGGGGACGCCGTGCGAGTTCCAGAGCCAACGGTCTCCGTTGAAGTGCCACGACGGAGCGAAGAAGCGAGGCGTGTTGTCCTGGTACAGCCAGTCGCGCTGGATGTTGTACTCGAGGCCCGAGGCATAGATGAGCTGTTCCGTGTACTGGTGGTCACGCGGCAGGAACGGCAGCTGCTCGTTGGGCAGGTCCGAGCCGGCGCCCACGAACGACGTGTAGCACACGCGCTTGACGCCCACGGCCTTGGCGGCCTCAATGCAGTTCTTCATCTGGCCACGACGGCCCTCGCCGAACAGCCAGGTGGAGATGAAGGCCACGGCCTCAGCGCCCTCGAAGACCTTCTTCAGGCTGTCGATGTCGAGGTAGTCGGCCTGCTCCACGATGGCGCCCTTGGCCTTCCAGGCCGCAACGCGCTCGGCGGGCAGCTTCTCCACGTTCGAGCTCGTGAGCACCAGCACGTCCTCGGGTTTCTTGATCTCGACCGCGTAGTCGGCAGCGTGGCCGCCGATGTTGCCACCGACACCCGTGAGCACGTACTTGACCATGGTTGATGGAGAGAGGTTGGAGGAAGTTGGGACTTGTTGCTGAGACTGCAAAAAGCAAAGTGAGACCTTCCTCCTGCTGCAGCAGTGGCGCCACGTACACGTGGGTAGCCAACAGATCCGCAGGCGAACAGCAGGGAGGGAGCTTGAGAAGCGATCCCGTTTTCTGCCTGCCGTGGACTGACGGCTGGCGCACCGCCGAGACGTGAAGTCCCTGCTGGGATGTGAAGCGGATGGGGGCAACTAAAGCCAGCGTATTGGAGATGACTGCAAGTTGCAGCATACAAAAATCAAGATGTTTGAGCCGTTACAGGGCCACTTCAACGTGCCTGCAGCACCACCATTATTATTAATACTTTTTGACAGCTAAGTTGGACATCTACATGTAAAATGGTGAAAGCAATTGGAGGTACTGTACATGTACTGTGTAGTCGATGGAGGCCGCTGGACACTCGAGTGGAGAGTCTTCATCAAGCCGGTCTCGCGGTGTCGACAATATGGCGCAGTCAGCGCACGGTGTCCACACTCCTTCGGCCTTTTTCGTGCTTTGGCATGTCCCTCCCGCGTGTGCGTGGAGTGGGAAACGGCAGCAAATGGCTGCGTCGCCGACTCGGTCGATCGTGTCCTAGACTTCAGCAGCTCCAGGCTCCAACTGCTGGCAGCACGTTGTCAGTGGCTCGACATTGGTACGTTCCCTGTGTAAGGATGAATTATCGTTCCTGGTGAGCCTTGCAAGTCCCAGGTTGCAGCCGGAGTCCTTCCCAGGTCCTTCGTCCAAGCGGCCCCAGCCGATCCTCTACTTGTACCTGTCTGTATCCGCTCACTGCGTGAACAAGAGCCGCGCTTGGCGCCAGCAATCCTGCCCAAGTTGAAGCCAAATTTCCGTTTGCTACAAAGCACGTAGATTATCCTTTTACGCTATTCAAAGTCGACATGTTTCCAAGTTTCCAAGTGCGATAAATCTGCAGCTCGGAGTACATTTTACTGGTTCTTGGGAAAAATCTCCTTGTACTGGAGCAGGTTCTCCTTGAAACCGAGCGGCTTGCGGCCGGTCAGACGCTCCACCGTGTCCGTCACCTTGTTCATCGAGCCGTTGGCCAGAGTCTCACCGCAGCACAGCAGGTCGCCGATGCACAGCTTCATGGGCAGCTTGGAGAAGTCGCCGTACAGGTCGGTGGGCAGGCCGCGGCCGAGCCAGTAGGCGCGCAGCTCCTCGTCGGGCATGTCGACGAACTCGCCCTTGTAGCCGCTGTGGGAGTTCATCCACTCGAAGATGTCCTGGTCGAGCACTGGCTCCGGGCCAGTCACATCCACAACAGTGTTCTTCTCCTGCTTGCCGAGCAGCAGAGCGCCGAACACGCGGCCACAGTCTTCGCGAGCCACATAGGCTCCGGGGACGCCGTGGCTGTTGATGAGCCAGCGGTCCTCGGTGAAGTGCCACGACTGCGCGAAGAACTGCGGGATGTTGTTCTGGTACAACCAGTTGCGCTGGATGTTGTAGTCCAGGCCCGAGTTGTAGATCTCGTGCTCGATGAAGTGGTGGTCGCGCGGCAGGAACGGCACCTGGTCGTTGGGCTTGTCCGAGCCAGCGCCCACGAAGGACGTGTAGCAGATGCGGTTGACGCCGGTCTCCTTGGCGGCCTGGATGACGTTTTTGGCCTGGTTGCGGCGGCTGTCGCCGATGAGCCACGTGGAGATGAAGGCCACGGCCTCCGCGCCCTCGAACACCTTCTTGAGGGTGTCCACGTCGTCGTAGGTGGCCGGCACGACCGTGATGCCCTTGGCCTCCCACGCTGCCTTCTTCTCGGCCGGGACGCTGTCGATCTTGTAGCTGGTGAAGACGATCTCGTCGTTGTCGTTCTTGATCTCAGCGACGTAGTCGGCCGCGAAGCCACCCAGGTTGCCGTCGGCGCCGGTGAGCACGTACTTGACCATTGTTGAAGGAGGAGGGAGGGAAGGCGGTGAACTTGCGTTCGGAGATGCAAAAGGTAAAGTGTGAGTGGACCGAGGGCGTCTCAATTGCAGTGAACTACATAGCTGGCATGGCCGCAGCCACCGAGAGGTAGCGTGTCTTTGCGGGGATTCACTCGGCCGTCGATACTTCCTGCACGGAGTTCAAGCACCTAAAAGCTCACTTCAATCCGAGCGAGCATGGTCTTGAAGAAGAGGCACCCAGCGGAGACCTTCAGCCTGCGTCTTTTTCGCGCCGACATCTACCGGTGCACGCGTTGATTTGCCCCTGCTTGAGCCGTGACGTTTGTATGCTTCGGCAGGACACGCGTCCTCAGCCCAAACGCACTCATCTGCTGCTGCCGACGGGACCTCGCCGCCTCCAGGACATGGGCCGGACGAACGGATGCGTGTTTGATTTGCCGAGCCTTCACGCAAGCCTGCAATGCTCACTCGGGCTTGCAGCGCTGCGCTGCGCCTTGCCGAGTCCGCCATCACTTCCGATTCCTGCCGTGTAGGCCGCACTCCTGACGTTATCCAGATGCTGGTGCAGCATGATTCCTGCTGGTGGAGACGTTGTGCCGGAGACACTCCAGGGGCTCCGTCGACATCGGTGACGGGAAGTGCAAGCTGCTGGCGCGATAGCCTCGGCCACGGCGTTGAAGATGCACGCTGCGTGTACAGCAATCTGCCCGAGTAAGGAACGCCTGATATATATAAAGACGCAGAATATATAAATTGATGTTAAGTTGAGTATACTTTTCCAATGTACTGATTTAGTTATTTCAAAATGAGCTTTACCTACGAGTCTGGAATGATTCCAACAGTGGCGTATGGTCGAAGCACTAACCTTTGACCAGGCATCCTCGCACCACAACAGCGCTGTCAACTGGTCGACCTCGTAGGGATTATCTAGCCCTTCACCTTGTCGAGGATGCCCACTTTCTCAGACCAAGTGAGGCGGAGATGCTTGGACGGTGTGGACTTCATGGGTGGAGTGGGGGAGGAGGTGGGCTTGTGGGGCGAGGTGCAAAAGCAAAAGTGCGAGTCTACCACTACGGTGCATGTAGTTTGAAGTCTAGTAAGATCGCTGAATGCGCGCCATTTTTCAAACGAGGGTGGAGAGCTGATGATTGGCACTGGATTTTTCACCTCAGTACCTTGCAGTACCTTGCACATCCCCCTATCGCCACATCGACTGAAAAATATATTAAATATGTGAGGCTATTAGTTGTACACCCGTTCCTTATTCGGGCAGAATTCTGTACAGACTAGAGCGTGAGAACGAGACGGGTAACAGCTAATACCCGTTTTTACCGATGAAAACAGGTATTAGAGTTAATGTAGAATACATAAAGTGGTGTCTTCCACATATGATTCCCTTTTAAATCCGGATATATCAGGCGTCTCGTTCTCACGGCTTCCTGGGCCAGGACCTCGATTCACGCGGCGTAAGACCGGTGCTCAAGCTGAGTTCCCGCTCAGGTGACACGTCTCCAATGGAGACTCTCCATGACCGCTTCGTTGGCGGTGGCTGATGGTTAGGCCAATTGCCGTGCCGATGGAGATACTACTCTGCGCGGTCTTGACAATTCATCGAGATGAGCATGGCTGTAGCTGGCTGAGGTTCACCTTGTGCGTCATTGGGGTTTTGCAAGGTGCGCGAGGTGCTCTGCATGGCTTTTCCCGAGAGAATCTAGGCGTACAAACCTCGTCGCTCAATTCAATGCCAACTCGTGACCCACGAGTCGTGAGTGAAGAAGGTCGGCAACGATACTTTAGAGCCCCCACGGGGATAGTATTTGGGCCTTGCTGCAACCAGTGCAAGGCTGCTTGTTCTGCTTGGACACTGGAAGAGTGAAATGTCAGTATAAAACGTCTTGCTTCTGAGCAGCGCTATCGATATGACAAAGTGGAATGGATCGCTGTTGCTAAGCTCTACACACATGGCGGCATGTAGCTGGGTGTACATGGCGTTCGCGGATGAGGTCGGCCACACGTCTGAGGCGGCCGAGGCAACCAGAGCAGCCGCCAATGTTGACCGAGTGCTCCACAGAATGCCGAAGCGAACTGCAGGAATGAAGCGCGGATGTCGACAGTGGATGCAGCCCATGCGACGTTGGAGGCACGTTGACACGCGTTTGAGCCGAGCGTGGGGTCATTCATGGCGCTGCCCCAGGCTAGGATCCGCTACAATCTCTGCTGGCTTGGGCGGAGCTGTACTGGCATGCTGAGCAATATGCATCAAAAGCAAAGGCCTCGCCCCCACTCCGATCGCCTCGATGCCGGTGAGCGAGTCCCGCATTGTGCCGTTTATAGGCCAGCGGATCTCCACCACCGGCACGCTAGTCATGCATGCAACTTCAACATGGGTGTCTCGTCACACTATCGGCGCCCCTTTCGGACAGAAAAAATCAAGGCGGGCTGGCCCCTGGCATCGCTAATGCAGGAGTCACTGCCGACACCCCCCCCCCCCCCTGCATGATGGCACCACGGCTATAGAGCATGGCGCGATGCCTCTGCTGGCCGGCGGCAGCAAGGAATTGCTGGCCAGTAGCTCACGCTTTGAGCGCGACTCGCGCTCGGTCAATGCAGATTCACTCGTGGAGGCGGCTTCCAGCACGACTGCAGCCGCAATTTTTCATGAATTGGGTGCGCACGAGGCTCGTCACGGTCACCGGCGCCATCTAGATATTAATCGCTGGGTACCAGGGTTCACACGCCACGGGCGACTTGCGCGCGTTGAAGTTGTTTGTCCGGTAGCAGCTCCGTGCCAGTTCTCTGGATATTGTTATCGCCTTGAGCTCGACATTGCGGACGGCCAAGTCGAGCTCATTCCACAACTTACTGTCTACAACGGAGCCCCCACTCAAGTACTCCATCTAGTCTCCTTTGACTACTCCACCCTCCTCGTCGACTATGGCGCGCTTCCTCGTTATCGCGCTCCTCTCCGCGCTGTGCTCGCTGCAAGCGGACGCCTTCCGCCTGCGCACGCTGGCTGAGAACCCGTTCTTGCCCGTGCACCGCCACCTCGCGTCATGCCCCACCACGTCGGGCGTCGACTACCTCGGTAACGACATCAAGTCCGTCTCGAACGTGCCGGTGTCGGACTGCTGCACGCTGTGCTCGCAGACGACGGGCTGCGGCGCCTTCACGTGGACCAACTACAACGGCGGCACGTGCTGGCTCAAGAGCGCCAAGGGCAACACGGCCTCCAACCCGGCGGCTACTTCGGCCGTCCTGGTGCCGGACGAGCCCGGCTGCACACTCAACGACGGCGTCGACTACCAGGACAACGACATCGCCAACGTCGGAGCCAGCAACGCCGGCGCCTGCTGCTCGATCTGCTCCACTTGGCCCGGGTGCAACGCCTTCACCTGGTCCAACTACAACGGGGGTACGTGCTGGCTCAAGAGCAAGAAGGGCACGACCGTCAACAAGGCCGGCGTCAAGTCGGCCGAGGTCAAGAACACGGTCGGCCAGTGCACGCTCCAGCAAAACGTCGACTTCGTGGACAACGACATTGGCAACACGCCCGGCAAGACCCCGGGCGACTGCTGCGGCATCTGCAACAACTGGAGCGGGTGCCGCTCCTTCTCGTGGACCAACCTCAACGGCGGCACGTGCTGGCTCAAGAGCGCCAAGGGGCAGACCGTCTCCAAGTCCGGCGTGGTGTCGAGCCAGCTGCTGGACAACCCGCCGCCGAGCTGCTCGCTCGAGGCCAACGTCGATTACGTGGACAACGACCTCGCCAACGTGGGCGGTGCCAAGGTAGCCGACTGCTGCGATAAGTGCCGCGCCTACACTGGCTGCCACGCGTTCTCGTGGTCGAACTACAACGGAGGCACCTGCTGGCTCAAGAGCAAGAAGGGGTCTACCACCTCCAAGAGCGGCGTCACCTCGGCTGTCGTCTTCTAACCCGTTGACTCTTCCCCATGCACGGCGAACCTCCACCGGGAGGTACTACATCCATTGATTCACGCATTCTCTCTGTTTTCTTCTCTTCTAAGTCATGCCGTGCCAGTCTGCCTATCCGATTCAAGCAACAACATGTAGTGCACCGAGAGCTCTGGATCGAGTCGAGTCGAGTACTGTAGCTAGTTCAGACTTCAACTTGCACTCCGATTACCAATGGGAAAACATTTGCCTTCCACATCATTGTCTCGTCACATTTCGATCTTCCTCGTCCTTAATCCACCGAAACACTCAAATGAGAGGGCTCAGTACTCTAGCAATGCGGTTTATAGCTAGCATTCAGAACAAAATGCAGCATCGAAGATAACTTTCCCCACTATCGCAACACACCCAAACACAAGCAAAACGGTAATTGTCCAGCTAAGTACGATTAGAAGAGCTTTAAATTTGTGATGTGTGCCACACACTCGAACCGTGATTGCTTCCGATCACTCTCTCTCTTTATCGCGGTGTCATGCTCCGCTCCGACGCCTTCCGCTCCGACCGCGGACTGGGCAAGGTGGCGCTGGCGGCGTTCGGGCTGGGCGTGTTCATGACTCTGCACGTGTCGCTGCTGCTCTACACGGAGTTTGTGGCGCTCAGCGGCAGCGCGGGCGACGCTACGGCCTCCGCGCGCTGGCGGTGCGTGGAGCAGTGGAGTCTCTACGCGTTGGCGCTGGGCTTCTTCCACCTCATGGAGTTCATGCTGACGGCCGCGTATCGGCCGGCGAATGTCAGTTACGAGTGTACGTTACGAACCGCCAACTGCAATCACTTAACCATCGGCAACATGTTGCAATTTCCAACAAGTTTCCCTTAACCGTGTTGCCATGTTTTTTTTCTGTTGCCTTTGCAGCGTTCCTACTTAACCACAGTCAGGAGTACCACTTGGCTGTGCTGTTCAGCTGCGTGGAGTTCTGGCTCGAGCTGTACTTCGTGCCCAGCTGGAAGCTGCACGCCCTGGTTCGTCCCGTGGGGATTGCTCTCGTCGTCGTGGGCCAATACTTCCGGATCTCGGCCATGAGCACCGCTGCCAGCAACTTTTCCCACAGGATCGAGTACCTCAAGAGGAAAGAGCACAAACTGGTCACGCACGGAGTGTACCGCTTCATTCGCCATCCGAGCTACCTGGGCTGGTTCTGGTGGATTGTGGGCAGCCAGATCCTGCTCGGAAACCCGTTGTGTGCCGTGGGCTACTCTCTCGTGGCTTGGAGCTTCTTCCACGACCGCATCCCGTGCGTCGCTGTTGCTTTAGCATTGAGGTGGTGGGTATCATTGTTTTTCTAACACTTTATTGGCGATGGTAGGTATGAGGAACAACTGCTGCTCGCCTTCTTCCCGGACGAGTACCCGGCGTACAAGGCTCGCACTATTAGCGGCATCCCATTTGTATGAGAAATCGCGCGTGGTGACGCAAATGAAAGCAAACGAAAGAATAGGACAGATGGAAAGTTTAGAGACCAACAGTAGAAAATGGTCGATGGATGACAAAACACAGTGCACATTCTCTTCATTTCTTGGCCTTGTTCTTCTTTTTCTTCTTGGTCTTGCTCCTTGACGAGTCCGATTCAGAATCCGCAGACTGTTGAGCAGACGAAGACTTGGCTTGCGGCAACTGCAAACCTGTTTCCACTGCAAACAATTCCACGTTAACACCACCATTAAACGTAAACCACGAATCAAACTGTACGCACCGTAGTCATGGTCGATGTTGCCCACCGCTCCTTTTGCACTCCATTGCTTGGCCGCCGCACTCAATCTCCCGGTATCACTGTACTCCAGGTCCGCGACCAGCCTCGTCTTGCGCAACACTTCGTGCTCGAACATTGCCAGCACGGTCTCCATCCATTCCTGCAACTGCAAGGGGAAAGTTACCGCTGCCATTTCATCTGCAACTGTTGCCGCACTTCCCCCTTCAATGAGCGCGTCATCCACCAGCGTCGCACACTCGTTCGAAAACGAGCGGAGGTGACGAAGCAGGTCTTGGTAGTCGCGCAGGATGTCGGTTAAGAACCCCCTGCTTTTCTCTAAAGCCAAGAAGTGTTTCTGAAGCAACAGCGCCTGTGTGTTGCGAGAGTAACTTAACACTCCCATAACCTCCGAGTTGCCGTCGACGTCGTCATCGCTGGGGCCACTGACATTTGAGCTGCCAGTTGGCAACAGCGTCGGCACTCTCTGGCTCACGTTAGCCAGCGACGACAGCACTTGGGAGCCCTCCGGCTCGAGCTTGGCGCTGCGTGCCACCTGCGCCAGTCGTTTAGAGAATGCAACAGGCAGCGAGGAATGGATAAGATGGCGAAACAGCGAGGTTAGAGAGGGGGTATGGATGGATTGCGTAACAAGGCGTTAGAGAGTTTGGCTAACCTCGGCCAAGAAGAGCTTGTGCAGCTTTAGACACTTCTTTAGCGTTGTTGCCATCGCCAACTGCGAGTCATAAACGCACCAAGTGAACTCCGCCTATTTCCGATTGTAGCCATGTTTCCAGGTAAGAATATGACTACACATCTGGCATGATCTTTTTGGGTTTCTTTTGCGCCAGAATTGGCAGAATACATGCAAACCCTGGAGTCTTGGGCAAACATGCATCGCACGGCTTCTAACGCTGAAATGAACACTACATACTGCGAAGCTATGCCAGAAATTCTCCGAAAACAAGCGACCGAAAGGTAGCGGATATCAAATCACAAATGTATCCTGCTCATGGGTGTGGATTTTGTATTGCCCCCGATACTAAACGCTTTTGCCCTAACTTACGTAATTCAATGCCAAGAACTTACGCCAGCGACATGTTGCTTGCGAACCGTTTGTCTGCTTTGTTGCGGTTGCCACTCCCCCACCTTTCATTCTTCGATTTACCGTCTCAAGCTAAAGCGACAAAAGAAACCAAGCATGGCGTTCTTCAAGAGCGGTGCCGGCTGACTGCTCTGAGAGCTCCGCTCACAGAGCTGACGAGGCGGCGATCGCCGACCGGAAGCCAGCTGCTGACTATCTTGGCAACACCGAGGCTCCATCTCCCTCGGAGGACGTCGAGATGGGAGAAGTCAACTCTGACCCCGCACGGAAGGACCAAGTGGAAGAGCTGGCTGAGGCCGACTCTAGCCCTGACGTATTTCACGATGTGCATAGTCCATCCTCTGAAACACAACTATCAGCTGACCCATATTGGCACCAGGCCTCGCCGGTGACGCCTCAGCCGTTGGACGCTGATGAGTTTGTCGGCGAGACGCTTACGTCACATCCCGAGTCCGACGATGACAGCGATGGGTTTGAATTCGAAAAGGTCGTTGCCTCCGACGAAGACCACCGCCGGAGCTATCTCGAATGGATAGGGAGCCTGCATGGTGTGCTCGTCTCCGTCCATGCTAATGGACAGTGCTTGTTCCTCGCTCTCTACGCGACAGTCAAAAACACCCCGGCAGCGTCGCTCTCCATGACGCCTGCGGTGGTTGCTGAAGCGAATCTCGTCAAGCAGAGAGTCATTGACCTAGTCCTCGCGAACCTACGCTACGATGTCCAATTGAATCTAGTCGGCCCGCGCAGGGAGCTCCGCCGATTGTATCCTGGCGAAGAGCTTCCACGCTCCGACAAAGCGGCGGCAGCAGCGCTATATGCTCATTACGCGAAAATGAGAGCCGTCTCGGTCGCCGACAAGATGCCCCAAGCATTTTGGGAGGGCCCTCACGTCCTTCGCGCCATGGCTGTCTACCTGCGCGAGCCCGTTTACGTGTGGGATGTCGCCCCCGACGACACAGCCCACGCCCAACAGTACACGTACAAACTGTTTGACATGAACAATGGTGGCCGACACGAAACCGGGGTTGTTGAGATACTCACCGATGACCGAATCCGAGATATCCTCGAGGAAAGCTTCAACCAGCGAGTCATACCGACCATGCTGCTACTCAAGCACACGGAAGGACACTTCTACGGCGTCCAGCACGGCCCAACGTTCCATGCGTGGCATGCACAACGCGGCCCTGCCATGCGAGAACGCCTCGACACGGTTCACCGCCATGTTGGTCTTCCTGTCCTCAAGTCGGACGGCTACGACCCAGAGTCGATCACAGAAGAGGCGGCACTCGAGGAACAAGCACTGTTGGAGGAGATGGGGGTGGACTTCTACGCGAGTGGCTCGCAGGAAAGCGCGGTCCCGGACCTACCCACGGCTGACACAGTCTGCAGGATCAACCCGGGACCCAACACTACAGTCCATCGCGACATTTATGAGCGCCTGCTGCGCACGGCGGATCCGAGCACCATGGACGCGATTGATGGACGTTTCGCAACGCGGCTTCATCGCGAAAACGACAGCGCTTTTGACACCTGGGTTATCACGGTGGGTCGACAGTACGGTGTTCCGCGGGCGGAGGAAGGGCAGCGTCCATGGCTGGGACAACCGGACTGGCTGTGTGAACATCCGAAGGCGCTCCACCATGTGCTTGCTTTCTTACCGTTCCCCGAGCTAGCGGCCCAAAGCTTCTCAAAGGACCAACTCGCTCGCTGGGGTGAACGGGAAGTATACATGCACCAGATACTGACGCTGGAACGGATTTGGGCGGACGATGAAAGTGATGACAGAGCCCGCGAGCTATGCTCGGCTTGGCTGAAACGGTGTCGCCAAGCGGCTCCGCCGGATGCGTTTGAGCTCGCTAGCGATCGTTCCGACTGGGCGGCACTAGGAGAACTGGTGGATGCTTCGCTTTTACGGCTGCGCCCGCTGCATATTTCCCTGGAGCATTGATTCATACTGCACGTGCTCCCCTACGCGATCACCGACTGGAAGGATACGCCCATGGGCAGAGCACCGATCAGTGCCATGGCGCTATGGTATACGGAGTACACGCAGATCCAACAACTATGCACGGATATTGCAGACAACCGCGATTGGAGCAAGGCGGTCATGAGCAACGCAGTCGGAGTCCTCCCCAGCAGCAGTCATCGAGACTGCCACTGGGCCTGACTCTGCTGCGCGCAGGAATTAAGAGCGGCCCGGCCGTCCAACCTCGTGGTGGTCTTGAGCAAACCACCATTGGGGATTATTACCCTGTTCAGACTCAGTCAGAACGGGACAGCTCGCTACGCAGGGAGTTCCTCCGACACCGGCGCCAACACTTGCACAGTCGCCACCAGGCGGGTACAAAACGGAGCCGGGGTCGCAGCAGCCCTCAGCACAATACCCTCCACGACGGCGAAGTCATCATCGGTCTGTTAAGCCAAAATGTGCGGGGGTTCGGACGTACTTCGGACGATCGGTCGCTCTGGCTCTCGTCTTTCAAGCGTCGACATGATCACGGGCAGCTCGACGTAGTCTTTCTGCAGGAAACACATGTGACCAAGGAGGAAGGCTCGAAGGTCACTCGCGATCACGCTCAACAGTGGGGTTTCAGGATTGGAGACGGGTGCCTGACGCTCTCGCTCTGGTCACCGGGATCTAGCTCTGCCGCGGGTGTGGGCATTCTCGTACACCCCAACAGTCGGCTTCAATCGGTCAAGCCACTCATGGAGCAGCTCTGGACGCCGAATTTCATGGCTGCGACTGCGACTTTGGACAGGGAGGTTTACCTCTTCAACATCTATGCGCCGACAGCAGTGCCCCTGCCCGAGAAGTTTTACGAGTCCCTAGCTCAAATTACCATACCAGCCGGTACCCCGATCTTCGTAGGCGGGGACTTCAACTGCACGCAAAACGGAGTCCAAGATCGATCATACGAACCTACAGCAAACAGTCACTCCTCGGAGGCTTTTGCTACTCTGGTAAAGCGCTGGCGCCTACACGACAGCCTGGGCAACGCTCTTCCGGACCCGACAGATCCCACCGCTCTAGCCCGGTTTCGTGATGAACAGCATACCCATCGATACACCGTGCACGCAGGAAAGCCGGCCACCAGCCGCCTCGACCGCTGGTATGCCAACGATCTCGCTCGGCCCTGGATGGCAGCAACTCAGGTCGACCGAGACGGTCCCACTCCGATCATAAAGGTGTTCTCCTTCATCTGAGGTCGCCGTCCAACCCTCTCCGCATCCACAAGGAGCGAAGAGTATTCCCTGTACCGGCCTACGCCCAGAAGAGGGCGGATGACGCGGTCCTCGCGGAACTTGCGGCGCTGCGGCGCACCTTGGACACGGGGGCGTTGACGGCTTTACAATCGGCGGAACTGTGGGATCTACCAAACATCGCATAGCCATCGCGCTGCTAAATGCAACGAAAGCGGCTCGGCGCAGCAAGAAAAACACGTATCGCAAAAAAATCAAGCGGCTGTACCGACAGTTTGATCGAGTCTCCGTTGCCGCTAGACTGTTCCATGGCGATGCAGGCGGTCAGCAAGCCATCCACAGCAGCTCACGGAGACGATTGCGACTACTAAGCGTGACTGGGTTCGGACCAAGTCGCAACGTTTGTTCAGTTCGCACACGTGGCGAGAAGGGAAAACGACGAAGCAATTCTTCAAGCGGATATCCTGTAGATTCGGTGATAACATCATTCCGTCCCTACGCAGGTCCTCGGGGCAGCCAGTGACGGACCCACAGGGCAAAGCGGATACTCTGGCAGAGGCTTGGACCCCAATTATGCTTGGTGAAGAGACTGCAGCACTCGACGTGGAGAACGTGGCGCAATGGTTGGAGCCGGGCGACATGCCATTCTTGCTGACTCAGCGATGATCACAGAAGCAACTGTTGGTGCTGCCCTCCGGGATTGCAAGGCAGACAAAGCGTGTGGTCCTGACAAACTGGGCAATGACTGGTACCGTGCCTATGAGAGCGTTCTAGTGCCAATCCTGACGAGGCTCTACACGCAGTGGTACGACGCGGAAGTCTTCCCGGCCTCCTTCGTCGAGGCCAACATCTTTTGTCTGAAGAAGAGCGGAGATGGCGGCGATCCCCTGAACTACAGGCCGCTCGCCTTGCTGAATACGGATTATAAGATCCTTACCAGGCTGCTGACGACGCAAGCCCGGAAAACGCTCGCCGCAAGGATCAGTTTCTTTCAGACTGGTTTTGTGCCGGGGAGATCTACACACACCACGATCGACTACCTTCGAGCGGCTCAGTGGATGGCCCATAGTTCCGAAGACGATCGTAACGCGTTGGCACTACTTCTCGATTTTGCGAAGGCCTATGACTCTCTGGACAGACGATTCTTGTACGCGATTCTAAGACGCCACGGATACCCACCACGCTTTGTTCAGGTGATCGAGAAACTACATACCGACACTACGGTGCAGTTTCTCGCCAATGGCACCCGCTCGCGCAAGGTGACGGTAACTAGGGGCATCCGGCAAGGCTGCCCGCTTGCGCCATTGCTGTTTATCCTCGCTCTTGAGCCGCTCTACCGCCGATTGGGTAAGGGCCTGGCTCACCAGGGGATCCTGCTCACCACGAAGACGACAAGGACGGCGCTACGCGTCGCTGAGTACGCTGATGACACCGCCATTTATTTGAAGGGGCCGGAGGAACTGGAGGCTGCACTGGCCACAGTTCAGGAGTTTAGTGAAGCTTCTGGTCTTCGCCTAAATTGCAGCAAGACAGTCGCGATCGCGTTACACTCTGACGGGCTCAGCCCGGACGTCTCCTGGAATTCGGCCATCCAGTTGACGCCTGCTGCCGATACCTGGGAATACAGGCTGGGAGCCGAGCCGAGGCCAACCACTCGTGGCAAGCCGCAGGCGCACAGCTCCAGGCCCGTATCCGACTCGCATGCCACCGCACGCTCACGGTGGACCAACGATCCACGATAGCAGCCGCGGTTATCATCCCCAAGCTGCTGTTTATAGGGCGTCATGCCTGGCCAACCACGGACATGGTCAAGGCGTACTCGAAGTGTATACGGAACTTCGTACTACACGGTCAATTTACTGAGAGTGTGGAGGGCGCCACGTTGTGGCTCGCAGCGGCTATTACCCGCCTTCCCCGACGTGAAGGTGGGGTCGCGATTCCCGACCTCAGAGCAGAACTGCTCTCTATGGCGGACACAACTATCTCCGAGTGGGCGCTCTCTGGATCAATTCTCGATCACATGCTAGGAGATATCCTGTACGCCAACATCGCGACAACGGCCGCATCCCCGATTTACATAACCCCGAGTGTCAGCACTCAGTCTCTGCGGGGCTTTCGTGCCGGGCAGACAATGTGGAAGGCTGGTGCTGGAATGGTTCATCGCGCGGGCCTCCCTCAGCTGTCGCCTCGACACGAGGCCACCGTGAAGGAGCTTTACGAAATTGCGGATGTGGCCTTGCCAGCCGTATTGAGCTGGGATGGTGATCAATGCGAGCTTAATGTGCTGAGTCTAGCGGGCGGGGACACGGCCAGTCCGCGCCACGCTATACGCAGTGCGGGGGGACAGCCTTGCCTCGAGTGGCTGCCCTACGCTGAGATCCGGCACATATTCCAGGTGTCACCTCCTGCTTCGCTGGGATATGGACCACTCGCCACCAGAACGACAACGCTTGGACGCCTACTACAGCATGTTGTCAGTTGGAGACACATCAGTACGGGACGGCTAATACTGCGCAAGGATTCGCGCGTCGAGGGAGATAAGATTCGTCGCTTACTACTGGACCTAATGGCGCACTATCCAGAGCTTGTCTACGCCTCAAGCTGCGCCCCCGAGCTGAGAGTAAGTGCGCTGCCCGTGCAACATCCCCTGGTTGTCCAGGCTCCCAGCAATCAGGACAATGGGATCACTGTGAGCATCGACGTGGCGAGCTCGGTGGCTGGCCCGCTGTACACGATTGTTGCTGCTTCAAGACTGGACACAACCCGGGCCCTTAATGACTTCGCCGGAAAAGAAGTGAACGTTCGCCATCTTCACCCACATCCCTAGCTGGACAGGATGGTATGTCTATGGGCGGGTCGGCGGAGCTGAAAACGAGCACGTCACGTCTACAAACTGGCCGTAACTGCTACGACCAGACGACATGGCAAACGCAATGTGTCAGGACGGAGCGCAGCGTGGCTCCAAGATCACCCTCAAATTGCTCAGGCACTTGCTCACGTCACGTGGCGAGATATCCGACGCATCACAGGGGTCACGGGCTGGGGCGAGCAGGTCCTGTACCGTCTAAAACTACAAGCTTTTACCTGGTGGGATTCGACGCGTAAGGTGCCTGGGTGTCCGGTCGAGGAATGCTTGCAACGGGACGTGAACACGTGCCACACTTTCTGGACGTGTGCGGGAGCTACTACACTCTGGGATGTGTTTTATGTCCCATGGACAGCCCTGGGGGTCGGAACAACGGGTGCCAGGATCTCGTCCACTTTTCGACTTCGACTCGAGACCGTACCACCCGGTATCTGGACGCTACTGGATGCCGTGTATCGTCATGAGCCCGAAGGCACGCGTGAAGCCATTCGGGGGCACATTTACACCATACTCAACCTCTGCTGGCGGCTTGGAGTGGTGACCACGTTGCAAGGGATTTGGCGGAGAAGGTGCTTATATCGCGATCCGAGGGAGGACGCGTCATTGAAACGGGCGGCTGCCGTCCTACATGGACGCCTTCGTTCCGCATACCTAACCGTTCGGATCCACTCTACGTCCACAACGGCTAGTCCGCACCAAGGGGCGGCTGCACGGATTTGCCATCTCGCGCTCACTTCGCCATCCCCGGAGACGCAGAGCCTGCCGCGCCCCGCTCAGACTTCACAGTACACCCTGCTCTACTTTGATGGCGGGGCTCGTGGAAACCCCGGCCCTGCTGGCGCGGGGACCGTGATCCTACAACTTGGCGGCGCAAGCCTCCAGCCCGCCGTCCTCTGGCTGGCCAGCGTTTCCCACGTGTCGAAGACCACGAACAACGTCGCTGAATATCGCGCTCTCCTTAACGGCCTGCATTATGCGGTACGGCACTCAATGCTGGGATTGCATATTGTTGGCGACAGCAATCTCATCCTAACACAATTGCAGAAGCGACGGGTACCAAGGGCTCGTCACTTACAAGGGCTTTACGGACAGTGCCGGATACTGGCGGACCGACTGATGGTGTCTTCATGGTCACATCACCTGCGGCACTTCAACAAAACAGCGGACGGCCTAGCAAACATTGCTATGGACACCAAACAAAGCAAGCAGGCGACGGCGGAAGATATCTCCCGCTTACCGCCGCAGTGGACAACCGTACTCGAGTCCCTCCAAGCGGACGTTGAGCACTGGATGGACACCAACCCGGATCGGGAGGGCATTGGCTGGGCCTCCCCTCGCACTGGCGCACCGTAACACGTGTGCATCTACTGCCACCCTTTGGGCGTAGGCAGCACACCCTCCAACGATCCTTAAGCGCGGGAGGGCCGGGCATTTACTAGGTCGTTAGCTAGCCTAAATGACTGTAATGTACCTCAACTTAAAGCGATGGCGTTCTTCAAGAGTCTTGCTATTATAACCACCTCGAGCGTATCGAAAATCTTCCCCGGAAAGACGCCACACAAACATACTTTGTTCATACTACGTAGAACGAGGGAAGACACCAGAAAACTGTTGGTAAACGTAAGGCTCAAGCCGCAAGTCCATCTCAGGAGGGACCTTATGTGCCCGAGACCTTGAGCTCAATTACGGATCCCTATTTAACTGAATTGTCTTCTGAAACTATCGCTGACGGGGATCGCGTCAGTTCGAACGGTTCTCGCTGTATTTCAGAAGCACTTCGAAATAATCAATCGGGTGGCCCAGCCTCCTGTGTGGGCACAATCGAATTGTTGCGTTCGTGTTCAGTAAAAAGATTCATTACTGCATAGTAGTTGTCGAACTCGTTGCGATTGTTGGCGCTTGCTGTATGAAGTTTTCGGGCCATGAGGCCGTCATTGATCACCACCTACTCCAGCCGGCGTCGACGTGGCTTCCGGATGGGTTAGGGGGATTTTCGCGGTTGAACGGAGATTCGTGCTCCTTTCTCGAAGCCGCGTTGACTTCAGTCACACCCAGAACGACGATGACAGCGATGATGAGGCATTAAATCAAGTTTCTGTCGACGTATGGTGTCTTCTGCTGAAAATGCGTGATCGTGATTGGAATGGCTCAGGTCGCTGACGCCTCCAGGATCGGAGGCCGCGGCCACTACGACCGCATGGCCCCGCAGAAGTAAAGCGTCGAGTCTATCAAGAACCTGGTCTCCTTCTTCTAAGCCGAGGTCGTCGTGCTAATTTGACTCGAGTCAGCCAGCACCGCTTCGGAAACATCAAGTCATGTCCATGTTGGGCGAGTCACTGGTATCGCTGGTGCCGAACCTTGACAAGCTAAACACTAAACATATTTTTTTGTTCACACGCTCGCATTGTTGTTTGTGGTCTATAATAGCAGCCATGTTTCTCGTTCCACTATATGCGCAGGTGATTTTGATTTAGCAATGTCTTCAGATAAAAACAATTCTAAAAAGTTGTCGATCCTGAAAATGCAAAAAAGTGATGCTGATCTTTGAGGGTAGTGATGAGCCTTCTCAAAGAAGGTGGTGTCTCCAAACGGATGTTCGGCGAGGAATCATCACGGGGCATACGTACAGCGCCTTTTACAATATAATGCTGCGCAGTGGAGTCATTAGGGCCCCCCTGTGCTGTCTGAAGTCGCTGCGTGTTACCCCTTTGCCGATATAAACTGCTGAAAGCTGCTGCTTGCTGGTAATGCATGTGCAGTCTCTTGTTTCACTAGCATGACTAGGCGTTTGCTGCTGCAACAGCAACTCGGTCGACAATACCTTCGCGCAGTGATTGGAAAAATGTATTGGCAAGGATTGCAACTGTACCGTACCATTGCAATATAGACGCCAATGTTACCACCCGATACAATCGTGTCTTGCAATATTGCCTAAGCTTCCAATCTAGTATTGCAATGCCCATCGCTATCCAATACTGGTATTGTATTTTTCACATCAGCTGGTTACCGGCTAACAGTTGCTAACTAGACTACCCCGATTTGTCAAAACGTAAGTAGATAGAGAACCTATTTTAATAGTATTAAAATACTAGTAAGTAGGTGAAAATAAGCATCCGGAACGGTCTAAAATAAGAATATGAGCGATTATAGAACAAACTCGGAGTCATTAAGCACATACATTTACGTAGGAAAGTGGGGTTTCCTCGACCACTGGGTCCAGCGTTGAGCTACTGCAACCCTTCTTCGCCTTAATCTTCTGTTGGCAGCACTATTGCCACCGTGATCAGCACATGGCTCGTGACATAGACGTTCACGGCATGCGCAGTCTCATGTCCTTTGGATCATGGACCGAACCATGCGGTCCACGTTGGATACAATGCTGCATATGAAATGACTGTCCCAACTACTGTAGTGCAACTCAGAAGAAGTTTTGCAGGTGTAAAAAAAAGATTTGAATGATTTTTATTAAAGTGAATAAACTTTAGTTATATCTTTTCTAACTTAATTAAAAGGGACTCATACTTCAGCGGAACAATGTTGTATTTGATGGTTACAAAAGTGCGTGTTGGTCTGTACGTGGTGTACCCTGCAAACATGTTAGTATTTTTTTCAGCACACTAAGTCACTGTAAGTGCTGTTTGCAAACGGGGTTGTATGATCGCTACTATATCACTATGTCCAATTATGGCTCCTCAAGGGAAGGGCGCGAAACAGGTCATATACAGGCCAGGTCAGCTTTGATCATGTTGTAAAATCAACTGATGCCACCCATATGGATAAACCAAATGTTGATTTGCAGCGACATCTGGTACAAAGTTAGTATTAAAGTGCGATATGTACACAATAGCTGTTGAAAAGTAACTTCGTACCCTTTGGCTAGCATAACGGACGCAAAAGCGGTGGTTTTGGTTTTGTCTTGCAAAGGACACCAACCATTCCGATTTGAGCGGACTTCTCGAATGGTGCATCGTTTGACGACGCCACGCTCTACCAGAGAGCCCCCCCCCTGGCCGTGGCCATCCTACGCGTGGTCCCTCTAGGCGAAGTCGACGCTGGGCTCGGCGGAACGGTGGTGTAAATGATGGTACGGTGGCGCCACGTTTCCACCATGATATGATCTTTCACTCAATCTTGTTTGCCGTTCTCCTATACATGCAGATGATCACGAACCTTCTTCTTTACAGGTTCCAGTTCAGGGAGCCCAGGACTCATCAGTTCGACCGAATGCAGTTCCTGCAACTTCACTATTCAGTGTCTCTTTCTTGCTGAATCCGGCCCCAACACCTACTGACCAGCTGCAGTTGGCCAACGAAAATACCCACCTCGAGCAAGACACTTGTGATGAAGACTTTGAATTTCGATTCTCTGAACCTGACACAAGTGACCACAGCGCATCGGGCACGAATATCAGTTGGGATCCTATCGCTGCTGCAACCCACATCGAACACGACATTCCAACTGGTGAAGATACATCTTCCGTAGGCGAGACCTCTCTGGGACGTGCGCCAACGGAACCTTCAGACGCTACCCAGTCTAATCGCAGAACGGGTCGAACGAATCGATGGGTGGCAGGCTACAAGTACACCCAATCCAATCGGTACTCTTCAAAGGTTGCGTATCGGTGCAGTCATTACTGCGCAGGGCGAGGGTGTCCAGGGAGATGTGACTTCGTTTTCAGACTCCAGCGCTACACTAATTTTGTCCCTCATACATGTGGAATGTCGGCGAATGCATCGGAGGGTCATACTGTGACGGGAACGAGAGATGTTTAAGCAGAAATGAAGAGGGAGGTTGACACCATGGCTGTGACAATGACAGCAAGTCGCTCGGCTATTTGGGAGATGGTACGGGCGAAGTTCTTCGGAAACGCTGAGTTGAACGTGGCCATTGTTGGGCTTTCGAGGGAGTATGTGCTCCGCCGTGTAAACCGGGTTAGAGCAGAAGAGTTTGGTGGATCAATCTACGGGCAGATAGAGGTTTCGCCGTGGTCGCAAGTACTTGATGAGAGTGGACTTCCAACCGAAACAAACTTTCATCTTTTTCATTACTCATACTACGACAAGTCGAAGAAATCGCGCGAGCGCCTTCTGGGGTGGGGGCATCCGGTGCTACTGAACATGCTAAAACAGAAGAAAACCTCTCTTTTTGTGGACGGAACATATCGATCTGTGCCGTCGAAATTCAAGCAATTCTTCGTCATCACAACGCATGATCGACCGACAGATATCTACTGCCCGTGTGTGTTCGTGTTGTGTACGTCCAAGACGTATGCTATGTACTTCCATGCAATCCGACTAATCCAAGATGCAACCGATGGGGCAATGGATCCTGAGTTTGTTTATTGTGATTTTGAGGCGGGTATGATTCGGGCTATTGGTGACCACTTCCCGGACGCTACTCGGATTGGGTGCTTATTTCATTTTAAGCAAGCGTGTCGTCGGCGCATGAAGAAATATCGAATTCCTGATAAAGAAGCCAAGATGGCGATGAAGCGTGGTGTACTGGACATGTTGACTGTAATCCCACAGAACCAAGTAGAAAAACAGGGTGTTGCTTGGGTGAAGGGGACGATTATGACGAGGTGTGAGGCAGCACACACTTCGTACTCCTCAGAAAAGTGGCTGAAGTTCTGGAAGTATTTCTACCGTACGTGGATCGTGAAATTTCCCCCTATGTTGTGGAACATCCAACCATTCACCAGTGATGCTATCAGCCGCACCAACAACCCGTTAGAAAGGTTCAACAGAGAAATGCACGGGGTGTTTTCTGGAGCTCATACGAATTTACCTGATTTCGTGGCTGGGATTGAAAAATTGGCGCGGCGAGCTGTGAATTTCAAGTTCGATATCAAAATGGGCCGTGCTCGTCAGCCAGCCCGTCCACCGATACTGTTCCCCCGACCTATTATTTTTCCGGAAGTCCAATCCACTTCGGATAACGAAGATGCAACAGAGATTTGACCGACGACTCCAGCGATGAGGAGCCATTCTGTTTGCGCAACACGCGTAGGCGTGTGGTCACAATGCAGACAACGCAAGACCGGGCATCACCACCTGTAACACAAGGTGCCTTCCCTGATTCAGCTGATCAAGACCAAAATACGCGTGTGACGGAAGCGGAAATTGAAACTCGAGAAGGTACGCAGCCCCAGAGGTAGAGGCGGACGGGGAAGGGGAGGCCGAGGGAAACGCGGCGGTCGTGGCGGTCGTGGTAAGAAAAGCGGTGGAAGTGGAACCAAGCGCAAAAGCGGTTCGTAACCAACTGAATTTCTGCATGGTTGTTTAACATACATAATGAATGGATTTTATTGGTATATTAAACTTTTGCTCGATGGAAAAGACTTTCAAAGAAAAGTTGCTGTCCGTCGATACCGTTGGTCTGTCCTAGAGGTTGTACTCCCCAAAGAAAGAATGGTTGGGGTCAAGAACCGCGTACGGCTGCACCGATTCCAACTCGGACTCACCAACCGCTTCTACGGCTGCCAAAGCAGTCGTGTGCGCGCGAAATGCGTTTGCAATTCTTGCCTCAGCGAACGCCGGGGAAGGGAGGTCTTCAGCGAAACGGGGCTGGGGGAAAGCCTAGTGGTCCCCAATGCGAATCGGAAAACGTCAGTTAGTCTTCTGGCGATTGATTCGTACGCTTCGGCGGCAGTTCCTGGTCGATCTCTGGCTCTAGACAGCAAGACGGCATGCTGGACCCAGGTTACCGTGGAATCAATAACCCCCGATAAGCTCCCCTCATTATAATGAGCGTCAAGACGAAGCATGCACTCCTTCCCCACAACTTCATGGAAGTTTGCCTGCGCTCGTTGTAGTCTAATGAGCTTCGATTGCAGCTCCGGATAGATAGTGCTGGTAGGGAGCACGTTCGTATCCGAGATATGATCCGATCCACCCGTGGGCTCTCCGTCAATCTCGGTGCTGCCGTCAGCGTCACACATGATTTCGTACCCAATTGTCGCCGCACTAGAGCTCATGTCTGAACTCGCGGTCGCTGTATCTTCCAGTGGTGTCTGCACCGAGAACGAGCTAGCGCCTCCTTCAAGGATATCCTCATCTTCGTTACGCCACACCGCAAGTCTCGTACGCTCGTCTAAGATTCCCTCGGTACCTGGAGGAAATGTGTCGTCAGGTGTCTGCTCCATTAACCGGCGTCGATCGTCGATAGTCAAGGCGGTCCACATACGGCGCAGGCGCACTCCCCCACTTCTCTTAATCCAATTAGAATCTTTGACCTTCTTCACTTCTGCGGGAAAGGTCTTACGCTTGGCTGCGCAAGCGCGAGCGTAGTCGTTTCCATTCGTCTCGGCAAAAAGCCATACCGCAGCATGCATCCGCATGCTGAAGAAAGGCGATGGAGGTCCCAGAGTGCGGCTTCGGAGATGAAAGTTGAGCTTTTCAGCGCATTAGAGCACTTATAGCATGTCATATTTAGAACTGGAGTTGCCTGTAGGCTACTTGAAAATTTAAAGAAAACTCCCCAGCGGAAGAAGTGCTTAGACTAGAGTAATTGCCTCGTGCTAGAGTATGCATAGTAATACACAAAAATCAATGATAGCAGCGATAATTTCTCTAGATTGAGTAAGTACCTCAGTCGGAGCATGTACCCAGCAGCATATGTAATAAAAACTATGTTGAGCACAGACAAGTATCTAGGCTGAAGTAATTACTTCGAGCCAAACGTATGTTTACTGTGATTGGAAACCATGTGAACGATACTCGCAAATCATACCGCAGACTGAGTATGTACCTCAGTCGGAGGGAATATCTCGCTTGGCGTAAGTACCCTGGTTTGAGCCAGTATACAGTGGTCAACATTAGTGCTTACAATCGCGACACACACACTTTCTAACAAAGATCAGTTTGGAGAATGTATTTTGTTTAGTGTGTAACTCAAGGCAATCTCTCAACCGACCGACGTATAAACTTTCTGATCCCAATCAACCTCAGTGAACAAAACACGCGGTCCAATTCACAGTACACGCAATGCTACACGGCGCAAAAATTGAATGCCATAGATCCAGTTCAAATCCATGGCAACAATCGGTACCGAGAACGCATTTTCGTCGAACACGAACTTGTCACCGTCTTTCACCATGATGGTCATGCATTGGCTGACGCGGAGAGAGTTAAACGCCCCCAAAATGTACACTCCATCGGGGATCTCGATCGCACTGACACAAGTCTCCCATTCACACTACCCAACAAATTGTTGTCCAACACGCAGACACTAAGCTCATGACACTCGCCTTGGGCGCGTTCGTTAGCAAACTTCACATAACGACGAAGCTCTCCGTAACTTAGCCCTTTTGGTGACAGCGGCCGGCCACGCTCCTCACAGTCCGCAACAAATGACTGCCATCACACCTACCTTGGTTATCGAGTATAGCACAGGCGACACCCAGGTCGTATATCGTACACACGCCTTGAGGGGAAGCTCCAATTTTATGCACGTGGCCATTGTCGGAGCAGAACTTGTAGAAATTGCCTTCCTCAGATGCCTTCCAGTCGTCCACAATATTGCAGGCATCTACAAAGCCATCGTGACGCAATGCGGACCCAGGCTCCCAGGTATCTTCCCACCTGTATCCTTTATCTTCATCTCGCCATTGAGCTCGATACCGATAACCTCGCCCTATGCTGACTCTGTCAACAATAGCAAAACCTTTTCCGGTGGTCGGAATGATGGCTGGTCGTTGCCCATTAGGTGTAGTTGACGTTGGGATCTGGTAATCAGCGCTCGAGGATACACGTTCTTGGTCCGTCTCCACGTCCGAGGCTCAAAGAGCATCAACGGAAGCTACTGCTCGACTGGACACGATAATGCTGTCGTCTGCATTGCCGGTCCGGCTGAGCTGGTGTCTCTTAATCACGTATCGTTGTAGCTCTTTAAACCTTCGCCATATACTGCCGAAGTTGACGAAAGCTGATTGTTGTCGGGGGTACGGAGGGAAGAGACTTTTGCTGCCGTCGGAATTGCACCGCCAGCTTCATACTAACCTTGACACGCTGTCGCTTCATCGACTCCCCAATTGTCCCTCTGCAACACGCATTAGCCGAGCTAGGAGAGCGAAGTAGCTGGTAGCGCGTCATGGTGTCGGTGGCAAGTGACAATTTCTGCAATTCAGAAGTGAACTCTACATCGATTGTAAATGAGGCGAGAAGGTGTACCAAAAGCTTCAATCGAGTCGTACTCAATCGATACTGAGGTCAAGTTGGCGCTATCGATCCATCCATTATCGCTAAGTATCATTCCGTAGAAATTTCCTTTGTATGACAGATTGGTGGGCTGCTACAGATACTTTCCTTAGCCAGTTGACTAACACATGACGATCACCATTGACTATGTCGGTCACCTGCTCCAGTCTTTGATTATTTTGGATTAGTCGCATCATGTGTGTACACATGACCTCGCATGACCTGACCTGCCTATGACCTGATAAAGAAGCTATCTTGGAAGGCTCCAACTGAAAACAACCAGAGGCAGAAGCCGACAAAGAAAAAGAAAATGAAAACGCGGACTACAAAAATGCCGTCGACGTCAGCGCTACGCGTGGGTGGGCAGCGGTTTTCTGTTAGCGGATCGACCTCAGCCTCGTGCAGCAGATATTTCCAGCATGGCTATTTCTCTGTCACGAGTGGAGAAACAAAATATATCACAAGTAAACAGTTCAAGCGTCTCCTTCGTAAGCCTCAAGACCTTGAATGCGTGTTTGTGATTCGTCCAGTGACGGAAAAAGAACAGACTGAATCGAAGAAAGCATACACGACCATTGATGACTATGATGGCCACCCTGTGTATGATGTCCTGGTGAAACACAATGACATGTTTCGGCGGAAGTTGCCCAGCGAGCTGCCACCTGAGTCCCATGGCGTGCATAAAATGGCAGTGGACACCACTAAACCAATTTTCCGCCAACAGTGGCGTCAGTCACCGGCGCAAGAACAAGTAAAAAGGGCATGGGTCGAAGAAATGCTTCGGGCAGGTCTGATACGACCATCGTCGTCCCCCCACGGGGCTCCGACATTTTGCGTCAAGAAACCCGTGGGGTGGAGGATTGTGCACGACTATCGGGCGATGAACAACCACACTGTGCGGCGAACGTTGCCAATGCCCAGAAAAGATGTCATTTACGAACGCATGCAAGGTGCGTATTGGTACAGCTGCATGGACCTCTTGAGTGGCTACTACCAGTTCAGAATGCGGGATGCAGATGTCAAATACACAGCGTTTCAAACAGCGGACGGACTTTACGAGTACTTTGTGATTCCAATGAGTCTGTCTAATGCGCCTGCTACGTTCAATGACGGAATACGAAGACTGCTGAAAGATTAGGCTGACTTTTGTCTTTCTTACTTTGACGACATTTACGATTTTACGCGAAGTCAACACCTGAATGAACATTTAGCTGCCTTGGATCGCGTTTTGACGAGACTAGAAGACAACAAGTTTTACGTCAAGTTGAGCAAGTGCGTGTTCTGTTCGCCTGAGATACCCTGTCTTGGTGACTATGTTGGTCGTGAAGGGGTCCGGATAGACCCTAAGAAGGTAGAAGTGCTGCGTGAGTGGCCACTGCCAGCTACGAAAAGTGAGTTGCAGTCATTCCTAGGGACTGCGAACTACGTTCAGCGTTTCTGCAAGGGCTTCGCTCATGATGCTGGCCCGCTGTTCGACATGTTGAAAACAAAAACAGCTACACCGAAGAAGACAAAGCTCGAGTGGACGAAAGAGCTGGTACGACACGTCAATAAACTCAAACAACGAATTTCGGCTACTCCGGTGTTACTATCGCCGACTTCAACAAGCCGTTCTTTATGCGAATGGACGCCAGTGATTTCGCGATTGGAGGTGTTCTTTATCAGTTGGAAGAGCACGATGGTCAAGTCGTGGAGCGCTCAGTAGCATTTCAAGGTCGTAAATACAAGGGTGCAGAGATGAACTACTCGATTAGGGAGAAAGAGCTGCTTGCGATATTGTATGGGCTGCGCGTGTGGCGCATTTACTTGCTCGACAAGCCGTTTGTGGTGGAGACCGACCACAAGTCGCTCGAAAATGTATTTTCGCAGAAGAGTATCTCTCGACGAATCGCACGCTGGTACGATGAACTGAGCGAGTATCCAGTCACGTTTAAGTACATACCCGGCCCATCGAATACTGTCGCCGACAGCATCTCGAGGCGCGCGGATTTTCAGGAACAACAGTCGCTTAATGCCATTATCGCGGCTTCTGAGGTGCACTCGCGGGTTAAGAAGGGCATGATTTCGCTGGTTGAGGAAGTCACTGAGCGATATATGGATGATCCTCACACTGCGATGATTGTACGTGCGTTGAAAGGAGATGCGTTGGCTACGACGGAGAAAGTCAAGTCCGTTGATGGCTATTCCCTTGATGGGAAAAAGTTGATGTACTGCGGGCCGAACGATGAAGCACCCCGGCTGGTGGTACCTGCTATTGACGAATTAATAAACGCAATTCTGTTCGAGTTTCACGATGTTGAGGTGTACGGACATCCCGGAATCGATCGGACAGTCCGATTAGTGGAGGTTCACTACACTGGAAACGGTATTTAGTCTCACTCATACTATTTTTGGTGTGGTTGTTTGTGCGGTTTTCACATATAATAGTGTGAGTGAGACTAAATTATGTGAGAAAACTTTATATGAGTGTCAGTATACCTGGTATTTTGTTATGAATTAGTCTCACTAAGACTATTTTCGAACTCATACTGATATTTCACACACACTAAATACCGTTTCCAGTGTACTATTGGCGGCACATGGTGAGGAGTGTTTGCGCCTATGTGAAGTCTTGCGAGACCAACGAACCAAAGCTAGGAACACGAAGCCGCCAGGATTGTTGCAGAGCCAACCTATCGCTCAAGGGCGTTGGACCCACGTGGCTATGGACTTTGTTGTGTCACTTCCAGCGACTCGTGACAAATTCGACTCTGTGCTCGTGGTCGTTGACCAGCTCACGAAGCGTGCGCCTTTTGTGGCATGTAGAGGTACTGCTACAGAGCGTGAAGTTGCTGAATTGTACCGTGACCGCATTTTCGTGCAGCATGGTGTTCCAATGGAGATTCTGTCGGACAGAGACCCAAAGTTCGCTGCTACTGTGTGGGCAACTCTATGCAGCATGCTGAGGACTCGACAAAAATTGACGAGCGCTTTTCGGCACCAAGCGAACGGTGTTACTGAGCGTCTCAACCAAACTATTGAGAACTTTTTGCGCGCAATTTCTAATGGCGCGTCGACCGATTGGAATTGCTACCTCTCCCTGGCATAGTTCGCCTACAACTCCAGATACCAGCAGTCGATTGGTATGACACCCTTCGAAGCCGATTTGGGTTATCTGCCGACGACACCGGCAAGTCTGCTAGCGCCACCGCAACAGGGGCGGAACGACAACGCCGTGCTCTGGGGAAGACGTTCCTCGAGCAACAGGCGGGTCGACTAGCTACCGTGCGCAGAGAGCTGCAGCAGCGTTCCGGCCGCATGAGCGACTATTACAACGACAACAGACCCGTGAAATCTTTTGAGGTCGGGGAGGAAGTACTGCTGTCAACCGAGAACCTCGCGAATTATCATGCTGGGACAACTAAAGCGAAATTGGGGGCTCGTTGGATTGGACCATACGTAATCCTCAGTCGGCTCGGGCATGACTACTACGAGTTGAAGCTGCCAAAAGGTATCAAATTCCATCCCGTGTTTCACACCAGCTATCTGAAGCCCTACGTGCGCAGCACATCGCGAGAGCAACAACCATTCAAAGTGCAGCTGCCAGATGGTACCGAAGGAGAATTAGTTGACGACATCGTCGGGCACAAGCGCATCAAAGGCAAGGACTACTACGAGGTCAAGTGGACCGGGAAAAGCAAGACTACATGGGAACCTCTGTCCAATTTGAAGTTCGTGGGCGACCTGATCACTCGCTACCGCGAACGAACGAACACGCGGAGGGCTTCTCTTCGGGGACGGAATGTCACGAGCTTCTTCAGGAGCTCGTGAGCAAGAGCCAGTCACTGACCAAAAGAACAGAGCGAGAATTAGCTTAGTGACCAGTGTAGCCGTTGCGAGTAGGGATGCATGTTTAAGATAGTACGGCTAGCAAAACGTTATCAGCAGGAATAGCCGCTGGGCTCATTCTGGAATCTAAACCAAGAAATAAAGTCGACGGCCAAGCAGACGTGGACCAACCACATCGGTGGCCTCGGGAGGCAAGCTCGGGCACCTACACAGATCAACACTTACCATAATACGACAAATACAGTTTGCGTGTACCAAGAACCAAGGACTTCCTCTGCTTAAGTACTACCAAATCACATCTTCCGCTCACAAAGAGCAGGAAGATTGCGACACTGGCGGTATCCTTGTACACCAGAAGCACCACTCCGCGCCGCGCTCGTATATCTTCTTGCTCCACACCGGCAAGCACATGTCGAAGCATCCGAGCCACCTCAGGGTTGGCCCCCTCGTGCGCGTTGAAAAGTCCTCCCTCAGCCTCAGTGGAGGAATATCCAACATCCTAGAGTTGACGACGGGTCCGCGAATCTGAGCGTTCAAGCCCAAGCCAAGCCAGCACCGCCATGGACCCAGCCTCCTCCCGCCACTCCTGCGCTGAGCACGTTAGGTACACCGAGCGTCGACTTCGGCGTGAAGGCTGTGCTACGTCTCCTATTGGAGTTCAAAAACATATTTAAAAATCTTCCCTACAGACTGAAACGCGTACCAGTCTCGCGATGGCAATACATGGTGCGATTGCCGAGGTACGCGAAAAAGTGATGAACAACGTGCTCGTAGTCGAATGGCTCGACAGTATGGTACTATGAACTTGCGGGTAATTAGTTTTAAATTATGATATGCAACCTTTTACCCCTACCATGTCGGAAGAGTTAAACGAAAGAATGAACACCCATGTCTACCTGCGTCCCGGTTTTTTTTTTTTAAAAAAACACGACATCGTATTGGCATTTCCGTTTCAGCATGTAGTTTGTCTACAAATTGCAGCGCTTGGTTCATGTAAGCTGCAACTAGTCCTATTCCGTTGTCCTGATTGTGGATGCTGCAGCAGTCGGTCTTTGAATCGCTGGATAATACGTCACTATGGGAACTCTTCACCCACATTGACGTCCAAATAATGTTATGCTTCAAGTACCATCGCACCGTGAATATCGCCAAAACCCCATTCAAGAAACGTGGCAGCAACTACCCTAAGCGGCAGCATTGGGGTCCATTTTACTGATTTTTCTCGTTATTTTTGCAATATTTTTTGTTGGAAGAAAGTGTGCGGACTGGCGTGCGAGCCCTATCCAGAATGTGTTGCCAACATTCACCGATGGACGATCACCCAAAAGGCTCGTTAGTACAGTGCCTGAATTTAATCCTGATCATCGCGAAGTCGCTCCGAAAACGTACGCGGAGCGGAATACCCCCCCCCCCACACACACACACACGTAACCGATAAAGTGATCAAGACTGTATTTGACAGGATCAAGTGGTCCAGTTGGCCACTATCCCGAATACCAGGGATCTCGAGGGACTTGAACTGCTAAAGCGTTATCTACCACTACCTTCCGAAGAGCACCTAAAATGTGTATGATGTTGAGATCGAATAACAGTAAAGTGTCTCGATAAGGAACGCCTGATATGAATAGAAAGAAGAAGGTATATGCATGATTGAAGGTTTGTCTCGTCACTTCAAATTCCCCTATGTACTGATTTACCGGCACGTGATGGGTTGGAGCGTGGCGAAAGCACGACATATCTTGCTACGCACACACGGGAGGAAACCACTAGATCATGTGACATCGAGTCGATGTTCTTTCGCATGCCTGTGTGGACTCCGAATTGATCAGGCCGCCATCATGGCTAACCAAATAGTTAACGGGCAAGCGTCAAGCTAAAAGATGTAGCGGAGGATTCCTCCGCGACCTTTGAGTTAGCCACGAGGCTCGGTTCCTGAGCTCGGATTGCGAGAGGATGTGTGGAAGATGTGGGCGTTAGCTCCCTAAAACAGTACATCAGACAGACAGTGGGTACAAAAGGGGGATGATGACTTCCTGCAGAGTATAAAATGTAGCCCGTTCCTTATCGAGACACTTTACTGTATTACGAAGTACGTCTGTTTTCGTGGCACTAAATTTTTTAGTGCTCAGGTCTCTGCAATATACAAACACCGAGATGATGCCGACTTGGATCGACGGGCTCTCTGAACTGGAATTTCTGTACGTTCATCCATTTGGACGTTCGTTTTTTTTATTTAGATATCCAACCGCATGTAAACAGGAGTATAGAGCAAAGGCACGAGCCCGGTAGTCTCCATAGCCTGAGAACATAGTAACTATCGACACCTACACCTGCCCTTCCCTTCGTCTGAGCCAGTCCTGAGCCGTGTACAGTAATCTGACCGAGTAAGGAACGCCTGATATATATAAAGACGCAGAATATATAAATTGATGTTAAGTTGAGTATACTTTTCCAATGTACTGATTTAGTTATTTTGAAATGAACTGAAGAGCAGCTTTACCTACGAGTCCGGAATGATTCCAACAGTGGCGTATGGTCGAAGCACTAACCTTTGACCAGGCATTCTCGCACCACAACAGCGCTGTCAACTGGTCGACCTCGTAGGGATTATCTAGCCCTTCACCAAGCCGGTCTAGAGCCTGCATCATCTTGCGGGATAGAATGTGTCGCTTAATACAATGAATGATTCCTTGGTCCTTTCTCCAGCGGCCGCCCCAGCAGGACTGCACTTGACTTGATTATGCGGCATATCGTTGTCTTGCCTGGGGTGGCCGGGAGGCTGAACTCCGTCATAGCCCACTCAGCCAGGCCCCTGTAGGAGAGAGCAGGTGTGCGGGCTGCCTTGTCGAGGATGCCCACTTTCTCAGACCAAGTGAGGCGGAGACGCTTGGACGGTGTGGACTTCATGGGTGGAGTGGGGGAGGAGGTGGGCTTGTGGGGCGAGGTGCAAAAGCAAAAGTGCGAGTCTACCACTACGGTACATGTAGTTTGAAGTCTAGTAAGGTCGCTAAATGCGCGCCATATTTCAAACGAGGGTGGAGAGCTGATGATTGGCACTGGATTTTTCACCTCAGTACCTTGCAGTACCCTGCACATCCCCCTATCGCCACATCGACTGGAAAATAATATTAAATATGTGAGGCTATTAGTTGTACACCCGTTCCTTATTCGGGCAGAATTCTGTACTTTAGCTCGGTGTCCGGTGGCTAAGGTCAACCACAATCTGATCTACTCACGCAGATATGCAATTGGGTCGACCGCCTCGTTCCTCGTACAGACTCTGGGTCAGTTGGGATCGCCGGAGGTGTTTAGTGCTGTCCAGATTTCCTGCCACGGTGATCTCGCTCGCTCGCTCTATTTGTCACCTCTTGGGGCTGCTAATTACCTCTGTGCGGCTACAGAATTCTGGAACCGGGCTGCAATACCGGGGTTGCAACGCCGTGAGGCTGCAATACTCACTGTTCCTCCGAACCACCACAGACACGTAAGCGTCAATGCTCTCTCTGGTACGTATAACTACAGTCGTGTTACGGGTCACGTGCTGTCGCGACTTACACTCTCGTGCTTCGATCTTCGAGCGAGCAGTCGTGGTTGCTCAATGGCGTCCGGGCCGTTCCTGGGCTGCGCTTCTTCACGCTGTCGATCGCCACTGCCAAGCTCAGCGGTTGCTCGTTGGGGGTCGTCGCTCTAGAGTCTCTGGTGGACGCTCATTCCTGGTAGCCGTAGGTGTGCTGGCTGCTGCTCATCTCCGGGTCGTTGTCGTCGCCGGCGCTGATCTCACTGTGTCCGCTGTCCTCGCTGTCCGTGCCGTCCTCGTCGTCCTTGCAGTGCTCGCTGTACTTACCGCTCTTGTCGTCCTCGCCGCACTCGCTGCTCTTGTCCTCGCCTCCGTCAGCCCACCGGCCAATGGTAAATCCAGGTTTTTACTACATGATCGGATCGCTCACCTTTTTGCATCTCGCTGGGCTTTTTCACCATCGTTCTAAGGGCTCGTCCGCCTGAAGTCGCTGACTTTAGCCGCTTTCCTCTCACTGGAAGAGATAGACGAGGCTGCATATTTCTCATGAGCTATCAAGTTGTTTATTTTTCGTTGTGACACAACCAGCTTCTTTTTTTTCAGATCTCGTTGATAGCTTAAAATGTTGGAATCTGGTTCATCACCTTGGAATGAATACTGAGGCGGCACGAGCTACACATGCAAGGAAGACACTAGGGTGCCTTCCAGTGGCAGCACAACCCCCAGCCAAAGAAAGAAAGCCCAACACAAGAAGCATCGAAAGCACGAGATCGAGAATCTGCGGCACGTGGCGAGGGGTTTGTAGGAGCTCATGAATCGACTCAAGGCCAAGCAAAAAGTTGCAGCCATACCGGCCTGGAAGGGGGTCGCAGAGCAGCAGCTGAAGGAGCGAGTTCACGCAGAGGTGACGAACCAGAGTCTGCGGATAATGCTGGACGCGCAGCTCAACATGACCGCCGAGCTTGGAAAGCCGATGCAAACGCGTACGCGGCTTAAAGGCGAGTGTATGATCAAAGAAGAGGAACCCAAGAGCCTCGAAGCTCGGCTAGCCACGACGACAGACGACGACATCTTCGCGGACCAGTTAACGCACGTAGAACGCGCCCACCTTGACGTGGCCCAAGTGTTTGGCGGACCCGAGTTCGCAGGTCGAACCGCTTCTTTCTACGACTCACAGATGACGGTGCAGTCGACCTCAGACGCTGGCGTTGCGCTCGTGACTGATATTACCATTCGACCTACATACTACGCAGAGGGCCATGTGGCGAGCTTTCGCGGAGGAGGGGCCAAAAACGATGAGCTACTTCAATGACGAACGGACTGTCACTGAGAATCTGGCGGCTTGATCGTTTGGCCTCGAATATGACGCGGCCTCACTCCAACTGAACGTCCGGGTTAAGCAGACATACTGCAAGTGTGCGGGCGATGACTGCGTTGTTATTTCGTGGAAATCACGCTTGGAGCCAGTAGAAGGCAACGGCACGAAGATTAGTGGAATGCAGTGCACCCAGATCGGGTGATGGTCCTTCGTGGCGTTAACCTTGCAGCTGAAAATGCACAGACTAGTGATACGATAGCAGGCTCAGAGGCGATGATGTCGACGTCGCTGCAGTCATACTCTAAAATGACACTGGAAGTGGAAGATGACATTGTTGCCGACCGCGAGTTGCAGGTCGACGCGCGCACCAAATTTCTGGTGTCTTTGAACGATGTGATTGCCGAGGTCTGCGGAAAAATGCTGAAAGAAGTGCTCGTAGACGAATGGCTCGACAGTATTGTACTCTGAATTTTGCGGATAACTTTTTTTTTAATTATAACGACAAGCGGGGTGCAAGCTGCAAACGCGCATTCCGATTAGGTCTAGCCGCGCGATCCATAGGCCGAGACAAATTTTCGACAAGGGACACGAAGGCTATTTAACGCCATAGCGTTGCACGTTGACTGCAAAACGAAAAATAATAAAGTAGTAAAAGCATGTTTCGATCTTGCCATGGCTGAAGTAGGTCATTCGAGTCTTCTCAACATTATTGTGTAGTGCTTCGAATGTAAGCTAGATTATCGGCATGAACGTTTCACATCTCCCCCACACACACCACCACCGTGCAGCTGGATTTAAATAAAGTACTTCGAAGTAGGTTGTTCTAATGTACTACTATTCTTTGAACTTTATTTTTGGAGTTACATTCATAAAGTACAATTCTTTGTAGGATCGTGCGATTCTTGCACCCATCCGTAGTCAAACCCAAATTCCTTCCAACTAGCTAAAGATATTCCGACAACACCTGCTCCTTAAGTTCTTCGTTGAAACCTTTCTCGTCTTGCAACGATGGCGATGAGTGTCAGCGTCTCGTGGACGCTCTTGCTAATGGTTTTGAATGCCAGACCCAACAACAGCTGATGAATACTGAAATTCCGACAACGGAGTGTTCTGGAGGCTTCTCAGTCCGCCTGCCACAGTATTTGGTCTTGCTACGTCTGATATCGGGTGCATTTTACGCCATTGCGAACTTTTCATATATTTTTTGCTACAGAATCCTGATTTTTCCTCATTACTTTACCAAATGTTGGAAACGGATACCCTATTTCCACCGCGGTATTTTTTTGCTATCCTGTGCACTGTTTCATTCGAAACACCAGACTCAGCAGAGGTTCTATCTGATCCATTGTGTGCTTCCCTAGGAGGTTTGAGCATCGCCATTATTTTTTTCTAGTAATTCTTCTCGTGTATCCAGATTCAAGTTGCACGTTGCTATCGGACTTCCAATAATCTTGCTTGGGTACGAAAGTCATGACGGTTTGCAACAGAACGCCGTACAAAGGACCGGCTGGCAAGGAAGCGCTGTGCTACGTGTACAATACGCGGAGCCCATACTGACGCCAGGGTGTGGGGGATAAATGTGATCCGGTTGTTGAAGCCTGGGTCGGGTGCCTGTTAGTTAGTTGATAATTGGCAAGGTTGTATGTGCTTGCCTTGAACTATCGAATTATTTGAATTAACTCTTTCTTGTTGTTACAACCAACTTCTTTTGAAGGTCCAGTATCGACGATGTTGGTTGATCACCGTTGGAATAAACGCTGAGGCGGGCAGATACGAGCCCCCTGCTGACGTCAGGGAACAGGCCCCTTCATGTTGATGCCGCCCCAGATACGAAACCAGGAGAGTTGAACTAGGGTCGGTAAGCAAGCCAACCAACCCTTTACTGTAGCTACGCAGGCCAGCGTACATGTACAACTAACTACTTTGTTTACGAACTATACAGACGCTTGACAGTAGTTGAAGCGCCATCAGATCTCGACATCGCGCATTTCGTTATGCCATCTTCGGATCTGTACGCAGCTGCACTAGCATAACACTGGGAGAATCTGTATATAGTACAGTAAGCAAGCAACTGGGCGCCTGATTGCATCTCGTTGAATGCATTGAAATGCAAAACGTGACTCCGCATATCGTGAGATGAATTCAGACGCCGTCGATGCGTTCATCAGTCTCCAAAATTCTCCATAACCCACAAGCAGCTCAAGCAACTACCAACTCAAGGCTCAAGACCAAGGAAGCCGTCATGCTTTCTTTCAAGGTTGTGGTCGTCGCCATCGTCGCCATGCTGAGCGTGGCTAGTGAATGCGAAGGCTGCCGTTTTCAGGGGACCGTACTACGGCCCGGATCCCGACTGGGGCAGCGCAAGCGCCGGTACTACCGGTTAACTAAAGCCACGCGGAACCAATGCGAGTGAGGCGATTGCGGGTGCCTTGATCCAGCCTTTATTGAGAGCGGCGGCAACGCATTCTAGGAGAATTTAAGTTGGTGGCCAATACAACCATGTTGTCAACACACTCCAGTGTGCGTTTAGTAGTCAATAGATCGACACAACGTCCACAACAACGCAGGAAGTCTGTTAACTGGCTGTAGATGTGTTTCGAATGCGTGTTGGAGCTAAACCCCGCAAAGACAAGAAGTTACAGTCCAGGCCAGTTGGGCAAATGCTCCGCCAAGCTCTCCTCCTCCGTAACACGCTCGGTCTTAAATAATTCAATGAACTACACGCCCAGAAATCAACAACGTTAAATTTGCCACGTCACTAGAAAAATCACACCAAAATCCGCACCTGCTGGTCCATCATGCGAGGCTTGGGCGCCGAGAAGCGGATGTACTCGTCGAAGATGGAGCTAAAGGCCCAGCGCTGCACCTTGCGCAGCGAGCCCACAAGACACCCAGTGCGATGCTACCACGAAAATCCAAACAAAATCCGGGATAATAATTAGCAAAACAACCGATTTTCGATATGATCCCGATTATTCTTACCTTGCCCTTGTTGCAGTGGATGAGCATCGGGTGGTTGCGCTTGTCCAGCACGGCCTTGAGCGCGGCCACGATGCCGTCCTCGGGGATGTCCACGAACGGCTCTTTGTTGCCAGGCACGCCGAACTGCAGCAGCTTGATGCCGTGCATCTTGTTGAACTCCGAGTTGGCCAGCGGATAATCCTCCAGCACAAGCGTGAGGATGGATTTTAGCCGCAGGGATTTCTTGAGGAACGCGAAGTTCTTCTTCTTGGGGAAGCCGCTGCGGTACAGGCCCTTCTCGATCATGGCGAAGTTCTCGGGCGGGATGAGCTCCTCGTACTCGGCGTCCTCCTCCTCCGCGGCCTGGACGGGGTCCCCCGCGGACAGCGACAGCGCCGGCTCGGGCATGCTGGATAGAATTGTAACACTCCAAACGCGGATGTTTCAGACCAATTGTGGTACAGTGTACCATAGATTGAAACGTTTAACAGATGGATCATGCATTGACATAAGAACAAAATAATCGAAAACATTTTTCTGCTTGCGCATACGGTTTTCGACTTGTCTTGCAGTTCCTGTACAGCACAAGAATGCCGTGCCAAATAGCTACTGTACCTGGACGGGTCTTTGGTGCCGAGTTCTTGCGCTAAGTTAGTACTCTTCCGTTCGACCACGCTTGTGTACGACGGTGATCGACGAGCGGAAACGGAATTTACCTGGAAACAGCTATCTACAGGTACAAATTCTTAAGCAGCTCGTCGGCTTCAACTTCGACTGTTGACTCACGATTTATCGATCAAAACATTATTCATAAATATGAGTTATAACGATAACGATTCCTACAGGTGGTCGGAGAGCTTGAACAGGCCAGAACGTACATTTAATGATATTTACGTGTAAGCCCCGCAGAGTGCTCTTTGGGCCATTGCATATTTCCCTTGGTATGGGTGGTACATGTAGAATGCACCAGGCTACGCTCGGCGTGAGCCAGTAACTCAATACAGCTCAACATTATTATTACTAGTAGTGGAGCATCTCAGTCGCGTTGCTCCGTTGAGTTGCTTAGGGGGCCAACACCCTGCAGTGGAGATTACACTGCAGGACGACGTCCCCGCTCTCCCAAGGGATCTAATGACGCCGTTGATTAATTGGGTCCAAGCCATCACGTGCAGAAGTAAGATATCAGTGCAGCTACCCGCTCCGATATCATGTTCAATTAGGAACACTATCATCATAGCACTGCATGAAGAAGTCGCAATTGCATGTAAGAAGCGCATTGCAAGCTTTACATGCTGGGGGTTGCACCCCCCAGACCCCCGCAATAGAAAACTAAGCCCCAGTTCCGGCAAGAGGTCCGTTCGCTGGAATGCTCGTCGCTGGGCCCGCCTACGCAAATACCGCGCGGCCCTGCTTCGCGGGCATCCCGCGCGGGTTTGCTGCGGCTACGCTCATTGCAACCGCTCACTACCGCTTCTAGTGCTGACTGCACGCGAATAGGTCAATACTTAAAGTAGTGCTCTGGCTGCTGATTTAGAGCGGAGGGAGCACGGTCAGCAAGCTTATATACGGGAGCGTCAGACTGAGTCTCCTACAGTTTATTTAAGAAAATAAGATTCGACAAAGTCGCGCGTTGCACGAAGAAGCTCTGAAATTTAGAACAGACATGTATTTATGTAGTGTGTGCAAAGCCAAAGGAAAATAACAAAATTTTTGGCCTTAGAAACACAACAAAGCCTAACGTTAGTTGCTTACTACAGAGCATCTCCTGCACCTGCTTCGCAGCCGCAGCATCTGCTAAGTTACTTGGAACTTTCCCTTGGAACTTAGCAAATAGTCAGTTTTCTAGAGCTTTACCCTGTACAATCAACTTCTGCACACGTAAAAATATGCTCTTGGTTACTATTCGCTTCACGACTTCACAATATATTGCTTTGTGTTGTGTCAGTTTTTGATGCAAAGTATTTAGTATTTTATTTAAATGACAGAAGTTAAGGCAACAGCTAGCTCATACAAGTACAGAGTTTTTGGTTTTCTACCTGTTTGGGTCGGTCCCACGATTCCGCGCCGCGACCTACCAATTTACACAGGTGCTCAGGGCAGCGTAGTGGTGGTGGAGGCGGTGGTGGGTCTTGACAAATGGACAGATCTTTGTCGGCATACATGGCGAGCGCATTCAGCACGGCACGGCGCAGCTCAAACAGTTCGTGGACGCTTCTCGAGCGCGCAGCGGTGGCCGCTTGCCGCCGTTGACACCGCCCGAGGGCCACGCGGCCGAGCTCTTGCTCAGCGGTGCTCCGCCATGCAAGGGACGAAAGGGGGCCTAGGCTCCCAAGAGCGACAAGGATGACGGGCTGTACTGCGAGTAGTCCACCTGGCAGTAGTCTAGTCATCGGCAATACCACATAACGTTCTTCATTCCAGTGTTCACAATGCCAGCCTTGATATTCTCTCAGCCTGAAGGGCTGAGAGTATACCGCTCACTTTTCGTTTCTAAACGTGCCCTGCTTCAACTTGAGGATGTTTTTCGGATAGTTGTGAAATCTGGACGTGTAAATTACACGTCCAGATTTGTACATATTTTCCGTATTTACACGGTATAAATACGGAAAATGTGCTCTTTCGTTATCTTGAGGTTTGTATGGTCTGCGACATGGGACGACCATTCATATTTGTGAATTGGCTGATTCAGAAATTCCACCTCTCGATTGGAAGATTTTTAAACAGGTCTTATGCAGGTCTGGTCTTTTTTGGTCCGGAGGAAGCTGAGAAGAGAAGTGAGAGGCTTTCACTATGGCCCTTGAGCTTCAATTGGTACACCCCAGCCATTTTTAAACGAGTTAGAAACATGATGTACCGCACACTCGCCGTCGGGGAGCAGACTGCCATCACGAAATAGGCAAGCAGTTCTTGCATTGGGCAGCCTGCAGAAAGAGGAAAGTAGCTTTCGCATTGAGCAGCACCAAGTTGGTGACCAATAGAACTGCCGGAAGAGGCGAGTACTTCCTCCGGGCGGAAACAATTGCAGTAAACCCACTACAATTCTGGTAAAGAAGAGTGCACATGTACACGAGAAAAAGCAAAATTCACATATTGAGATCCAAGATAACTCTGCAATTTCTTAGTGACGGAGGCATGTAGCACCTTGAAAGAATGAGCAGAAGTATTTAGCTGTGGAAGTCAACAGAGGTAGAGTTGTGCGCATGGATTAGTGTGCTCGCGTGATGCAATAGCTACGGGGCTAATCTAATGAGAGCAACGCAAGTTTGGCTTGGGCATGCACATGGCTGAGAGAGGCCTCGTGCGCGAAGAGCCTCGAAGAGACTCGAGCAGCGCAACTGTCATGGCATTCCCTCCACTCTGTGATTGAAGTTGATGGCCTCTCTAAGATAATTTCACGCAACATCAAAACCGTACAAAAGCGCAGGGGGGCGACGACACAGGCAACATTCAGGTAATTTATGAAGTTTCTCGGGTATTAATTATGGAAAGTCACTGTTCATGAGTCTTCGGGAGCGCCGCCAATAGATGCACATGGACGCGGAGAACGTGTGGACACATCCGCCGACGACTCGGAGGATCCGACGGCGACGGGAGAGCCGGCGGCAGCCGGGCTCTGGATATGCCAATGGCTGGTCAGGGAGACCCAAGTATACTGAGATCAAGTCAATCGGAATCCGGGAGTAATCCGTCTGATGAGAGGCACCAACGAGCACAAGGAGAACAAGAAGGAAAGCAGGAGGGGAAGACTAGAGAGTAGTTTGAGAGACGATAACATTTAATCTCACTTCGGAATTTGCCCCCTCAACCACAACCTACAAACCAACAGGTTAATAGCCGCAACAAGCTCAAGCCCTCCCTGACGACCGACATGACGACGTCCAGCAAGAAGGCCGAAGTCATCCTGGGAAGCGACAATTACTTCTACTGGGAGTTCGCGATGCGTATGACGCTCGCGAGGAAGGGGCTGCTGGCGCACGTCCAAGTGGTGAAGAACCCGACGGAGATGACGGAGGCCTGGATGCTCAACGACATGAAGGCGCTCGGTCTGATCGCTCAAGGCGTGGCTGTGGAACACCACACGAAGATTCGGTCGGCGACGTCGGCTATCCAAGCCTGGAATATTCTACGCGAGTTCTACAACCGGACCACGATGCATAATCGGGTCACGATGACTCGTCGGCTCCATGAGTTCAAGATGGAGGACGGTGCGACGATGGCGAAGCACCTGGACAAGTTCGACGAGCTCATCGTGGGCCTCCAGACGCTTGAAGAGCCGCTCGATGACTCCCGACAACTCGTCATCCTGCTGAGCAGCTTGCCGGTGGAGTACGAGTTGATCGCATCCATCGTCGAGAACTCGAAGGACGTGACCCTCATCGAGGTGAAGGAGAAGCTGCTCAAGGAGTACGAGCGGCAGGAGAAGAAGGAGACCTCGGAGCGCGCGTTGAAGGCTACCTCGTTCGGAGGTAGGGGCCAGAACGGGAAGTTCGGCAAGGGCGGCGAGGCATTCGGCCGCAAGCGCAACGGCGGACGAAAGGTCAGTGGCTTCAACGGCAAGTGCTTCAACTGTGACCAAGTGGGCCACATGAAGCGGGACTGCCCGGAAAAAGCAAATGGAGACACCGCCAAAGACTCGGTGTTCGCTGTGGCGGAGAATCCATCAGCGGGTTGGCTGATCGATAGTGGGGCGACGGCTCACATGACGCCTCACCGCGATGACTTGTTCGAGTACAACGAGTCGTCGGCGGACATGTATGTGACAATCGCGGACGGGAAGAAGATCCGCGTGGCTGGGAAAGGGTCGGTGCGCCTAACGGGCATCGACGGCAAGCGCATCAAGATGGTGGAGGTGCTCCACATCCCCGGACTCGACCGGCGACTACTCTCGGTTGGGAGGTTGGCTGAACGCGGCTTGAGTGTCGAGTTCCAGCGGAAGTCGTGCGTTATCTGGGACAAGACGAAGGCGATCGCTTCGGGGAAGAAGGTCGGCAAGGCGTACTTGCTGGGCTGCCAGCAGGACATGGCGCACTACACCGAGTACTCGGGAGTCGACGGAAAGTGGGAGCTATGGCACGCTCGTACGGGACACTTGAACGGAGACGCTATGGCGATGACCCGCGAGGCGACGGACGGGATCCCGACGACTCGACAGCAGACGAAGCCCTGTGCGGAGGATGCATGAAGGGCAAGCAGACGGTCGCACATTTCCCGTCGCGGTCGACGTCGGCGACGACTCGACCGCTGGAACTGGTTCATACGGACGTGATGGGTCCTATGAAGACGAAGTCCAAGGGCGGAGCGAGGTATGTGCTCACCATTGTCGACGACAACTCGCGACACGTCGTGGCGTACTTCTTGACCAAGAAGAGCGAGGTCGTGACCAAGTTCAAGTCGTTCATGAAGCTGTA